TTTTTTTTTTTTTTCTTTCTTTTTTTTTTTTTTTTTTTTTTTTTTTTTTTTTTTTTTTTTTTTTTTCTTTTTTTTTTTCTTTTTTTTAAAAATTAAAAAAAAAAAAAAAAAAAAAAGGTTTCGAGCATGCACACTGCAATATCTTACCTAGGTCCTGTATACGCGAACCCTGGGTTATTTGGGATTCAGAGATTATTGCGCCTATATCTGTATCTCCGTACTACATGTGTGCACAGCTTCTGCAAGGTATAAAGAAGACCGCAGGGCTTGTGACATGGTGTTCGTTGGATTTTAGATTCCCGGGTATCAAGTACTACGGAGTGATCCGCTTGATAGTGCATCATTCGATTCTTGATTCGAGTAGAGAAACCTGCATTGGGTGACCAGTGCCAACAACAATTGATAGAACAATCTGAAAGCAAGACAGAATTTCCCTCGCAGATAGTGGAATGTGGACACAATACGGAATGTTACGTCACTTGCCATGTGCTCTTGCTGTGATAAGGCTGGCACAGTACAAGTACAAGTAGTCAAGCCCAGTGACAGCTTTCCACAGATGCACAATAGATTGGCTGTTGTGATAGCGCCCAAAACCTCCCAGGATGCATGCACTGCGGACAATTTTCGAGTCATTCAGATCGACCTGCATTACTCCTACTCGTGGTCGACGCCATGACCTACTCCTTTAGAGCAGCACACGGAGATAAGATACTAATCAAGGCATAGAACACTGCTTACGCCACCCTGCATCAGGCCAATGCATCCCGTGTGAGGACATGGCCCTTTGAGGGGACACACAAGTGGATTTGGACGTGGCCTAAGCTGCGAAACGGCGGTGACTGAGGAAAGTACGGAGTACGTAAACAACGTAAATCCGGGGGTGATCTTAGACCGCTCCTCATGGCGTGCTCCGAAAGGGGGATTGCTAATTGTGGAGCTACTCTACGCCGCGCTCTTCCTTCATCGTTTCACGTTAACATATCTTGTCTCAGTGGTCGAAATTGGAAGTGATAGATAGAGAGGGGATGTGTTTTGGGCATAAAGGAGACGTGTCGCGGGCTATTCCGCCTGTTGGGTCCTCGCTGGTCGTCTGTTTTCCCTCTCAGTAGTGCGAAATCCGGTGCTCTGATTGGAAGTACAGATAAGCCAGTGGGGCCTCTGCTCATAAGCCTCGTCTATACCCGATTGGGTTATCCCAGGGGGAAACGCGACAATGAGACTCATGTTGATTGGTCTTTAGCCACTGACACGATCCAGTGGAGTCCAAAGTTTTCACTAGGGGTCGGCTCCGGAATAGTCTAGACCTAAACCGGTTTAGTTATGACCAGGTTGGTCACAGCCGAAACGCTGCCGTGGACTCGGGCATTCAATGCCGTTATCCACTCCGGGGTCGAGTGGACGTGGGAACTGCACTGAAGATAGCCAAGGTGCTAAAACCCTCATCTTGGACGGGAGAAATAGTTCTAGAAATTATGACTTCTAGGGGGATGATGTTCGTGGGGGTATTACATGGACTCCTGGTATTGCGGGTGTATTATGGACTTTCCTTTCAATGTGACCGATGTAACACCCAGGCCCCATCGAGTCCAAAGTGGCAACTCGGCACTCACCAGTTCCCACTTGGACTACTTGGACTTGACCGGAGTCATTGGTCGTGTGATAGCGATTATCGCCAAGTGTTTGACCTGTGTAGTTGGGAATGCAAAAGATATTCCACACGAGTGTACTCCGTACGGAGTACAAGTATTGTGTGTAATGTGTAATTACACCATACCTCATAATCAGATCTTCAAATCACACCATCGCCGCCCCAAATGAGCCCATCGCTCCTTGCGGAGGAATACGTCAGTCCCGGATCTCCTCCCCTGATCTTCATTACATTGCAGACGGGAGCTACTCTAGTGAGATCTTACATTCTGCAGGGATTTGAACGTCGCCTGGCTCGTGGACGTACTCGTACAAGTAGTATTCTACGAGTATGGTATCTTCAGGATCGTCCTAGAGCTAGTAACATAGTTACGAATATAATACAGAAGTATACGAGTAGTAGTTCATTCCTTTTTTTTTTCTTTTTGCGTCTTGGCCTGATGAATCCGAATTTTTGGTTCGCTCTTTTTGCCCTCGACCGGAGCTGTGTGTTTTTTTTCCTCTTTCGCTTTTTTCCTTCCTTTTTTTACCCTTTGTTCCCCCCACATACGGAGTGCTCGGCTTCATATATCAACCCTCGCCTCCCTCCTCTTTCAGCTTTCACTCATCTCACTTTGCATCTCATCCTACCTTCATCATGGCGACCAAGAAGCCCAACATTCTCTATATCATGGCCGACCAGATGGCCGCGCCCTTATTGTCCATCCATGATAAGAATTCGCCCATCAAGACCCCCAATCTCGACCGCCTGGCCGAGGCCGGCGTTGTCTTCGACTCGGCCTACTGTAACGCACCACTGTGCGCTCCCTCGCGCTTTGTGATGGTCAGCGGACAGCTTCCATCCAAGATCGGGGCTTACGATAATGCGGCGGACCTGCCCGCGGACACCCCGACATATGCTCACTACCTCCGGCGCGAAGGTTATCACACTGCCCTGGCGGGCAAGATGCACTTCTGTGGCCCGGATCAGCTTCACGGCTATGAACAACGTCTCACCAGTGATATCTACCCCGGTGATTACGGCTGGTCCGTCAATTGGGATGAACCCGTAAGTACCCCGGTACCCCCCGGTTGTGACATGGTACTAATGGAAACGCAGGATATCCGTGCCGACTGGTATCACAACATGTCCTCCGTTATGGAGGCTGGCCCTGTTGTGCGCACTAACCAATTGGACTTCGACGAGGAGGTTATCTACAAATCCACCCAATATTTGTACGACCACGTGCGCCAGCGCAACGAACAACCCTTCTGCTTGACCGTTTCTATGACCCATCCCCACGATCCATATGCCATGACCAAAGAATTTTGGGACCTTTATAATGACGTCGAGATTCCACTCCCGAAGAATGGAGCGATTCCCCACGATCAGCAAGACGCGCATTCCCAGCGCGTGCTGAAGTGCATCGACCTGTTCAATAAGGAAATGCCGGATGATCGTATCCGCGCTGCTCGCCGTTCCTACTATGCTGCTTGCACATATGTTGATACGAACATTGGCAAACTGCTCAAGGTACTTGACAACACCGGGATGGCTGATGACACCATCATTGTGTTCACTGGTGACCACGGTGATATGCTGGGAGAGCGTGGGCTGTGGTACAAGATGACCTGGTTCGAGAACTCGGCTCGTGTTCCTTTCCTCGTGCATGCTCCCAAGCACTTTGCTCCTAAGCGTGTCTCAGAGAATGTCTCCACAATGGATCTACTCCCTACATTCGCCGAGTTGGCAGGCGCCAAGCTGATCTCCGAACTACCCCTTGATGGCGTTTCCTTGGTACCATACTTGACCGGTGGAGAGGGTCTCCGCACAGATACGGTCTATGGCGAGTACATGGGAGAGGGCACCCAAGCCCCGCTGATGATGATTCGTCGCGGCCGCTGGAAGTTCATCACCTCCGCCATCGACCCACCCATGCTTTTCGATTTGGTCAACGACCCCGAAGAACAGGTCAACCTGGCAGCCGGTTTATCCGTTAAAGCCAGCGCCATCGTCGGAAAAGACGGTCTGTCATCTGCAGTCAACCTTCCGACACCAAATGATACCCCTCGCGCATCGCCAATTCCCCAGCGTGCCTCGGCCACCTCATCTGATTACCCCTTCCCTTCACCTACTCCCCCACGAACTCCCAGCCCTGCCAAGCTTCCTCCCGCCCTGCCCAATACGACAGATCCAGCCAAGATTCTTGCCTTTTTTATTGAGGAAACCAACAACCGTTGGGATCTCGAGAAGATTAGACAGGACGTCCTGCGCTCGCAGCGCCGCCGCCGTCTTGTCTACTCTGCTTTGATCCAAGGCACCCCATCAATTTGGGACTATGAGCCTCGTGTGGACCCCAGCACCCAGTATGTGCGCAACCAGGGCAAGGGTGCCCTCGACGACGTGGAGTTGATCTCTCGCTGGCCTCGTGTGCTGCAGCAAGCTGCCAATGCCAACGGTGTTCCCACTTGAGCCTCTGTTGAAGCCTTCTGATATTTGCTGGACATGATCATTCTCGTATGCACTTCTTGCACTTTATTCCCCCATGTTTAAGCATCATTCTTCTGCATCTGCTTTGTCTGTCACTCGTTCTTGGCAATGTTCATTTGCTTTTATTTTGTCATGGTCAGGTGCGCGCTATACCCGGGCTTAGTTGTTTCCCAATCTGCATCATTTCACATCGTCTTACATTGCACTGCATGGCTTTTCTTGAATACACTAGTGCTTTTGGTTTCCCGGGTTTGGTGTGCTTGCCCTGTACATTGCTGCTTTGGTAGATACAATCAGACTGTCAATACTGGTTTCATTTGGACAACAGATCTTAGACTTGAAAATTTGCATTGTAAAACTTGATGTTGGTACTCTACATCGAGTATCTAGACTGAAAACCACGATGCTAATGTGGATTCAAGTGTTCAAGATCACTGTTTGGTTCTGTTCCACTAATTCCCCCGCTTTCCAAGATGAGCCCCAACGCTAAATAGGATCTCCCGAGATGCCATCCATGGATCTCACAAGGGTTGTGCCAGGGATAGGGTAGATCAATATACATGCTTATGTTTGTTCGTTCTACGGTGGCTGAGGGGTTTCAAAGTTACGCAGTTGGTCAAGTTACAACACAGTGTGCTGTGGAACAAGTTCAACGACGCTCAAGAACATCTCATTGAGATCTACCTAAGTACCATGTCATGAGAAATGAAAGTTGCCAAACCCCTAGATCCAAAAGAATACGCAAAACCGATCACAACTTCAAACGCTTCGGGATATCAAAGGACATAGCAGTCATCGTCCATGCCAGCATGTGACATCATTCTGTATATACAGCTCCCTCATATCTACCTAGGCATGATAAGAGTAACTACTCAACCAGCCAGACAGGAGACTTGATCAGCACTGTCGCCGGTCCCTTACCACGTACCTCGACAGCCAGGAAAGCCGAGTAGCGAATGCGGGGCGGACTAGATTCTGGCTCCTTTTCTCCTGCTGCCGGTCGAATATCGCTAGTCGCGGGTTTGCGGCCCATCAAGGCTCCAAATACCGACTTTCTTGACTTTGCCTGTGCCGGAGAAGGATTCTCAATCGCGGTACTGGGTTCCTCTGATTCATCATCTGTCTCTGCGGAGGGTGGATGGCTGAGGGCTGGGAGTTGGCCTTCAACCTTCATGTACTGGTCTGCGAAGGAGACGCCGGGTGGGAAATAATCGACGCAGACATCGCGTGCTTCAAGGGGGATTTTCTCAATGATGTTGGTGGAGTTTTCAATGATCATGCGTACACCCGCCTCTAGTCCTGGGTGGGCGCGATCATGGAGCTGTGAACCCAGGAAGCCGGCGAGATCCATAATCAATTGCTCGACTAGTTCGCCACGGCGTTCATCGGCCTCCGGGCCGACTAGACTGTCGCTGAGCCCGTCGAAGGTTGTGCGACGCCAGTAAGAGAGTCTTGCGGAGGCATTTTCGCGCTCTTCATCTGAGTTTGGGCGTTGACGACGAAGGTTCATTTCGATGCTCTTGAGCTGCCTACTGAAGGCGGACTCTAGGGCCGGGTGGAAATAACGCTGGAAGACTTCTTCTACTAGCCATCGGCTAATGATTGCTCGTCCGACCGGTGTCATCTCCTTGGTCACGGTAGCAAGTGCCTCATCGCTGACCATCCCGTTGAGCCAGGATGGAACAGCGCGCCAGTCTTTTCGCACCGAGAACGCAAGGTCTTTGATTGCCCCGTCTAGTCGCTGGAAACGATTGGTGTACTCATTATCGTCAAGAACGGTACGCGACACAGCCATCCGCTGATGCGCTACCGTGTTTTGGAGGTGCTGAACTTGCGCATCCTTTTCGAAATAATACCGCTTAACCTTGGAGTATTTGGCTTCTGTGAGTGGGTTAGTATTTCCATTGACCAACATTACACATAAAAGACAAGATAGTATCCACGTACGAAGCTCATCGTGTTTCTGAATCAGGGCCCGGAGATCGGCATCCCCAGAATCCTCGCGGCGGTGTGTCGTAGGTGTGTTCCGTCCGTTCTCGGGCATGTTTGACACACTGCCCCGCCGGCTTGGATCCCGCTGCGGGGAATCTGCAGATTTATTGTCCGGCTGGAATGGGGATTGGGCCTGAGCTTGAGACTGCATGGCGTCAGGATAACGGGTTTGGACGGGGGAAAGCGGCTCGAGAGTCCGGGATGGGGGCCGGGTAGTCATTACCGGGTCCTGGAGAGTGAAGCCCTGGTTTGTCTCTAGGAAGGGGGACTCTGGGATGTCGGTCGGCGAAGGGCGATCGTTGGCGCGTGCGAGGGGCTGGGTGTAAAGCGGGGGTTTCACTGGTTTCAGCTGCGACCGCTCGGGATTCTCAGTGTGTGCAGGATGAGAGGGACGGGGGCCTCGAGTGTTTTGCTGAGGTTGCTGATGTTGTTGGTAGGCCAGAGATGCAGAGCGCGGCTCAAAGGATTGCGGTGCGGTGACAGGTGAGGGGTTCTCCGAGAAGGAATGCTGGGGCGGAAGAAACTCGTCGGTCTCGTTCAGTGTTTCTGGATGTGAGACTCGAGGTGATACAGGCTGGGAAATAGGATTGGAAATGGGCTTGCCCCTGACAGAAATGCTGCGCTCGACAATACCAGACGATGGTCGCACCGACAGGCCCTTATCGTGACGTTCTTCCGGGACCACGTTGACTGTCGGTCGGTCGCGAAGTGACTTGGACTGACGCTGACTCTGGGATCGACTCAGAGACTGAGACGGAGTAGAGTTCGAATGAGACTGGCTAGGCGCCTGGTACTCAAATTGTGAATAGCGCCGGTCGTCAACGGGGTCGGGGTGTGGAGCAAACGCGGGGAGTTGTTCGGCGCTTCGCACTGGATGATGTGTCGGCGACTTGTTCTTCTTAAAGAGTCGCATATCTTCGACGAGAGTGCAGGAGGAGAGGACTTGGGAGCGGGATCGGCAACTCGTAGGTGTTCTATTCTTAGGGCGTAAACAATGATCTTACACGGAGTACGCACTGTACTCCGTACCTTTGTGTGGCTTTGGAGGGTTTAGGTGTCTTGAGATTGCAGATGGGCCTCCAACCTTGGATCTAACTAATAGGGGCTATATGAATATGTTGAGCTATCTAATTGTCGATAGTTCTGGAGATCCCTGGTTGATCCGCGTTGTATACGCAGTAGACAAACCCAAATATCACCAGTTGACATGGTATCTCGGCCAATACCCTGAAGATACCATCGTCAAAGAAAAGAAAAAAAGAGAGCACTTTACATCCCCTCAAACTTCCCTCATATGCCTCGTATTTGAGAACACGAGGCCTCCCGCGAACACAAACCGCCCCCAACCCAAAAATAATCGGAGGCGAAGCAGAGAACACACGGTAGTGGGGATTTGGTGGAAATTTCCGGCCCCCAAGTAACCCGCAGGCGGAGCAAAACCCTCGTCAGCTCTTATTCCCTAACAAGGAACCTGTACTGTTCCCCGCGGTCCAAGATCACAACTCGATCCGAGAAACCTACTGCCTCGACAATGCGACGAAAATCCTCTAATGGACTGGCAAATACATCGTAGTCGTCGTAATGGATTGGGATCGTCATGTCGGGCTGGATGAGCTGAATTAATTGCAAGCCTTGTTCTGCGTCCATGGTCACCATCAATGCCAGTGGCTCCATGGGTCTTCCCACTAGAGGCGAGGGAATGGTAGTCCCGCCGAGATGAGTGAGCATCAAGTCGATTTGTTGCCCCGCATACCTTTTGGGAATCTCGTGTAGCTCGTCTTTCATGAGAGCATCGCCGGATATGTAGATGCGATAGCCACATGTGAACCCCGTATTGGTGCACTGGCCTAGTTCGAGCATCCAGCCGTTTGTTGGAGGAATCTGTCGGTGTCAGAGTTGTGAGGGGGGAACGCAAGGATGGAGAATGAACACGAACGACATTAGCCATGGTATTCAATCCTTCGATCACGCGGTTAGGAGGGACATGTTTCCCCGGCATCCCGGTCACATGTAGCCTGGCTTGCCTGGGACCCTCAGTCCCTTCAATATCAACCTCGACTTCTTCGAATGGGTCAATTGCATAAACTGACGTGAAAGGCTCTTCTATGGAAATGAGATGCTTCTTTGCGTGCGGTGTAGTGACGATTGGGATATCGCGCTTCAACGAAGCCTGGACTTCTTTATCAAAATGGTCCCTGGGATGTCAGATGTTGAGTCATCACCGGTCTGTTTCAAACTCACTCGTGATAGTGGGAAAGCAGGATGAGATCAACCCTTGGAAGCTCGTGAAGTTCCAAAGCTGGGTTGGTGAGACGTTCACTTGACACGCCAGGGCCAAGATGGACGTGATCGCCTTTATGAAGGAAATTAGGCTGATAAGGTCAGTTTCCGATCCTGGCTGGTAGATCTTGTGGCTTAGAGCTTACATCAGTCATCAACCTCATTCCGGCCCATTCACTGTATCCATTAGTTCTGGTCGCTGGACGGAGAGGTCGACAAACATGATGGTTGTAGCCGTCCCCGCAAAGAAGAGGGATGCATTCGCGCCAGGATTGAACGGGTGTTGCCTGCTGGTTTTGGCGTTGGGCAACTGGCTTGGAGTGTTGGTCATAGGAGGTAAACTCCTAATTGGACCCTGGTTCTCTTGATCGAGCGAAATACGCTGCATCTTGGTGTTGAGGAAACGTAGACAGCACCGGGGGAAGCTGGCCACTACTAGAGTCGTATGCTTGACGTCATAGCTTACAGCAAATATCACATTATTTGATCTCATTAGACATCTCTATGTACACGGTACATTCATGCGCCTTGTCAGAGCGTTGGAGCCAGTGAGCCAGCCATGGTTTTTACCGAAAGCTACTCTGTGGAACCCGGCATACCATACTCGTATACTCTGAACATTACAGCAAATTAGCACACGCCGTGGGTCTTTCCAGCCTTGCCTTGCAGCGAGTGCTTCTCGTTCTTGTAGTGTGTGTGGGTGTGCTGGTGCTTAATCTGCGAGCGGTGGCTTTGAATGTGTCTGTCAAGCGTTAGAATAGAACGAAGCAACCTGGCAAAGGGAACGTACGTCTTGTATTTAGCAACCATGGATTGGTCCATAGACTGCAATGTTTCCAGTGCAAGCTTGAAGTCCTGGAGCAGACTGTCGCAGCGTGTCATGCTGAAATCTTCGCGGATGACAACGCGCATCAGTTGCAGCTTTTCGCTGTTAGGAGCCATGGTATACGCAGGGACAATCCAGCCACGCTCACGCAGCTGATGAGCCACGGCAAATTCATCGAACACGCGATCGGAGCTAGGAGCGAGTCTGAAAGCAACAAGGGGGAGACCTCGACCCTTAGTTTGACTCATAATGATCATGCCCATCTTCTCAAGCTCCGATGACATGTAGTCGCCGATGCGAGTAAGGTTAGTCATAATTGAACGGTAACCGTTCTTGCCCAGGCGGATCAGCTGATAGTACTGGCCAATGACATGGGCAGCACCCTTGGAGAAGTTCAGAGTGAAGCTAGCCTGGTCGGCTCCGAGGTAGTTGATATTGAAGACAAGCTCCTGGGGCAGGTATTCCGGGGCACGCCAGACAACCCATCCAACGCCAGGGTAGACCAGACCATACTTGTGACCGGAAACGTTGATAGACACCACTTTCTCGAGGCGGAAATCCCATTCCAGATCGGGCTGGATGAAAGGGGCAACAAAGCCACCGCTAGCGGCATCAACGTGGATTGGGCAGTCGATATTACGCTCGACGAGCAGATCATTGATAGCCTTAATGTCCTCGTACTCTCCTGTGTAGGTGGTTCCAAGAATAGCACAAATTCCGATGGTGTTCTCGTCCACCAAGTCAACTGCTTGCTGGGGATCGATAACAAATCGAGTATCGGTACAGTAAACATACTTCTCCTCGATATCAAAGTAGCGGGCAGCCTTCTCCCAACAGACCTGCACTGCACTGTTCATAATGATATTGGGACGCGAGAAGTCCTTTCCTTCAGCCTTGCGCTTGTTTTGCCAGCGCTTCTTCATAGCCAAGGTACCCAGCATGATGGCCTCAGAGGATCCGATTGTTGAGGTTCCCATGGCATTCTCGCCAGAGGTATCGGCGTTGAATAGTCTCGCAATCATGTTGACGCACCGATTCTGAATTTCAGCGGAGTGGGGGTATTCTTCGTAATCAATGAAGTTTTTGCTGAATGAATCCGTCATGATCTGTTCAATTTCCTCCTCCACTGGTCCCAAGGGTCAGCAATCACCTGTGGAGAATGATCCAGTCTTACGTACTGTAAGTTGTCACGAATGATGCGAGGTTCAGCTTGGGGTTACCATCCAAGCTCAACTCATCCTTGATCATCCGAGCAGCGATTTGACGAGGCATTTCTCTCTCGGGCATCTCATTGTGGTTGAGATGGTCCGCAGCGAAATGGCTGCCGTAGACATTGGTGTAGAAGTCATTCTCGTCCGGCGCGGGCAGAGTATCGAATTCACGAGTCGGGGCGACCTCGTTGTCAGTCTTCACACGAGCGAGATGAACCATTTTCAAAAGATGAAAGCAGGAAGAAAACAGAAGAGTAGATGAAGCTTGGAAGAGGGGGAAACCTGAGCAACAATAAATACGGAGTACTGCGGGGAATGACGTACAGCGCATCGGACCACCTGGGCAACCTTTTCCCTCTTTTTCCCTCTTTTCTCTCCTGCACTTCTGCCTTGGCTTACTGTACGGTGAATTGATTCTTTTTATCCCCTTAATTCCATCATTATTTATTCCATCTACTTCAATCCCATCTAAATTCTCTCGAGCTATCTGCTCCATCTTCAAGGCGATCCCTACAATGCTAAAGCTTGGTGAAAGCTTGGCAGAAGGAGTGACGATCCGATATCTCCGACCCGCACAACGCGAGTCGCAGCCACGCTTAGGACATTGGTGGGGATCGGCACCATTGAGGGGCCCAAGAGTCCACTCAGAGCTTGTTCTCGCGCAGCTTTTCCACCTCGGCGAATCGATAGTAGAACTCTAGGCTGCCCGGATTCAAAAGAGTCCCCGAGGGCTTGACGACTTGGCCAGACACGATCTTTTTCAGCGGCGTTTCCACTTTCTTGCCATTCACGGTGGTCTAATGACGTAGTTCTGGGTCAGTCTCCATTTTCGGGTCTTGAGGGAGTTTCACTTGCTGGAATTTCAGGTGTTTCAAACACCCACATCGGTACATGGCGGGCGCTTAGCTCGGAGCGAATGGCAGTCTTCACTCGAGCCACAAGGTCGGGATTGAACAACACGCCTGGTTTCATGAGCAAAAAGAGCATGACCCGCTCGTCCGTATCGGTTGGTCGTCGCTGACCGACGCAGATCGAATCGGCGATTTCTGGCGAGAATTGACCTTCGATCACTCGGTAGATTTCGGCGGATCCAAATCGCACTCCGGAGGGATTGAGGACCCCGTCGGTGCGTCCGTGAAACAGGATCTGCTTGGTGATTGGATGAATCGAAACGAAATCACCATGCGTCCAAACATCTAAAAGGGGATTAGCCACCGTTCGCATCTGAGACAGCTAAACTTCGTACTATCGAATCTACTGAAATAGGCATCAAAATACTTCTTGCCGTCTTGGTCGCCCCAGAACATCGTGGGCATAGTGGGGAATGCAGCCGTGGCTACCAATTCTCCAGGCTCGCCCTCTGCCATAGGAATTCCCTTGGTGCCATCTCCACCTTCAATGGTGGAGTCGAAAACACCGACAGGAATACCGAGACTTCCGCCTGCACATCCTCCAATATAGACAGGGGAAATAGGATTACTTGTCGCAAATGAAGCGGCCAAGTCAGTACCGCCGGAGATGTTGTTCAGGCGGGCGCGAGCTGGGAACCCCTCGTCGTAGAACCATTCGAACAAGGCATCCCGTAGGACCATGCCGGTACTCGTCACAACCCGCAGAGAGCTAAGGTCCACCAGCTCGCGCGGCTTGATCTTAGCTTGCTGCAAGTCGTGCAGCCATCGAGGAGAGATTCCGAAGTGTGTCACCCTGCGATTGGTTAACATTGGATCAATAGTGCATACTAGCAGATCATCAGCAGCAGATTGAACTCACTTCTCCTGGGCTGCAAGAGTAACCAATGCCGTGATATCTGGGAGGAATGGGGATCCATCGTAAAGAACAACGCGCGCTCCAAAAAGCAGCGTCTGTACCGCGCTCATGTACATAATCCAGCCTGTGGTCGTATATTGCAGAGCCACGCTATCTGACCCCAGCTCGCTGTGCAAGTTGCCCTCCTTGCTCGAATTCAACAATACTCCACCAACCGAATGCACAATGCACTTTGGCTGTCCGGTCGTGCCGGACGAGTACACAATTAGAAAGGGCTCACGGAACCCAATCCTCTCAAACTCGAGTTTCTCATTGCCGCCTGCTTTGGAATGATATTCTGACCAAGTCTGCGTCCTGGGGATATCACTGACATCGGCAGGCGAAGAGAACCGAGACTGGGAGATAACACCTTGGAACTCAATCACAGATCCCATCTCCTGCACGATATCTCGAATCTTAAGTCGAAGATCGATCGTCTTTCCATTATAAATCGCAAAATCATCCATAAACAACCAACGCGGTTTAATCTGCAACAGTCGATCTAGAATACCCTTCACGCCCATGTCCGTCGAGCTGGACGAAAAAATCGCACCCAGAGCAGTCGAAGCCAAAAACACCAACAGCGTATCAATACTATTCGAGGCGCAGAGAGCGATTCGGTCGCCGCGCACCACACCATTGGCTTTCATCGCTTGCACTAATGCTCCGGTTCGTCGTCGAAGCTCACCCCATGTGAGATGGGTGACTTCATGGGCAGCACCTTCTCGCACCTCGCTGACGGCGATCTTGTCGTCTTCTTTGCCGGTCTTGGTCTTGCCGCTTGAGAAGAGGAGATTCTCTGCGAAATTCAATCGGACTCCTGTGAACCATTCCGGAATACTATCCATTCGAGCGGATTCGTCAACTACCTGCTTGTAGGTACCCTCGTGGATTAATTGAAAGTAGTCCCAGCAGAATTCCCAGAATGCCGATCGGTTTTGGATTGAATACTGGTGCATGTCATGAAATGTCTGTATACCTGTAAGTCATGGCTCTATAGAGAACTCCACCAGCCACTCACACTAAATTTCTGACTGGTCGACTTCTCCAACTGCCGTTGGAAGTGAGCCATTCTAGTCGACTGCGGGTCTGGGTGCTCCCATAGCTTTCGAGGAATTGATGTCATTGTGAAGAACGGTTATTGGGTGATGGGCTAGAGATGGGGGGAGACAGCTTCTTTATTACGATTCATTCTACCGAGGCACCTCTCTCTTTACCCCGGGCCGAAAATACTGAAGTAGCACAGACGCCAAGGATAGAACCCCGTTCAACCCCGCAAGGGAAATGCGGGGCCTACTTGTATGCGAGTGGATTTTGATGTCTTAGTCCATGTCGGTGGATTGAAATTGCCACAGGTTAATCCTCAGTTGAGAAGAAATAGTCCTTAGTGGCATGTGCAGCACGGGATTCATGAAGGGATGTGGGATTTATCGTTATTTTTCACTCCGATGGGGACAAGATGAAAACTGAGAGAGGGTGAAGCATCAATCCCAGGGTTAGCATGCTTTGGGCCTAATATTCTTCGATTGTTCCTATCTTGTCTCTTCCAGCCATAAAGGAAGACCATTCTGAATCTGCCCCGAACAGGCAGCCTCAACACACTGAGCCAGTCCTCCAAAATGCATTTGTCGGCCAGTCAGTCCTGCACCATAATGAGCATACTTTGCTGAGTTGGTCATGATAGTCTGGCACTCTCTTGGAATAATAGGCTCTTGGATCATGCACCAACAACTATCGGTGATGATCTGTCCCCCAAAGGCTTCCACGGTTGAGATTAGCCCATCTCTACAAGCTTGGGTGTATATCTCGCGATTGCATGCCACCACCAAGGCAGTATCAGGGACCTTGGTGTGATTTCTGACAAGATCTGCAAGGGTTTTCATTTCCTCGTGCGAGAAGTGAGGATTGCCAAGGGAGACTAAATCGATTGGCGTGTTTTGCTTCACTCCACCGGCATTGAAAAGATACCATTGTCTGGCCAAGTCTGAACGTGTGACTTCAAATTTTGGAATTGCTTCCAAGTGTGCGTTTATTTCCTCTGCACTGCGAGCTTCAACGGTGATACCCGCCATGTGGAACATGGGGGCGCTGGAGGTGGTGGCAAACGCTGCCCCGAATGCTTTGAGATCCGAGCTCGTGGGAACAGTTTTTTCAAGGCCTGTAACGATCGCAATTCGATCTGCAGCGATATCACCCACGAGGTAACCCAGAAGAGGGAAAAATGCATCATCGGACCCCTCGATCGCATTGCAGTGGATTTCAACACCGGCCTTGCGATATTGTGTTAGATGACACCCAGTATTTAGAGATCGGCCAGTCAAAGCAACACAGACGTCCAGGAAGTCGGGACATTTGATGGTGCGGGCACCGAGAACGCTATTGGCGTAGACCACGGCATTGGACTCGGCCCACATAATATTGTCTCCAAGGCTCGGTGCGCTTTCCAGCTGATACGGTGCGCATGTAAAGCTTGCTTTGGCTCCGATATCCAGATATGCCTGTGCCAATAGCTCAGATGGCTCAGCGATTGCCGGGTCGACACCTTGTACTCGCCATAATCGCCTGTCAATCGAAATTGAATTCAATGTAGTGGGGATGCGAACTTTCGCGCCCCATTCGCGCAGGGTTTGAGCAAATTTTAATACTGCTGGGCCGGTGTAGATGCAACAATCAATGTGTGCTTGTTTGATATCGATTAACTCTGTGACACCTTGGACTAAGGCCGTTCGAAGAATGACTCTCATCGCGAACTGGGGCGCCATTCCATGCGCTCCGCTCAACATCTCGCGATCAAGCTCGGTCAGTGTAATTGAGGAAAAGTCTGACTCAAGAATTGGTAGAGTTGATATGAACTCGGGCTGCTGGCACAGGTCATCAATCGCTAGGATTTGGTTTCCCATGATCTGCACTTTTTTGAGGTGTATGATCATGTCGAATGTGGAGTCAGCGACTTGGAGAACAGGAATAGTTTTTTGAAACATTTCCTGGGCAATGATAACTCCCAGCGTTAGTATCATCTCCTCGCGCTTGAATATGAGTGCGTGGGGGTTGCTTCCACTCAAAAACAACTCGAGAGTGACTGCGCTCCCGGTACATGATCCACGACCACCTGGTATTGCAAGTATCTTCCCTTTGATAGATGCTCCTGCCAGAGGGTGATGACTATCAATCACAACGCCAGTCGAAGGATTCACACCTCCCCAGAAACTGAGGGCGACTTCACTTGCGAGTATCTCCCCTTCAGCGGAGCCGGGGGAGGAGAGGGTACGCCCTGAAAACGCATTCTGCTGCATCTTCATTTTGTTTTTTTCTGAGAGATCTGAGAAGTTACTGGTGGTGGCTGGGCCAAACTTCAAAGGCTATAACAGTAGTGTTGGTCTGGGTTGAAAATCAATAGAGAGGGGATTTGCAGATAGGAGAAGTGAGCTTAGGGCTCTAGTCATCTCACGATTGAAATCACGGAAAAGACAGAATGGGTTGATAGGCTCCGGGCCTCTCATCTGAAATCGGAGTCATTGGCCGTTAAACAAGAGACCGACACCAAAACGTCGGCTGGCCGCCCCGACGACGGGGTAAACGGGAGGGGAAACCACCTCCCCCGCTTCAAGTTCATTGGCGAATGCTCCAGTGCAAGTCATTTGGGGTAATCAACAGGGTCGATTTCAGTGGTTGTGCTCTAATCTCTCTCCCTTTTTGCTCTTCTCTCATCCATAGGTCCCGCAGATAGATCCCACATTCGGAAGTAGTCCGGAATTAAAAAAATGTCCGGATATACACTTGGGCTTCACGTGAGGCTGTCCTACACTTCTCCAATAGGCTCTCCTCTTAATCGATGTACATTTTTTGTTTGAGCTTTCTTCGGAGTTGTCGAGGTTGATGAGACGCTTATTTCTCTTCATTCACCGGCCAGGCTTTCTAACGGATATACGGATGCATCCGCCACGCGTTTACGTGGGGAAACTATAACTGTATCTCGGTCCTTAGCTCTCATCAGTTTGGGTAACATCGAGGGGTGTTCAAGTCTGAAATCTTACAAAAATGTTGCAGGGCATCACAAGAAACGGGTCAAGATCGCCATACACGGGCATCAAGGTCCGGCGGAGGCGGAAGACCTCCAAGGAAGAACGGGTCTGTCCAGTGTGTGCTCAGACGTTCAAGAAGGCTGAACATCTTGCCCGACATGTTCGCTCACATACAAAAGAGAAACCATTTATTTGCCTGGTGTGCCAGAAGGCGTTTTCTCGACAGTAAGTCCCTTTGCCTATGTATGGGGGGGTGGGGATTCCAACATTAACCTTCCAAAGGGATACGCTGTTGCGACATTCACGATCTCATTCGGTAGATGATTCAAACTTTGAAAAATCACAATTAAGCTGCGAATCGTTGAATGACCACTGCGAGACGGTCCAGGCTCCTCTGGACTCGACAAAGTCAACCGCTCGCAGCATGATGGCACCTGTCTCACCACCAAACAGCGCAACAATTGACAATGCTACCCCGATATTTTCCCTCCCAGAGCCCACTATACACCAAGCCCAAACAATGCCCCTGGGCTCACTTTTCTCCTTGGAAACAGATAATCAGCGTGGCAGTTCACAGCCCGCTTCGTGGGATTATCGGCTTGACAGCGATTGGGAAACGCTTCTGACAGGAGACAACTTTGACCTGGATGCTGTGAATACCTCACTGCTTCATGCGACATCAGACTTTCCCCCCGCTCTCGATATTCCGGATATACCTGGACTGGAGCACGCTAGGCCAAAATTTGACGAAGATCCAGAAGAGCGGGCTAGCGTACTCCAACAGAAGTGGCATACTTTCTCCGAAGTTGCTTCTCTCTCTGGCGAGACGACACCCGAACCCTCACAGTACAGTGATCATATAGACGATACATATCGCCACAAGCTCCATGAACGCCTGCAACCACGAGTGCAGCATGGGATTCTACCATCTACCAGCTTTCTTGTAGGGGTGGTATTCTTCATTCATACCAATTGGCTTGTTAACCTCATTCCAGAATCTTTGTCTCCAATTCTATTTCTCGAAATTCCACCCACTTTTCCCAGTCGTCCACGTGCCTACATTCCGACCAGGTACGCAAAACTCGATACTTTTGCTCTCAATATGCTCTGTGGGCAGTCTAATTATTGGCTCTACGCGCGCATTGTCGCATGGAATAAGCATGTTTGAGCGGCTCAATAAAGCCATTCTCGCATCTGTACTATTCCCATCTCTAAGATTGCTGGAATATGCTAATGATTGCAGTGGGAGAGTTACTTATCAAAACCGGGCTTCACTTCTACAATAGCCTTGCAGGCGTCACTCATAGGTCAAACTTTTGGTTTATTGATGGGAGTATGGCTTTCCTCAATTGACTCTGTCTTTTCGTGTATTTGGATTCCTTTGGAGCTAATATTGTTCTTGGTCTAGAGGCCGAAAGACCTATTTGGGATTGATGTATTTCATGGAAGCATTATCTCTGTGAGCATTGCCAGACACTGCGATGCATAGAACTTGCTGACATCCTTCCTTAGTGGGCACGCAAAGCAAAGCTATTCCTTTTGGAACACTCGAATTACAATCTTCTAGATATAGAGGGAGAATCTCTGAATGATGTCTGGATGGCATGGATACAGGACGAAGTCAATATGCGGTATGCTTCGTCGATTCCGACTCCATTCAAAGCCACCTAACATCTCCAGAATAGTTCTAGGTTTGTACATCCATGACGCCGAGCTAGCAAAACTTCATCATCACGAGCCTCTACTCCGCCACTCCCTCAGTCGCCTCCCCCAGATCTCCTCCAACGAGCTTTTCGCTGCATCTACCGCAAACAGCTGGAAGACATTAATGATCAGATCTCATTATCAGCCTCCCTCCCCAGCTCATACAAATCTCTGCTCCTCCACGCCAGAATTTGCCTCCCTCGGCATGTTGGAATCAGTCAGCGCCCTGGCCAGCGAAGAGTTTACCGACGTACTGCAATGCCACACACTACTAACGACGTGGTATACGCAATACGCTCTAGTTTATAAGCCCGCATCCTGGCTGAGCCTCCTTATACTATGGCATTCAATATTTATGTCCTTACATGTCGATTTCAACATTCTTGAACTAACTCTTGGGCGCGACGGCGATGAGGCATCACAGAAAGCTCTGCCCCATGCACAGAAATGGATTCATTCTCCAGATGCAAAACGATGTCTTTTGCATGCCATGCTCTTGCAAAATCACTGTGAATCATTACCCATGGGCGCTGAGTCGGCAATTCATCTCCCTCTTTCTTTGTACCACTGTGGTATCATCTGGGCGGCATTCATGTGCTTTAGTGAGCAGAACAGCGATGCCATTATCGTCGATGCAGCGGATTATTTACAATTCGAGGAACTGCACCTCAGTGGTGCTGGGGATCTGATGAATTTCGGGGTCCTCGTGCCTAGCCGTTTGGCTTTGGGTTCTGTGTTTCGAGTTGTTGGTTTATTGCAAAGAATTGGACATTGGAAGATCTCGAAGAGTTTGGCTTCGACTCTGCTGGGAATCGTTGAGACGCGGGAATACCTTTGATCTCAACAAATATTGCTGACTCGCTTCACGTTCATAATTCCCAACCTGGACTTCAGGAGATCCCCGAAGGTGGCGGGAAATCTACTTAAAGTAAACATGAGCATTTAGGCATGTCTGTGAACAGGAATTGCTAAATACAATCCCCAATGCTCCGAGACATTTACATCAGTCAACAGCTCTCACAAATGCATCAAAGACAGTGGAGCACTGCCACGTCGAACTCCACCGATCTCCATATATTGCATGAACTAAGGCAAAACTAACCTAGGAAAAGACGCCTTGACAGTAGCGGTGAGCATTCGAAAAACAAGACAGATTCCGATTCCTTCTGATATATAATTTTGCCTGGTGTATCATCGACTTGGAAAACAAAAAAAGAAACAAAAACCCCCAGCGTACATATCATACAACGTGCAGCCTATTACTCATACTTCGATTCATTTGAACTTGCGCTTCAACCAAGAGAGGAATCCGCCCTTCTCCTTCTTCTTCTTTTCCTTCTCTTCGGTCGCCTCCGAAGTCTGAGCCTTGTTCTCAGCCTTGGTCTCAGCCTTGGCCTCAGCCTTGGCCTCAGGCTCGGTCTCCGTGGGAGTCTCGGTCTTGGGAAGGGGCTGCTCGCCACGCTTCAGTGCAGCCTCGGGCTTCTGGAGCTCTTCGGCAGCAGCTGGGGCGGCTTTGTCGTTCTTGGAGGAGGTGATGGCGGCATTAGCGGCAGCGACCGCGTCGGGGTTGGCGTTTGAGGCCTTGTCAGACTGAGCAGTGCCCTTGGTCTCAACAGGAATCTTCTCCTCGGGCTTCTTCTCAGCAGCCTTGGGGGCCTCTTCGGCCTTGGGGGCTTCGACCTTCTCGGCCTTCTTCTCTTCAGCCTTAGGAGCCTCAACCTTGGGGGCTTCAACTTCCTTCCCTTCAGCCTTCGGGGCTTCAACCTTGGGGGCTTCGGCGGGCTTCTCGGCCTCAGTCTTGACAGGTACGGGCTCAGGGGTAGTGTACGCAGCAGTCGAAGCAGGACCAGCACCGGCCAGGTTCTCAATGGTCTTCTTGTCCTCCGCAGCGCTGGCCACGAGCTTCTCCTCCTCGGTCTTGGGCATTTTGGTGGGCTTCAGGTTCTCTTCATTGTTGAAGATGGGTTTCTCGTACGGACGCTTCGCGTGTGCGGCATCGCTCTCGATGGCCGGGGCGGGGATGGGCTCGGGCGCGGCAACGGGCGCGACGACAGGCGCAACAGGGGCGGTTGATTCAGAAGTCTTGGGGCGCTCGGGCAGGGATTCGCCAGTCGCGGGCTCCTTGGTGGTCTTCTCGGGGATGACAGCTGTTGAAGAGGTTAGCTCAGATTGCCCAAGTTGACTGACACGTGTCCTACCAGTGCCGGCGGCGTCGCCACCCTCCAATTCGCCAAGTTGGCCAGCCTTGGAGGCCTGCGCCTTCTCAACAGTCTCGTCTACTGACTCCTTCTCAATCGCAGGGGCCGACTCGTCCTTCACGGATTCCTTGAGCTCAGACACCGCGGGGCTCTCGGTCGCGACAGGCGCGGGGGTCTCAGGCTTGGTATCAGCCTTCGCATTCTCGGCGCTTTCAGTCGCGGTTTCGGTAGCAGTCTCGGGGGCAGCCTCAGGAGCAGTCTCAGGCTCTGTCTTCTCGACAGCAGGCTGTTCGGTCTTGGACTGGTCCTCGACGTTGTTGTCGGGAGTGCTGCGACACAGTTAGCGATGTGGCAATTTGGCACGCGACCAACGCGCAAGGCCATTGAACTCACACAACGTCCTTGACCTTCTCGACGGCCGCGGTGGCGACGGCAGCGGGCTTGTTGCCCTTCTTGTTGTTCTTCTTTCCTCCCTTCTTAGCCATGATCGTGACCAGTTTGTGAAATTCTGCGCAGAATGTTAGGAGATGGAGAGGTGAAGTATGAATGGGGCGCTCACTGTAATATGGTTCTAGTAAGGAAACAAGGGATGGGTATGCGACTGAGTTCTCCCGTCGCTGCTTGGGGCAAAACTTTGGGAACTTGGGAACTTTGGGAACACTAAGTATCTGACTAATTTCCTTTTTCGCAAAGTTTCTAAAATCGGTTCTCGTCGCCCTTTTATGGGTTTCGCTTTTTGCCTTGTGCTAATTATATTCCATCTATCTGTCTATCTCTCTCTCTCTTCTTGTATAAAGGGCCTTTGTGCCACTGAGCGGCTCTTAGAGCATTGGCCAGCCCTAACGTTCTGCATCGGGTAAATAGGGTTGTGCCTGCACTAGGGGCCGTTAAGGGATGTGACCATATGCAGTGGGCTCTCTCCTGCATGCCTACTGTGTACTCCGTACTTCAGATGTCTCTTTCAGGTACGCGACTAGGCTGTTTAGCACCTACATTGTAGCCCTAGACGGTTATGGCCCCCTAGAATAACCAATCTCACCAGACATTCCTGGTGGCGCCCGTGGGCCGTAAACAGCCGATTACATCATCAGAGACGATCATAATTGAAACGAAAATAGCATAGTGGCCCAAGAGGTGCAAAAACAGTGGAAACCACCAGATGAGATCATAGCCCTTCTCGGTGCTCCGTATGTGGAGGTCAATAATGCCATTATGGATTCGAGACACTGTATGGACTCTTCGATTGGTCTCCACCCAGCTCTTCCTTTCGAATCCTCGGGATCACGTACCTTTTGGGTCGGGGGCCTCCTATGACATACTCGTACATGTGCTCTGCAATATGGCCCTGAGTGAGATTGCTGTACGGGACCTGCTATCATGCGCTCGGGGCTGAAAGCGAAGTGATCGAGCTCACAACCATGCCAATTTAGGGGTTGCATAAGGACTGTGGAATGGCCTGGACCACGATGAAAGAAAGAGCCTCAGGATGTTTTTCCTTTGGCAGTGGATCCATATCAGAGTGGCGAAGACCATGTGTGCCATGTCAGCACAACCACAGACGTTCTCAAGTTGCTCAAAGCAACCTTGGAACCTGGAAGGTGTAATGGAATGCCTTCTCATGATCCAACGTTGTGCCAGGTCGCTTGGTCCTGCGGGAAGGGTTCTCGAGTGTCTATATTATCTCATGTTGAGGGAAAAGCCCACTTTTGATATTGATTTGGCAAGATCTGGTTCATGGTGCAAGCTTCACCTGTAAGTATTCAACACATAATTTCCGAAGGGGAATCTGCAACTTAGAAGTCCATATCCAAACGGCTGCATCTACATCGAACACATGGGCAATCTTATCAAAACACCATGTTCTTCCAAGGTTGATATGCATTTACAGTGATGGTAAGGCCACGCAATACCTACTCTGTGATATGCACCACACACCACGAAAGAACCCCTACGGCGATTCAGGTATTCGCGGGGCTACTCGTAGACAATACTACTACGAGTACTCGTATTTTTCGAGGCTGAAACCATTGCGGGCGATCTCAAGGCATATATTTGAAACATATAGGATAATTCGATCAATATAACCATGGAAAGTCCTATCGGAAACACACCAAACTTCAGTGTACGAGTATTGATCATTATGCGCATATCGGGAGAAGTGTCGCATAAGCGTTTGAGATCTCGGCCGGGTTTGATCTATAGTTTTAAGGGCAGCTTCACCATGTCACTCTTATGACCAGTATGAAATCGGTGTCGCCCTGGCAAGGGACACGAACACTGGCTCCCCTTTCGTATATGATTCGCTGTTATGTACATTTGAATAAAAAACTCCCAGGTGATACTTAAGTACGCAAGAGCTGAATAAAATGACAACAATAAGCCCTTGGCGAACGAATTTCCTGTCAACGAGTTCGATTGTGGTGAGCAAAATATATATATACAAAAAAAAGAATTGACCGACGCAGGGATCGAACCTGCAATCTCTTGATTCGTAGTCAAGCGCCTTGCCATTGGGCCAGCCGGCCGTAAAGTGCGGTGCGAAGCTCCACTTCATCGGGCTAACCCAGTAAGCTACTGGGTTGTTTGATGGGAAAAGCTGCCATTTTGTGCTATATAAGCCAGAGCCTCCGCTCGGACGCCAGACCGGCAAAAAGGTGCCGAGTGGAGGCAAAACGGAGCAATGAGCGCGCAGCCCAATCCACTCTGTTTCCGGTTTATTCCCGCTTACCTCCGGTGCAATCGGATCTGACTGGCTAACTCGCCGAGTCATTGATTCGGAGTTCTCATTACACATCGTCTTAGGTACGCCGTACACCCCATGATGTAACACTGAGGCTCTCGGCGTGACCGATCGGCCATCTTTCTGGAATTGTTCGCTGCAGTACGCCACTTGGTCGCCCAAGTACGTGTACCTACGTATGAGGTAGATCGGGAGTCCAATCCAGAACCATACGAGCAGAGGACTTTACGAAGGACTTGTAGCGGAGTCCAGAGAGTTACACGATACTTAAGTACTTAAGTAGGGCGCAAATACACTAACGCATTAACTCGTACTCGTATGGGTAAATATACCGGAGGGTACAGTATATCTGGGCATCTGGGCATAAACTGTCATGGACCCGGTTCCTTGTACCAAATACTGTCATCCTCTGGCTTTCGGAAAAGACTTGCCCTCGCGTGGGGGGTTTTTTTTTTCTTTTTTTCCCCCTCTCTACTTTGGTCAGTTCCCATACCATAATATAGACTCGTAGTTAACTACTTAAGTATACAACAAACGGTGGTCTAAGCATAACCGTTAAGGACTTAAATAAAATGTCAATTACTCAATACTCTGTACAAAATATGCAATAATGCACAGACAGTGGACCAGTATGGAGTAGTATCGATTTGCCCCCAATGCTTCACCGGAATAGGTCCGGAGACGCTCTGGGGTCTTATCTGTGCCGTTGCATCCACCTACATAATACCTGTTTCCCCTCTTCCCTTTCCCTCTCGTCTGTGTTGTACTTCTCGTACGTGTACCTGCTCTCTCATACTAGAATGAGCACACAGTTCCTGATATACAATCCCCGCTCTTCGTGCTTGCACACCCGCGTCCGTTCCTCCGGGAGTGGTATGCACCTTTGAGGCATTTTCCCTTAGGAAGCCCGCATTGATCTGTGAACTTTTTTTCAAATCTGAATCTGAATCTGAATTTTGCTCTTCGACTTCACGTTCCGAAATGACGTTCCGCGAGAAGGTCAAGCGGGTGTTCCGCTCATCCAAATCTGACACCTCCAAGCCCAAAATTGAATATTACCGCCGCCACGAGTGTCCCCCTTCAAAATTCAAGGGCCCCTTCGATCGTGACCACCAGAAACGCCTCGCTGCCTGGTCCTTTGAGGGTGCCACCGTGGAGAAGGATCGTACATTTGAATTATCCTTGTCGCCGTGCGCCACTTACGATGTCCCTGGTTCCCCCTCTGACTCGGTTTCACCCGAATCTATACATTCAGTCGATCCAGTTGATTCGGTCGATCCAGTTGATCCAGGTACGCATTCCAACCTTAAATTCCTCATCTCCACGCTCCCCTCACAATGACAAACCTCGAATCGTCGCTAATCCACACACACAGTCTCCGAGGAATCCGAACCTGAATCATCTCCTCGTGCCGACGACTCTGGCTCCCAGTCTTCCACCGTCCTCAATCCCTCCAGCTACAGTGGCTCGATGAGAACCCTGCTCAACGAGAACTCGATCTACGAGGTTCCAGGGGATATTAAAGACCCCAAAGCCTACCTGAAAGAGACTGTGCGCTACACCTCCCCGTGTATCCTCTCCGCCCGGAAACAAGTCCCTTTCAACCCGGAGGATCTCACCCGCGCCTTGATTGCCGTCCAGGTCTGCGCTTGATCCTCATCCCTTGCTACATCCTACTTTCTTCACATCCCGGAGATCCTTTCATCCCTTTCACGGACTTGATGTCCTTTATTTTCACCACCCCGTTACCCTATTTAGCCCTTGGTTGACTCCTTGGCTACGGTCGGACATGTTTCGACTACATGACGACGCATCAAGGCGATGTTCTCGCGGTCGCTCGATGCCCACGTCTTTCCTATCTGTCACGCATTTGCATATGAGCGTATACCCGTTAAGGATTTCTTCTTTCTTTTTTTTGGTTTGGTCGGTCGGAATTCTTTGCAATACACCCATAGAATTATTGAATTCCTAGAACTAGACAAAAACGATGTTATTAGTCACTTCGATGTACCATGTAGTCCAAGCTAACTTCCGGCTAAATCCACCAGGGACACAAAACTGTAACATAGGTCTAGATGCCTCCAGATCCCTCCAGATGTCCGGCTGCAGTTGTTCGAGAAGCATCGACCCAACCCCGCGTAAGCCAAGCTTTATTCCCCGCGCTAAGTTTGCACATCGCTCAAGATCAGTAATGATTTTTGGATCGGCTTCTTCTAAGGTTTAGCCATATATTTGAGTGGCTGGGATTTGAATTTAATCGGACACTGTCATGTGGAGGTTCAACAACTTTATCGGCTGTTCCATTGTCCCGCGGTTGGACTGGAGAAGAGGGCCAAATGCTACCATTGTGTCGGGGTGGTTTACTTCCAAACTTGGTATTCCTGGGATTTGTGGTTCAGCTTATTTTCAGGCAGACATATCCTTTATCTAATCTAATGATTTCGTGTGCTCTCCTCCGAAGATTAACCGGTCAAGTCCACCAGAACTGAAGTGACCAGCGGATGGGAGAATATATATGGTAGCGATGGCTTCTCTGTTTGGTCTAATGCTCAAAGGTACTCAGGCATAAACCACTCCGAAGATTGAGAACTTATTTGTCGTCCTGGTTCCACGGTTGATATAAGTAGCTCTACATCATACTTAAGTACACGTAGTATATATTTAGTAAGGAGTAGGGAGTAACCACTCTTGAAGACCGTACTTATGTACTGTGTCAGGTATGAAGGCAGCAATATATGCATCACCGGCGTTTCAACTTGATCCCCGTCACGAATTTTCTAGAAACACGGCTAATTAACGCCAACCAAAGCCTCGTGGAGAATTAACCCGCAAATCGAGGGTGTCACATTTCTGACATGGTGATCCTTCCACTAGCTCATTTTGAGGCCCCATTACACAGGCGGGCATGCCCATCACATGACTTCACACCCCAGTTCCAAGATTTTGTAACATTTGAGGTGTCCACAACCTTGCACAAGTAGCTAGTAAGTAGCAGTTCAGACCTTGGGAGTAACAATACGGGTGACAATTATGTACAAGCAGACTAAGTGAGCTAAGTTCGTTGGTAGGTAGCAAACTTTGGAATGTTTGGGTAATTAAGTACATCCTCATCGATTGGGGGCCAATCCTCCAAACAACTAAGCTCGTTACGTCCAATTTGATCGACCATGTGCAAAAGTCCTGCTCAAGTGCTATACCGCCTGTTCATGCTCGGTGCTAGCGTGAATATGCAACCTTGGAATCCCTGCCACGATCTTGGCGAATACGACACGGAAGCGTGGGAAGTATAGATCATCACTGTTAGTCCGCCAATAGTCCACCCAGCATCCAGGATTTGCGCTCCCAAGACCTGATCATCGTGCAGCTGAAAACCCATCTTCGAATCGGAGCTGGGATCAAAGTCCCGACGAAGAGAGGAACTGTGGCGTCAAGCAGTTTTTGCAGGGCAGCCACCGACCAATAGCGTGGTTTGACATTGTGAAGATGATAGGTCAGATCGACGACAACCAAAAGATCACCAATTCTCAGATAAAGTGTATGAATACCATGACGAGTCGCGGGCTCGGGATTTTGATGTAGCACTTGAACAGGTAACACACACACGTGGAAGTGATTGATCACTGCTCATTGAAACTCGGGCTGAGGGAGAGTGAAACTGGGACGAGATGATGTCGGGGCGCAGTGGACTGTAACACAGCTTATCCTAAACATATATCTGACTTTCTGCCTTATGTCTCAATCACTTTGAGCGGAGGTGGTGCCGAAAAGGGCTCAATCTCCGGCGAGAAGCCTCGATCGTAATCCAACAATAGGACTTTTGATGATGCTAGATCAAGTTGCATCTGGCACTAGTATGCTAGTGCGGATCACTGCATCTCGAAGACTCCCGAATATTTGGAATGGCGTTCGAGCTATCCTGGTCTAGATGTTGATATGTCCCAGAAACGAGTGGTAAAGAGTGAGGCTGCCTTCGGAAAGTTCGTTGATTGGGACTTTGGAAAAAGAGGATCCACGGTGATGCGCGGTGAAGCGAGCTCACCTGGGGCAGTTATGGCCTGTCATATGGATTGGTTGGATTGGGCAGGAACCTGAGGGCCATGAAAATTGAAAGTCTCAACGGTGGGAAAGAACAATCTGTACGAAGTATTTAAATCTACCTCATCCCCGTACACATGTAGATATCTTCATACATCCAGCTTCTCCAGAGACAAACTTGGAACCCACACTTTCTCTATCAAATTCAAATCTTCGCAATTTTGTCATTCTCTTCTATAGTTTATACACATGAAGCCTGCCATGCTTTACTCTTTGCGCCGCTTTCTTTGCTTTTCCGCTTCCAAACGACGGGAAACTGATTCCCCCAAGGTGGACGGAAAAGAAGGTGCTCCTCGACCGAGACTAGCTGTTATACCAGCTATTCAGTCAGAGACGGCTCGCATTGCGAATCCTTGCGTACAGAGACAACACAGCGTGCAGTCCAAGATCTCCGATTCTTCTCCAAGTTGTATATCCAACACAGACACCGAGACAACGACTATATCAGACGGAAATACCAGAGCAACAACAGTCTCTGTCGTTACAGCTCCCTCCTCACCACTCTACAAAACGTCTGTCAAGTCCACCACAGGATTGGATACTATCACACCGTATATTCCCATTCTGCAGACAGATGGCACTCTGCAGGCCCCACAGCTGACCTTCGACGGTTATGGCTCCTTCGGGGGCCGGTTCGCACCTGAATCTATAATGGGATTCCTTTACGAGCTGACATCATTCTTTGAAGCCACGGTCTCCGACCCCTCATTCTGGGAAGAATATGCCACGTTCCAGCGTGCTCCGACGCCACTACACATGGCTTCAAAATTGACCACTCTGGCGGGAGGTGCTACCATATGGCTGAAGCGAGAAGACCAGAATGAATATGGCACTCACAAATCCCGCAACATCATCGGCCAGCTTCTGCTAGCTAAACGCATGGGCCGTTCAGAGATCGTCACCGATTGTGCCTCTGCCAAACACGGTAACTTCACAGCTGCAATGTGCGCTCGCCTGGGATTGCGCTGTGTGGTCGTCATGGGTGCAGATGACGCTAAGGCCCAAGAGGAGGACGTGCTCGAGATGAAAATGCTCGGAGCGAAGGTCTTGACGACTCGCACCCCTTCTGGCATGGGTAGCCTACGCGCGGCCATCACAGAGGCGCTGCGCTATTCAGTTTGCAACTACGAGTCTGCGTACTACCTCATGGGTAGCCCGGTGGGGCCCAGTCCCCTGCCTACCTTGACTCGCACGTTCCAAGCCCTCCTAGGCGAGGAGGTTGCAGCCCAGATGCAGGCAGTAGGTTGCCAGCCGGACGCCCTTGTCACCGCCGTTGGGAGTGGCAGTGGCGCAGTTGGGCTATTTAGACCTTTCCTTCAGGATTCTTCAGTCCGTCTAGTCGGCGTTGAAGCCGAACAAGCCGCTGCTTTGACCAAGGGTGAATTGGGCGTCCTTCAAGGTGCCCGCACTCTCCTGCTCCAAAGTCCCGAGGGGCAGATCCTCGACTCACATTCCATCTCGCCAGATATGAACATTTCCACTGTGGGTCCTGAAATTGCTCATTGGAAGGAGTCTGGCCGTATCGAAATTTCCACGGCTACCGACACGGAGGCCCTGGATGGATTTAAAACTCTCCGGCGCCACGAGGGGATCCTCTCGGGCTTGGACTCAAGTCACGCGGTGACAAGGGCTCTTGATCTTGCTAAAGAGCTTGGTCCTGGGAAAAATGTGGTTCTGATGGTGACTGGCTGTGATAATATTGCCATGCGTGGGATGGATGATCGATGCGATTGATTGGGGTTGCGACGGGATCGGTGGCTTTCTTTTAATTTTGTGTTGGGAATACCCTTATCGTTAGTACATGGCGTTCATGGCGTTGCTGGGATAATGTCTTTCTGTCTTTTCACACTTCGGGGATATTTTTAGTGCATCCTCGTGTTACATTGTTAATAATTGGAATGCCTCTTATAGGAGACTTATGGTCCACGACCTCTTACTTGGTGTCAGATTAAGGGCCGATGTCAGGTATTGCAGCCGCAAGCTGGGATCTGCAATGCAAGTATAATATTAACACAGAATACACTATTAATGGTTCTGACAGTTACCCCTGGACTTATTGCACAACTTATGACCGCTCCTGGGATAAATAAGCTTATTTGATTTACAGGAGGCATACCTGTTGAGTACCAACCATTCGCTTCCATCTGAGAAAAACATTGATCGAGGCCTTAGTTTCACGAGGGGACTTCAGGAGAGAACCTTGGAAGTGAATGTCACCTCCAAGTACTCTGTATAACCTCAGATCCTCAATACATGCATGTCCAAGCATCATCCCCTCCTTCACCGCTCCTACCACAAACTTCATGACTTGCGCCATATATTCTTGTTGAATACTGAAGCCACAGCCTATCATTCGTCTGCGTTCTTTCGACTGGTTTCCGGAGGTAAATTATTCGATGTTTCACTGCGTTTTGTCTAATTCAGATGATATCGAGGAATTTTAGGCATGCAAATTTAAGGTCTAAAAGGCCAGGCCAGCTCAGCTGATATTCTATGATTAGACGCCACCGAGAAGCTCACAGGTGTTTGCTGAGGAAGCGACGCTATTTTGTAGGAAATCAAGTGCATCTACTAGGGCTTTCTGCCAAATTATTGGATGTGGTGAGGCTACGCTGCGGTCGTCTGAAAAAGGCAAAGGATAGTGCTGGATAATGCTCAAGAGAAATAATCGAAATCGTCTGAATCATCATGGAATTCGCCCCATTTTGCAGTACCTCCGAGGATCGTTGAAATCTTAGGCCTTTAAGATTGAAGATCATATTCCGAATTCGTACGGAGTATTTCCCTTTGAAACCATCATAAAATCCGCAAATATGGCCCTAGAGTACAGTTAAGATGGGATCGACCGAGACTGCTGTCCACATGCGCACCCAAATTGCCCCGCACGAATCGTCAGTCAAAATGTGCATGACATTCTTGAATGGCTGGTTGATGGATCTACATGGCATGCGTGTCAAACATTGCCCAATTTCCACCCGCAATTTCAGAGATTGGTCTGATACCTCGATGGCCAGTGAACCCCAATTTCTTCTATCGGAAAACGAGAATCATGATAATCTTACTTGCTGAGCCAAATAGGGGCCGTTTACATAGACCCTGCTATCAAGATTCTACTTGCTGTTATGGTGTGACTGCTTTACATGCCCCGGTGCATGACTACCAAACAACTTGCGTGTTAGGGCCTTTGAAGCATCGCAGTGGGTCGGAGGCTTCTAGTGCAAGGCGTAGATCTTCCCAGGTTACCCTGCTTCTTCAGCTCGGTTGAAAACTGTATGCATTGAAAATGCTTTTGAGATAGCCAGAAAGAGGTGATCTATCCTCGCTAAGAAAGCCATATGAATTGTATGTAAAAGAATTCTCTTGTAATTTTTGGTCATCAATCATGTCGGTATCATGTGCAAGTTCCCGTAAAATAAGAAGTAAATTCAAGCGAGGCGCTCAGTCCTCATGTGTGACCGACATGTCAAGTACCTCGACTCGACCCCTTCCACGAGTTTCGTTGCCCACGAAATCATTCAAGCCCTTGAAGGCACCGGGTTCAGCAAAGCCAACAACTTCCCACTCATCCCCCCCAACAACCTCCTGCGACTCTACAGACTCAATCAATGATAAGATCTTATCCTTGACCGTGCCCGGAGCCTTGGGGGTATCCAAGTCAGAGGGACCATCCTCAACGTCTGAATCATCCCTCTTGCCCTTCTTTCCCTTTCCACCCTTCTTATTGTTCTTCCCAGAGGGGGCCTCCTTCTCCTTGTTAACTGCAGCACCAGGAGCAGCCTTGACAGATTGCTTTAACAGTGAGACAGGCAATGTCACACGAAGACGCATGCGGGCCCGCATCACAGGAATCGGCTGCCACGCGATGAGAGCTTTCATAGCATCCAACGCTTGACTCTTTGCGGAGCGGTTGGACGAGACACCAGTCCAAAGCGGCTTCTTTGGATGCGCGGACTTCTCCTCATCCTCGTTATCGCCCGCTTGTGTTTGCTGCTGCCCACTGGCAGAGCTTAGTTGATCCAACGCCTTGTGGATCATGCCAGATGTGTAGACACGCTTGGTTGAAGGGTCCACAAGTCTTCCTGAAACGATGTCCAGAACTTCTTTTTCCACGCGCTCTAGGATATCTTTGCGCTCGCGCTCGCCAACCTGCACTTCACCTTTGCGCAGGATCTCCTGCAGCACTTCTTCTCTCGGTGTACCGGCTCCAAATGCTTTCGCTAACTCTGCTGATGGGGCAGTCTGGGCCTTAGAGACCGAAAGGAAGACGGTTGGCACTTGTAGGACATTGTCGAGATCTTTTTCGGCGCCTGATCGGTACTCGAGTAGTTTGTTCTTGTAGCAGGCGAGTTCAAAGCGCTTCTTGCCTGAGCGATTGAAATTTATTAGTAAAATCTCCTGCATGGAATTTGAATGTATGACGTACCTTTCTTTAATCGGACCACCGACACGTTGGTAAATTTGATTTGGTTGGAGGGTTGGTTGATAGGCATTTTGAGGGGTTCAGCCGCTGCGGGCAGATGACTCGCTCGTTAAATCAAAAGGCGCCAGTATATGCGATCAAAATAGATGCACCAAGTGTGACTTGATTTCCAAGAAGTAGAATAAATATAACTTCAAGTTTTCAGGCCGATGATATCAAAAGTTCCACGCGCCAAGATATCCAGTTGATTAGTCATATTCACATGCCCCCCTCCGATCCCGTGAGTCCTCGTGACTCAAGGTGATCTCCACTGATTGGCCCGGCCGCTTATCGCCCTAGTTCGGCGTCATCGGTTCCTGCTTCTCCTCATTCCTCATCTCCAAGTGCAGGTCTTCTTGCACCTCATCCTTCAGTTTTCCATCAATCCATCAATAGCTTGTAACATCTACAAAGTGTGAGTGCATCTCCATCAGTTTCCCCCCAGAGAGTTGTGTCCACCAATAGTTACTGATAAGAGCTACCCAACCCCAGACCCCAAGGTACCCGCTACCAACTACAACCCCCATTATTAGCATCATTCTTGCTGTGAACTACATACACAGTTGGAAATGAGACTTCTTTCTGCCACTCTTTTGGCGGGAGCTGCTTCGGCGGCTGCCCCTCCCTTCCAGCAGGTTCTTGGAGGTCACCAGGAGTATGCGGAGAACGTCGCCCAGCAGGGTGCGGATGTTTTCTCTAAGCTCTCTGACCAGTTCAAGCACCTTTCTGGCGAGGCTCGTCAGCTTTGGGAGGAAGTATCTAACTACTTCCCTGAATCGATGGAGAGTGCCCCTATGCTCTCCCTGCCTAAGAAGCACAACCGTCGCCCTGACTCCCACTGGGATTATCACGTCAGTGGCGCCGATGTCCAGAGTGTCTGGGTGGAGGGTGCTTCTGGCACCAAGGAGCGTGAGGTTGATGGCAAGCTAGACACCTACGCCCTTCGTGCTAAGAAGGTTGACCCTAGCGCCCTGGGTATCGACCCTGGTGTCAAGCAGTACAGTGGTTACCTTGACGACAACGAGAACGACAAGCACTTGTTCTACTGTAAGTTACTCGGCTTTTTTATTGGAAATGATCTCTAACTTTATCCAAGGGTTCTTCGAGTCTCGCAACGACCCCAAGAACGATCCCGTTGTTCTGTGGTTGAACGGTGGCCCCGGCTGCTCTTCCCTCACTGGACTGTTCTTGGAACTTGGTCCTAGCTCCATTGGCGAGAACATCAAGCCCATCTACAATGACTACTCATGGAACAACAATGCCTCTGTCATTTTCCTTGACCAACCCGTCAACGTCGGATACTCCTACAGCGGGTCCTCCGTCAGCGACACCGTTGCTGCCGGCAAGGACGTTTATGCTCTCCTTACCCTGTTCTTCAAGCAATTCCCTGAATACGCTAAGCAGGACTTCCACATTTCTGGCGAGTCTTACGCTGGTCACTACATCCCCGTCATGGCTTCAGAGATTCTGTCTCACAAGAAGCGCAACATCAACCTCAAGTCTGTCCTGATCGGTAACGGTCTCACTGATGGGCTTACCCAGTACGAGTACTACCGTCCCATGGCTTGTGGTGATGGTGGCTACCCCGCGGTTGTTGACGAAAGCACTTGCCGGTCCATGGACAACTCTCTGTCTCGTTGCCAGAGCATGATCGAATCTTGCTACAACAGCGAGAGCCCATGGGTTTGCGTTCCCGCCTCCATCTACTGTAACAACGCCATGATCGGCCCTTACCAGCGCACCGGTCAGAACGTCTACGACGTTCGCGGCAAGTGTGAGGACTCCAGCAACCTGTGCTACAAGGGCATGGGCTGGGTTAGCGAGTACCTTAGCCAAGAGAGCGTGCGTAATGCCGTCGGTGCCGAGGTCGATGGTTACGACTCTTGCAACTTCGACATCAACCGTAACTTCCTCTTCAATGGAGATTGGTTCAAGCCTTACCACCGCCTCGTCCCTGGTATCCTTGAGCAAATTCCTGTTCTGATCTACGCCGGCGATGCCGACTTCATCTGCAACTGGCTCGGTAACCAGGCCTGGTCCAACGCCCTTGAATGGCCCGGCCAGAAGGAGTTTGCCTCCAAGAAGCTTGAGCCTCTCAACATTGTCAACAACGAGCACGTTGGCAAGGAGATCGGTCAAATCAAGTCTCATGGCAACTTCACTTTCACCCGTATCTACGGTGCTGGCCACATGGTCCCCATGGATCAGCCCGAGGCCGGCCTTGAGTTCTTCAACCGCTGGATCGGTGGCGAGTGGTATTAAACCCTCGACTGAGCCGCTGGGTTGATACAGCGTGTCCATGTATTGATTGTTACACTATCTTCCCTTGGATCTATATCTGCATGCAATTTGACGCCCCAGCTGGTATTTAGAGCACTACTTGCTAGATTTTTGATTTTGGTGATTTGGCTCCTGTTTACCTGGAAATACGTTTCAGTTTTTCAATCAATCAATTTTGAATGGAGACTATAGACGTTCAATGGGATGATGATATAAATACAGAATAGATAGATGATACATACTATTGTAGGAGGGACGGTGGCGATTTAGACAAGGGGGCTCCAGGCCTAGGTGGCACTGTTGTTGAGTGAGGCCCTGGGCCCCGAAGTGAGTGGCAGAAGAATTTGGGGATGATGTGGCTAACCCCACAATTGCTCTAAAGATAGCAAATTGAATTTGCTACCCATTTGAGATCTACGGAGTACTCCATAGCAGGATCTTATCTGCATGCTGCAGCGAATCCATGCAGTTTACACTACAAGGGCTAAACAGACAACTGTCATGTTGAAACCGTAGAGACCTCAGATGACAGCAACGTAGCCAGCAAAGGAACGTAACGAAGAGATCGTTTATTTCATTGGTATGATTCATTTTCAATTTTTGGAAAGGTCCCACGGATGCCCATAGAAACACACCGGAATAAACGGGATCCCTCCAAGAGCCCCCGGCAAAAAAACGAACAGAATAATTTATTTCTTCTTGCTGACACCGACGGTGCGACCGCGGCGGCCAGTGGTCTTGGTGTGTTGACCACGGACACGGAGGCCCCAGTAGTGACGGAGACCGCGGTGGGAGCGGATCTTCTTCAAGCGCTCAAGGTCCTCACGGAGCTTGGAGTCGAGGCTGTTGGAGACAACCTGGGTGTCCTTGCCATCGGTGATGTCGCGCTGTCGGTTAAGGAACCAGGTGGGGATCTTGTACTGGGTAGGAGTCTGGAGGATGGTGACGATGCGCTCCAACTCTTCGGTGGTGAGCTCACCAGCACTGTTGTAGAAAAGCCTAGTCAGCCTTGCTGTTCCGTAGTTGTGCGAAAAATTTCCCCGGCCCCTTTTGTCCTTGTCGAATTTGATTCCATATTCCTCCACTGATTCTTCCAATTGCTTCCAATAACACCAGGGCCGGGTTGTATTCTCAATGGAGGATTGTTGCGAACGTACCGCTTGTTGAGATCCACATCGGCCTTCTTGCAGACCAGGTTGGAGTAACGGCGACCGACACCCTTGATCTGGGTCAGCGCGTACATGATCTTCTGCTTGCCGTCAACGTTGGTGTTGAGCAGACGCAAGATGAACTGGAAGTTCGTCTTCTCGCCGGACACGAGCGCTATTATCGAAAGTCCATGTTAGCCGACATTCAATTTCGAGTTCCGCCCTTTCGGCCACTGATTCCTCCTCTTGAATTTGTTGGGGATTGTCGCATTTGTAGCATAGCATGCCTTCAGACTGAAAGGGAGGGTCGGCACGTACACATGATGGGCGATGGGGATGGGTTGTCGACGGAGGGATGGAGAGGAGGAAGTCCAACCTAAGTCAAGTCTTGTGCGCCATCGGTTACCGATTTATCGCACTAATCCCGATTGGGGAAGTAGGGCTAGGCCAACAATCACGTGTAGTCACATGATCAATTTCTCTCTTGTACTGTTATATAGATGTAAAATCCCCTGTTATTTACATGTATTTTACAGCATCCAACTTTATTCTTGGAGCTCTGAGAGAAACCCCAGATGATATAGTAAGTCCCCAGACGATAGTAAGTATTTCACAACATGAACAAAATCAAGGTAAATATGATATTCGAATGACCCAGAGTGCGATACCTAAGAAGCAAGCTGAGCTTGTAGCGAACAATGGCTTCGTTTGCGCAGCTCATTCTAGCTGAGGCTAGTACTCTGTACGCTCCATCGGGTTGACAGATAGAGATATTGCGTGATGAGGCCAAATACAACAGAGTAGTACTTCTGGTACACAACCAGGGTAGCCAGGTTGCTCGCGACTGATTTTTCTATCAGGATTGGACCTACCTTGTGTGGTGTTGCAAGTACCACAGTCATTGGCTATGCTTCAGTGCTTACTGAATGCATATCAAAAAGGCAAAGTAAACGCCAAATTTGTCGAAATGGCATTTGACTCGGTTGTAAACTATAACCGGAAGATACATCGAGGAAATGAGCAACATATCAGTCGCATACTGCCCATGTCAAGAAGAGGGACTGGTTCAGTCATCGCTACTTCCGATTTCCAGACCTTCAGATTTTGCATGCCCTTGGGCAGGTCACATGTGCGTTCCCTTATTCAGCAGGAAGGAGCCCTCGGGAGCCTGTCCAGTCCTTTCCATAGTCGCTTCCCAGCAAGTACTATCACTGAATCTATCCCAAGTATCGCAGACGGGATATTCCCTGAAGGGTCTCCGGGTAACATTCCATGAGCTGTGGGGCTGCTATATGCAAGGCCTTTACATCAAGTTGTTCTAAGTTTCAGATGTTCAACTTTCAGTACAGTGGTTTTCTTGTAAAGTGCCCTGTCGCTTACATGTGTACTAGTACGTGCTCTTTGTCTTCGTCGCCTGGGCACAGATGAAACTGCCAATTTTATTCTCCGGAGAAAATCAAACCTTGGAAGCTGTTTCTCTAGATCCTTTTCTTTTTGGAGTGCTCCATACTGACCCTTTAGTTTGATTTGGAAAATGTTGTTGCGGGCAAATGATGTCGACTTTTACTAACGTTCTATCAGAATGATCGACCCAGACGGGCCATTTTGTTCCTCGGCAAACTATCGACCAATTATTGCTTTCGCGGTATACTTAAAGATAATAAAGTTCTTTATCTCAATCCTTTCCGCTCTTTTTTTGGTGACGGTGGTGCCGCCATCAGTGGTACCAGGGTTTGACTTGGCTCAAAGCGGTTCTTTGAATCAGCAAAACGGGACTAAAAATGATAATTTTAGAAATATGCTCAAGTCAATTGTTCTACTATGCTCGCGCTTTCTGTTTATGAGAGCCTCTGGAACTCAACCTCTTTGTACCTCAAGGATCAAGATGTAACGATGGAGTACGACTTGGCGTCTGGTGTGTTCTTTCATATTACACGTTTACCAACCGGGTACAATCGGCTGCCTGTTTTCTTTGAATTAGTTTCCATTTTATTGAAACCCTCGGACTCGACAATGCGATCCTTTCTATGGGCCATTAAAGAGCATGGCTTGCCCTCGGTGGCGATCGCCCACCGTGTCGATTATTATACCTGAAGCGCTCGAAGCTAACATTAAACATACTGGCGTCACTATAGTGCTCTTAAACGAGCAATATTTCCAATAATTCGACTCCACTGCTTCACCCTTCAGGGCTTTATTAACCAAGATGGCGATTAAGAAAACATCCATTGCTTCTTTTCCGAAGAATGCGGATAGTCTGGTACAGCCACCCCAACCTCTTCCTCTTTACAAGTTCATTCCTCTTGACGAACCACCTGAGGACTGGATTTTTCTCGGTGTCAGATATGGAAGGGTGGAAGAGAGCCGTGTCCTGAAGTCGCATCAGTTGCGCGTATTGGCGAAGCATTACTTTTGGGGAATTCATTGGACGGAAAATCAGAAAACCGCCAAAACAACAAGAAAGGCACACAATCTCCAAACCTTCGTCAAAAACCTGTGGAAACTGTTTTATTATATGCAAGAAGAGCATCGACCAAAAAGTTGGGGAGATCTGATTAACGTGGAGCGAGACTCTGGCCCTCGACTTTTGAGATACGACCTCAGTCCACGCCCACCACCTCTCAGCCGATGGTTTACAACTAATCCAGATGATCGAACTATCATATTACCTGCATATTCTCGTCCTCTCAACGCACCGCCGGATTTACCCGACCTTCTCCTTCAGCAATATCTATACTCAGCAGACAGTTTTCATGAACCATCTGTAGCCGATGTGCCGGTTCTACCGCAAACCATTAACGCACAATATCCTTATGTTGGTTCGACGACAGATTCAATTTCACTAACCAGCGAGGAGCAGCAAGATCTTGCCCTTCGCGATGATCTACTGCGATTTCTCCATTCGCCAGGTGAATCCCCTCCCGTCCCGGAGGATCGAAGCCCACCAAGTGAAGAGCCAGTTCCTAAGAAGCGGAAAAGAGATATTTCTCCATCTGCCCCAAGCTACCGGGGTACAGCCGCTCCACCTGCGCCGGCTGTCCCGGTCTTTGAGGGTCCCGTATACGCTTCCCGGCATGATCCCACGGAGTGGACCTGGATGCCTGGCCTGCAACCAGAACATTTTTCCCCGCCAGATGGTGAGCCACAAATTGGCCCTCTTTTTTCAACGACTGAGCCTGTATACGAGACTGAAGTTGTCGCCGAGGCAGTTGAAAGAGCGTTGATGCAGGTGGTGTACAATGATCTGGAGCGTGACCCTTCTGTTCCTTCCAGCGCGGAGCCTATCAAGAACATCACAGCACATACTTTCTCCGACCTGCTTCAAATGAAAATTGGCGCATTCAACACAATTGCAAAAGTCAGAGTATCACCATTGACCTTTGAGTGGGATCCAGCCGGCGGTGCATTTCCGCTCCGCGGCCGCGGCCCTGTCTGGCACGCGGATTCTTGTGCCACAGACTGTGTGATTATGATAGGCAGGCTCCTGGAAGTTGGATGTACCAAGATTGATCGTGCCAACAACAGAGTAGCCGGGTTTACCGAAATTGAAAAGTCATACATTGAGACAATAAACATGAGCTGGGAGATTCTTGATGAAAATCAATCTATACGCGCGCGTGATGAGTTTCTTCAAAAGTTCATAGACGGCCAGATCCATTTGAGAATGGGACAGCCTCTACCACCTTGGGTTGTTTGGTCCCAGGTCACAAGAAGCTTCTCGCAGTTCCGTTACCATCATATCGAGCGAGTGACGCCTTGCAAGTGCCAAAAGGCTGAGACATTCGTCGACTACCACGAAGGGTCATGTATATTACCCGGATATAGGAGGGGTGACGACAGAGGAGTGGCAGTGTCAACCCTCATCGAAAGGTGCTTCTACACAAGAAAGTCATTCGCATGCAGTCAGTGCGGAGATCCAATCGGTGTCACGGGAGAACGAAGAATTGGACAACTCCCATTGCGTCTGGTGATGACCTTTGATAGGAAGACCAGATTGCGGCAGCACACTCGACATCTGAAGTTCAAATATCTCGATTACGAAGACAAGAAACAGGTTGCCCACTATCGCTGGCTTGGCGGTGTCTACAACAATGAAGAACACGCTCGGGTCTACTGGACTGATCAAAAGCGAGGCGAGAAGAGTGGAACCGATGTCATGATGTACGACAGTCAGCTCAATCAAGGGCTCCTACTCGGTGCAGTTCCTGCTTTCAGACCTGACGATCGAGTCCCCATGGAATGGGTGAATCATAATGCCATTCCTCTGCTCTTCTTTGAGCGCATCTTGAATCCCTCCAGGGAGCTTCTGGCAACAGCCCACAATGTCGTTTATGATATGGGTAATATTCTTGGAAGAAACAAAAATGTTTTGGAGGAACACGTTCCTTGGACGACCACAGACCCCCAGCCTCTAGCTGAACCGTGGGAACGTGTCTTGTCTAACGTGGGTGATCGGTTTATCGACTACAACCCTGACTGGGGGCGGGTTTCTACGTCACCGCAGCCAGCAGCCAGTGATCTATTCCCCGACCCGACGCTCATCGATCCCACGGTCATCGATCAGTCAACGCTTGACCCATCCATCTACAGTAGCAGCTCTGTTCCAGAGTTCGATATTTTATCATTCCTTAATCAGGATGTGATGGACGAGGATTTCCTGGCCCCGCAAAACCCCACGGGTGGACTTGATAGATGTAAGAATCATATGTTCGATTCGATGCTCAACACCCCGGACTGGCTCGCTGTACATCCTGAGATGTGGCCTTCGGGTAAACCTTCCAAGGAAGGTGCTTTGGAATTCCCGGATCTTCCTACATGGCCATCGCCCCTGGGCAAACGGAAGCGCAGGACACAATCCGATGCCACTATGCCGGATGCAGATGATTGCCCACCGGGCGATCCACCACAGCCAGGTACCCGGCTTAAGACTGCCGTGATGCTCAACCAGTCTATTGACCCCAGACAGAGAGCAGCATATGAAGAGATACGGACAAGAGACGAATTGGACAAATACCTGCAGAAAAAGGAAGCTAAATGGCTGGCACAGAAGAAGCAGAAAAGGGCCACAAAACCAACCGAGGTCGAGCAAAGAAGGGCAGAAAAGATAAAAAAATACCACGCTGAGCTGAAAAGGCTAAAGGCAGAGGAGAAGAGAAATGCAACCCCAAAGACAATTACTGTGAAGACAACGACCCCAAAGAGAGTTACCTCAAAGGCAGCCACTCCAAGAACAACAACGCGCGCAGCTGTGACGACCACGAGAAAGTCCACTACCGAGGAACAACAGCAGCGAAATAACGCCTACAGCCAGTATAAGTCTACGCAGGATCGAACGGCAGTGAAGGAAGTGAAGAGAGTGCAGCAAAAGCCACAGGCAACAGCGAGAGACGAGGAAAAGAGGGGAAGGAGGCGGAGAACGGGGAAAAGGGATGATGATCCTACTTGGCGCCCTAGTGACGAGTCGGGCTCAGATTCAGAGATAGACTGGGGTTCAGATATGGAGTCATCAGATGCAGACCTAGCTTCAGATGCAGACCCAGACTCAGATGCAGACCCGGACTCAGATGCAGAGCCAGACTCGGAGTGATAGAATACAGACTTTGGATGTGTGATCAATATACTTGATAATACTTGTAATACTTGGAGTGACCTTGGAAGGACTTAGTAAGGACGGATGTACGTGTACAGAATAATGGAGTAAAAGCCAACCAATCAGACGAATGTTATTTGACATAACCGAACATTACGGGGATCTCCGCACTCCTCAAACGGGTAAAGAAATACAGTACGGAGTAAACACAGTAACATTTGAACTTCCCCGCAACTGCCCCAGACTCTCCTTTCTTTTCTTCTCTACTCTTCTCTCTTCTGTATCCTTTGGATATATATCTTCATATTCTATTATCTATTAACAAAACAGTCTTGAAATCTCACAGACGAGCTCGAGGTGGCCCAGTGGCAGTGTCACTCTTCTTTGGTGCTGAGACATAACCACCCAGCGTGCCGTCAGTGTTGGTAACGGCACCCTGAGCATCACGCCGGATGCCTAATTCGACCAACTTCGCAAAGACCTTGGCGAAGTGATCAAAGAACAATTCCTTGTCCTCGGCGTATCGCTTCACCCACGGGGCAAACGATGGATCCGTTCGCAGCGCCATATCGGTCGGCAGCATCATCAACGGCTCCTCATCTTCGTCGGCATCGGGGTCCTCATACACAAACTGTGACATGCCGGTGGCCAACTTACGGGGCTTCCAATCAAGCTGCAGCAGCAGCTTGAAGAAAGAGTTGGAGAAGCGCGTCGGGTTCGTCACCCACGGTCCTTCGAATCCACTTCGGTCGCCATGACACCGTCCAAGGTTGTGCCCACCCGTCAGTGCTACAATCTCTTGGTCGTTGAAGCCCATGCGGTAGAAGATGAAGCGCAGGTGGTCGGCGCCTTGTGCGCCGTCCGGCAGCCGTCCTCGTGGTGGCACCTTGCGGTCATCTAGCAAATCTGTTCGTCCTCCCTGCCATGCGATCTCCGGTCCACCCATTTCTTTGATTGCCACAACTCCCGCCAAGGTCCATAAATCGGAGTATGTGATCCAAGGGTGCTTCTCTTTGATCGGCTCGAGGAAGGCTCGCCCATGTTGCAGACCCGCATTGGCTGGGTCACCTCCCTCTGCTTCATATCGCATGCCGGCTCCGTTGGAGCCACCGGTGTCGGATTCGGCGTCATATGTGCCGGCGGAGTGCCTGGGAGAATCGGTGTCAGTGGTGTGGCGGGAAGGTTCCGACCGGGGGACCGGGGGTGGGAAATTTTTTACTTACCATGCCAAACGCACGAAGACAGGGCCTACACTTCCATCGTCATAGTCGGGTTTCTTCAACGCAGCGGCGATATCCTTGCGGACAGCCTCGTAGTCGTGGGTGCTCATATTTTGTCTCGGCCGATAACGATATCCGGGGTAAATGGTTGGAAGGGGAAAAGAGGCTCGGAACAACAAATTCGATCGGCTTTCACCTCAGCTACTGCTAGGGAGAGGAGATAATGATTTGGGTGAAATGTGAAGGGAAAGAAAAGGATTGGAAAAGGGTCTTGACTCCAGACTTCTCTCGTCCACATGCCCACATGCGCGGAGGAGGGTGGATCCGCGGGCCGAATCAGCCTGCGCGCATTCAAAGCAGAAATGCCGAGGTCCCTTCGGCCTCTGCTGTGGTTCCGATCATCTTGGGAGTTTTGCTACAAATGACGGCCTTTTAGGTGCCTTCAATTACAAGTTTGAGTCCGTTCATCACTTCCGATTCGAGCTCGCCACGAAATTCCCCTTTTTACGCGGCTTCTGGGTATTTGCGATAAGACGATATGGAGTCATTTGCCTCCGATCATTTCCCGGGCTTGTTCATATGCCTCGGAATTCATAAGCCGATGTCCAACCCGTGGGCTTTAGAAAACACGCCATGCAACAACATATTCTACAACTGACACCCATCCATGGGGTATATTTCATCGGAATACGGGAATACAGAGATATATTGACCACAAAGGCACTGTTTTGGCAGCATCTCCAATTTGCCATCTTCGGCTGCCTCTGAACACTAACCAACCAGAGTACCTGTTTGCAAGTCTTTCCCGGGTAAGGAGATGGGGTGGACAACCACCAATTTTTCCCTGTTCAGCCTTCTATGTCGGCTTGCTCCCTTGATTCCACTTCAGGTCTATCGTCCGCATTTTCAAACTGCGGGGGAACCTCCAGCCCACTTGATCGGATGTATTCCAACAACGAATCCCTTTCCTCCTGCAACTTCCTATTCGCATTCAGTCTCTTCCACAACACAAGGGATAGCCTGTGCGATCTCCGGGTCAACTTCATGTGTCTCGCATGAATCCATTTCCTGTCTCTGTGCAAGTGACGAACCCGCCGCATCAACCCCCTTCGACAATTGACGTCCGTGTCGCGGATGAGCTTGATCACCTCGTCGATTACCCTGGTTTGTATGTCTTGTAGTATGCCTGATTCGACATGTTGCTTGATGCTTATGAATGTTGCACTGATATCGGCGGCAATTGAATCCATGAGTCTGGATTTCGCCTGTGGGGACATGAACTCTAACCCTTCTAGTCGTAGGGCGAGGGAGCCGGGAGCCGGGAGATATTCCAGGGCATCTTGCCTTGGGAGAGCAGACGGCGCTGTACCAGGATCAACTCGGTCTTCGAGGGGTGCTATGGTCCCTGGTGTGACGGACTGGGGTTGGGACGAGACTTCCGCGGCCGGGGATGATTGGTTATGTTGCTCGCCTGAAGACATTGCTGCGCCCCGAGTCGAGTGAATTGATCCTCTTGGTGAGAGTGACGGTGATGTTCTCAATTCTTCACCGAATGCCGGCTTAGCAGAAGGGTTCGTAGTAGGTCTTCTTCGAGGTGAGTTGGGTGTGTCCATGGAGCGACTGTGTCTCGGATATGATTCATGAAGAAAGAAAGTGAAGTTGATATAGTTTGAAGCTCGGAGGTGGGCAATTTTATAACGTGAGATTTTTCGGTGTAGGCTGATATTCCCAATTCAATGTTTTGTGTTTTTCCCGGAACACCCTGTTCAACATGTTTCTTTGTCACCGCCGTTGGAAACCTCATCTATCCATTGGGCTGAGGTCTCAGTTACAATCATTTACGGATGTTTGTGTCCCAGTCTGCATCTTTTTTCTTTTTAAATGTTTCTTTTACTTGAGACATGAATGGTTAGGTGCCTTTGCCCAGATGCCCAGTATATGAGGTGTCCAGGCAATTGAGCAACCAAGCATACAGATGATAGCTTATACTATTGCAACTTGTTCTACCTACATCTACAGGAATCTATAAGCTTGGAGAATGATCATGAAAATATGGTCCGACGCCTAGAAAGCACATCTATCAGATACCCACATCTGACCACCTGGTTTGATATGACTCTTGTATTGCAGGACTTCAGGGGCTAGCTAATGTTCACCTAGGTGATATCATCTATAAAGTGGGTATAGGTGGGAATCCTGATGTGACGAGTACCTGTTAGCATGTTATGTAAGTATTTTCATCTCTTTCGGTCGAGTCTTTTCTAGAAACTACAGACCATCCTTTTTTGATCGTTATCCAACATGAGGCTGGCTTTGTTTGTACTTCTTAGTCTTTATTAGGAAATTTAGAGGGCTGGCCATAATTGATGTGTGTATTACAAATGTGGTAAGTGACCAATGAAAGATATCATTCAGGGGGTTTGAGGTAAAGGAGGTCCGGAAAATTGGGTATCCATAGTAATCTTGGCTGCTAGACTCCACGAGATTGAAGAAAGGAATTTGGGGACAAACACTCTCTTTGCGTAACAGTCACGGCTGCCGCTTTTGTTTGATCCTAGGTTATCGTGGCGCGTGTTGGCTTACGACTACCAATCCGAAATCAGATGTGAGATGGAGGTAAGGGGAGGTGGAGATTCCGAAATAAGAACAAGGTCATTGAATGTAACACACACCGGTGACAATAGCCACAAAGAGATCCTAGGTCAACCCATTCTGATATATAGAAGTCAGGCTTCTCCAAGCCTAGCCCTTCATCATCTATTGATACTTTGTCCTGTATCCTATAGCGCAGAAATGATGGCGTCCCCAACTTCAATAGTTCCAGCCTTGCCTCCCAAATCAGGTGTTCGTAGGCCTGAGTCCAACACCTTTCGTACCGCATTCTCTATACGCTGCGCTTCAGCTTCCATGTTGAGAGAATACCGGAACATAAGAGCAACGCAAAGAATCATTGCAACAGGGTTAGCAATGTTCTGCCCGGCAATGCTATCAAATTGTCAGTGACTCCAGTGACTCGGTTTCAAGAGTACTTACGTTGGAGCGGAACCATGAGTGGGCTCGTATAGTCCATACGGTCGTGTTTTGAGTGTCTTGTCTCCAGGCAGACCGTTGAGACTGGCACTCGGTAGTACCCCCAAGGTACCAACGATCGACCCAGCTTGGTCAGAAATCATATCACCAAAGGTGTTGTCTGCCAGGATAACACCATTCAGTGATCGTGGGTTTGTTGCCAGAATCAAAGACGCTGAGTCTGCAAGCTGGTGCACCAACTTGACTTGTGGATACTCGGCTGACATTGTCTTTTCTACTACCCGGCGCCATAGCCGTGATGAGGCCAGGACATTTGCCTTGTCCAGTGAAATCACAGGCCAAGGAGGGTCGTGACGCAGTGCCACTTCGGCGGACAGACGAGTCACACGCTGGATCTCAGCTTCAGAGTAGCCCCATTCGTCCATCGCTGTAGCAGATGATGTGAGCTCTTTACCATGAACAGCAAGGACTCAAATTCTTACCATATGTCTCCTCCTCAACCTTACGGCCAAAGTATGCTCCTCCGCAGTTCTCGCGTACGACAACGAAATCAACTCCCTCGATGATGTCCTGTCGGAATGGACTGAATTCCTTGGCAATAGATGCACTAGGTGAGGTTGAAGAGCAAGGGCGCAGGTTTGCATAGATATCCATGGCTTTTCGTAGTTGAAGAAGTCCCCCCTCAGGACCATCAAGCCCACGTCGTTGATTGTCCCATTTCGGTCCTCCAACTGCTGCGAAAAGCACGGCATCTGAACCCAGTGCTGCCTGCTTCACATCTTCAGTGACAGTCTTACCGGTTGCGTCGATACTACAACCTCCAATTAGCTCCTGACGGATTTCAAACATGCGTTCAGGGCTTTCAAAAACTTTGAGGACTTTGACAGCTTCGCTCATCACCTCTGGGCCGATGCCATCACCGGGTAAGACCAGAATTTTGAATGTTTGGGCCATAACTGTGCTGTGAGAGATTCTTGGTGCTTCGAATGATCAACCGAATAAGTCAATATTTTGGCTGATTTCGCGGTATACATAGAGCCTTTATCAGATCGGTGTTCCATCCGACTATGGGATGCGGGGTTGAAGCTGATCGGGCTTGGGCCGATGGTATGGGGTATAGCATAGAGTAATCTCCAAGTAGATCCAAAGCCTCATATACATGGTCTGTATAGACATTCTGTAAGTACCTAGTGCCGGTTTGTGTTGAGGAGACCGGTGATCATGGGCATGGTTGGCAGTTAGCGGGGCGTTTGTTCATGGCACGTTATGACAGCCCCCAAAATGGAGTATAAAGACTTCGGGCCTTTCATGTTTGAATCTTGATTGTATTTCAATTGCTACTCAAGTAACATATTGACCACAGGCAGATACATGACATTCACTATCGTACTCCATATCTCTCAGTACCCAATGCGGCTTAGTGCCAGGATTGCGCAGCCATTACCTAATCTGGAAATAGGGCTTAGGGCAACCCAACATCCCTCCTGTTTGCGCTGTTTGCATTGCGGGCATCATTTCTAAGCATTGACGATCTCCAATCTCCAAAGCGCATAACCATTTTCGGTGCCTAATATCCACGATGTCGCGAATCGAAGAGCTCCCGGATGATTTTGATGAATCTCTCAACCTCAAAGATGCCCCTCCATCGGTCACTCAAAACCTCCCACAGCCAGGGTTCGATGCCTTTGCTGTTGGCAATGAAACTCCGTTCCCAGTCAACGAGGAAGGACTGAAAGCGCGCCAGACTGATCCGAACGCACCAGAGCTTCCCCCGGCCATGGCCTCAGTTCAGTCGCATTCCTCTAAAGACTTGATGGACATGATGAACAAGACGCCCCTTTTCATGACCGATATGGAAAACGCCGGAGATGAGAGTATGTCACTGCGGTGAAGCGCAATTGTTCAACCTGGCTAATGCATGGAACTCTTCTAGATGGCGAAAACATGCTTCTCGACGCGCTGCAAGCTCTTCAGAATGAGGGAACCCGGGCCGAGGTTGCGCAATCCTTCAAGGGACAAGGAAACGACGCCGTACAACAGCTCAAGTGGATTGATGCCAAAGAGTTCTACACCAAGGCTCTTGCCGTCATCAATGCTAAGGAAGATAAATGGGAGAAGCCGGAAGACCCCAAGGAAGAAGCAGAGCTACTGGTCAAGTTGGAGGAGGCCTCATACAGCAACCGCGCGCTGTGCAATCTGGAACTAGGTATGCTTCTTCTCAAATCTCCCTGGAGCCTTCGCTCACAATGTGATTACAGGAAACTATCGTTCTTGCACTCTCGACTGTGCCGGCTCTCTCAAGATCAACCCCAAAAACATCAAGGCCTATTATCGCTCTTCATTGGCACTGTTCAAGCTGGACAAAATCGCCGAGGCTGAGGATTCCGTCGCTCGGGGACTAGCAATCGACCCAGAAAGCAAGGCTCTTCAAGAGCAGTCAAAGAAGCTTGCTGAGCGCAAAGCCCATTTAGAACGTGTTGCTGCGAGGAAGAGAGCCGAAGAAGAACTGCTGCGCAAGCAGCTCACAATGCTGAGCACGGCCCTGAAAGCCCGTCAAATTAGAACCCGCAAGACCGAACAGCCTCCTGATATGGAAGACGCCAAGATCCGACTGGTCCCCGATCCCCTCTCGCCCGAAAGCACAGTCGAATTCCCCGCTGTCTTCCTGTACCCTATGGACGCGCAATCCGACTTCATCAAGTCTTTCTCTGAGATGAACACTATCTCGGATCACCTGGAATATATTTTCCCACTTCCTTGGGACACCAAGAAAGAATATACTGTTGGCGGCGTTGAGTGCTTCATGCAGACTGTCTCCGGAGGTCTGATCAAGGCGGGCAAGAACTTGCCTTTATTGCAAATCCTCACCGGAGGAAAGGTCGAGGTTGTTGATGAGCTCGTCAGCATCCACATTGTGCCGATTTCCAAGACTGGCAAATTCATTGCGGAGATGAAGGCCCGCAAGTCAGGTTGAGCGGCCGTCGTCTCACGCGACGTCTACACCGACCTTCCACTCAAAAACTGCCACAGCATCGCTTTCCATCCAAACCGAGCACACCCAGCTAACTTGGAAACGTGACAATATGTTATGTGAAACCTTGCGTCCAGGACACAGCTGGTTTTTGTGCTGCTGCCGAGGTAGCCAGCAACACTTACACTTGACTCATCTAGAGCAAGACATTCAAAAGTTCGATACCCTCCGAAAGCGCTTGTCTACCGTACATAGATGCATTTGAAATTGCATAGACATGTTCATATATTTACATTGAGGATGGCATCATCATCTTTGAAATCCAATGTTTGGACCATTTCCTACAATCAGTGCCAACCTACCACAAGTAATACCCCGTTCGCTCCGGGGCTGATATTCAAATGATATTAAATAGCGCTCGGCTGGTTGCCTTCAATCACATCCTTTGGAAACCGTGCAAGTCTATAGTTATCAAGCCGTGTACAGAGATATGGGGAAACGAGCTTTCATGATTCCGGAATTGATCGTCTCTAAATGGTGGGGATATTTTGCACATTTAGTTACGAGCAGCCATGTTATGCCCGCAGCTCAAGGATGCGATTCACTGAGGCTTTACCAATTCACGGATAATCAATTTAGCCCCATTCTGCAGGCTTCCAATCTATGTTCTTCTTATTTTTTTTCATTTTTCATTTTTTTTTTTTTTGTTTTTAATTCTCCTTCCCGATGCTTCTGGTTATTTTGGCTATTTTGGCTGAATGTAAGTCCCGCGGAGAAAGGGACAGAGATCGACACCCCGGATTTGACAGAAGTGGAGAAGTGTCCATTTACCCGATTCTTATTTAGCCCTTGCTAAAAACTCCCCTGAAGAACCTCGCTTCGTCAAGGGTCCTTTTGCCGTGATTGAGGTACGGAATGCGCTCCGGCTTTATGCAAGGCCTGAGGACCATGGGCCCACATGTGCACTCCGCATCTTGCGGACAATCGCTTCCATTCACTTCCAAGGTTACTTCTATTATCCAGGCCCTCCGGCACTATGAGAGACTAATGGACTAGTTTGAACCGCCGCGACAACTATGCCACGGGCTCTGGGTCCGGGCAGATGTCATACTCAATGTGAAACTGCCTAGCGCCGGCGCAGATGCTGGAAATATCCACGTCAAGACCTTAGTTATCTGAATGTCTCTGTTTACCCTTGGCTATAAGAAGCCTCGAGCGGTATCTTTTTTACCTCTCTGTTCGACTTGAGTTTGTCTTCTATTGATCACCGGAAAACCATTTGACATCACCATCATGGTTCAATTGAAGAAAATCACCCTGGTCTTGGCCAGTGTGCTTCCTCAGTGGTATGAGCTCATGCTCCCTGAAAAGATAGTTGAGGCTAACGCTCACGATTCATGGAAGGGTCTATGGAGCTGGCCTGCACGCTTCTGCTGTGGCTAAAGGGAAGCTCTACTTCGGCTCAGCCACCGATAATGGTGAATTAACGGATGCGGCGTACTTGGCACAGCTGAGCAACACAGACGACTTCGGTCAAATTACTCCTGGAAACGCACAAAAGGTTAGGGAGGCAATTTCTCCGGGGTTATGGCGGAAGACTGACTGTATACAGTGGGATAGTATTGAGCCTACCCAGGGCACATTCTCATACTCAAAGGGAGATGTCATCGCGGATCTCGCGGCTAAGAATGGTCAAAAATTGAGATGCCACACTCTTGTTTGGCACAGCCAGTTACCCAACTGGGGTATGTTTTGTTTGATGAGCTACATGTATGTGGACTGACATTCGAAAGTCTCTAGTGGCACTTGGACCAACGAAACCCTGATTGCGGCTATGAAGAACCACATTACAAATGTTGTTACTCACTACAAGGGGAAATGCTATGCTTGGGATGTTGTTAACGAAGGTCAGTTTCCCGAACTGGAACTAATCCCGGATTAGGCGGATAGCTGACATGGGGACAACTAGCTCTCAACGAGGATGGAACCTATCGCACCAATATCTTCTACCAGACGATCGGCGAAGCCTACCTTCCTATCGCGTTTGCCACTGCTGCCGCGGCAGACCCAGATGTCAAGCTCTACTACAACGACTACAACATCGAATCATCCGGCTCCAAGTCAACCGGAGCTCAACGGATTATCAAGCTTGTACAGCAGTATGGGGCCAAGATTGATGGAGTCGGTCTACAAGCCCACCTGATTGTTGGAAGCACGCCCAGCCAGAGTGCGCAGGCTACCAACCTAGCTGCTTTCGCTGCCCTGGGTGTTGATATTGCCTATACAGAGCTTGACATCCGTATGACGCTGCCATCAACTGCTGCCTTGCTTGCACAGCAGTCAACCGACTACAAGAATACTGTGGCAGCTTGTGTTGCAAACACCAAGTGCATTGGAGTGACTATCTGGGACTACACAGATAAGTACTCTTGGGTTCCTAGTGTGTTCTCCGGTCAGGGTGCCGCTTTGCCTTGGGATGAGAACCTGGCCAAGAAACCCGCTTATGACGGTATTCTATCAGCTCTTGGTGGCACTGCTTCCGCTGGCACCACTACCACCGCTGCCACCGTTGTCACTACTACAACTACTGCGGGCTCTGGCACCACTACTGTTGTTGCTCTATATGGCCAGTGCGGAGGATCTGGCTGGACTGGCGGCACTACATGTGCTAGTGGAAGCTGTAAGGTCTTCAATGAATGGTACTCGCAGTGCCTTTGAGCTTTCCCGGGGCTGAGAGTCCTCCAGCGCTGCCAGAGTATCATGAAGCATCGAGGTACCCTAAATAACTCCATTGAATTTTCACTCGAGATACAGCATCTGTGTATTCTATTGTAACCTTGAACTAAAACGGAGCTCAAGGCTCCTCTCGTATGGATGGGATGTCGTATCCTATTGATCTTCAGGATATGTAGTTGAACGTTCGAACTCCGTACACTTCGAAGCTTGGAAGGTTCTGTGTATTATGTAAATATGTCACGCTCCGGAAACACCGTCTCTTGTGCTAAAACAAAGGAGATACATTATCATGAGACATCACAGACGTTAATCAACTTTTCGACCACTCAGCAGCCATAGTAAAATGGATATCCATATGGCATCATAAGTTCAGCCGGTAGCACTTCTGCTGTCGGCTGGGTAATTGCAACCGCTTGAACTGCTTGCTGGGGAATGACTTGTTGAGGGTATAGCTCCATGGGCTGTTGAACACCAGAATGTCCAGGGTATAGGTATTGAACCATGCCAGCTTGACGCGTACGATCAGCCAAGCATGTGCCAGAGGATAACTCGCGCTTTCGTTTTAGTTCCTGTGGCGATGTTGAAGCGTGTGGAGAGGTCTCGGAGGTCTGGTGCTGCATGCCGGGGCTGGTTTGCATATCCGGGTACATGGTAGGAGTATAGGGACCGGGCGAATAGTATGAATGCCTCTTTTGAAGGTCTTTTGCGGACATTATGACTTGGCTTGTATTAATTCTCGGGGCGTCGTCGCTGCACTCGGATTTCGCGACGTGGGTATGGTCCGGCTCTAAGGGTGAGCTTTGTCCGCTGGATGCATCTTCTATTATCTGGGGGAGGTTTGCACGTGAAATCAACACGCTGGGCTCGCTGTCTATGAACAATAGAATGTTAGTAAGTCGTTGAGGATCATCGGGGACCGAGATCTCGAGGTCGGGCCGGGGGGTGTTTGAAGCAAATCAAGTACCTAAAATGCCATCTAAAAATCTCTCTTCTGTCTCTCGCACTCGATACATCTCGTCCAAAATTTGCAATCGATCGACGGGGAGAATCTGACGTCGAATAGGTTGGTCACATTCCTTAAGCCTGGCGGCAGTGACTCCGTTGCTTTCACGCAAGTCACAAAGGATGTGGACTAGGAGACGAATGCGTTCTGTTCGGAGTCAGCCCTGCGGTGAGAATGCTTGATTCACTGGGGAGATTTATCTTACCGACTTTGGGAAGATGATCTGGCTCCCGGTGACAGACTCCGATCGGCCACCAAGGCGGTTTAGTGACCTCTGGATCGAGCTGCTGAACTCTTCCGTCGACAGTTTTCCGTCCATTGTAAGGGTAATTCACCTGTTTGCGGGGCTCAACCAACTTGATGTAGGCTTTCGCGATGACCCGACAGTTTGTTTGCTGGAGATTTTGGAAAACCTTCTCATAGTACAGACGCAAGATTTCGGGCTCTTTGACGGAGATTGAGGCACTCTGATGTGAAGACAAGTTCAAGCTTCGGCCCCCAAAGTGCCTCCTTCTGGGTTGGTTGATGGCTGCTTGTTCTTGTTGAGGCGACCAAGTCTTACTTGGCTGTGGCCACATCGCAGACTGGGGAAGTGAGCCTTGCTCGGTGGGAATCCTGCTTCTCTCCTCGCCAGTCATACCAATTCCACTGTGGACCACAAGCCCCCCTTGTGGCAGAGTGGAGCTGTGCTGGTTAAAAGATGGTGCCTGTGTAGATTGCACAGGAATGGGAACTACACCCTCTAGTCAGCGTGGCTTTCACCGTAGGATCAAGATACCCACCATGGAATTGCGCGCCCTGTGACTCTCTTGATCTCGCCACGGCCCGTAAGAACTCCGCTATCACGGTAGGGGAGAAAATATCCTGCCTATTCTCCGCAACTGAGTCGGAAGAGCGTTGGCAAAGATTTCCTTCCCCATCGATATAGATCATGGCAAAGTGAGGATACGCCGGTCCCTCTGTTGGTGGATGTTCAGACATTGTCTCTAATATCTAGTCCAGATCAGCTTTAGACAACTTCATCGTATAAGCATCTTGCAATACCTAGGTGCCTTCAGGTAAATGTCAAGTGAGTGATCCTGTTGGCTGAACCCCTGTTGGGTAGCTAACTTTCCAAGCTCAGTTCCCGTGCCGCGATGGATGAAGAACGAATTTCCCTCGATGAATTACTCTGTTCTTATGAGAAGTAACAGAGAATACCATCCTACGAGGGATCGCACACATTAAGGCTCTCTGTCAATTTGTAAACGCCGATCCACGACCACCGACCGAGGCTAAGGGTACAAATATGCAAATATGGACGATTGCGCACAGCCACGAACCTCGACCAGGTCAGCTGTGGCGCCCTAAGGATAAAACAGTCAAGTGTGGAGATCCGGGTTTCGAGAATAAAAGCGAATTAAAAAACAGTAAAAACTGGAAACGGTCTGATCAGCGCTGCAAGTTCAACGCAGATACAGTACGAGTATTGAAACGAGTGACTCCTTGTGGGAACGCACTAGATACATATTTGGAATTCGGTCTCCTTTTGCTTGTCATTGGCGAGTCACGATCTCGGACCACCAGAGAATGCCCCGAGTACTATTGGCTATCAATCGACATATCACGACTCGAACCATGTTGCAGCCGAGTACATTCTCAATTGACCCACGATACGGGTGGAAATCAGGGGGAGATGTCACCGTTGCGCAAGAGGAAGTCCTATTCAGCAGTCTCCACCGCGATATTCCCCTTGGAATTTGTACGAGTATTCAGGTGCCTCACTGCAAGTGCTAGCCATGCAACTCGACTAATTATACAGAGGCCTTATCGCCAGCCTGGTGCCTAACTGCTGGTAATCAGTGACTACATGTTGTCGCTAGGTTCAATTATTTGGATTTCCCGAAATAAACATCCCAGATGTGCACTGAGTTTCACGGCCAACAAAGATCTAGTGAAACGGAGGATGAACCGGACCAAACACCCGTTAAATGACAAAATAAAATCCCCATATTCCGGCCCAAACCCACACTTTGGTGACGGAAAACCAAGGCCAAAAATCGGAATGAAGATCGGCAAACGTTTTGTGGCGTTTACAGTTCCACTTGCTACCTCCTCGATAATATCCAGTGTCTTCCCTTAGGATCGTTCCCCTGCAATATGAAAGAACCGGTGTTGAATCCTTGCAAAGGGCCGAGAGATGACGTTAGTGCGTCTGTTCCAGGGATCCTTTTGAGCAAAAAGCAAGAAAAGTCAATGCACCGTTACTGCAAAGTGAGGACTCATCGCATCCTTCCAAAAAATCAAGGAAGTGAGACAAGAGCCCCCAAAGCAGTAGTATTTCTCTATGTTCACAACTCAGGGTAATATTCCCACATCAAATAATTCTAGATTTTTCCTCATTATATTTGCAATCTATGAGTATCCGGGCTACAGGTTAAGCACTGCCATGCTTGATCTGCAGTTCCAAGGGTCGGTAAAGTCCTGAAACCCACCCTGGACACCCGTTTGGACCAGCACAAGCAAAGTTTATTTCAATGTGAGACAATGTTAGGTTGAGAGATCTCGGGTAGCCGCATTGTTGCAATCGATCGTTCGAAACGGCTATACTTGGAACCATTTCAACCAGCGGGTAGAAAAGGGTGCGTAATGTGCTTCACACGAGTAGTTACTCTGTATATCCACACGTTCAGCCTCCTCATAGTGCGGGTTTTCCATAAGGACTATCTCTTCCACCCGATTGAAGCAATAATGATAGAAGCCTACGGCTCTAGCAGCCGCCTGTCTAGAGATGGTGTATCCAAACGGCGATCCACATTCGCAAAAGCGAGGTTAATTAACTTTAGATTGGTCGACGGCCTCTTAAACGCTTCAGTCTTTATCGTCAATGTGGATGCCTATGGGTACCTTTTTTTTCGGCGTGAAGTCAATTCCTTTCCATTTACGGAGTACATAACGCCGATTACAAGCCTCGGAGGCCTTAGTGTGCCCTTACTACATCGGGAATCCGGGCGCACTCGATGCATCCATATGCGTTCCCCTGCACGGAGCACGCCGTACGAGTACGACTACGACTATCACACCTAACCCTAACCCGGGGTAAAGATTTTCATTGGCCTGATTGGCCTAATTCATTGAATTATGTCTTTACTCATGCATTAAGATGTGCTTCGGTGTCTCCTTCAATACGAGTACTTGCAGACACGCATTACACCATTCCATCGGCCGGCCGGGTTTAATTCGGTACAGTCTACAAGTCACCTCACAATCAGTTCGATTTGAGGTTCCAAGGGATGATCAACACCAGACTCTGCCTGGAAATGGTTTTCTAAACGACACCACTAGTGGCGGGAAAATGATGCGATCCAGGTAGCAATGCGGAGCCGCTCGATTTGCCACCGCGCTACTTGGATATTGATGTCTGGGCCTTTCCGCAACTATGTACAAATGGAACATTTTCGGTCAAATTACCGGAGAAATTCGAATTTTGGTCGCCGATGCTGGGTGGAGCGGATGTCCCTTTTGCAGCAACCTACTCGTATGAGGACCAGTACGGAGTGGGTTCCACAGGCCGTTCAGTCCCCCTTATGAGACTACGAGTAGACAGCTGTCTATCACTGGTACTCACATGTTATACAATATAGGATTCCTTGGTGCAAAACAGTGGGGGCTCTCTGTTCGTGGTAATATATGGTATTCATGGTAAGTTAGGGCTGGTATTTCTGATTTGACACCGCTTCACGCGCCCATTTCCCGGAGAACCTCCACCTCAAAACTCCGGTCTGCAAGTCATACTCGCTTGAATACATTATCGTAGGAACCAATGTGGATCTCAGCCACCGCTAATGACCAATTTTTCTGATGCCTCGTCATAATACAGCACTATTTTGCGAAGTGGCTGTGCCACTACTCGTACAGTTAGCTGCAGTGAAAGCTGAAAAGGGGAAGGGATTGAGTTTGGACTGGTATGCATCGGGCTGTCAAGCTCGAGCTATACCCGACATATGAAGCCTAATAATTATGGATCTCTACTCCGTACGGAGTAAATGTATCTGACTTCCGCTGAACCGAGCACCCGTAATGTGATAGGGTTGAGAGGCCGAAACCCCACCAAGCCCTGACGCTAGGGAGATGCAGAGTGCGACGATGTCGTCACCGGATATACTTTTCCGATGATCTGAGAAGAAGTCTACATAGGTTGCGGAACGTATTTGTAAGATCCCCGGCCCTACTTCGTACTTTGTATGAGTATATATGGCTATTTTGCGCATGTTCTGCGGTCAAATGAGGCCAATGGACCAATGGTGTCAGCTCAAAATCAATAGTAGTCCACCTGACGATGAGGCATAGGCAAGGGAGGATTCAACCCGTGGCTAGCTGAATGTCTGTTAAATTGTGGGAAAGGCTGTCAATCGGCAAGACTCAGCCCCAGTTCACGCGAAGCAGGGATCTTCAACTTGCATTTCCTGGAAACCGGATCCCCCTAGTCGATTTCCTGGCGCCCAAATGACGCTTGAACGTAACCCACAACCCCCCTTTATAGCATGCCGCATGTAATACACGACGCTACGGATTACAGCGAGGCAGCGTCAAGGGTAGATGTACCCCTCATTGGTCCAAGAGGGTCTGGCAAACCTTGGTCTCCAGCCTGCGCCGGCCGTTGAAGATTGCTTCGGTCTCGATAAACATGTACATTAGCCTTATACTCGTACTGCTCAAGTGCCCCACGTAGATACCAATCTCCCCTGCCTTCCCAGCTCACACATTACACGCTGTATAACCTTGGAACTATCGTACTTTTACACACCGTCCCATATCACATGCCTTTCGATGTGTAATGCGGTGTAGATCATCGGAGGCCCCGGTTGACTATAAATAAAGTTCAAAAGATCGTCTAAAGGTCTGCCTTATCAAGGAAGATCACAGCACTCGCTTAAAGTACTCGATACATGTAGTACTCCGTACCGTACGAGTATCGTCCCTGACCAATGTCACTTGCAATGATCTTCGTTAGCATTCCGAACTCCGTAATAGTAGAATATATGTACGAGTTCCTCAAATCCACTTTTTCTTTCTCTGGTGTTATTTATACATACGAAGTACAACCGATCTTCCCGAACGTGGTTCGACGGGGAGGGCCGTAGAAGATCGCCCATCGTCGGGCTGACATAATGAGGTTTCGGGCTCTGAAGTCCTGGCCGGGGTGTGCATGGTTGTTCGGGGTTTGGCGAACCTATGTGTACGTGGCTTTCGGCCGTGGGGAAAGTTTGCTGTCTATTTGATCGGAATCTTCGTTTTTTAACGCCATCGCCGCTGATAATGAGCTGAAAACACGAGTATCTCCTCGAATTAGGGTTTCCAGCCTTTGTGAGAAAGTACTCGTACATCGGCACATCAGTGAATTTCACCCTGACCCAGGATTCGGCACTTCCCGTACTCAGCATCTTCACATGGTCTCTGTACTCCCTACCTTGTAACCAGTGAAAAGTTACTACATGCTACTGAGTACCCCTTCAAAATGCACATTTTGCACAGGGAAAATAAACGTCGTTGAGATAGACGCATCGGTAGGGGATTGATGTATCGACATCCTCGCGGATACTCCGTAGTATGACGCCGATTTGGTTTATGCGACACCCCGATGCCTAGACTTAGTGCTTCTTTGCTTTAATAACCAATGAAGGATATATATGTGAGAAATCTGGCAAGATAACCTTGGAATTGGCAAAAATATTGATGCCTACTATCAAGGGCATCAATATTAGAATCAGGCCAAAGTCAGGCACCAGGAGGGTGTCGATGCATCAATCCCCCATCGGTAAAGCCATGTGGTCAAACGGTTGGGCGGTCAAAAAGCCCTGGAGAGTTGTGAAGACACAGCTTTACCAGATCGGGACAGGTCAGAGATCAAGATTGTTCTGATGCTTGAGCGAAAGCGAAGCACCCACTCCGCCAGGGGTACCAGTACCACTGAGCTCTCGTACGGAGTATTCAATCATACTCGTACAAATAAATTGAAGCCCATCTGAATTCGGTTAAAGCACACTTGCAGAAGGATCGCGGAAACCCATCCTGAAACCGTTAGTGGCATAAAGCTCAGTTAGTCCGGTCCACGTCGCCGAAGTATAAAAAGAGGGACTCCATGACAGCCTGTTATTTCAGGCACAATTATCGTGCCTGAGGCAGCAACATCCCGTGACCTCATCGAATGTCACTTTTCCTTTGACGTCGCTGCTCAACGATGTCCTCTCTCAGGTGCGTCTGGAACAAATTTCGAGTTTGAAGTTCAAGTGAAACTGCTCGTGTCCATTATTATTCGAGCCCGTGTCCCCACTGCCGAAAAGGCTCCGCTGCATTAGCCCACGGCTGATCGCTCTGAATCCGGGCCACAACCAAAATCTGTCTTGCCCCGAGTCTCCAGCCCTGAGGCCGATCGCGTTCCAATACCCCTGCCCTTCGATTGATCGGACCAATCACGGCTTTTCATTCTTTGCTTCCGACACCCTCAAGCAGGGCGACAAAAACCCTTTCAATTCCCGGTTGACGAGTCTTCCCTGTCTCGTCCGTGCGGCGTAAATCAGCTTATCACAGTAGCTTCCCTAGATTGAGGGGATCGCTGGAAGGAAGAGATATTAGAGGGTGGGAAGAGGGCCTAACGACATGGTCCAACACACAATGGATCCTAACACTGGCTATCCTGCCGGCTATCCCGTCCCGACTCAGAGCCCCCAAAATCAACAGATGCCATTCTACCCTAATCCAGCACCCCCATATCCCCAGCCCAAGACACCGTCCACTCAACAATTTGGTGCCATGCCAATGCAGCCAGGTCCTGGTGGAGCAATGGTTCCTTCAGGTTTCCCCCAATCCTCTGGTAAGTGGCCCGCCCCTTTCTTTAACTCCCCCCTTGTTATTTGCACAGGGTACCTGTCATGTCCTTCACCTCAGTGGGGTAGATTTGCACAAACTCTGAAAGCATGGCTTGAGGCTCAAGGTTGCATGTTTCCCCAGCCTCTTTTCGTCACGCCTGTGTAACCCGCCCCTGAGCCCCTACAGCTAGGCTGAAACTGGCCACACCATATCACTGTGATTCTTGGCGTCGTCCAGGTGTGACTCTTACCACTTATCCTTTGCCTCTGGTCTCTTTCAAACTTCTTCTCAATTTCCGTGGACTGACAGAAGACATCATCACAGCACCAATGGAAAACTATTCAGCGCCCTTTACCCAAGCTCCCATGCCCGGTCCCATGGGCCAATTTGTCCCTCAGAGCACATCCGGCGCGAACATGCCCTCCCAAGTAGCACAGACCTTCTCCCAAAACATGGCATCCATATCAGCAAACAACTTACTCGGCACGCAACCCAAACCCCCTTCGCAAATAAACTCCCCACAAAGTGGTGCGTCCCCCGGAGCCCCGGCCCAGACACAGGCTCAAGCCCAGGCGCAAGCCCAGGTTGCTGCGCGTGAAAAGGCCCGTGTTACGGTTCTCCTTGATATCAACTCGGCGCTTCTGGAGGAGGTGGTGAATCTTCAGGCTGCTGGTAAGGCCGGGCCTGCATCCAACCCGGACACAAACTCGCCGACCTCCGAGCCCGCAGATGCATCCAAGGCAAACCAGAAACCCAGCCAAGAATACATTGAATGTATGCGCCGCCTGCAAGCCAACCTTGCCTATCTTGCGACCATCGCCGATCGAGCGAAGAAAGCCGGTGGCGTCGTTCCTCAGACGCTGGCGATTATGACTCCGCCTCCTAACCTCCCGGCTGTGAACGAGTTGTACACCAAACTGAACGATCTTTTTCCTCGATCGGGCAAGACCTCCACTCCGCAGAGACTCAGCCCCAACGGTGGGCCAAGTCCCCGCGCTATGAATGATTCAATGGTTTGAAGCCTGCGGGGAACTATGTGCGATCTTCCATGAGCATGTGAGACGACATGTACATTCGCTCGAATTCCTGATTTGTCTCTGGCGAACCAGAACCCATGCGCCCATGGCTGGGCAACTAACGCAAGCCTTGGGGTAGGCGTCCCGGTCTCCAACCCCTTGGGCACCCACCATGCATACCAGCAGCATGGACCCCCCACACCATGCACATCATACCTGCTGGCCGATAGACCGAACGTATCACGTTGCACAGATGAAAGGGAACAGAGTATTTCCCGAGGTGTATGTATGTAGCGCCGTTGGAATGGGACCCAATGTAATTTTTCCAGGTTCCTCAAGATATCACTGTCACATCAAGCGCGCAAGTCCAGGATCTAGATGAAACAAAGAAACGTACCAACAACCAACATGCCCCAACCCCAACAGCGGGCAACCAGGCATATAATGCTCAGGCGCAGGCAACCAGGTGTAATAATCCCCGTAAATACTACTCTATATAAATCGGGTCAGCGTCTCGGAGCAGCTGAGCAGGCGCAGGAGGGGGATCAACTGGGGCATCTTGTGAGCAGTATCCACCAATCAGATCGCTTCCCCTGCTCTCCGCCTCTTTGACGTTTTGCTGCGCGCGTATTCAACTCTCTCTGTCCTCCAATTGTGTGGTGGATGTCTTGTTATCTGCCGCCTGTGTGCAGAAGGAGCTTATCCAACACTTTTCTACTTCCAACTCAGCTTCCGAGATCGTCAACGGTGTCGCCACATTCCTTTTTAACTCCGCATCGCCCGCATCATCAACGCCTCCGATCATCTTCCATTCAGTTCTCTACTCGGCTCGCCCCAAGGTCCTCTCGTACAACCTTGTCTCTCGCCAATCTCCGGCCACTACTGCACTCCCGTTTCTCGGACAATATGGATAGTCAAGGTGACCTGAGCGCAAAGCGCAAGCGTAGCACTGCTGCCAATGTTGCGGAACATCCAAACAAGCAACTCAGGCCCGAGGGTGCTATTCTGACCCCCGGTGATGGGACCCCCGCCAATGGAACGGTCTATAATGTCGAAGAGGAGCTGGATGACGAGCCTGAGGCAGTCGTTGCTCCTGTACCAGCAGATTCGCCTGAATGGCAGGCCACTATTGAGAAGGTTGTCAAGAGTGCGGTTTCCATCCACTTCTGTCAGACCTGTTCGTTCGACACAGAGCTTTCAATGTCCAGTCAGGCGACTGGATTTGTGGTAGATGCTCAGCGTGGCTACATCTTAACGAATCGCCATGTCGTTGGTTCCGGGCCTTTCTGGGGTTACTGTATCTTTGACAACCATGAAGAGGTAAGCTATACGTTGCGCCACCCTCTCAGATCAAAATAAAAGGAAAGGAAGATCAAAAAGAAATTGCTGCTAACACGGAGTCTCATAGTGCGATGTCAAGCCCGTGTACCGAGACCCTGTTCACGATTTCGGTATTCTACAATTCGACCCCACAAAGATTCGCTACATGGACCTCACAGAGCTCAAGCTTCAACCAGACGGGGCACGGGTTGGCACAGAAATCCGTGTTGTGGGTAATGACGCTGGTGAGAAACTCAGTATTCTCTCTGGCGTGATCAGTCGACTGGATCGCAATGCGCCTGAGTATGGTGACGGCTATTGTGATTTCAACACAAACTACATCCAGGCTGCTGCTGCTGCCAGTGGAGGTAGTTCAGGAAGTCCTGTGGTCAACCTCGCAGGTCATGCTGTTGCATTACAGGCTGGTGGCCGAGCCGACGGCGCTGCCACTGATTACTTCTTACCGCTGGATCGCCCACTTCGCGCATTAGAATGTATCCGCCAAGGCCTTCCTGTGACTCGTGGTACTATCCAAACACAATGGGTTTTGAGACCTTTCGACGAATGCCGTCGTCTGGGCTTGACACCCGAGTGGGAAGCTGCTGTGCGTGCGGCTGCACCCAGTGAGACGAATATGCTTGCTGCAGAAATCATTCTCCCTGAAGGTCCTGGCGATAGTAAAATTTTGGAGGGTGATGTCCTTCTGAAGGTGAATGGGGAGCTTCTTACACAATTTGTCCGCCTTGACGATATTCTGGATTCTAGCGTGGGCAAGTCCATCAAGTTGCTCGTGCAGAGAGGTGGCAAGGATGTTGAGGTCGAGTGTGAAGTGGGAGACCTTCACGCAATCACTCCTGATCGATTCGTCACCGTTGCCGGTGGCACATTCCATGATCTATCCTACCAACAATCGCGCCTTTATGCCATTGCCACTCGAGGAGTCTATGTCTGTGAGTCGGCTGGCTCGTTCAAGCTGGAGAACACAGTGGCCGGATGGCTCATTGATTCTATTGACAAGCGGCCGGTGAACAATCTCAACGAATTTGTAGAGATCATGAAGAACATTCCGGATCGTACCCGTGTGGTAATCTCGTACCGTCACATTCGGGATCTTCACACGAAAGGAACTAGTATCGTCTATGTCGACCGTCACTGGCACCCCAAGATGCGATTGGCGGTTCGTAACGACGAATCTGGTCTCTGGGATTTCTCCGACCTCGCCGATCCCATCCCCGCCAAACCCCCCGTTCCAATGGAGGCCAACTTCATTCAGTTAGATGGTATCAGCCAACCTGCTGCGGCCGAGATTGTCCGTAGCTTTGTGCGAGTGTCCTGCACCATGCCCTTGAAGCTGGACGGATACCCACAGGCAAAGAAGACTGGATTTGGTCTTGTCATCGATGCTGAGAAGGGTCTGGTCGTGGTCTCGAGAGCTATCGTGCCCTACGATCTTTGTGACATCAATATCACCGTCGCTGACTCTATTATTGTCAGTGCGAAGGTGGTGTTCTTGCACCCGCTTCAGAACTACAGCATCATTCAATATGACCCCAGCCTTGTCAAGGCTCCGGTCAAGAGCGCCCAGCTCAGCACTAATTACATTAAACAGGGTCAAGATACTATCTTCGTTGGCTTTAACCAAAACTACCGAATTGTCGTGGCTAAGACCACCGTCACTGATATCACGACGGTATCCATCCCGGCTAATGCGGCTGCTCCTCGTTATCGTGCAATCAATTTGGATGCCGTCACGGTCGATACCGGACTCAGTGCACAGTGCTCCAATGGTGTATTGATTGGCGAAGATGGCGTGGTGCAGGCCTTATGGCTGAACTACCTCGGCGAGCGCTCTGCCAGTTCTCACAAGGACATTGAATATCACCTTGGCCTTGCTACCCCCTATATTCTTCCTGTTACATCCAAGATTCAGGAAGGATTGACCCCTCAGTTACGGATTTTGAACATGGAGAGCTACGTAGTGCAGATGAGCCAGGCTCGCATCATGGGTGTCTCACAGGAATGGATTAACAAGGTCACTGAGGCTAACCCCTCTCGGCACCAGTTGTTCATGGTGCGAAAGGTTGACAGCCCACCTGCAGCTGCCATTGTGGACCCTAGCACTAGTTTCCAGGAGGCCGACATCATTCTCACCCTAGATGGTCAGCTCATCACTCGAGTCTCTGAGTTGGATGTCATGTACGAGAAGGAATACCTGGATGCTTTGGTTGTACGCAACGGTGAGGAAGTGAGCATTCGCGTCCCCACTGTGCAAACCAAGGACATTGAGACGGATCGTGCCATTGTCTTCTGTGGTGCTGTCTTGCAGAAGCCACACCACGCTGTCCGCCAGCAGATCTCCAAGGTCCACAGTGAGATCTACGTGAGCGCAAGAGTGAGTGCGCATTCCTGAAATACTCACCCACAAATGATACTAATCTTTTCTTCCAGAGTCGTGGATCACCAGCTTACCATTACGGACTTGCGCCCACGAACTTCCTCACTGCTGTCAACGGTGTGTCAACCCCCGACCTGGATAGCTTCGTTCGCGAAGTCAGCAAGATTCCCGATAATGTGTACTTCCGTGTCCGTGCTGTGACCTTTGACAATGTCCCATGGGTAGTCACCATGAAGAAGAATGACCACTACGTAAGTTCTTCGCATGTTCTTTCTCTGAATCTCCCCGGCAAGAGAAAGGAAACTCTCATACAACTCTTTTACTGACTCCTGGCCAGTTCCCCATGTCTGAGTATGTCAAGGATCCCACTAGTTCAGCTGGGTGGCGCACTATCTCTCATGAAACTCAGGTTGGTGTTGCTCCCGATGCTGCTAACCTGAACCCGGATGCTATGGATGAGGGTGTGCAGGGTGGGAGTGATATCGAGCCTGACATGGTTTAAAGGCCATGTTGTGGCCATTTTGTCTAGTTGAATTTTGTATAATATATTTTCATTGGGGGCGCTGCCAGGGTTATTGGGATTTGGGGGGTTATACATTGTCTTGCTTTCCCCTTGTTCGTATGTATTCTCGTGACATGAGTCCCTGGGATGCCCAAGTACAAAAAAAGAACAGAACTATCTACTTTCAGCATTGAAGTCGGTTCGAGCAGGTAAACAATAGAAGTGGGACCGGCAGTTCGACGCAAGGGCCACTAAGATACATGTGCAGATCTTCGCGTCTATCAAATCTATCAAGTCTACTACATAGTACTTAAGTAGTAGTATCAAGTCTATGCAATATGTACTTTCCTTTCCGAAACGGCATAGCCGAACCGATCAGCTTCTCCTTCCAATGTGGCGAGCTATACGTCGAGCGGCAAGAGCACCCAGTACACGGACTGTCAACACTCTCCACAGACAACTTAGAAGGACTCTTCGTTCGCGGCACAGCTCCAACTGCGGGATAATTATCGCTGTGTGATAACGGGTTAACTGATCGATGGGATCACTCTTCGAGACTTGGTGCATACCCATTTTGGCAAATTCACGATTGCCTTGAAGTCTACCGTAAGTAGGCAATAATCTACCATGAAACCATTGATGCTCACTCTTCTTATTAGGGCATCGAAAATGAGTATGAGATAAATACTTACAAACGCTATCCCCCTGGTGACATCGCCGCCATTCCCTCCGATCGGCGCATCCGATTAGTACCAAACACAGAGTATGAGATTCCAAGCCCCGCAATTCTCGATGCGCATTGGAGAATGTGCGAAACTTTCAATGCATCTACTATGGGAGATACCATTGAACGACACATTCGGGGCTGGGAAGAGTTGAAAGGCTATGGGTGCGTTGTTGTTGTGAGAGAGGACGGTTTGACCGGTCTCGCTAGTCTGCTGGATATCGCGCTATGGGGCCAAATTTCCGCATGAACACACCCTTCACACTTCTGTATTATCAGTATTTGGTTAGGTCTGTGCCAATCTTAATCTTATGGAATCACCTTCAATTACTACGTTCACCACCCTTCATGTGAGAATACTGGTGATCGATTCAAGAAAAGGCGATACACCCTGTAAGGGATTTCCCTGTAGTCTCGCTGTCACTTCGTGAGCATTCAGAGAGCATTTACATGGTATCAGTCATCACTTGACTCTGAGCTTGTGCTGATATCTACTCTGAGAGAATCTGAACGCTCTCATATAAAGCGGCCGCCCAAATACTTAGGAAAACCCTAGGGAAAATCCGGTACATACTATAGGTACATGTATATAGCTGTCTGCTCAGCTGTCTCAGTCGGATATCCTGCTGCATATGTCCTAGTATCCATACCGTCTAACAACCTTGATGTATCTTGAGATGGACACGTCCAAGCTTTGTATAGAGTAACTCAGGGGTATTCATAACAAGGCCAGGCCCGTGGACCTAGTGGACCACACGGGCATTGGTGATGATTTACTTGGTTGCTGGGTCACGGGGCACCTAACTCTCTTGAGTTTCATCTCCAATACCTTTATATGTTGTTATTGTTGACTATACTTATTTTCTATTCCTCACCATATCTCGGTATGACAACTAATGTAAAAATCGGAAAATCGAAAAAAAAAAACAAAAAACCTAGAATCCCGGCAATTGGATAAAAAAAAAAAAAAAAAAAAGTGCATCATCCGTGAATCGAACACGGGCCTCGTCCCTGGCCATGTTCTATTCTCCCCCCCGACCAACCAAAATAGACACCAAAAAAAAAAAAAAACCAAGAAACCAGGAAAAAGAATAAAAAAAAAAAAAAAGAAATGTGCATCATCCGTGAATCGAACACGGGCCTCGTCGATGGCAACGACAAATTCTACCACTAGACCAATGATGCTAGTTGATGTAAGAGTCCGCCATTTATGGATCTATGACCCTCAGGAACCGTCTAAAGTAAACACAAGCATAGAGCTTATATCCGCAGTCTACCTACAGTCTACCTACGGAGCAGCATGAGAGAAATAGATAGGTCAATTAATCAATATGATTCCGTTGCGCCCCCTGTATGCAGCTGTTGTCTAAGACCATAACTCAAGACAAATAACTGAACAATAACACATATCCAGTAACGCCGTGGTACCTGCTAAAGAACGGCTTGATTACAGATGTACAATGCAAGAAAAAAACAAAAAAGACACCTGCGGACTAGTTGAAACTCCAACCGCCATTGAGGCGCAGCCGTTGTCGGTCTGCTACATCCTTTCGAATCTCCTCTTGGGTAAGCCCATCGGGGCCAGACCAGTTAGCGCTGCTGGTACGATCGCGGTATTTCTTGATCTTCTTGTCTGCCTTGAAGGTATCTTCCAGCGAGAAGGGAGCAATGGGCCCAAAGATCGAGTCAACCTCCATACCATCCTGCTGCCGGAGAAGACCCTCCAGCTCCTTAGGTTGCGCCCACTTGGGCACGGGGAACATCTCAGAGTCGGAGTCGTCGTCATCCTCGCTATCGGTGTTGATTTCCGGCAAGTGAATGTTCTCACCACTTGGATATTTGGGAGATGGCTTCGCTGCTGCTGGGCGTTGAGCGGAGTTGGGTGTGGCCTTGTACGCAGCTGGTGGAGGCGCAGGGTTAGGTTCGGCGAAAGGAATCTTGCCTGTCGCAAACTTGGCCATCTCACCAGGATGAGCTGGACGTTGCGGGGCACTATTCTTGAAGATGGAGGAGCCAGACTGGTGCGCCATGGAGGACTGTCCGTGACTGAAAGTAGAGATAGAGGGCTAGAATTTGATTCAGTCAGCCATGAGTTCCTATGAACTTTTGTGTCGGATAATGCTTACCTTTCTGATATAAGATTGACGCATGGGTTGTCCAGACATAGATTGACCTGGTATGATGGTGCGCACGGGTTGCATGGGATTGTGCTCATCCTCTGTCTTGCGCCGCTTGGCGTCGCCGGTGGATTGAACATTGCTGGGCTTGGAGACCGCGGGTCGGTGGCCACTTTCGTCGTTCAAAACCCTCTTGGGCGGCTTGGCAGGGTTAGGTGCGGGCGGGTTGAGGCGGGCGGGTGGCTGGATAGAGCCACCTAGGCGGGATGGAGGACGGGAAGCACCCAAGTCACTACGCTGAGATGACTGAGCAGATGGCTTTTCGTGCTGAAGGACAGGACCCTGGGACAATTAGCTACATATAGGAGACTCCGATAGACAAACGCGCTTACCTCGTTGGCAATCTGCTGACTACCTTGCCTCACATGCCCACGGGCGTTCTCTTGTTGGCGTCGTCTGATTGCTTCCATCTGAGCGGCCCTCTTGGGATCTTCCTGAGCGGAGCGTTCACGGCGCTCTCTGTCAGCCTCGGCACGGCTCTCAGCACGACTCCTCATTCCCTGCCGACGAGCTTCTTCCTGCTGGGCAGCACGCTTGCGCTCAATCTCACGCCTTTGTTCTTCCTTACGGCGGTCCTCTTGCTCCTTCTTACTGGCAGCTTGGGTCTTGCGCTGGGCTGCCTGTGTCTGACTTGAAATCGAGCTCTTGAAGCTGCTCGCGGAAGATGCTGTATGTAAGGAATTATTGCTACCCTTCTTTTTCAGAGTCGGCTTGGGTGCAGGGGCAGAGACCGCCGCTGGAATGCTTGAATCTTGTGCGACCGAAGATGAAGGCATAGGGATTTGACGAGATAAGGTACTGCCCACGCGGATTGACATTGGTTGCGGAGTAGGTTTCTGCAGAGTCTCCCGGGTTGGCTTGAGGGGGCGGCGTTCGTTTTGCTTAGATTGAGGGATGGCGAATCTCGAACTCGTATCCCGAGAGGATTCAGGCTCGCGCGACTGTTGCCGTTGCGGTTGAGGATTTTTGGGCACCGAGGGCCCTGACCTCTCATCTGGTTCGACTGAAGACTTATTTTGAGCAGCCTTGAGTTGAATGGCCTTTTGCTTTTCTTGTTCCCGGGCTTTTTCGGCGCGTAATTCTTCCTCATGCTCCTCTCTTTCTTGTTCTTCTCGCTCGTGTTGCCGTCGCTTTTCTTCCTTCTCGGTCGAGCTTCGTGTGCGGCGTCCTTCCTGGCGGGTGGGGCTAGGAGGTAGAGTTGGCTGAGAGTCATATTCGAATCGCTTGCCGAAAACACTGGCACTCGAGTGGGGACGTGGCTGCTCTGGCGAAGAGGGATCTAACTTCGGGGTGTTTCCAGTGCTCGAGAACAACCCTTTGGCTGACTTCATTATAGAATGTAAACGGAGCTTAGAAGCACTGATGGGACCATCGAAACGTCTAGGAGACCCCGTGGGTGTTGTAGAAATATCAGCTGAGATATGAGACAAGGAAGCGCTCTGCTGATGTCCTTGTGGCCGTGGCGAGGAAAATATGGAGGCGGAAGACTTCGGACGCTCGGGCTCTGCCTTTGAAAGGTTCTTCCTCTCAGTTGCTCGCTCTTTCTCAAGCTCGGAAAGCTTCTCCATGATATCTGTGGTTTTACTCTTCGAAAGATCGGGCCGTTGAGGGGAGCTCAGAGGCTTGATCCAATCATCATCAGCAGGAGTGGGCTCCAACACAGGAATTTCTGTTGTTTTGTGAACAGAAGTCTCCACGCTGGGCTCAATTTTAGAAGCAGGAAGTTCGGGATAGGAGACCTGGCCAGCGGGAACACCAGTAGATGGAATCGATTTCCGTGGTCGGGAAACAGGCTGCAGTTTCCCCAGCATGCTGATTCTGTCGTGAAGTGTCTGTGTAGACTTTTTGCTGTGCATCCTGGTCGCTTGTTCGGACTCCACCTCTTCACTAGGTTCCTTCTCGTTACCAACATCCATAGCGCCAGAGCTGTTGTTTTCTTCCGGCGCAATTTGAGTGACCTTATGACTGCCAGTCTGCCTGCCAAAGTGACTGGTACGGGTGTTGTTCATCTTTGGAAGGTCGATATGACTTGTCCGAGAGAGCCTCGAGCCACCCAAGCTCTTCAATGGCTCACGCGCAGGGAGGGATGCAAAGCTCAAGCTACTCTTCCGAACGGGGAGTCGCTCGGGCGTAGACCCGTCAGAAGGAGAGCCAATATCGTCAAGATTATCGAGAACCGTGTCGTCCTTTGTGTGGTCTTCCGTTGCTTCTTCCATTACCTCGTCATCGGGCTGCGTCTCACTATTCTCGATGGGGGGTGCCACGGGGGCCACTGATGTCTTTTCTGGTGATGGCTTGGGATTCGAGACAGGCCGAGGGGACTCAATTGGCTCGGCGGGCTCAGACTTTTTGTTTTGTTGCTTTCCGTTTGTCTTGGCCTTCGTCTTCGAATTCGTCTTCTTAATGGGCGTCGCACTCAATTCGGCGCTTGTCTCTCTGGATGGTGATGCGGTTGGGGCCGTTGGTCGCTCCCGTGGTGGGCTGGGTTCCGTGGCAGCCGGCTCGACGGTCCCTCCCCGAGAACGGACATCCTCTTGTGCGGAGTGGAACGATTCCTCGTTAGCTTGTTGGACAACGGACACCTCGATTTCCTGAGTATCCATGCCCATTGGCTCATCCTGCTCCAGAGGCTGAGTGGCAGGCTGGGTGGAAGCCTGTGATTCTGGTTGCACGTCAGGTAAGACCACTTCGTCAGCTTCGGACATGCCGTGATAGCCCGAGTCTGTGTTGTATTTAGGGAAAGAGTTCATGTTTTCGGTAAGATCAGGGTATTCGGGTTGCGACGCCTGCTCCGTCGCGTCCTTAGTGCGGGGCACAGGAGATGACGGCGCAGCGGCAGCGGTCTTGGAGACCACGCGATGGATGAATGGGCTAGGACTTGCATGATTCTCCACTTGCTTCTGGGCAGAGGAAAAGATCTCGCTCAAGGGCTGCAAGGAGCGATTAGTTGAGGGGAAGCAATCTCACGTGTACATATTGGATACTCACCACCCGAGATTCCTCTGGCACACGCTTGCGAGCAGTGCGAGGTGTCTTGCCGCGCATTTTCCCAGGTGTCTTGAAAACGTCCGCAAAGTTCCTGGGTCATTGTCAGCAACATAAAATGAAAGGTGGTGCGGTCGCGACTCACGTTTGGCCCTTGGAGAATATTTCTGTCATATGCTCATTCAGCCATGCCATTTCATGCCGAACAGGGTATTCCACCTCCTCCATTTCTTGGTCCACTAGATCGGCCATGTTTTCCTTCTCTGCTGCAATCCATGGTGCCGAACCGACGGGTTTCTGCGCCCTCGCGCTTGCGGCGGCCATATTGCAAACAACGCGGCGTTTTTACCCTTGAAAAATCGGGGTACGAAGAAGTGAAAAACTGTTGCACGCAAAGTGTTGTAAACGAGTGTTGGAAAAGCGCGATAAGTGTGGGTCGGGAATGGTGACGAAGACCATATCAAAACATAACTCCCGAAAGGAGATAGCGCGGTCACATGACACACACGTGACCGGGGTTAACGAAGGTCCATGATCCCCAAGGTCTTTGATCTCATCGTACTAAGGATGCACATATTAACCTTAGTTCTCAGAGCGAGGACGGGACAGATCCGCACAGAGGACATGTCTGGTCCTGGACGTAAGCATCAGCCACACACACTTCGTGGCCACCTTCTCTGCAGGAGTCGTCATGGGCATTTGGCATGTTCCAAACAACCACCAGTGCCCTATTCATACTCGAACTCTTGTGGTGATGGGAGCTCTGCAGGCCTTGCAGGCCGAGCCGGCCTTTGGAACCAGTCAGCATCATGGGGTTTCTGTCGATCTCCCGAGTCGTGACATAAGAGTGAAGCCGAGCAGGTTATATCTCAACACGAATCAACGACAATCATTCAGCATTGATCTGCCTGTCCCTCCAGAGACTGTGAGATTGGATTACTCGGCGAGCATAAGAGTGTCATCCCCTCACTTCAACCTCTACCGGCCAGCCACCTCGCCAGTCGCCTAATCCATTTCAACGTGGACTCTCTCGGTTGACACAGAACCGAATGACACGAGGTGGTAGTCTTATCCTGTCGGCCCAGTCTTTTCGAATTGGCAAGTGGGAGCCACAATCCTACAGAAAGGCATTGGTGCATCAAATGGTAATTTTGACAGATGTGGGAAAGAAGTTTTTCAATGCGAACACGGCATCCAATTTCCTTGGTGGCCTCAAACCAACTGACGTTATAGAGCACTAGATCCGTTCCTACCTCATCATGTCGGCTATGGATGAGATCCAGTCCTTGCCGTGCCCTTGAGACTGCCATGTGCCTCTGGGGGATCTCGGCGTGAATATTCCAGTCGGAACGGATGCTCGGAATAGATCCATGGCACGAATCAAGTCTCTCTGTATGTTGGCATGCAACCTTTTACAGTTAGAAGATCGCAGCAATTCTAAATTTGCTTCTACGGGTGTAGATACGGCGATTTTGGTACTATAGATTGCAGATGTAGGAATGAGATGAGATGGACAATAATCATACACAGCATCTGAAGGTTGAACTCCAGCCGGGGGGCTTAATGTAAGTTTACAATTTGTGAGACCAAGCGAATATATGTCTTGAATTGAATGAGGGATAAGGCAAATAAAGTAAAGCGTGGGTGTGTATGGAGGACCACAGAGCCGGTAAGTATATCCGGCAACTGAGGGCTAGATATTTGGCGCAATTGGCACTGTATTACCATCTTCGTACCAGTTCTTGCATGCATAATTACGTTGCCCCACTGTCACAGAAGAATCAAAAGTAAAAGCACGTAGCAAATAAGAGCAGTAAATTCAATACAATTTGCAATCAAAAACTTGCTCTCGGAAGATTGTCGACATCATAGTTGTTTTGCCATGTTTGGGCTTGGCAACCTTTGAACGCACATGCTACTTCGGACTTGACCAAAACATCCCTCTTTCAACCCCCTTTCCTTTCGACACAACTCGGACTTTTGCTACTCTCTTATTTTCATCTCTCACACGCTTCTCTTTCGATCTTCTGGAAACAGCTTCACATCGTCATGGCTTCTGGTGACGTGACCTACCCCAGTACGGGCAGTAAGGTAAAAATCAAGTCGCTTACATTCTTGCAGAATGATATGCTAACAAGCAATGCAGTATCCGCTTATCTTTGCTTTTTCTCGGTTTTTCTTGGTATCGAAGTGTGATGGCAGAGACTGATTTTGACCCCTCTTCCGCTCAGGCATTGGCGATGTTGTAACCAAGGGTAAGCAGAACCTTTGCGCGAGAGTCGAGCTGGAAAACACCGCTGACAGATTTTCCGACAGGCCCTATCGTCGATAACGTGAAGGCCGAAGCTTCCCGCACCGGTGATGAGCTTCGGGACCTGTCAAACTCGCGTGTGACCCCGTCAACCACCACCGCCGATGGTCAGCCTTTGACTCGTATGTCATGATCTCTGGAGGGAACGCATCGGAATAGCCGCTGATTTTCGCACAGACTACCACTCTCTTCTGTACAGCCTTCTGAGTGTAAGTCGCCGCGCGGGCTCTTCTAGCTTCGGTTTCATTCTGACTTTGCCATAGTGGGAACAACCCCGCGCGACCGCAGTTTCCTATGCGAGCGTGATCAGCTTCATCTTCGCCGCTCGCTACCTGCCTCTTCTCCGCTGGGTCTTCAAGTTCCTGTACATGTCTTTGGGAGGTGAGTTGGTCGCGTGACATCAGTCAATCGAAGTGGGCTGACCATTTTATGTGCAGCCACCGCCGCCGTTGAGGTCGCCGGTCATGTTATTCTCAAGCGCGGTATTGCCAGTGGATTCCGTCCCCGTCGTTATTACACCATTCCCAAGGAGACCGTTGAGGCTGTGCTCGAGGACCTTGAGCAGCTGGTGGACTTCTTCTTGATCGAGTTCCAACGTATCCTGTTCGCCGAGAACGTCCTCCACACTATCCTGGTATGTCGCGATATGTTGAAGTTGGCTTGAGAGCAGAGGCTAATCATACATCAGGCTTTCACTGCTGCCTTCACTGGCTACTGGCTGATCCGCTTCGTTCCCTTCTGGGGCTTGGCCGTTGTTGCTGTGACCACCACATACTTCGCTCCCCTCATTTACATTAGCAACCGCGAGATCATTGACGAGCAGATTGCCAATGCTCAGGAAATCATTAATGCCCAGACCAACCAACTCTGTGATTTGGCTGGTGAGCGCACCTCCCAGGCCACCGGCCTTATGAAGCAGTATGTCGGCGAGTACAGCTCCAAGGCCCAGGGATACATCGGTTCCCGCCGCTCTACTTCTCCCGAGGTCACCAAAGTTGTCAGCCCGATCAAGCATGAGGTCATTATCGAGTCCGCCAAGACTGAGCCCCTGGAGAGCTTCACTGCCCCCGTTGCTGAGTCCGCTCCCGTGATCAAGACCGAGGACTTCCCCGAAGCCCCCCAAGCGGCTCCCGTCGCTCAAGCCCTCGACTCTGATATTGTTGCCTCCATCGAACCTGCCGAGCAGGCCGGTGACCGCGAGCCCCTTCTGGCTATCTAAGCAATTGCACCTCTATCAGATCCTACTGACAGAGTTTACGGCATGTTTGAATGCAGGCTATTGCCACAAACTCTGCAGTGAGTTGGTATCGTTATTTTTGGTCATGACTTTATTGGATATGCAGAACGGGACGTAGGCCTGGGCTCTGGGTATACCTTCTGACTACCGGTGTACCTGGGGATAATCTCCAACAAATCAGGTCGTCGTGTCGCTGACGAACAAAAAATTGTGCAAGATTCTTGAGCGATTAGCGTTCATGCTTCATGTATTCTCTTACCCCATTTTTTTCATTTTTCTTCATTTCTTGAATTCCCTTTTCAACCCCCCCGGGCATCTTTACTTGTCTATTCTTCTTTCAACGCCCCTTGTCTATGCCTTTCTCGGGTTGATATTGTTTCTAATGGAATAACATTTACATCAATTCATGCTCAGTTTGATCAAGTCTCTGTCATCGAGGGGGCTCGTGCAGAGGCCTCTACTGCCCTGATGACCACCTGTTCACGTGTTATCGCAGCGATATTAGAAACTAGTAACTCGACCAATGCGAGGGTTCTCGGAAAGGAAACGAATGCGTCAAAGCCAGAGCCTACTTGGGTAGTTGTTCAGCTGCAGGCCTCAACTGCTGAGTGCAAGGCAGCCGTTGGGTTTAATCCCGGTCCGCCGACCCGGTCCCCTATTCGCCGCATCACGATTCGGACCGGCCTGTGACGGTTCTTTTTCCATCGTTGTACTTCCTTCCCTCGAAGACTTGCCTTGTTCAGCCGTGCTCGGACGGATTTCTCCCCATATACCCCAGATTCGAGGCCGGTAGCACAGTGTTGCCTGATACATGCTTGTGTCTGGAAGGGGGTCGGGTCTGATATTCGATGCTCAACTGGCCGAGGCCTGGACCCCTTCGTGATCGGCTTCAAGCCTTACTCTGGCTGAAACTTGGATCTGGTATTCGAGTCCTGCCTTATGGGGGGTAAACCGCTCTTCTCTCCTGCTCACCGAATCTTCCTGTGAGACCATAGCTCATGACCGTTGGATAGGATACGATCGAACATGTGAGACTAGAAGGAAAGTCCCTCAAGGATCACCGGAAAGCGGAAACATTCCTCCCATCTCCCCCGGTCACTCCATGATACTTGGTCGAAGTGAAGACAATACGAACCCACCGAAAGATCTAAGCACCTACAGCAGCATCCCAATTGAGACATGGTTTCTTACCCCTTTTCCAGAAGCTCGGGATCTGAGACGCGTATCCAGGGAGCAGGTGCGGAGGGACACGCATGTTCGGGTTTACCGCTCTTTGGAGGCCAACAGAGGCAACTAGCCACTGATAGAGTGTCTTAGACATTGGAAACCCGGCGTCTACCTTAGGCCATAGGTCTTGCTTGAGAGCGGTAGACCTTCAATGCGATTGAGGCCTCCTCGAAAACCAGGACTAGTCCAGTTTTATTGAAACATGAGAGTCCATCCTCGATCTTCAATGACTCTGGCCAGATTGCATAAAATCCTAGCAGCCACTATATGCACCGTTTTATCTGCTGTACGCTGCATCACTGTTCTGGCCCAGGACCGATTGGCGGAGAGCCCCTCTGGTACCTTTGAAAACTCCACAGACTGCATTGGGACAGGCAAGTGGGTACAGCGCAAGAGCACAAAGTAGATTGGCAGAGGTCAGTGTAGCACAATGTCAGTCACTGGGGTGAAAAGAAATATGTCAAACAAAACGAAAAGTGGGTTTACCGCCAACGTGCGGGTCTTCTTCGCAGAAGCATGCATGGAACATTCTTTGGGGGCTTTTTCATGCCAGTGTTCCCGGAGAATGTCTCTAGTAGATGCAAGCCTCCACAACTCGCTCAAGCAGCGGTCTACACCTAAATTCCTCAGACCTGTCGAGTGGGATACATGAAGGTCGTGATTTGACAGAAGTACAGACTAGACGAGGACCGAGTTAGGGTTAGGCCATTGTGCTGATCATTTTGATGCTTTTGGCAAGAAAAGCCCTGGAGCCTTGATTTGACCGTTCGATCTAACCCTATTCCCATTCACCCGCTGTTCAAACGCAAATAGGTCAGGGAAATTGCCAAAGTCTAGACAGCTCTTGTACCCCCCCAGCCACGACCCATCATTGTTGAAGTAGTGAGGACACAAGAAAGAAGCATCCCTGTCAGTTTCCTAGAATCTCTGATGCCGTCAGAAGTTTATCTCTGCCGCACAGCCTTTCTCAGATGCAATTCACAGACTCGCCAGGCAATGCGGGCTCCCGTCATACAAGGAGCAAGTCTCCCTGCAGCTTGCCGAGGATCTGAGACCTTTTGATGCCCATTCTGTCGAGCCTTGGGGTATATGACTTCTGATTGGGTCTTTTGTCTGGTATCCTTATGCTCCGGTTGCTGCAGTTCCTTGACATTAGTCCGATGCCAAGGTTGATCTGACCTGGCTCTTCGATGATGCTATCATACAAAGTGACAACAGGGCCTCGCTGAACATCACTCCAAGGATACCTAGGTATTCAGACATTATTCTATAGAGAACGCTTAGGAAAGAGAAGAATATCTACACAGTATATAGACCTCTTTCATAAGGTGTTTTTATCAAGCGGTGAATATGCGTTTCCAAAGGAACTCTAGGATATCTACATATGTGGTCCCTGAAACGGGTATGCTTCTCTGGTCTTTAATATTGGGTAGGCGCAGTCTTGAGAATGAAACAGGCAATGCATCGAAAGATTAAAGACATAGGTCTCATATAATCTTTTCTCTATTGGGTTCTAAAAGTTCCCCCCCCTTTAAGGGCACTGGATATGCTATGTACACTGGACCATATGGCCAGTCCAAAGTTGAAGATCATTGGAGCCAATGCCACGCGTAGGATCAAACAGCCTGGGGACTCTCGTCCAACTTACAGAAAGTAAAAAAAGGGCAAAGTACCGGTGAGGCCATCCGAGTGTCAGAGACACTCCGAGTGCTGGACTTCACACCGTCCCTTTGATTTCCTCGATGTCAGACGTGCCAGCAAACACCGGGACTCACACACCAGGGACAAATAGCAGCACAGAATCTTCTTGAACAAAGGTTTGGGATTATTGCTTGACTTTGTCTCTGAGGTTTGACTCTCTTCTTTCAGACCTTCTAGAAAACGGATTTTCCACTCAAGAGACATTAAGCTGCTTCTTCCCCCCCGACTCCCATTCCTTTCTTGTCAACCTTCCACCTCCCCCATCCTCAAATCCATACCCACACTGAAGTTAATCTTCTGCTACTCTGATCCATGCTTCCTCTTAAGTCTCTGTTGAACCCAGAGCCTGAAAGGCAGTCTCGCGGTAACCCCCCTTCGACTTCATCTGTAAAGCCACGGAAGATGCCGAAAGATGCCCCGGTTTATGTCCGCAGTAATATCCAAGGCCAATGTCGCTTTCCTCCATGTGAAGAGCGAGACGAGGAATTATCAAAGGCACACAGGGAGTTCAGGCTACACCCTATGGGCAAAATCGCCGATTTCCCTCGTCAAATCCCCTATGCTAGCGACAAGAAGACCTTCCAGCAGAGGACTGGCCGGGATAGCTTCCATGGTGTGTATAGTATTCACTCCACTTAATATTTAATATACAGATCTGACTCATATGCAGTCTTCCAATACCAATTTCAAATCCCCGGCGAAGAAAAAGTGTGGCATGTTATGTGGGATTATAACATCGGCATCGTCCGAATCACACACTTGTTCAAATGCAACGGGTATGCCAAGGTCAGTACAAGAATCCCTTATGGGATGGGATAGACACTAACCATTCTCTAGACCACACCGGGGAAGATGCTTTCACAGAACAATGGTCTTCGTGAAATCTGCCATAGTATCACTGGCGGAGCACTTGCGGCTCAAGGTGAGTGCTTCCTATACATATCTCTCTTTTAAATCATCTTACTCACTCGCATTTACACAGGTTACTGGATGCCCTACGATGCTGCCAAAGCGTTGGCCGCCACATTCTGCTGGAAGATCCGTCACGTTTTAACCCCCCTGTTTGGCACCGACTTCCCTGCCATGTGTGTTCATCCAGACGACCGGAAACACTACGGCCGTATGGTCATCGACCCAGAGATCATACGTGCTGCTACTGAACAAGCGAATTACTTCCGCTCTCTGGAGATGCCATCTTCCCCACGCTCTGTGCCCGCTCCAGTGAAATCATACCCCCTCCTTCGTGGCTTGGAGGCATTTGGTCCTTCGCTCAAGTTGCCTCCACTCAAGTGTCCACGCCACCGATATGCAGACAGCATTGCCAGTGCTCGGGACTCATCCACCGAGCCTTACTCGCTGTCCCCGAAGAGCCATTCTCCTTGCTCTACGTTCACTCCAATCAATCCCCCGCGAAGCATCAATGCCCCTCCCCCCTCACATGTTGCTTCCCCAAAGACCCTTCTCCGCGCTATCTCAGCTGCCATACACAAAGACAAAGAATCCAGTGCTATGAGCGCAGATAGTGATACCGACAGTGACGGGTCATCAAATGTATTCTCCACCCCCAATTGTCCTTCTCTGGACGAAGAAAAGATGAACCTCGATGGGCCTTCTGATGTTGAGACGCGAGAGAGCGATTGCGACTTCACAGACTCAGATGAGGATTGGGCGGTGGACGATGACAGCGACAAGGACTACCGAGGTCCTCCCACATCATCGTCAAGCAGGTTGCCCAAGGGCAAGGCTATGTCGACTAGCCCGGGTACTCAGACGAAGAAGAACCCGAAACGAAAGTCCCGTGAATGTCACTTTGCCAACGAGGTCAGGGCCGCCGAGGCGCTTCTTCGGTTGCAGAACATCGATTTTTTGGACTCTGAAGCTGAGGCTGAAGCTGAGACTGATCACTGGGATATGCATACGAATATCCACCCCCGCCCTCGGGTAGGATCGTCTCGTGGCGGCAAGCGACGCCGAGCTTCTCTTTGAATGCAGCCACTCTTATGACTAGAAATATCGCATGGCGTTTGGAGGATATGGGTTGATATTGGGAGGCAATACATTCATGCATTTCGAGAAAGCAGGTGTTTGAAGGGTTTATGTCGGAGTTGAAGGCTATGTTCAAGCTGTGGTTCGCTGTAGGAATTAGCAAAATTGAAAAGATCACCCTACGGACCTTGAGACCCCATGTAGTACTCAAATGGCAAGTCAGCTTTCAAGTTGACCGAAAAGCCCGATTACTAGACTCTATACTTACGCAGTGCATCACTTAGAACAATCGAACTTGATCAAATAACCACGCTTGCCATGATAGGCTCTGCCAGATCTCAATAAAATACCATGAAACTAAAACACGAAGATGAAGATGAATAAAAGGGAAACATAATAGTGAAAGACACGAGAGAAAGGGTCACAGAAATTTCAAAAACAAGGAAATCAAACGTAGGCCCTGGAGGGCATCGCTACCTGATCATCGCCTAATCGCTCTCCTCCTCGTCATCGAAATCATCACCGGAGGGTTCTTCTTCACTGTCATCCTCAATGACGTAGGACTTCTGTGCTGCGGCACCGCGGCGAGCTGGACGAGCTGCAGCGGCGCGACGAGGTGCGACAACGGGCTCGTCATCCGAGACATTTGCTTTGCCCGCTGGCGAGTCCAGAATATCGTTGGCCATGGCGTCAATGTCATCCTCCGAGTAATCATCGGCTATTTTCTTTGCCTTGGTTTGCTTGGGGGCTGGCTTAGCCGCTGGTTTAGCCGCCGGCTCCTTCTTAGCACGACCACGGGCCTTCGGGGCAGCAGCAGCAGCCTTGGGGGCAGCCTTGGCTCTGGAAGCTGGTTTCACCACCTCTTCATCCTCATCATCTTCATCATCAATGTCGAAAATATCAGGAGTGGCCTTGGGGGCAGCCTTAGCCTTGGAGGCAGCTTTAGGTGCAGCCTTCGGCTTGGGAGCCGGCTTGGGCTTAGCAGCAGCTTTGCCTCTAGCAGTTGGTTTGACCGGCTCATCCTCCTCGTCATCTTCCTCGTCTGCCTCATTGTCAACTCTCGTTTCCTTAGGCTTGACTTGAATAGAGCGGCGTGGGGAATTTTGAGGAATGAGCTTGCTGTAATCAGTCTCGTCCGGGTCAAATTCATCATTGGCCTTGGACGGTGACCTGATGGCAGCCTTCAAGCTAGCTGCACTTTCGGAGCGAGGCCGCTCTGAGAAGAGCTGGCGAGACTCAGACGCCGAGTCGCCACCAATTCCCTTGACCATTTGGCTGACATCTCCAAGCAGATCATCACCATTGTCGCTCTCTGAGTCGCTTGGCACAGAGTATTTGACTGGCTGTCGGGCGCGAGATGCCGTAGGCTTAGGCTCCTCGTTGGCGATCTCCAAGAAGTCGTCATCGGAGTCTTCGTCGACCTTGACCTTTGGCTTGGGTCCCATTTTAGCGGCTGGCTTCGCAGCAGGCTTCGCGGTTGGTTTGGCAGCAGACTTGGCGGTCGGCTTGGGCTTCGGAGGCTCGTCGACATCCATATCGGAATCCATGTTGAATGGATCGGCGCTTAGAGCTGGCGATTTCGATGCTTGAGGAACATGGTCAATGCTGACAGAATCACCCTCCTCTTTGGGTTGGATTTTCGGCTTCGCCGCGGCGCGGCTCTTCTTCGGAAGGACTTCCATGTCCATGTCGAAATCGTCATCTGAGTCACCATTACCGCCTGGAGCAGGGGATGGGGTGGGGTTGGCAGATGATTTGTTGAGGAAAGTCATCAAGCTGTTGGTCTGAGGCTCTTTCTTCTTAGCTGCAGCGGCTTTCTTCGCCTTAGGGCCACCGAAGTCTTCGTCGTCTGGGTCGTCACCGTTGGCAACCTTACGTTTGCGTGAAGCCGCAGCGCGACTGCCACCGGTCGGTAGCTTAGACGAGACACGACGATTCTTGTCTAACCCAGCGGCCTTGCGGGCGAGACGCTCTTCTTCCGCAAGCTGGGTATCCCACTCCTGGATGAACTCATCAAGATCGTGATTCCAGATATCCTCCTTGGACAGCTTGATCAAGACGTCGATCTCCGTCTCCTTGTCGCCAATCTGGCGGCGGAGCTTCTCCACGCGCTCCTGAGTCAGCGACCACATAGGCATGCCTAGGAGGTAGTCAAAGGCACTCGATAGGTTCTCCGTGTCAGCATCCTCAGACTCCTCTTCGCCTTCTTCGACAACAGGTTCCTCTTCGCCCATCTTCGCAGCTTGGGCCACCTTGACAATAGGCTTGAAACCTTTGTCCTTGAGCTCGACAACCAGATGGGGCTTCTTCTTCTTAGAGATGACCAATTTTCCATCAATGATCATCTGCACGAAGCGAGCCTGGTTGCTCAGCTTTTCAAGCTCCCTATGTAGGTCGGACAGCTGGAACTGCTTGCGCTTTTCATAATACTTGAGGCGAATGGCGAAGAACTCCTTGAGAATATCGTCGACAGTCGCATATTTAGTGATACGGCCCTCAGGATCAAACGCAACCAGATTGCTTGTGGCAATAGACTTGCTCAACTTGAACTTCTCTTCCAATCCTTCAGTCAGAGCAGTCTTCATGTGCTTCTCGTCCAGTTGAATGACGAAGTGGACTTTGGTGTGGTTGTTGTAGTCCTTGTAGTCCTTGATAAAGGAAGGTACCTTCTCGGCCTTGATGATCTCCTCCAATTTGTCCTTGAAGTCCTGTGTCCAGGTACGGATTGGCAATTCTGTGATCTCGACCTCCTTGTCACCAGACTCTCTGATGATACCGCTGAATTTGAATCGATCACCGCCCAATGAGACAACCTCGCCGGTGAACCCACGGAACCAAGGCTGCATAGGCTCAGTCTGCTCACCATTCATGAGGCGCTTCAGATTGGCCACGATGTCGTGAGGATTGTAATTGGGAATGGAAGAGCTCCAACCAGTTCCAATACCATCTGCACCGTTCACCAAAATCATTGGAACGACTGGCATGTAGACTTCGGGCTCAATCTGCTTTCCATCGTCGATACCATACGAAAGCAATGGTTCATCAGCAGTGCTGAAAATCTTGCGCGCGAATGGGGACAGACGAGTGTAAATGTAACGAGCGCTGGCACAGTCGTTACCTCCCTGAAGTCGACTACCAAAGTTTCCACTGGGTTCTAGGACATTCACATTGTTGGAACCAACAAAAGTCTGGGCAAGGCCGACGATGGTCTGTTGAAGAGACACATCACCGTGGTGGTAGGCTGTGAGTCCAGACACGTGCCCAGCCAACTCAACGACCTTCATATCCTTCCTGAGGTTACGACGGAAACAGGTGTACAGCACTTTTCGCTGACCAGGCTTCAAGCCATCAACAACAGAGGGGATGGAACGCTGGTTGTCTGCCATACTGAACAGAATCAGCTCCTTGTTGATGAAGTCAGTGTAAGAAATCTTTGACACGGAGTGGTCCAAGTATGTTCCAGGTTTGTATTGACGCAGCCATTCTTTTCGTTCGTCTGCCTTCTTCTTGGAAAAGGCCAGTTCAATGAGCTGTGATTCTCCATCTTGCATGGTGTGGAATTCTTTCAGATGACGATCGAGGTCACGGAAATACACCTCCGCATCAGCTGTTGTGCTTGTTCCCAATCCCTTGTAATATTTGTGATCCCATCCACGTTCGTGTTTATGGAGTTCAAGCCACTCATCGTGCTCGGGCATGGTGAAGAACGACTTTGACTTGGTCGGTTTCTTAGGATCACCTTTCCAGACCTTCATGATGGGGGTGATGAACTCAATCAGGAATTCTGGAATCTTCAGCAAGCTGGGGAATTGGGCTTGGAGGAAGTTGATGAGAAGACCCTTGATGTGACTACCATCGTGATCCTGATCAGTCATGATCATGAGATGGCCATACCGCAGTCCCTTGGTTTCTGTGTACTCCTTTTTGTGCTGCAGTCCAATGAAGTTCTTGATGTTTTGAATTTCAGCATTTTTTGCGATCTGGTCGAATGAGGCATCGCGGACGTTAAGGAGCTTTCCGCGAAGAGGGAAAACACCAAACAGATCCGGACCAACGACTGATCTACCAGCCATAGCCAGTCCCTTGGCTGACTCACCCTCGGTCAAGATGAGTGTACAGCGGTGGCCATCCCTGGTACCAGCTTTGTTGGCATCCACCAGCTTGGGGTTGTTCATACGTGAACGGCGGCCAGTATCGCCCTTTTTCAGGATCTGGTCGGCCTTCTGCTCTGCAAAGTGCAAGATATTGGACATGACCTCAGTCTTGAGGACCTTCTTGTAGAAGTCTTCATCAAGGGCACACTTGCTACCAAATTGGCTAGCCTTGGTTGTCAATTGTTCCTTAGTCTGAGATGTGAAAGCCGGGTTCACAATCTGGGCGTTCACAAAGATGAAGATGTGGTTCTTGATCTGAGCCGCCTTCAACGTTGCTCCAGATTTATTCTTCTTTTTCACCTGGTCAGCCAAGCGATTGCAAATTTGGTCGGCGATGTAATTGACGTGGGTTCCACCGGAGGTAGTCGCAATGGAGTTCGCGAATGAGACCTGTTGGAAAGATCCATCCGAGACAGCGAAACCAACCTCCCATCGGGGATCCGGGCTACATGTAATGATTTCGTCCTTGGCGGGGGGGCCATCGTCGCCACGCTCTTTGCGGATTGCCTTCGTGTACATTTCCATGTACTTCCGGAAGCTGCGAATGGGAACCCGTGTGCCGTTCAATTTCACAGCAACATTGGCCGTGCCTGCCAAGTCATAGACTCGGCGCTTAACAAGAGCCTCAAAATCATCGTCAATGCCCTCCATGCCAAATTTGGCAAAGTCGGGTTTGAACGTGACCTTGGTGTAATCGGTACCTGAGCTCTGCGTAATCTTGGCCTTGCCCATTTTTGTCATGTTCTCAGTCCAAGTTTGCTTATACTTCTTCTGCTGTTCGGAATCTTGAGTCTCCAGACTGAACTCTGTTGAGAAGACATTGCAAAGCTTGGCACCGAAACCGTTACGACCACCGGTCACCTTCTGTTGAGTATCATCGTAGTTGGATGAAGTGAGCAGGTGGCCGAAAATGAGCTCCGGGATGTAGATGTTCTCCTTCTTGTGGATTTGAACGGGAATACCGCGTCCGTTATTCCATACACTGATCTCGCCAGCTTCGCGATCGATTGTGATGCGCATCTCACTCATGTTTGGGTCATTTTGTTTGTTGTCGGCGGCGTTCACCACGATTTCATCGAAGATCTTGTACAATCCGGGGACGAAGGAAACATCCCGGAACTCCATCGCCTCGTTCTCCGAATTGTATACCCACATCTGTTGCGTGGTGCGCTCGATCGATCCAATGTACGTATCGGGACGTTTAATGATGTGTTCGAGCTGGGTGAGCTGTGCAGAAAATCAAAGTCAGCGACCCGCCTATCTATTTCTCTCATCCGAACAAAAGAACGCACCTTTTGGTATTTGTCTGAGGCATTGCCATTCTTGCCCGCGTCGTTTGCTGGGGCATCTCCCCCGTGGGACTCATTTTCGACATCCCCCAGTGGTTTCGAGCCAGCTCGCTTGGGGGCAGCTGCTTTCTTGGCTTTCGGGGGGGTTTTTGACATGGAGTCATCATCGGACATTTGGATGTCAGACATTTCGTCCTCGCTGCCAGCCTGGGCCTTTTTCTTTGCCGCGGGCTTCATACTGAGTTTGGTCTGAGTAGCCTTCTTGGCAGCAGGCTTTGCAGGTGCCTTTTTAGGGGCGGCCTTCGCCTTTGGTTTCTTGAAACGCGCCAGGTCAGCAAGGAAAGGTCTAAAGTGGCATTGGATTGCGTGGAATTCCTACCGGTGCAGGCTCAGGGGCAAAATCAGAGCCACTGGCTTCATCCTCAAAGACTGAGTCATCCATCATGGAATCATCCATGACAGCTGATGGTGATATTGATCAAGCGGGCGCGAGAATAACTGACAGGCCCAATCAGGCCGTGAAGTAAGTAGCAAGCCGCGATTGCTGATTGCTTCTAACGTTGATATGGGTGTGTCTAAATTGCAAAGCAAACAAGACCCGGCATGCTCAAAGCCAGTAAAGGGTGAAAAGCAGATGAAACGAACGAGAGATGAAGAGGGGAAGCGCTCTGTTGTTTTTTGCCTGATACGCGACTGCCCGACTTTTAGGGCGGTGGGCAGTCTGTAGCCACTCGGATCATAATTCTTCCTCACCGCCTTCACATGATGCTCAAATAGGAAATCTCCAAACAAACGCCGGTTTGCTGTTTCTGTTAGATCTGTTTTCAATCACTCGATAGTACTGTAGGAAAAGCGTGTATGCTAGTAAGGTCAACAAAAATTCTATGAGATATTCCTCACTACACTTTCATTTATATGTAGCTTCAATTGATACCGGGAAAGACCCCTGACAGCAGGGATTTCGAACTATCTAGTGATACAATTCATTGTTGTAGTGGAAATTTTCTCAAGTACCTTGTTCTAAAGTGATTCAAAAAGTTCATACTCCGTATATCCCATGTAACTTGCATGGATTAAACCGAGAAGCAAGTTTATCAAACGAATAATGTTAGGCTAGTCCTCAGGTATTCAAGGTTGCCTTGAATTGGCCCTCATTCTTTTATCATGTCCTCGGCACAAATAGATACGGGGAGTTGGTATAGTTTGAGGAGCTCAAAGTAACTATATCATCTATAGATAAACCAGGGCGGGGTATCTATTTAGGGGTTCACATAGCCCTTGCATCGCCTTGGGTTTATATGTATATGTACTGTTACCCACATTTATACTCCGCAAGACTCGCGTGGCTATTCTATTGTATACAAAAGAATGCTCGTGCAGAACGACGTCATACTTCCCTAATATCTCCAGAGATGTAAAATGGGATCATCTCCGGAGAGCTTATAAAGTCTGCCCAAACAACACCATGCAGGTGGACTAGAGGATTTGCATGCTAGATACCAGATTCATGCCGATAGGTCTTCAAAACATTCTAAAGTTTAGTGCCAATGACATATCCCACGGGCTGTTATATCTATACATGGACTATCCTCGCTGGACCTCGGGCTCACCAACCTATAGGGCTCCGCCTATCAAGTAGGTACCAAGTCAACTATCGTGTTTACCCAGGTATACAGACATACCAATAGAATTCTGGCTCCTCAAAAAACAAAAGCGGTCACTGGCAAGCAAAAGCCAAATTGAGACTTCAGGAGGACCGCACCAGCCATGAGTCACAGAGACCCAAAGGAAAGTAATAGACACTCTTCACAATGACCCGGTAGCTGGGTATCACACGACCAATATCCAGCTACTGGCTAAAGCAGCTGGACTAAAAATATGTACCTAACGATGAGAAGCAATTGAGAAGCGATGGCGATAACTGAGGATCACCCCCATCGAAGGACCGTTATGGGGTCTGAGGTCCTCAAAGGGAGGATTCAGAGCAGTGTGGCCCACATGGAATGCAAGTCATGAAGCACGAGTCCCGCTAGAGGCTAGAGCTCATCGCCTACTGCATTTGTTCGTGTTCACGGGTTGAATTGAAGACCGCCCAGAAGCCTGGTAGACAATGCAACTGGAGCTGACTTCAGGACAACTAAGGCTTGCATTGTCCACGGGTGTCGAAGTGCCTCTTCGAGAATAGGATCTATGCATGTATGAATAATTGTTGGGATCTGCTTGGCGACCCTGTTTGGGATGACAGGGCTTGTTTGCCTCCATAGAGTAGATAGACTTCTCTCTCTCTCCTCTCTCTCTTTCTTTTCCCCGTCTTTTTTGGTATGAATACATCTGGATTCATCATTCTTCTGCTTCCATACGTATTCTATCAATAATTCGCTGATTTTTGACTCTGCACACGAAACCGACATTTTGCCTTACATGTTCTACATGCGATCTTTTCACCGTCGATCTCCCTTACAGGCTTTTGAACATTGTCCCGATCGCCTATGGATTCATCTCTACCAAAATGCTATGTATGACCTAGAGTTGAAGATGAAAATCCCAAATGCGATCGAAATGTGGAATCTGTCCGGTTCTTAGGTCGCGAAATGTCGACATCAAATTTGCATGGCCTGCACCCTTCAACTGCAGCCAATTCTGTAGCTAGCCCAGCCCTGAAGGATGTCGGAATGATAAGATAACACCAGTCCATTTCATCTGAAACTATTTTCCTTTATTCGTATCGTTTCCTCGTCTCAAAATCTCCACTACCAGAGATTAGAACAGAACCAGGACCTGATTATGGCCCCACAGATAGCTCTCGTAAGTGACACGCCATAAAGAAGAAATAAAAGATCCTTTGCACCGCAAGACACTGAATCCAGAACTTTTAACCCACACGCTTTCTGCGGCCGATCTGGGAACGGAAACCGGCTTTGATGGCGGCGACGGAGCGACGGGAACCACAGGCGTTGCAGGTAAGGAAGTAAAGACGGTTTTCTCCCTTGCTGAGCTCGGTGTCGGGGCTGCGGCAAGTCTTGCAAGTAACGTACTCGACAATGTACTAGATTGATCATGAGCGTGAGTCCGTAGATCCAAAGATCATGGAAGTAAGAAACATACCTTGCGCAGAACGCTCTCGATACCCTTCTGCTGGAATCGACCTGATGGAGCATTAGTATGATAAGAAGCGGTTTTATGGGCCGGGGAGTTGGATCAAAGGTACCTTTAATGACGAGGCGGCGACTACCGTCAACACTGCCACTGGTACCGAGTTCGGCGAAGAGGAACTGCATGACGTGGTCGTCTGAACGCTTCATGCGCTGACAGATCTCGCTCATGTTGGCCCAAATGGTTCGGCGGTTTCCTTCACGCAAGCACTGGGGAGGAGGAATCTTGTAGGACTTGGAGCCACCGGAGAGCATATCGGGGTGGTGGCTCTGAATGAGGGAGAAGAAGCGGGAAGCGAGAAGAGCGTAGGGAATGGTCTGTGTGGCGTCGTGTTGCCAGATGCCAGTACCGGCCTCAGGGTCACCCTCGGGAACCTCTTCGGGGGTCTCTTCGGCGGCCTCCTCGTCATCGACACCAGCCTCAGCGAGTTGGGCGTCAAAGTCCTTCGGGGTCTTGGACTTGCTGGACGGCTTCTTCTTCTTCTTCTTCAGGGCGGAAGGATCGAATTCGCCATCGGCAGCGGGGGCTTCTTCGTCATCGCCAGCTTCGGTGGTCTTGGACTTCTTGGAGGACTTCTTCTTCTTTGAGAGACCCTTGAACATCTCAGTGACCTCGTCGACATCCTGCTCTGGAAAGGGACAATCGTTAGTGGGAATGCGATCGGGGCCAAAGAGCTCCTGCGTACCACCGGTGGGCTTCTCAGCCGGGGGAGCGTCTGTGACTTGTCCGTTGGTATCCATGATGACCGAACCTTCACTGAAGGCAACGGATTTACGCTGTTTAGTCTCGATTTCCTAACGGAAAAGCAAAAAGCAGGGTCAGTTGTGAAAGACAGAGAGAGAATGAGCAAAAAGGCGGTATGGGTATCAAGAGCCCCAGTCTTTCTCTTTCAGGCGTAAATATGGGTGGCGGCCGAGGGGTCGGAAAGAAAATGTGGGAGGGTCGGTAAAAAGACATGCAGGGTGTGACATACAGCGTCCGCCATATTGGGTGGCTTCAACGGCTCAATTCCTTCAACCACGAGTTGTTAGAGGGCAGATATAGTTCTTGTGAACAAGATGTGCTTGATTAATGACGAGACAAGGCAAATTTGTCGCTTGAATCTGATATCGCCCACCTAAAGCACTGTGCCTGTTATCGCAGGCCTGTGCACGTGACCACATGAGTCAGGGCTGATATAATCTTGATTCTATAGGTCACGTGATTGCACCTCAAGAGGGTCACGTGGACACGCGTGAGACCCATGGAACTTCCGCCCAGTGGAACCCTGGAACGTCCCATGGAAGAAATGCGCATCAAATTGATCAAAGTCAACCTGGACCCTCCAGATGTCATTTGAGTAACTTCTTTCAAGTGCCCAGGTGTGCTCGGGTCATTTAGTTGACCACGCAAGGGGTGGGCACTCAGCAGCTCGTACTCCGTGTGCTGTTCGGTCTGACGTTCGGCGTGGTACCACCTATCATCATCTCGGCCAGCCTCCCCTGGTTTCTTTGATTGCGTGGGAGGACTACAGAGTGAAGCTGCAGGGGGGTGGTAATGGTATTACCACTGAGAATCTGACAGTCCACCAATCAGACTAGACTGTGGGCAGAATTTACCCAATCATGTTCCTTCAACCCAATATCAGGATACCAAGGTATATCCCGCATACGCAGTTTCAGGCCATCTGCATATGAAATCGTACTCCGTACCTGCATATGATAATGTGGTGATGGGTTTCAATTGAGAGACATGATTTATGGTAGAAAAGGGAAAGAACGAGAGAGCAAGAGATGTGTTGCAACGAGTTGTACATTGCAACGCTACAAGTGGAAATTCATACACAAAAACTGGAGATCCGTGGACCCCTGAATAACAGAGTCTCCGAACCAAATCAAACATACCCCCGTCGAGCACTCCGTGTTCCGTAACTACAAACTTGAGAGATGGCAGAAATTAGAGCCACAAAGACGAGAATAGTATACCAAGTAATATATTGATTTCACTGGTCAAACAGTCGGTGTATGATCGACGGAGCCGAGACTCTAGGAGGGGAAAGCTAAAGGGGGGGCTAGCGAAATAGGGTGGGCTCCTCTCCTGACTCCCTTTTTCTTCCAGCCTTCTAAACTACATACTCTCATAAGGTCCACTCGAACTGGAAATTCGATCTCAGTGATCGCATACATCGCACCGACAGTCCTGCACCGCTATGCAGCAGACCTAAAATACCCGACATCTACGCGCCAATTCGAGCACGAGCACGGAGTATAACTGGGGGTTAAACAATATCGCGTCACACAATGGAAGCAGAGCCAATGTCCCCCAGCGTCCCTCATGCGCCAAATCATGACTCGATGGTCACTGTTGCGTTGTCCGATAAACAATCCAGCTCCGAACACACCCAACCTGAGTGGTGTACGCTCAACGTTCCCCCAACTCCATTGGAAATGACCCATTTGGAGGAGAGTGAGGGGTCAACTGGCCCGGTGCCACTTCAGGACGCAGCGCGGACCACTCCCACCCCCGAAGACGACATGCCGACACCGGGCGCAAACAGCGAGAGGCAAGAAGCCGAGATGTCCGACAATGACAATGAAGTGGACTGGGAGAATCTTGATAAGACTGAAGAACAAGAGCCGCGTGGGGAGGGATCCGATGAGGTGGGTGGCAGCTCTGGCTTCTGGAATCGGAATGGAGCGCTAACATTCCTGTCCTAAAATTAGTCTACCGCTCTCCTTCTCGCCCGACTCGAACAAGAGAACAACGCCCTAGCCACAAACCCGAAGTCTAGGATACCCGATGTTCCGAATAGCAAAAGACATCAGCGGCAATCCCGATCCGCGTCGCTGCACCATATTAAGCGACTCATCAAGGATCCGACTCGGGCGGAGCTGCGATATTCCCAGCTCCCACCCCCTCCAATGACCGAGTTAGAGTTCTGGGCTGCTCTCGTAGCTGATTACCACCAAACTGCTCAAAGATTGCCAACATTGACATCAAACAAGATTCAAGGGGGTGTGCCTCCCCCGTTGCGAGGTGTGGTGTGGCCCAGTCTAGCGGGCGCACGCGACCCTACTCTTTTAAATGAGTTCCAAAGACTCCAGGGCGAAAGTAGCCCATACGATGGATTAATAGGGAAGGACATTGGCCGCAGCTTTCCCAATGTGGAGATGTTCCGGGATCCGAATGGCGAGGGCCAACAAATGCTTGCCCGAGTGTTGCGCTGTTTCAGTCTCTATGACACCAAGATTGGATATTGTCAAGGTCTTGGGTTTGTGGTTGGCCCGCTTCTCATGCACATGACGGATGCCGAAGCCTTCTGTGTTCTTGTTCGGTAAGTTCCATAGAACCTGGCTCGATGGGAGATCGGTACTAATGCACCTTGCTAGTCTCATGGACCACTACAACCTCCGAACTTGCTACCTTCCAGATCTTTCGGGCCTTCACCTTCACGTGTATCAGTTTCAGAACCTGTTGGCACGTCACCGACCTGCTTTATTCGAACATCTGGAGTCACTGCATGTCGAACCTGTATATGTATCGCAGTGGTTCCTGTCATTCTTTGCCGTGGCCTGTCCACTTCCCATGCTCCTTCGAATTTACGATGTCATTTTCTTAGAAGGCGCCTGTGAGACATTGATGCGAGTTGCTCTTTCCTTGATGCAGCGCAACGAAAAGAGAATCCTGGCGTGCACCGAGTTTGAGGACGTGATGCAATTGTTGTTGTCACGGAGCTTGTGGGATACGTGAGTAACTCATGACACGAAGAGATTTTTCCAACGAACTTTACTGATCCAGGTCTCCCAGTTACGCGTTCAATGCTGATGATCTTGTGAATGACTTTGTGTCTCTCACCCCTCTTGTGACCAATGAGAGTCTTCAAGCCCTTGAAGCCAGCTACAACCAATCCACCGGCCCCTCGGCTGGAGTTTCTGCATCGCAAATGCAAGCCACAGCCTCTGGGTTCCTTGGCCGCCTATGGGCTGGCTCATCGAACAATCACACCTCGGTCAAGTCGCTTAACCCCAACACCAGTCCATCGCGAGCAAACAGCACCATACGCCGATCCACTTCCAAGCAAAGCTTGACATCTACCCTAAATTCCATTGAGACCATCTCCGATGCGAGCACCGCGGCCACTGATCTGTCCGCGACAACAGCAAGTGATGGCCAAAAGACACGCATCAAGTCTACCATGTCCTCACATCACAAAGACCGTGATCTCCATACTCAAATCGAGGACCTGCTGATGGCCCTCAGTGATCTCCAGCGCCAGCAAGCCGATCTCACCCGTGAACTGCAACAAGAAAGAGAGGAGCGGGAAGAAGATCATACATTAGCCAAGGAGATGTTGAGCCAGCTCCGAGAACAATCAAATGACCCGGCGTCGGCGGAGCTGATCACAATAGCGGCGGCACGCTTTGAGTCAGCCCAACCTAAGCGCATCTCTATCACCCAGACCAAGCTTCAACTCAATGACGAAGTCACTCGGTGGAAGCAAATGCATCAAGTGGAGGCTGGCCGCTGCTTGAATCTCTCCCGGCGCATTGACGACTTTGAGCAGGAAAACTCATCCCTGAAGGAGCAGCTACGAGAGGCCCGTGGTCGGATTCAGGATGGTTATCGTGACCGACAGAGACTTGAACGCATGAACAAGGAATTGCGTACCCTCAAAACCCCCGATTCTTCCACGCCTCCAGACACTGCACCCTCCTCCGCAGTCGATGAGGCCCAGTCTCCCACCAGCGGTCTCCGTGAGCTCAAACTTGCCCGGAACAACTCCACCAAGACAAAGAGCCCCAGTTATAACAAACGCACCAGTATCCTGGGCCTGCAAACCGTCTTGTCAACGGAGAACAACAAGCCCGCTGCAGATGAAGCGCTGCTTATGGAGTTGGTCAACGCCAAAACTGCCGAGGCTGTAGCTAAACAAGAGCTCGAAGAAGTCAAGGGCAGACTCGACTCATTAAGAAAGATGGTCAGTGGTTCCCAAGGGGCAAAGACCGATAATCGCCATTCGCTGATGGGCTTGTCGGCGTCGCGAATCAACTTGGCCAATCAATCTCCCCCTGAAGCCCCAAAGACGCTTGGGACGCCCCCCAATAATGGAGGGGGATTCTTTAGCGGATGGGGTAGGCGAGCGCCAACCAACGAGTCCCTCTCATGATCCTAGCAAACAAAGACGTGTAACATATCGGAAGGCTTTGTGAGGCGTGCATTTGTGTTACAATAGGTCAGCGATGTTTCTTTTCTATTCGAGTACATAACGATATCCCCATCCAGAAGTACATATGTCAAATCTATTTGGTGAACATGAGTATCAGAATTCCAATTCCAATTGAAGAGAGAGCACAGAACCAATGAGTCAATTCCAGTTTCAAAAGACCCCAAGTCAAAGAGCATCAAACATTGCAGATCCGGCCGATGCCGAGAAAGCTCAAAATGTTGATAGGGCTGCCGTGATTATTTACACCCCTGACGCTATTCCTTATTCCTCACATTTTACGCTAACTTGCTTTTTTTTTGTGAATAGCCAAGGCAACAGAGAAATGAACACTCAACTGCCACTCGCTACTCGTACAGTCTTGGCCTCTCGGCAGTCTCCAGTATTCAATGTTGGCCCAGTACCATTGGTCGGAGTGCTCACGATGGGCCCAATCCACTATTCACAGCTAGTGAATTATGGAGCCAGGCCAAGAATCTTCGTCTAAACATTTCTTTAAAACCCCCAAGGCTTCTGAATTCTGCATCATGATTCTTTGCCCGAAGTATGGTTACCTTCGTGGCGCTGCGGAGGCTTCTGGATTCATCGAAGCTCCGCTTTGCCGCTGCTGCATTGTTCCTAGTGGCGTTCTTGGTTGTTCCTTATACTAGAGAACAAACTCTAGCTATAATACCGTTGAGAGAAGAGCCAAGGTAGGTGTTTGGGTCTTTGCCATCGAGCTTTGCCATAGCCCGTGGGGGATTGCTTCATTCTGACTTGTTTCAGCCCTACAGCAAAGCCCGTTGATCCGTTCCCGAGCGATTATGTCGGGGAGTATGATCATGGACTCCAAATGATTAACGATCCCTACCCGGATTATGAGACTGCACAATGGAAGTCCATCTCGGCGGCCCCCTACGAGGCGTGTAGGGGTCCCCACGGGGGGCTTCTTAGTCGAAAAGACGAAGATTTGATGATGAGCGGATACCCCCGGAACACCTCAAGTACGAATACGAATTCATCTTTCAGGTTGGAATAATCATACTGATGATCGACCCAGACTTCCCAACTCCCATCTTTGGCTCATACGAGGCCTGGGGCTTGAACCAGAGCTTGTGCGCCGATCGGTATTCCCGATACGGTGCATATGGCTTTCTACAAGGGAATGATTCGACTAGAATACAGAATTGGAATGGCACTTTTGGATCTGATCAGGCTGCCGAAATAGACTGGGAAGCGGTCAACTGGTCGAATCTGCAGGATGATTGTCTGCAACGCAACCGTAAAAGATACCGAATGACAGAAAGCTCTGGTGGGAGACTTGTTGCCCTTTACAAGCCACTGGATTCAGATTCACAAAATTCTCCCATGCCGGTCAATGGGACCGGGGGCATCGCGCAATCTCGGACGGCTGTTGTTTTGCGCTCGTGGATTGGAATGAAGTATACCAAAAATGACTTGTATCACATTCGCTCGATGATCATGGAGCTTTCTCTGTTCTCTGGTGGAGAGTATGAAGTGATCCTGCTGATTGATTGCCAGGATGAGGAACTGCCCGCGGAAAACGCGTCTGCGGCCTGGGAAGTATTCAGACAGAAGCATCTGCCTCAAGAGCTACGGGGATTGGCGATGTTCTTCAACACCAAGATGTTGGGTGACTGGTACCCAGACATTGACATTCACGTGTATGTGTCTACGGCGACTTGAAAGAAGCAATCTTACTAATGTTCATCACCAGAGCAATATTGCAATATTTCCAGCCCACGCAAATTTTCTCACAACTGCATCCCCAGTACGACTATGTATGGCAGTTCGAAATGGATTCGAGATACACCGGCCACATGTACGACCTACTGCACCGGGCCACTGACTTTGCGAAGGGACAACCACGCAAGTATCTATGGGAGCGCAATTCTCACTTTTATATCCCCACCGTCCATGGCCGCTGGGAAGAATTCATCCAAAAAGTGGATCGGGAGATGTCTGGCCACGATAGCGTCTGGGGTCCTGTTCCAGTAGAAGGGCTCAATGTTGAAGTAAATGCTTCCATGCCCCCTGTTGCGCACCCAGATGACGAGCCTGGCACTTGGGGCGTGGGCGAAGAAGCTGATCTTATTACCTGGCTTCCGCACTTCAACCCGGTTGACACGGAGTGGCCATTCCGAGACCGGGTCTTCAACTTCCCCCAAGACCAGGAAACTCCACGTTGGGCAGCAGTCGTTGCTATGTCACGTATCTCCTCGAAATTGCTTGGGCTTCTTCACAAGGACAAAGTGCAGTCAGGAGTCGGACTTGCATCGGAGATGTCACCCATCTCCTGGGCTTTATACTATGGTCTCAAGGCAGTCCAGATCCCTCATCCGATCTACCATGACTTCCACTGGGACCCTGTGGAGCTAAACCGTCGTGCTAATCCCGGTGAACCCGGCAAAGTCAATGCTGGAAAAGACAGCATTTGGAGCTGGGGTCAGCACGACGATATCATTCTCAATTCAACGTTCATGTTCAATTCAAAGTTTGCAGAGAAGCTCTATCGAGCATGGTTGGGCTATGATGGGGCTGAGGAGGTGAGTTTTTATAGACCGTTCCTCAGAAATTGCAATTGTATTGACTGTGTGCAGTGGGAAACGAGAAGGCCCCCACTGTGTCTTCCTCCGATCTTTCTCCATCCCGTCAAGAATCTGGAGCCGGTCAAAACGAAGGATTTCTGATCCTACCACAATTATTCATCAGATGTAAGATAGCGGTGTTCGGCGTACAAAGGCAACGGGTGCCACTATAGAGTGAGTCTAGCTATTCTGGACAGGCTGTCAATCTGATCCATGTGAGGGAGCCCCGCAGGTTCTATTGAAGAGAGTGTCAAGGGGAATTTCGGAGAGTGGTGATGTCTAGTTTCGGCATATGTTGAGCCTCATACGAGATTTCATATTTACTATGATACTTTGGCCAAAGAAACTACGTGGTCATAGACAGTCAATGCTGTTTTTCATTTGTACCTAACTATTGAAAGAGAAGACTGAAGTCATTCTCAGGGCCAGAGCAGCTGAATATTCATCAGAATGGAGAACACAAAAGAAATAACCGCAGCCACCCGCTTGTCTGCCCTATGCCCCATCTTTTGTATTGTCCTCCGATTCGTAGATACCAGACCACCATCTAGGTGCTGTCCAGCTTCGAATCCTCCTGGTCGCCATCCTCAATATCGGCGTCGGCGTTTCCATCAGATCCACTGGTGTTGAGAGCCTCAGCCTCAGCCTCAGCCTCGAGGTTGGCATTGGCATTGGCATTAGCAATAACGTTGGTGGGGTTGTCGACGGGTTGAAGAGGGCTGGAATCCAAGTTCTCGGCCGCCTCCATTTCGTCAAGCTTCTTCTTGAGTCGGGAAAAGCGGACGGAGGCGACACTGGGCTTGATATCAAGCTGCTTGGCAACGGATGCCATGTTGACCTAGAGCCAGAACGTTAAGGACTGAAGAAAAGAGACGCGTTGCAGTTCTCACCTGAGAGCCTCCAGACTTGAAGCACATCCACAAGAAAACCAGGCTCTTCTTCATGTCGGACTCCCTGACCGGACCAGACTTGGTAGGAGTCTTGGTGGGAGTGCGTTTGACCACCTTCTTAGGGGTGACCTGCTTGGGTGCCATTGTAAAAGAGAATAGTAGATATGTTTTGAATATGAGATGTGTAGAGGGATGCGTGTAGAGATGCGTGAAAGTAGAAAGAAAGTAAAAAGAAAAGAGAAAGAAAAGAAAAGAAAGATGTCGAGTCACAAGTGTCAACATGTTGCGTGGACTTTTCGGGACAGTTCAGACAACCCAGACACTTTCATTTCACTTTGACAACACAACAACCAGAGGTTCCATTCCAGTCATTCTTTGCACACTTTTCTCTTTACTGAGCAATCTCACTCTCCATTGATCTAATCCATACAGTCTCAACAGATCTAGCACTGGTAGTATCGCCTTGGACCTCGTCCTTTCACTCTGTGTTTCTCTGCGGTTTACAAGATGCCAAACACCACTTCCAACGAAGCCCTCGCCCTTCTTTGGGCTTATGAGTTGAATCGTGAGAACAAGTGCCTGTTTAAAGGACTCACGAAAGTCCAACGTCGTCTGTCCAAACGTGAACTCAAGACACCACAGCATGTCAACCATGATCCACGCCTGCACGCTGCAGCAGAACAAGCAGTCTCAAATCTCTCATCCCGTCCGGATATCAACGGATCTGACGATGGGAGTAACTTTCAGCCATAAAGCCGAATCGGAAGTGCTGGCAAACATCAATATCAACCGTTCCTACTTCACAGTCCACGCCCTGATATCAATAACTCGACACCCTCTGGACTGCTTGACGCTCATAGGAAGCGAGCATATACTGTATCCAAATCAAGTCATCTCGGCCTCGATGATCGTCCCATGCATAACCTCTCGGACCACATATCCCCGATCGGAGTTAACCCGATGCGGGGAGATATGTGAACACCTGAGGAACCTCAACTCTCTATTTAACATCCATCAGGAGGAAGTCATTGTCACTCGCACGCAAATCATATTGATATAATGGTTCTAACTCAGCCCCCAAATCAGCATGTCACAAGGGCGTTCGATCTCAGCGGTAAAGTCGCGGCTGTCACAGGTACGAGACTCCATCACACAAAAGCGCTAGACTAACAAGCTGATACAGGAGGAGCTCGCGGAATCGGTCTGGAAGTGTCCAGAGCTCTAGCAGAAGCCGGTGCCAATGTCGACTACACTTCCATCGATCTGTGGTCATGTACTGATGTATGCAGGTGGCATTGATATACAACACCTCTACCACGGCCGATAAGATTGCAGCCGAGATCGCATCTGCCAACAACGTTCGCGCGGCAGCCTACCAAGCCAATGTGGGTGTTCAGTCTGAGATTGAGGCCGTGGCCCAGCAGGTCAAAAAGGATTTCGGGAAGCTGGATATCATTGTCGTCAACTCTGGGGTTGTCTCAAACATTGCTGCCGAAGACTACACCGCTGACCAATGGAGTGAGATTATGAAAGTGAATCTCGATGGTGCGTTCTTTTCTGCTCAAGCGGCTGGTAGAATCTTCAAGGAACAGGGCCATGGGAATGTGATCTTTACGGCTTCGGTCAGTGCAACCCTGGTGAATGTGCCTCAAAAGCAGGCCGCGGTAAGTCGATTTCAACGAAGCTATCCTTCCTTTCACTAATGAACCCAAGTACAACGCATCCAAGGCAGGGGTTGTTCAGCTGGCTAAGTGCTTGTCCGTTGAGTGGGTTGATTACTGTCGCGTCAACTGCATCTCACCTGGTTTCATCGCTACCGATATTCTTGATATCCACCCCAAGGAATGGCGCGAGAAATGGCTTGACATGATACCCGCCAAAAGAATGGCTGAATGTTATGAGCTGAAGGGGGTAAGTTTTAGATACCTTTTTCCTCCTGTACTTGCCTGATAACCCCTTCTAGGCCTATGTTTTCTGTGCTTCGGATGCGTCTAGCTATATGACAGGCGCCAACCTCATCATCGATGGTGGCTACACCCTACCTTGAGTGATCAGGTTTTATGCTTAACAGGAATTCTACTCGGGTTGAGAAATTGGGGATGCCCAAGAGAAAATATTTGTCAGCTTGCTCTGCAGAAGCTGTGCACCCATTTTTATGGCACGAGAAGAATTAAGTAGAATTAAGTACCAACGGGCTCAATTTGACCAAGATAATTTTGTTTTGGAAACACGTATGTATAGATACAGACATCACATATCAGCCCGCCATGCTCAACGATCCACCTTTCTCTCCTGATATTCACTCATAGTCACTCAAGCTAGGCGGTAGATCTGCAGTATGTGTTCCCCATTGACTCTCCTTAGAACCTAATTCAAGTTCAAGGACACCACCTTCGGTGAAGAAATCATGAGTGAACCAGTTCTTTGTCCACGTTTTGCCATTCCACTTGGCGGATTGGATGTAGATTGACTTGTAGCTGGAATCAAAATTGATATTTCGGATAGTGAATACCTTTCCAGTGATATCGTTGCGAACACTGACTTCCTTGAAGTATGGCGGGGTGATGAGATAGACATCTTGACCAGCTACAGGCCAGACGCCCATCATGCTGAGAACGATGAAAGATCCCATGGCTCCACTGTCATCGTTACCAGCAAGGCCGTTTACGGAAGTGTTGAATTGAGACGGGATGTAAAAGTGGCTTTGCTTTGCCGAAAGGCCGGGACGTCCGGCGTAGTGGAACTGGTAGACGGGCAAGAAGGCCTGCTCGTCGCCGACATAGAGCAATCCAGAGTCATGGAGATAACTCAATCGTGAAGTGAAAGACTCGGCGCCGCCAAGGGTTTTGATTAGAGACCCCATATCATGGGGTGCGTAGCTGGAGAATGGTTTTATTAGCCACACACGGAGAAATAAGACAAAAAATTCGGATTGGGAACATACAAGGTATACATCCACGCGCTACCCTCATAAGTCTCGTGACCATCAGGGTTAAGATAGCAAGAATCGAAGTTCAAAAGTGGGCTGCAGAAGATCGGATCCTGGTAGGCCCATGTGCCGTTCATGAATCGAGGCTGGAGGTATCCAGTGAAACCAGTGTCAACGCCTTTGATGCTTGACTTCTGGTCCGGTTTGAAAACGTGAGCCCAGTTGCCTGATCTTTTCGTGTATTTCTCTTGGTCGGCCTCGAGCCCCATGCCCTGAGCCATCTTGGCGATACAGAAGTCATTGTAGGCATATTCGACGGTCCTCGAAACACTTCTTGTATGGGTGCCTTTGCCATAGGGATCGTGATCTTGGTACGGGATATAGCCGAGGGGTTTCCAGCTGTGAAGACCGCCGCGGCCTTCAACGTCCCAATTCGGTGCCTCGACCTCGGCGTCTTTTACGACAGCCTCATAGGCAGTATCCCAATCGACGCCGGGAATCTTTTTCAGATATCCGTCGGCTATGACGACATCGGCATTGGAGCCACCTTGTGTGTTGCCCTTGCAAAGCGACATGCGGCAGTCGGGCAAATACCCTTCGTGTCTGTATGTGTCAATCAAGCTCCGAATCATGAGCGATTGAGATTGAGGGTCGACCAAAGTCAGTAGTGGATGGATGCTACGGAAAGAGTCCCAAATGCTATGACCATGCCATTAGTATACCCACAAAATTGTCAAAAGGAGTTTGTTCTCACCAATAAAAGCTGTCGTAATATGGCTCGTCACTTTTCCAGAGAGGGTTCTCGCCGGTGTAGTCCTGGGGGCTGATCATTGTTCGGTATAATCCACTCCAGAATATTGTTTGGAGATCAGAAGAGACATCAGTCGTATCCACGGACACTACATCTAGCTTCTTTTTCCAGGCAGATTCAGCAGCCAAAACAGTGCCTTCGAAGTCCCAGTCGGGTTGCTCTCGCTCTGCGTTAGAGCACGCTTGCTGAATACTGATGAAACTGACCCCAACGCGAGCCAGAATGGTGCCGTCTTTCGGGGTATGGAATCTGGCAAATGAACCAGCTGAGGCAGTAGCCCCTATGTTGGCTCCGAGTTCCAAAGTGTTTCTGCCACTGTTGGTCCTGTTCTTCGCCCAAATTCCGGTGCCACGAAGCTCAGCTCCCTTGAAGTCGACGCAAACGTAAGACTTATAAGTTCCAATGCCAAAGCTGGGAGCGAAAACACCACTTCCGGTCAGACGGCCAGTCTCTGGATCAACATTGGCAGTCCCATTTCTTCGTGACTGGGGCAGGTCCATCAAGTCCAGGAGGATAAGCGGGCTGAGTGGTTCGCTGGTATTAGTGAAGCTGAACTTGTACAGAGCCGATCGATTCGTTGTTGTCATTTCTGCATGGACGCCATTTTCCAGCGAGATACCGAAGTAACCCGGACGAGCTTTGACGGAATTTTTGTCCCAGGCAGATGCTCTATCAGACTGCTGCCACTTGCATTGGTTGAGATCATCATGTGGACAATTGGCTTGAACAAAGATGGGGAAGTTTCCCATCGACGGTGACTGTTCAAATGTTAGAGAAAGCAAATTGCTTGTTCACTGGCGTAGCTTACGCCGCCAGTTCCATCGTCATGCATGTGTGAGAATCCGGTAACCACCTCGGTATCATAAGCAAAGCCAGCCTGGTTCTCACCCGCCGTGTCTGCTACAGCTTTGGCCATTCCTATTTTGGTCAGTAACTGTATTGGGAGAGACATCTAGAGCAGAGCACCGTACCGTATGGCAGGGTGGCGCCTGCAAAAACATGGCCTGCGAGCAATTGTCAGAATTCGACTGTCGAAGACTTGATTTGATGCTGTACGGACCTCCCTTCGCTGTACCGATCAAAGGATCGACATATTTCAAGACTTCCCCGTTTGAATCATTCACGGCAATGACGCTAGAGCCAAAATAAAAGGTTGCGAGTCCACCCAGGAGACCTAAGCGGAGTGATAGACGTGACATAATGAATCCAGTGTACTCACTCTCACCACACACAATCCCGCAACAGCTGAAGAACCGACGCGACTAAGGGACTTTGCAGCTCCTTTATTTACCGATCGGCAAAGGGTCGCGGGGAAAGAGCATTCCAGCTTCGATCGGCATGCGAATTGCCGGTCCAGGAAAGAACCAATCACCGCTGTCCAGGCCAAATGGCAATTCAAGAGACGTAGCATCGAAACGAGTCGGTGTCACATTGGTGTTGAGATACAAACACCCATTTTGGTCCTTGACAATGGGCCTAGCGGAATTAACCGCAAAGATGTGCGTGGAATCTTCCCAAATGGGAGAGTCCTAAGGTCAAACGAGCCTGGTTTTGCGGTGTGTTGATCATTGAAGCCCGAGGACCCAAGTCCCCCGAGCTGCGGGGAAAATACTGCGCTATTCGGGCACATCCGTCATCTCCGAGATTGTACCGGCACTGATCCACACCCATCATGTAACGTTCTCCGCGTTATACCGTGTGAGATATACAGAGTAACTGGAGGTGACATTGGCTTTGTGTTATCCCACGGGTGAATTGCCGAAATTGAGACCATGCAACCAGCATGTCAAACGGTATTCGGCGAGTACCAACCACAGGCTAGTTGTGAAGAGAGAGAAAGAAAGAAAAACAGCAAGGAAAGAAAGAAAGGACGTGAGATCCCACAAAGCCCCGATCAGGTGATACCTGAGGGTTCGGTACATGGAGAGATCTCGGCCGTAAATGCTTGTCGCTCTTTTCGTCTGCCGAATGAAGCCAAACCAAGTCGGGAATACCCAGGGCGTCTGACTTCAATGCACCGGGCTTCTTGGTATGTTGTGTGAGATTGCCGACGAACTAGCAATGGCAGTAGATTCGCGGGACAGCCCGGAATCAAGGTCCGCTTTGATCTGCAGGTTTTCATTTTGTATTTTCAGATATTCTTTTTGCAGACTGGTCTTCTCCCGCAATGATTCCCTATGTGATTGAATCTCTTGCATCACCAAGCTTAGCTGATTTTTGAACTGAATTTCTTGCGTGTCTGGATCTGTGCCATCATGTGGCAACGCCAGATATTCCAGAAGTTGAGGGTACATCTCTGTGATGGGGGATAGCTCCGCCGAGCTATCAGCACTGGATTCTTCGGTTCGGTTCAAAGCAGGGGGTCCAATCCGGGGAGTCCCCAATGATTTACGCGCCAATCCTCGAGGCGAGGAATCGCCCCGAATTGATTCTTTTGGTGACGGCGCATCCTGTGGTTGCAATGAACGAGCAGTTTGGGTTGTGCCCCTAGAGCCAGTTGGGGACGCCGATGACATCGTGAGCTGTGGCGGAGCACGATCCCAAGATCTTGCTCGACAAGAAGGACAGTGGAAGTTATTTGCAGAGCGCACCACGTCCTGGAGACATGCTGTATGGTAGGATCTACAGCATGTTTGACAACCAATCAAACTGTCGGGGAGGCGGCACTCCCAACAAACTATGTTATGAGGCCGCCCAGCATCTGTCAAATATCAGTATCTTCTCCAGGTGCCCAGGTTATGAGCTAGCACACCAATCCATTCGTGATAAACACGAACCTGCTCTGGACCTGAAAGAACAGGCTGGGTCGAAGATATTGAACCCCAGCGTATCTGGCTGGGAACATCTTCTTCAATTGACCGAAATTGAGGCGGAGATTTGCCTTGATTTACAAGAAATGTTGGTGTCCGTAGCATAGTGGGGGATGAGGATGAATGACGACAGGATGTACAAAAGAAAGTGATGCCGTTTGATCCGAACTTGAGGCGAGCAAATCCCGTGGATTATGTAATCTGCGCCCTGGACATCATTTCTACACATTCTCCATGGTGGAATCCTGAATATCGCATATTTTGAATCCTGGGATTACTTAAGTTCTTGTGCTCAAGTGTTGTGGAGATTCATACAGCCCCTAGGGTCCGGGATCACCGAGGCCAGGACCATCGTATTCGCCACTATGCCCGGGGTGCCATCTAACAAGGCTTGCGAGCGATGCAAGAAGAGGCATCTGAAGGCGAGTCTCATGACTATTAGATGCTGATTACACCTACCTAACACTCACTAGTGTGATGAAACCCGTCCACATTGTCAACGATGCATAGCTGCGGGAGTCGAGTGTCCGGGGTATGTTCAAACACGCAAGTTTATTGACCAGGGAGCAACCGTAAGACGCCGATATGCACCATATCAAGAGGCTCATTCAAAAGCGGGTTCTGGGTCAAATCCGAGCAGAGTATGTGGAAGTTCCGGTCAATCCGAATTTGTTCAGGCGCTTATGTCGTGAAACAGGCTCCTATGGAGCAAAGCTCGGATCTCACACAGCAAGAAGATTCTCAGGCGAAGATGAAAGAACGCACCATGCAATGGAATCAGCCGTCAGAGCAAAATAGTCCTCTTCACTTGCAAATGGAAGAGACAAGATTGGATCCTAGGAATGATCCAGTGAGAATGGACGTATCTCACCCTAGCCCGTCACAGGCGGAGCAAGAGTCGCCTCAGAGAAATATCCTCAATGCCTCAGAAGCAACAAATACCTATGTGCCTCACCAACCCCTCGACATCGGAGAAAGCAGGATATCCACGCCAGACACAACTCATAAGTCGATCTCCCCAAATACTTCCTCCAGGGGCTTTCCGACATTTGAGCATACTCTGAACTCTAGTACATTCCCATCCCCCGGACCCCGGTGGGTTCAGCCCTCAGAAAGCTTATCACACCGAAGTGAGAAGGAAGAATTTCAGGATATCTTCTCGGAGCTCATGACTGGAACTGAACATGAAATTGCATTTCTTACTAGACACTATTCCGAAGTTATCGGGCCTTGGTATGTGCTGGTTCTTCGGACTTAACTCGATAAGTACGCTAATATTTCAGTTAGGTTGGACCTTTCCGATACGGAGAAGTTCTTTACCGTCTATTCTCCTGTTCGAGCAATCAACAATACATCTGTGAAGTATGCGATTGCAGCTCTGGCAGCAAAACACCTTGCCCGGGTGAAAGGAATCACATCGCCAAATGGCGGGATATTCACAAGCCCTGCGACAACCGAAGTGTATCCCAATGCAACCCAGGTGGATTGGTTCCTCAAAGCGGCCAATTATTACTACCTGGCAGCTTCGGACCTGAACAACCTCACTTCTGACGGTTACACGACCGTATCTAGTTCTGCTGTCTTGGAATCGCCCTTTGAAACCATCCACCGGTGGATTAGATCTCCTCGAAACCAAACACTTCTGAAACCCATGAGTGAAGACCCGGACGATGTGGCTGTTATCAGAAAAATGGAAGAAATGCTGGTCACAGCTGCGATCCTTACCATGTACAGACTGTTAGATATGCCCGGCGATGGATGGCACATGTAAGTTGCTCGGAATCATCGCGATTCGATGTTCACTGGACTCCGAGGCTATCATCTAACTATTTACTGTAGGCAACTCTCCTCTATCCGCCCCTTGTTCGATTCTATACTCCAAATCCATAACGCAGCGTCCGCTCCGTTCTCGCATGGAATTCGGGCTGCTTTCTGGAACTTCGCTCGCCAGGATTATCTTGGCTCCTATTTCACTCGATCACCCACGCATTTAGACCCGGGAAATCTCGCCCTCTGGCGCAAAGCGGGCATCGCAATAAATGACAAGAAAGAATTTCATCTTTCCCATGCTGAATCACCTCTACTGCGTGAAGATCAAACCGCGAATGGCTTGATCTGGCTCAACACAAAGGTCATCAACTTCCTTGCAAGGTCAAAACAAATTCAAATTGCGCAGTGGACAGGATCTCCGCCCGCAACTTCACCTGAGAATCAAATTAAATCGCCAGGTTCCAGCCAACCCCCATACCCTGACACAGAAACCTGGCTCAAGTTGTCATTTGAGTTCCAGACATGGTTCGAGAATTTGCCGGAAACTTTCCGTGCGTCGGTTCGGGTTGAACGCCCCAAGGATCTTTCAGGGTCTTCAGAAGGGGGGCATTTGCCATTCCCTGAGATTTTCCACAGTTCGACAACGTGTGCTGCTGCCATGCAACATTACCATTTCGGACGAGTGGCTTTATTGCTCAATAGACCGGCAGATGTTATCAGTGCCCCGTCTACGGCATTCGATCGTCTACAGGGATATCGGGAAGTCACTAAAGAGGTCGAGTTCCGTTCTCGGGAAATATGCGGAATTGCCTTGGGTCGCCCAAGAGGTGGAGTCCGTATCTTCATGGTACCGCTGCTTGTGGCTGTTGGACAATGTCTAGAAAGCACCGAGGAGCATCAGATTATAGTGGATCTCTTACGAGGAGTCGAAGCCGATCTTGGCTGGGCTACTGGTCATGCTATACAGAAGCTCCAGACTTCTTGGAATCAGGGAGTGTAATACCTAGTTATTATATTATATGAGAATGTCATCCACATATTAGATCCACTCATCGTCATTTATTGCCTTTATCTAACTACACTTCAACAAACCGGGAGTCGGTTCCGAGCGTGGCTCTCCGGACACGGCATTCTTGCATCACCATTGAAACATTCAGATGGATCTGTAATAAGGCTTCAATTTTGAGCATCCATGAGGCTGTAGGTATACAAATTTTACTTTAATAAAATCAACTCGTGGACTAGATTTCAAGTACTTAAGTATATGGTGTATTCAATTTCTTCATCTTTAAGTCGATGTACAAACTTTTCCTTCCACCCTATTCTAATGCATGTCTTCAAACTTTTTTATAGGAACTACAAGGAACAAAACTCACCCTGAAACTAAACCCTTCAAACATGAGGCCGAGTGCAGACTTCGTTGGAAGATCGCGACAGATACCTCTCGACGGGGTCTGGGTCGCCAGAGCCACATTGAGAGACTCTGCGGCCGGCGGCCTTTCTGTCGGCCGCCACAGTCTGTGCAAACGGCGACATCTCACGGATTTTGGGTCCTTTCCAATAGAACACGTAAATCGGGATGGTGAAGACAATTGCCATGAAGGCCAAGAATGTTGAGGGCCACTCAAGATGGTGTTTCGTGCCCATGTGCTCGTACACTGATTGTTGGTCAGTATACTCTCTATTTAAACACCATACGTATAGACTTACTGGGCACGGAATACATTGCTGCAATTCCAGCTAGGAAATCACGAGCAAACCCGTTACCTCCTGTTGCTGAAGCAGACCATGGCCCGTAGGATGCTATCATATAATCAACCGTTGCCATATAAATGGCGTACTGTTTGATTGTTATCGGTTAGCTTCTCTGTATTCAAATAAAAGTGTTGAAGTTAATCTTACATTAGCAATGGCTATCAGAGCGGAGAATATCATGGGTGCAATCCAGTGGACCTGAGGGGGGCCAAGACTAGTCCATGCGAACCCAAATAGACCGATTGACAGTAGGGGTGCCACTGCTGTTTGTAAGTGAGGAAGCATGGAAAGTTTGAAAGCCACCGACCGTATAGAAGCCAATACAAACGCGCCTCTGGCTGAAGACCATCCAGATCCCTTTCTCTAACGCGGCAATGTCGGTGAATCCAAGGAATGAAAGAAAAGTAAGCCATTACATAGCCCACTAGCAGACTGCACGGTCAAGCTGTCAACGTAATTCCAAACACCAAAAGTGAATCTTGGATACTTACGGTAGAAAGGCAAGCCCAGTTGTGATGGTACTGAAGTGCCACTGTTTATACACCGGAGTGTATGATTGTAGAAACGTGAAGATCAGGGAATCACTGAAGCCACTGAGAAGCGAGAGACATAAGACAATTGGCTCACGCACAAACATGATGAACGGCCGTACCCAGACCATGAAGATCCAGCGGAAAGACATGCGAGTCTTTGTGATCTCATCGCCACTCCACACCATGTCTCCATTCTTGCGACGTCTCTTGGCCTCTTTGGTGATGAGAATGCTGCACCTGGTTTCAGGGATCATGAAATGCAGTATCTGCACAAATCCACCAAGAATCAGTTGAATCCAGAAGTTCCAGCGCCAGGAAAGGAAGGTAGCCACGAATCCACCGACCACTGGTGCAATAACGGATCCTGCCACTGAGGACAGCACAATAAATGCCACGGCATATTGCTGATCCTCCGGCTCCCACATGTCAGCGACCATGCCCAGTGTCACGGAGCCCCCGGCAGATGACACACCACCGAGAATACGGCAGATGACAATAGTGCCGAAGTTGGGAGCGAGTGCGCAAGGGATCTGCCAGATGTTGACGAAGAACAGGCTCAGTTGCATGATTGGCCATCGGCCAAACTCTTCGCTGAAGGGTGCCCAGAACTCGCAGCCAAATGCATAGGCAACGAGGAACCCCATTTGGCCCACTCTTGCAGCCTGCTCCGTGATATTGAAGTGCTTCGCATAGAGGCTGACACTGCTTGCGTAAAATCCGGCGTTGAAATTCATGGATGTCTGAACTGCAAAGATGACTGAGATAATACCCCATTTCTTCCACCAGGGGAAGGAATATCCAAGCTTGTCGTAGCATTCCCAGTGCTTGAGTTCGCTCTTGTCATGGCCAGCGCCCTCTTTCCGTTGCAGTGTAGACCTTGGGGTTCCTCCCGGAGAGCGAACCTGGTTGTCGTTGGAGTCCTGCTTCTCCACGTCCGTGTCTGAACCCTCGGAAGCATGATCTTCGTGGTGACTCATTATAACAAGGAATTAGACAAATTGAATATAAGACCTTTCGGGGGAAATGCAGCCAAAAGAACAAGGACCGCCATCCTGGGCAAGAATGGCCCGGGGCTCTGTCCCAGTTATATGCGTTTGTCATCCCACGGCGGACACTGAGAAATGTCCAGCAAACTGCCGGCTTCCCAACAAGCTGGTAGAGTATATTACAGGATTCGTTTTCCGATTGGTCCGGGGACGATCATATACTGGCTCAGGCCAGCTCTACCAAGTTTGTTGTGGGGGTTCAAGGCGTGGAGGAGATATCCGGGGGGCCATGACGATAGATGGAGTCATTTAGCCCATTCCGCTGTCTCTCCAGTCTGGAGATTGAGGGGAAGAGACCCACGAGAGGTCGCGATAAGAACCCGCCAGGTTTCAGTCCAGCTTCCTCCTGTTTATGGACCTCCAATGGGCGAGGCAGACGTTGCATAAGAGGGTCCGGAGCATTCTCCGGTACAAGCTTATTTCACGATCCCCAGATGCTCCCCGCGTGGAGATGGGTGGGATTTGTCGGGATCACCTTGGATGGCGACAAGTGAACAGCTGGCCTGGTCAAAGGAGGGATCCTGTTCCGAACCTTGGGGTAGATGGTTTGAGTCATGGCCTCTATATGGGAGAAATCATCGATGTCTCTGCTCTTTCGCAGAAGACCAAAAGGGGATCAATGCCGGATAGGTACGGAGATCATACCTGTTCCTTCATAGACACTAGCTGTCGCTAGCAGCCATGGATTGATAGGGTAGATCTCGTCAGCGGTCAATCAAATCACACAGATTTACTATACCGAGATCCTACGAGCCTAGTCCCAATTATGCAGTGATCGATCTTAAGTACTGTTCATATGGGAATGAAAACGGTTCGTGCAAGCTCCTAGGCGTATTAGTGATTGGCGCAGCTCCAGTCCCAGACTCCAATCTCCACGCGAGAGAAGGGGGGTTTCAAGACGGCGAAAACGACAACTTCCTTCGTATTCTTTGACAGATGTTAAGTTGGCTATCAGAAGAGACATCACCTGCGAAAGATCTTCTATTCGACCCTTCTTTGAGTGAAAGTAGGCAAATCCGAGTGGTTTCACTTTCGCAAATGGCATGGGGCTTGTGAGCATAAACTGCAGTATGGCCAATGATCTTGGGAGGCAAGTAAAGTAGAACTGAATGAATATGTTGAAAGATTGATTTGAATTTCTTCTTTTGTGCCGTAAGAGCTGGTATCATGAGGAGAATCGAATGCAACGCCCGCTTGAAAATAAATAAATAACTCAGTCGTCATCGTCGTCGGGATCGTACAGATCGAGGTCCAACATCGCCTTGGGCTTGGGTTTCGGGGCTGACACCGGAGCAGGTGCCCGTGGTATTCCGGCTGACGATCCAGCATGGGCGGCGGCCTTCGCAGCCTCGCCCGCCTGCTTCACTTCTTCGGGGGGTTCCACTGGCGCTGGTGGCTCTGCAGCCCCACGACCCTCCGCTTCGCACAACAATCGTTCCACTTCCTGTTCAGAATCGTTTCCGGCGGCAAGCTGGATTTGTCCCATCAGACCCATTCTGATCCGTTCCTCCATCGGGTATGGTAGCATGTAAACTTCGCGTGTGACGTTGGCAGAGTCGTCCAGCCATTGGGTCGCGTTTTTGGTGACAGACGCCACAGGCTCTGCACCGCCCTCTGTCGGCTCCCCGTTTGTTCCCGTCATTGTCACATCTTTGTCGGTCGCAGGCGGTTCCTGTCTTTTGATTAGGCCCGCTGCGGCGTCCGCTGCGGCCTCGTGGTTGTATTTGCTGATCCGACGGGCAAAGTCCAGCAATAGTTTGTAGTCAATCTCCTGGATTCCTCGTGGAGCCCGTTTCTTGTCAGACTCATCGTCGGAGTCTGAATCCGAATCGCTATCACTGTTGTCTCCACAGGCCGTACGAAGTTCTTTGTCAAACCCTTCGATGTCTCTCACGATGCCTTTGACCTGATCCTCCAGCTGCTGCGCTTCCTCGCGAAGCCGCAGGATCTTTGCGTGATTTTCTTGGTGCTGGCGGAGGGTCTCAATGGCGGAGGTCAACTTGTCGTCGGCTTCGAGCAACGCGACCGCGGCAGCGGGAGCTCCCGCCGCAGTGGGAGAGGTTGTGAGACTGGTCAGGAGGGCATTGAGTTTGGATTCGACATCAGTCAGAGCGGACTGGATCAGCGCGTTCATGGTTGAGATGGGGAAGTGAAGAGCGCGCAAGGACCGAGAGCTCTCAATCCCGGGTCACGTGTGCGTCCGAGGAGCTGTTAATAGCTTCACTCGCCAAAACTCGGTGATTGGCGCGCAAGTGAAGCCGGTAATTGTAAAATGGGAGATCTGATTGGCTTCTTGTATCTGTAAGTGTACTAAAGTAAAGATTAGTACTCCGTACTCCGTGGGCTGATGAGCGGGGGTGACCTGGGCATTTATTTCCTACAGAGTGATTTACCGACACATACAGACCTCGGGAGCACTCAACACTCCAAGGGCTCCAATAATGTCGGACTCAAGCTTTTTGGCCCCAAGCCAAAATTTAACTATTCAGCCACCACTGTCAAGATGTGGCCAGGGACCAGCATTGATCATTGTACGGCCCAGTTGCTATGCAACTTGCCAGCAGCACAACGACTCCTTAGATCCAGAGCCTTTGAAGAAATGGGCAGAGGAAAGCTTCACAGTGGCCCAATTGACTTTGGACCAGTCGGTTGCCCTTCACACGCAAGATCTCCTTAATCAGGCCGTGCACGAGTTGGTTAAACAAGGCTGTGATGGGGAGAAAGTCGGGTTGATAGGTAAGAGGCAATATCCCCCTAAAATTCCCCCCTGATCTACTCCGTTACTTCGTTATTGACACTCATCCAAATAGTATATGGATCCAAAACCGATTATGCCTCAGAAGTTGAAGAGCAGCTACGGGCCGCAGCAAAGGTCACTGCCGCTATCTGCTTCGACAACTGGGATGTCTCTGTTCCCACTCTTCTTCATCTTCCCAATGCAACGGAGAAGAAAGATGGACAGATACTTTATAGCTATGCAGACATAGCCGGACCCAGCTTCATCATCCCAGGGCATTCAGACTTCAAAATCACCACAGCGGGGGTCGCCCACACCCGTAGTGTGGGATTCATCAAAAAGCATCTCGGGGGACCGTTTTTCGATCTCGAAAGCATCTGGGATGAACACACCTTTTATGAATTTGGAGATCGATCGGTGGAGAAAACAATGGCGACAATGGTTCAGGAACCGTATGTCAACCATATTCCAACGGTATGCCAAATTAAGTCCAAATATTTGAGTTATTGCTGACAGGGGCGCAGTTGACTGGCGGCATTGGGCGATCGCGATTGAGTCACTTTTACCTCCATCACTTCATTTTCAATAATCCCGACGATACAGCTTTGGAATTGATCAGTCGGACCGTGGGAACGGACCGAATCGTCGATGAGTTCATTTTCGTGTTCACCCACGTTCGGCAGATGGACTGGATGTAAGTCCCAGTAGCTTAGATTTGCTTCCTGACGAACCTGATCTGTCTCTAGGATCCCCGGGATTCCCCCAACAGGCAAACATCTCCGTGTTCCGTTCACCTCTGTGGTCAATATCCGCGGAGATTGTCTGTTCCATGAACACATCGCGTGGGATCAGGCAACCGTGCTGGTACAACTGGGACTGTTGCCGGAATATCTCCCCTTTCCATACGCATTACCCGATGGATCTGTCCCGGCCCCTGGGCACCGGTTTGAATATCGAGTGCCTGCAGCGGGGGTTGAATGTGCCAGTAAATTGCAGAATGAGCATGTGGTTCCGTCAAACCTGATGTTCGAATACGCGATTCGGGAGGTAGACCCACGTGGCCTGTGATGCAATGGTTCGGGGCCAAGTTCAGGGATAACTATGTAATGCCTCTGTGGAGATTAAAAATTTTGGTTTTTTTTTTTTTTTCATCAATTTTTTTTTATAGAAATGATAGGCCATCACTGGGTGTATCGTACGAGTATGTATATCGTCATCTTAATTTGGTTTCCTTTTACTCGTACTCGTATTCTGTACGGACTTCCAGGCTTCAGAAGTACGGAGTACAAGTACAGGTATATTTGGAGTTTATAGGAAGAGGACCAAACTGGTGCCCCGTAGTTAATATAGCGAGCATTTACGGCGCGTGCATTTACGGTCTGCATTTACGGAGCTAAATTAAGAAGCCCCGCAATCCAGTGCCCTATCTGTACTCCCCGGGGCCGTATATACAGATGACTTAGCATAGGGTATGCCCAGGTGTAAGTGCGAGTACTACTCCGTACTCTAACGAATTCATCAGGGGATTATGGACCTGCTTGCCGATTCTTCAAATCGACGATCTTAGCATCACCGCACATCATCTTGCATAGTGTGTGTAGAAAAAAAAAGCAAATCTGCATAAAACGTAAGGGGCCCCCTCTGTTTAACCCACAATACTAGCCGATGGCCCCCGTGATTGGTGGCAGATCGGCATACACAGAGTATTTATGTACCAACGTTGCGGTGCGGTTCATAGTGGTCTGAATCCTCGTTGGATGCTAAGCACTCCACTCCTTACGCCGGTGGATGGTTAGCGGGAGTATCGGGGGGCCGCAATGCTGTGACCCACTGTGACCATGTTGACTAGCACGGGTACTAAAGAGCTGGAGCTCTTCTTGATTCCTGGATCTCTTTTCCTGCAAAAATGGTGTTGTTATGGTTGACCTTGGCCTCGGCTTGCCTGGCCTCTACATTGCCCGTTGTTGATTTGGGTTATGAACGGCATCAAGCTCTCTCATACAATGTATGCTATTCCTCAGTCACCGTTGGTGATTTGGGTCGTCCTTTTCTTGCCCTCGCTTTCAACGTTTCTAACCTTGTCTCTAGAGATCCAGCGGTCTCTATAGCTTTGATAACATTCGCTATGCAGCTCCTCCCGTGGGAGACCTACGATTCCGGGCACCGACTGCCCCCAAAGTGAATCGTCAGCGCATCCAAAATGGCTCCGTTGCCCGCATGTGCCCTCAGGCAGCCCCGCTGTGGTCAACAAAGGTTCAAACGACTTTTGCGTTGGACTATCTGTCTGGCCAACCGTTCAATATGTCCACGGATATCTCTTCCTATACATACACCCCAACAAAGCAAGATCCGGCGGTTTCGGAGGATTGTCTTTTCCTTGATGTGACAGTTCCTAAGAAGGTCTTTGATCGCACCAAGGTCAAGTCAGGTCGTAAGAATCTGGCGCCTGTTATGGTGTGGATCTATGGTGGTGGATACATTGCTGGTGATAAAACCAGCAATGATGCCCGTGGGCTGGTTCACCGGGGCACCGTTGCAGGCCATGAGGGTATTGTTTACGTGGCTCTAAACTACCGGGTAAGTCAAGGATGCTGCCATTTTCCAGAGGCATACTAATAATTTTGAAAGTTGGGTGCTTTTGGTTGGCTTGGTGGTGAAAGCGTGAACGCCAATGGTACTGCTAATGCTGCCCTCCACGACCAGCGATTTGCTCTGGAGTGGGTGCACAAGAACATTCACTTGTTCGGTGGTGATCCGAGTCGCATCACTGTCATGGGAGAATCCGCCGGTGGAGGCTCTATCATGCACCAGATCACGGCCTATGGCGGGAAGCAAAGCCCCCCTCGTTTTCAGCAGGCAATCATCCAGAGCCCTGGATGGGTACCCGTCATTGGGGAAGAGCAGCAAGAAGATACACTGCAACAGTTCCTAGGATTCTTGAATGTCAGCACCATTGAAGAGGCCCGCACGCTGTCCTCGGACAAAGTGATCGCCGCCAACTCGGCCCAGATCGCAGTCAATCCCAAGTGGGGAACATTCACCTATGGCCCTGCCGTGGACGGAACCTTCGTGCCTGCGATGCCGGGTCAACTGCTACTTGAGGGCAACTTCCACCACGATGTCAATGTGATGGTCGGCCATGCGGCGGACGAAGGGTTGCTCTTCACCACCCCGGAGAGCTACAACAGCACCGGCTTCGGCACTCAACTATCCAATTATGCGCCGAGTATCCTCAAGGACGTCTTCGAATTTGTCGAGCACATCCTCTACCCGCCAATCTACAACGGAACTTTCGGCTACACCGACTCGGTCGCGCGCGCGGCCCTCTTCGTCTCAGATCTGGGCTTCCAATGCAACACCGACTACCTCAACCGGGCGTTTAATCAGACATACGCCTACGCCTTCAACATTATCCCGGGGCTGCACGGACAAGATGCTGCCTACACTTTCTATAACGAGGGAAGCACCGAAGTTAGCAGCACTTCCACCAATCCTCTTCTGACCGTGAGCAACGTCACGGTCGCCCTGGCCATGCAGGACTACTTCCTCAGTTTCACCGAGCACGGCGTCCCGACCTCATCTCTGGGGCCGACCATCGAACCGTGGGGGCCGCATGCGCAGCTCATGAGCCTCGAGACCGAGCAGATTCGGTCCATTCCTGACAAAACCAGGAACGCGCGCTGTTCGTTCTGGCAACCCGTGCCATATGCCTCTGGATGAATCCCGACACCATCTGTAAATAGGACATAGTGTGTCGGTTTAATGAACAAATCACTGGTCAATTGCAAAGATTGGCTCGATTTATGAGAAGAAACAAGGTACCTTTTTCTCCCCCTGTCTCAGATTTCCCGTAGAGCCCACGCTAGTGATTTCCCACATTTTCCCTCGTTTGACGGTGGGCAGACAAGAAGAGGCAGCTCGGTCTAAATGCAGGTGCTTCGTATTAGCTGCAGGTGGAAGTGCGAGTGGATGTGAGAGGAGAGAAGAGTGAGAACTTCAGTGGCTATGGAGGTGACGCCAAGACCCGAATTACCAACCCGACCAGCATATGAGGGGATCGTTCACGCCAATTATCGCTGAAAATGAAGAGACCCCTGTAAACCTTTTGAACCTTGGGAAAAAAAAATCTTATCATGCTTTCCCCCATCGGGCAATGTCTTACATCGCTTTCCATCGATAGGCCGTTCACTCAACCTCCGAGACTAGTGGTCGGCTTGGCCGGGTAACTGGTCGATCCTTCAAGCCTCTGGCCATTGGGATTGAATACTCCCACAGCATAGTATGGAGCATACTGTAAAATATCTGCATGATCTCGCAAGCAGTCCAGATTGAAAGAAAGGAATGCACTACAGCTGTGTCATTTCACCGGTGAGGCTCTTAGCAAACGGAGCCCAACATAATCCCGAGGTCCTCCTTGTACTACGGAGTACTCCGTGCCAATATTTAGAACGTTAGACCGGGAAAGATGAAGAATCAAAGACACTAAAAAAATCCCCAAGTCGAGGCTCGGGGCAAACGGCTAGTACTAGTTCCAATCTCAAACCAGGATAATTATAGCGACACGGGAGACACAGATTGGGCGAACGCAGAGGAAAATTGGGGCGCAGCTCAACGCTAAGCTTTCCCTAGAGACCCTTCTTGGCGATTTGTCTAAAGAAAATAGTAAAAAAAATTTAGGAATATGAGCCATCCGAGGCGTGAGAGGGGAATGGGAACTCCACAGTTTGCGCTTATATTGACTTAGGCTCCCATGTTCTATAGCCTTACTCGTATTTTCTCTCTTATAATTTGCGTGACCCTACTGTCTTACTCTACGAACCTCACATTCCACATCCCACATCTCTTCTTCTCCCTCACCATGCGGCTCTGGTCTATCCTCTGCCTAGGCAGTGCGCTGGCGCTCTCAATTCCTAACCACCAACTTCGCCTGCCCTTTGCACCATCCCCGGACAGCCTAGAAAATGGTGTTCGATCAACACTGTCCATCAATTGGTCAATTCAAAATGGAAGCCTCTACGCAAACGAAAACCAAGTCTACCCCCCCTCAGTCACCATGCAACTTCGCGCCCCGCTCTACGAAGCAGACACCCTCACAGACAAATCAGTCGAACTCTCATACACCCTCGACACCCGCCCACTATCAACAGACCAGGTCGGTGCCGTTGCTGGCATGGTCCGTGTTCGCGTCGAGTTACTCGATCTACACGGGAATCTGATCTCACCAAACGCCGTCGCAATCGATATGCTCACCTACCAAGACGGGGATCATCACATTACCCGTATCCGTGTCGAGCCCGCTCGCGGAGGCTACCAGGGTGACCGATTCTCGCAGAAAAGCCGACCCTGGGTCGTCAAGTATTGGACTACGCAGTTTGGCTCGCTTTTTGAAAAAGTCAATACCGACAAGATTGAGACCGAGACCGAGGCTGAGACTGAGATGCGTGCTTCGCTTCCTGATGCTTTGGCCCCCATCTCAGTATCCAAGTTCTCCATCTCTTCGTTTTGGGCTGTGCCTGAGCATGCGAAGGCTCACGGACGTCATCCGCATCATCGCCCTGGTCATTCCTTCCGACGCATTGTCCGCCCCATCATCCTACCTGCGATTATGGGTGCCGTGGCTGGTCTGGCGGCCTGTCTGGTCGGTTTCTTCCTAGGTCATCTAGCTATGTCTTTCGCCGTGCGAGTGGGCTGGAAACCCCGAGCTCAACCGGTGATGGAGCAAGGCTCGGTTTCGGAGAAATCGCTCATGGTGCCCAATATATATGTCACGGATGTGACTGAGTCGGTATGACTCGACGGCGTATGACTTTCGATTGATTTGTTTTCCAGCGCTTTTGCATTATAACCCCATATGTTGACATCGTTTCCTTTGCTCATATACTTAAGTACCTGTCTGATTACTCTTTACCAACAAAGTGAAAATATGTCTTGCACGAGAGCAATTTAATGAGATTTTATTCACAGCACCCGTTTCCCCCCTTGGAGCATAAGACAGCGCGGCTTTTAGGTAGAAGTGCACTTCCAGATGGCTTTTGGCTCATGTAGCCCAAAATGGCCATTCTCTCCATCGAACAACCCAGTAGCTTACTGGGTTGAACCGATGAAGTGGAGCTTCGCACCCCACTTTACGGCCGGCTGGCCCAATGGCAAGGCGCTTGACTACGAATCAAGAGATTGCAGGTTCGATCCCTGCGTCGGTCATTATCTTTTTGCTTTGGAAGCATCCGATTCCGCTGTTCTGGTTTGCCGGATCAGATTTTTGCTCGGCTCCACCTGGCTCAGAGACAACAAAGAACAACATTCCCGAGGTTGGGCAATGGGGCAGACTCGCAACCTTGGAAGGTAACCGTACAACCGAAACAGTCCTTTTGATCGAATCGAATAGGCGCCTTCTTTTTGCTGATTCGCCTTAAGGCTAAAGCTTGTTGCCTAGCTTTAATCTTAAATGTGAGACTGACGATTGGTGACCCGCAGAAATATATGTAGTCGCCTGAAATGTCAAACACGTTCACATACTCGTTCAAACCAAATCTTCTCGCCCAGAGCAGGCTCTAGATCTATTCCCATTGCAGTGACTCTTCCGTCCGCGCCCACGCGGAACTCTGTACCATAGTACCCATGGATAGAACCGACTGATTTGGGCTGGTAGTAGTATGCAACGAAGAATTCCCCACTTGCATGGCCAAGGGCGAGAAGAGCAGGCATCACACGATCCAAGAGATCTGCGCGCAGGAACTTTTCCTTCAACACGAAGGTAATGGGTCCATACGCGGCGTGTACGTATCGCCCCGCATACTGCTGCAACGGGAGGGAGTGTGGGATAGCAGGGTTAGGCAGACATGGATATAGCCGTTTGATGGCTTCATGCATGGTCTCAGATGCGGCAATCGACTTGTGTCCTGGATGTGCCACAGGACTCGATGGGAGAGGGCCCGAACTAGGACCAAAGATTTGGTCGAGGAGATGCATATATATCGCCACCTGCGCAGGGCGGGCATTGGTCGTGTTCCCCATCATTGCGAATCCGAAGCCTTTGCTCGGTAGAAACCCGACCATGATACCGAACCCGGGCCAGCTGCCGCTGTGCCAGTATAGTGGCTCGCCGTGATAGCTGGCCACGAACCACCCAAGGGCGTAAAGGTGGTGCGGCGCGGGGGGCGCTTCGAGGTCATCCACAGCCGTGATTACCGTGCGGGGTTTCAAGATTTCGGCATGTCCCTGTGGGGATAGAGGGCCCGTTTTGTAGATCAGTGCACGTAGCCACTTGGTGTACTCAAGGACGCTGCTCACTATGGCCCCAGCGCCGGTCACGGCGACGTCGTTCATGTGCGGTTCTGCAATGTAAGAGTTTGTATCAGCATCCCAGGTGTAGCCTGTGACGAAGCGAGGTCCGATGGATGGGTCCTTTAAAACCTCTTGTGCGGAGAAATATGTATCATTCATTCCCAACGGGCCCCAAATGCGGTTCTTGAGGGTTTCGCCCAGACTCCGACCTTCGAGTTGTTCCAATAGATGAGAGATCGCCATGTACATGTTGTTATTGTAGGAAAAGGTCGTGCGAGGAGAATATGCCATTTTGAGATGCCTCAGGTTCCGCACTGCCTCACGCAGGGGTCTTTGGGGATGTGCCAGACTGATACAGGCATCATGGGTTGACAGTCCTGAGCGATGTGATAGAGCATCTTCTATTGTAGTGTGCATTGTACTATAGTCGTTGTGCAGTACGAAGTCATCTCGCAGTAATGATGAAATCGGGGTGTCCCAGTTCAGGGGGTTTTCGGTATGCTTGCTATCGTCGATGGCGAGGCTCACTGCTGCTGCCGTGAATGCCTTGGTTGTACTACACGTCGAAAAGAGAGAATCCGTCGTCATCTTCCGATCGGGAAATTGAGATATCCCATAAGCCTAGAGGAGGTCAGCACGTAGACCATCCAATGCATCGGGCACAGGCATCCGTACTTTTGACCAAGTGCTGTCGCCGTGTACAATGGCCATAGTCAATCCAGGGACCTTCCATTTCTCCATCTGCCCCTGAACGAAGCCATCGAACTCCGGATCTGGCACATTGACTCTTCGCAATACCATGGTGTGTTATGTTGGAAGTTGACGGAACATTCTGAATGTTTGGAGCGGGGAAGATAAAGGCCCCCAATTAGGCGATGTAACATCGCCATTAGTCTCACATCACAACCTCTTCCATTCAATGAGCTCTGGACAATGGGGGTTTTTTTGTCGAAAATGAACACCCAAGCCGATCGCCAGTAATTTCATATGCTGATTCCTGGCGCGAGTGGGTGGACCAGCATTTGCGGATAGGGAAGATCTTTGGTAAGTCTGCAATACGAGTATTCCCTGGGCTGGCTGTGAACAAATGATTGCCTGTGCAATTGGGATAGTCCATCCAAAGGGTCTACGGGCGTTTCCCTCAAGTTCCCCATTTTGCCATCTGAGGTAGCCTGGAAGCTGGGCTTGATTGATCCGCAGACCATTCCACCAAACACAGAGCAAGGGCGTCCTATAGCCCAGTTGATTTGGAATTGGATTGGAATGAGATGAGCGTTCAAATGAGGCTGTTTTCATTCATAACAAGGAAAGGGAAGAACTTGAAATTGGATTTAGCCAAGAAGTTGGATGAATGGGGCCAAGAGGCTAAGAGGTCACCTAAACCTGACCCAGTGATTAGACTGCTTCCACTTCCATCATTCGAGTGTTCGTGGCAAACACCGTCATAACCAGGGAATGATGCTTTGATACATGGTGTTTTGGCCTGGAGACATGCATGAGTTGCACCTATCGGCAGTCTACTTGGCTGACAGTGTACGCGACAGCCCTGCGCATATTTGTAAGGAGAAAACAGGGACACGGAGTAATACTCCGTCCTGTGCAACGGGATCCTGCTTGAACGCGAAACATACTCCGTATGAGAGTAGGTCATTATAAAATCAACCCCCGATCTAGTTTAGGTTCGGAGATGAGAGCGATGCGATGCACACGGAGTACTCCGCCCTCGTCCGCGCATGTACGGAGAGTTTGATAGTTTAATAGTTCGAAGCGACCGTCTGAAAGGGGCAGGTGAAGAGATCAACAAAGAAAAGTGGGAACAACAAGCAAAAAAAGCAAAGAAAGGGGAAAGGGGAAATTGAAGAGATTGGGAGATTGGACAGGGATATCCCTTCAGAACCTTGGGAGAATCTAAGATGAAACGTCAATATTCAAGAATCGTCAGTCTTCAATATTTCGAATTCCAGAGCACTGGAATACGGGGTTCTGTACGGAGTACGGAGTAGACGTAGACAGAGCGAGAGCCGACAGGCGAGAGGCCTCAGCCACAGGTGGCAGAGATTTCCTGGATCCATCGACTATTCGACCTTAAAGTTACTCGATAACCTCGATCTGGTTCGCACGGCCGATCCTTCTCAAAAGCTTTTCAGCAATTCTCTTCTGCCTGTTCATGTACGTCGTACCTCACCATTGACAGCTCATGCGTTTGCCTTTCACAGCCTCCCACACGGTGAAGCAGAGAATCCCTGGAAGTTGAAACCCTGCCCAATGTGGAGAGGAAAAGAGAGAGTCCATTGGACCTATGATCAGCGTGTGGAGAAGGGGTGCAAGCTATCGGCCGATCCTCTCCCATCTTGGGGCAGATCCAAGATTCTCATATTACTCGATGACTTCATGCCTTTTTAAAAGGATCAGCCCACGGGCCAGGGCCACGTTGACTGGGTAGCAACTGGATTTTTTTTTTTGTTGAATCCACTATGATGATTGGCTGCAAGCTGCGTTTACACTGGAGGTGGCTGGTTGCCCGGAAGCTCTCCAGGGCTCTCTTTCTCCCTTTATAAGAGACATTCCAGTTTCCCCCAGATTTTGATTTACCTTCTGTTTATCATTCTGCTACTCTTAATTGCTCTTCTTCATACAGTCAATTACCGTCTTCAACCTCAATCCACACAATTTTCATCATGAAGTCCTTCTCCCCCGTTGCCCTGGCCCTGATGGCCGCCTTCGGCATGGTCGCCGCTGACCCTTCTGCCTCTGAGTGCGCTGTAAGTTGGTGATGATTTGATTCCGCTGAAAGTCAATAGCTAATCAACCCAGACTATGTGTGTGTCCAACATGAACAACAAGGCCTCCGAGCTCGGCTGCAAGGCCGACGATATGTCTTGCCTGTGCAAGACCGATGACTACAAGTTCGGTATCCGTGACTGCACCAAGCAGGCCTGCCCCAGCGATGACGCTGAGAAGGTCCTGGCCATGGCTGTCGCCAAGTGCCCTGGTGCGTATTTTTTCAAACAAGGCTCATTTGGATGAGATACTAACATCTTTATAGGTGGCAAGGCCGGCTCTGACGCTTCGTCTTCCAGCTCCAGCTCCAGCTCTGACTCCGACTCCACCTCTACTGGCACTGGCGCCGGTGCTGGCAGCGACTCGACCACCTCAATGACCGGCTCTAGCACCAAGACTGGCACCGATGCCTCCGCCACTGGTACCCAGACTGGTTCTGACGCCTCTGGCTCCATGACTGGCACTGGTGCTTCTGGCTCCGTCACCGGCACCGGCTCTCACACTGGCTCCATGACCGGTTCCATGACTGGCTCTATGACCGGCTCTGACTCCACCATGATGACCGTCACTAGCACCAGCTCTGGCTCCTCCTCCTCCGAGACCGGTAGCGGCTCTGGTTCCGACTCCGACTCCAACTCTGACAGCTCTGACTCTGGCAGCGATGCCTCTGGCTCTGCTGCTGGCTCTGCTGCCCCCACTTCCACCGATGGTGCTGCCAACCCCATGGCCACTGTTGGCAGTGGTGCCATGGGTGCCCTCGGCCTCGTTGCTCTCCTTGCCCTGTAAGGTTCTGCGTCAAGTAGAATCTTGTTTTGGTTACGGGTTACGACTCGCGTCGTCGAAAACTGCGCTCGTACAGGAGCCAGAATAAAACGAGGGCGTGGTACAATTACACTTATTTTTCTTTTCGCTCTACAGAGCTGTTAATATAATGTCGATCGGACTTAATGGAATCTTTTATGACACATTTATGTGATGGTTGTTTGTTGCTTCTCACCTAGGCACCTGTAACACTGCGCCGGTCGCTTCCGTGTAACAATGCCCTCAACGATAACGTATTACACTGCAAGGGTCCTCCAAGGGTCCTACCCATTGATTTGAATAGTTCGTACAGAGTACCCCGTACACCATAAAGCTCTGATCATTGTGGACACCTCCAAATTTAGGTGTCTCCGCATGTGAGAATCCAAGCATGTGATAGTGAAATCCACTATATCCGTACTCCTTGCTATGTTCTATGTGATATGCTACAAATACTATAGACGATATAAGTGCTATGGACACTCGACCTGCATCTGTCCATTTTTAGCTAAAGTACTGTATTGCCTTCCTTTATTCCGCGGGGAAACGTGGAGTGGTTGAGTGTTTTCCCGTTCATCCGGACGGAGGTCACCGACATAAAGTGCAGTTGAACAGGTGAACTTGCTCAGTCTGCATTCTTCCCTCGCGCGAAATCAAGAAGGACTGGGTACCCATAATCAACATAACCAACCGACCGAGATTCAATACTATACCGCTGTCTCAACTGTACAAGTACTTGAGTAGCGGGAACCCGGTTTCTCCGCCAGCCGAACCGAGGTATCTTCCCCGGACAAGTCCAAACCGCCCTTCGGCTTCGGTCGATCTCCGTCATACCTTTTTCTCCCAGATCCTCGTGAAACTATTCCGTACTTTTTTTGTCACTTCTGCATCGCTCTGCTCTTTCATCTTTACCTCTCCCATCTCCCTCGCACTTCTCCCCTCCTAAACCCTCCTCATCCGCACAATGTCGACTTCCACTTCTCCCCCGCAGCAGCTCAAAGATGAGGTCAAGGTCGCCGAGACCAAGCCCGTCAACCAGACTATTGTCCAGCTGCGCTCTCTAGCCGCTGGTGCAGCTGGTGGTCTCTGTGCTGTCATCGTGGGACACCCGTTCGACCTGGTGAAGGTCCGTCTGCAGACTGCCGAAAAGGGTATCTACTCGGGTGCCATGGATGTGGTTAGGAGGACAGTAGCCCGTGAGGGTCTGGCACGTGTATGGTGATCTCCAGATCTTGAACTTTTTGCGAGGCCGACATTAATTGCAATTTAGGGCCTGTATGCTGGTGTCTCCGCCCCGCTCGTCGGAGTGACTCCCATGTGTAAGTAGCTCCCCCATGAGTTCTAGCTCACCAATTGGGTCCGAAATCAAAGCTAACGTCGTCGCATAGTTGCTGTCAGCTTCTGGGTACGTTCTAAAGAGCCCGCGAGTCCGATCGCATACTGACAATTCCCCAGGGTTATGACGTAGGCAAGACCCTTGTGAACAAGTTCTCCACGGTCCCCGTGAAGCACGACACCCCACAGTACTCCATCGCTCAAATCTCTGCTGCTGGATTCTTCTCCGCCATCCCCATGACTCTGATCACTGCGCCCTTTGAGCGCGTTAAGGTCCTGCTCCAGATCCAGGGCCAGAAGACCCTCACCCCTGGTGAGAAGCCCAAGTACTCCGGTGGTATGGATGTCGTGCGCCAGTTGTACAAGGAGGGTGGTGTGCGCAGCGTGTTCCGTGGCAGCGCCATGACTCTGGCGCGTGACGGACCCGGCTCCGCTGCGTACTTCGCCGCCTACGAGTACATCAAGCGGTCCTTGACCCCCAAGGACGCCGAGGGCAACGTGACTGGCGAGCTGTCCCTGTCCGCTGTCCTGGCCGCCGGTGGTGCGGCCGGTATTGCCATGTGGATTCCTGTCTTCCCCGTTGACACTGTCAAGTCTCGTCTGCAAAGTGCACCGGGTAAACCTACCATCGGTGGGGTTATTCGCTCGGTGTACGCGAGCGGTGGCTACAAGGCCTTCTTCCCTGGCTTTGGACCTGCTCTTGCTCGTGCGGTGCCTGCTAATGCCGCCACTTTCCTCGGTGTTGAGCTGGCGCACAAGGGCATGAAGAAGCTCTTCGACTAAGGTTTGTGTGTAAATACATCTTTTTTTACAGCGTGTTCAGTGTCTCATTTTTTGTTTTTGTTTTTTTCGGATACCATTTCTTTGACTTGAGATAGACCCGAGTCCGATCTTCTATAGAGTTTTGGTGAATGGCACACAACTTTGTGAAAAATGTGTATAAGCTAGTATGAGGCTCAAGTCGGAAATACAGTAACCTCCGTGGATCTCGTATTGCCACCAGCCTATCAGACAGATCATGTCGGGCCAGCCTCATCTATTACCGCAGTGGCGCCCTCACCTAACAGGATCTGGCCCCCGAGCGCTAACACTTTGGGGGCCAACAACCGATCGGCAGTGGTCCGTATGTAGTCAATTTCTAATTTTACCTGAGTACGCTCGGGCGATTTGTAATGTTTGATCAAAGCCCTGAGGTAACATTGGAAGTGTGAATTCAAATAAAAGGGAAGGGAGAAGGAGAGGAAGAGCGCAAAATCACAAATAGAGTGTCTCTAGTCAGACGAAAAGACAGGTACAGACCAGGTACACGGAATCTGAGGTGGATCCCCACCCAATTCCCAGTACCGCTCGAGTACCGTTGGTTCCGGCGCTAGTGGTGTGCTGCCTGGTCCTTTGTATCGATAAAAAGGGCCCCCTCTCCCCTCGTATCAACTTCATCCACATCACCCAACCAAACCTATATATCATGTCGTCCATTACTGGCGCTCTCGTGCGCCGAGGCACGGAGGCTGCCTTCGGGACCTTCCAGGAGAAGAAGCCCGACCAGCCAAATGGTGGCTTGGTCGCTCTATTTGCTATGACCGTCTTGGTGCTTGGACTTGCTTTCTGGAGTGTAAGTACTCCGATCATGTCATCAGGAGAACATAATTAACGCATCTCCAGGTTGAATACACCTACGGAATGGTTGTCGCCACGCTGGCCGCGGTCGAGGATACAAACCCCGATATCTATGTCCGGATTACTTCCAATCCCGACCCAACCAAGCCAAACGATGAGGAGGCCGAATTGGCGGTCCCTAATGCCCAGCCCATCACCAACAAGCTGCGCACTACCGTGAAGCACCTGCGTGCCCGCGCTGGCTTCTGGTCCCGCTTCCGCGGAGCGGGCATGTTCCTGGCTTACACCGGGATGAACGGATTCCTGTTCGCTCTCGTCCCCGTGAACGAGACCTCTTTCGTCTACCAATTTATCATTCAGTCGTTCGTCGGTGTCGCCTTGGCCACTTGGCAAATGGCCTGGGTTCACATCGTCATCACTGAGCCCTCCCCGAAGCGCTTCTGGCAGCGCATCCCCAGCTATAAGACTTGGATCAAGATTGCCCCAGCTGCAGCTCTGGAGAATGTGCTGATTTCTGCTGCTTTCTTCCTGCCCATGGCGCTGGCCAAGCTGTTCGGTTGGCTCGAGCCGACCGCTAGTGATGATGTCCCTCCCATGATCGCCTTGTACCGCTTCATGGGGGCTACGATCATCCCCGCGATCCTGTCCTTCATGATCTCCATGCCTGCCCGTGTGATCTTCATTCGTGTGGCTGCTTCCATGCTGCCCGAGGAGGATGAGACCATCGTGCCCTTCGACCGCTCCTTCGGCGGCAAGGTTAGCCCGGCCATCACGGGTGGCAGTGGCAAGATTGGGCTCATGGACGCCTGGACCACCTTTGACTGGTCTGCTCGTGTTCGCTTTGCCAAGGTCATTGGTAAGACCTTTGCCATTCAAGTGGCGCTTGTTGTCCTTGCCTCTTTGGTCCTTGGTGGTCAGGTCATCCTGATGTTCAAGACTGCTAAGCCTGCTGGGTCTGATGCTCCTGGATACCAAATCAGCTATGAGTCTTGAATTGTGCAGAGTCGAACTGCTCTTTACTGACTTGTATAAACGAGAAGTCCCCCTCGGAATAGTTAACGTCTTGTTCTTGTTATATCCTTTGTGACCATGTTTCAGTTTGATTAGTTATCAAGTACAACGAAGAAAGCTGTCTCACTCAAAATCAAATGTCTGATGTTCATTCCATTCCTCGTACTCCCACAGCACACATTACGTGCTGTACATGTGAGTAGACCGCCCTCCCTAACCAGGACACTCCATCCCCACCTTTGGACACACCGCCTTCAATTTTGCAAAGGACCCCTCATCTGCTCTTTGTCTCCTACGTAGTTCCTAGATTATACTCGATACTTACTATTTGGTTTTTGCACCTCCTTGCATTGCTTACTCGCAGTATGGCAACCTCACCGGCTGGGCGCATGCTGTCCCGCCAGCTCCAACAAATGCAGTCCGATAAGGATATTCCCGGAATCAGTTGCGGCCTGGTTGATAACAATGTCTTCGAATGGGAGGTAATGCTCATGATTTCAGACGATGTCAAGCTATACGGGGGTATGTGTTGAGTCTCCTCGGGGTTCTCACCTGGATTCTGGGTCCCCGGGACCTTGGAAAACCGAGGAAGATAGATCGTAATGATCGTAATGCCGATGTCGAGTGAAGACTGACACTCCAGGAACAGGTGGTAACTTCCGAGCTCGTCTCTCTTTTCCCTCCGAATACCCTCATCGCCCTCCCAAGATGAAGTTCGAATCTCCGCTCTTCCACCCCAATAGTAGGTCAAATCTCGAATCCCACCCCCGATTACCGACAGCATTCTGATACCCCCCGCGCGATAGTTTATGAAAACGGTGATGTCTGCATCTCCATTCTGCATCCACCTGAGGAGGACAAGTATGGCTATGAATCTGCCTCCGAACGCTGGTCTCCTGTGCAAACCCCCGAGACCATTCTCCTCTCCGTCATCTCCATGCTCTCCAGCCCAAACGATGAAAGCCCCGCAAACGTCGAAGCGGCACGCTTATGGCGCGAGGACCCTGCCGAGTTCAAGAAGCGCGTACGGAAGTGTGTCCGTGCTAGCTTGGAAGAGTAAATGATCTTCCGGGGCGGGGTCTCTGCTTTTCACGCGGTGTTTGGAATGGTTTTGTCTGGTCTGTGGAGCGGCGTTCGTTTGCATGGAGCGAGAGCACCAGTCTGCGATACTCTCGACCTCTTGATCTTTCTCATTTTTCTGTGTTTTGGGATCTTTTCTTTTGCGCTGCATTTCCTGCGATTTCCTTGAAACTGGCTAGTTGGAGTTTCTTTGACACATATCCGTTCTGATCTGCAGCTTTCCAGATATCGCACTTTCAAATACAGCACTCTATATGCATTCTGTTCTATTATGGGAATTAAAACCTGTGACTATGTACAGACGCCTGAAGACATCTTACCCAGCATTCAAAATCTGCTCACGAAAAAAGCTAGGTATCAAGTAGCGCTAGATGACATGCGAAAATAGAGGGATGTTTCATGCGCGAGCCTTGGCCGGATAGCGCAGCGATGGGAGGAAGATGCCGGGGTGGAAGAGAGTCATGGCCAAGCAAGCCAGAGCGATCATCCTGGAATTGTCAGCGAGAACATCAGTATAGAGAGATTGTGACAACTTACATTCCATCCAGAACGAGGAACTCGTTCTCCTTCTGCATCAAAGGGTTTCCCCAACCTCCAGCCATCTCGGGCAACCTGCGAAGATGATTAGCATAATGCCCTGCTTTGAACATCGTCCCGACTTACCGATAGATACACCGAATCAAAACGGTGAAGTAGGCAAAGACCTCGGCACCAACAACAAATGGCATCCACTTGGGGACGATGGTCGAAAGGCCCGTGTCGAGACTCTTCTCGCCTGCGAATCCATCGCCGCGCTTGAACAATCGCACAAAGAAGATGACGGCAAAGACTCCACACACAGCCATCGTGGCGACCTGGAACGCGATACCAGCGATGATGATATTGTCTCCCGCCTGGAGCATGTCCATGTCGTCATTTCCAGCGGCCGCAGCCACACCTCCTCCGGCAGCCTGCAAGATGAGTGATCCGATATCACAGCCAATGAAGATCCAGGTGAAAAGACGTGGCTTGAGGGCGGAATGTTCGGGTCCAAGGGACAGGATGATGTGCTTCAAGGTCAGATAAACGCCGGCAGCGACGAAGGTAGGTGCCAGCACCAGGCACACGATTTGGAGTTTGAACGCAGGCCCAGACCAGGGATTATCATTCATGAGAACTCGTCCGATATACCCCGCCATTTCCATAAACGTGCCAATCAATAGCGCAGTCAGGAACGTCCATGTCCGATAGTAAACACCGAGACCGGTCTGAGCTATCCCAAGGATACCAAAGAAGACTGTGAAAAAGACGTTGCCGCCAAAGTTGGGATAGTAGCCATATGTTGTCAATTCCACAGGACAGAGCGGGCCAACTTCGTGACAAGTTGCGTAAGTAGCCATGGTGTGAGAAGATGAAATACTTCAGAAGTAATAGGGGGTGTAAGCAAAGGTTGGGAGAGAAACCTTGGAAGTCTTGAATGGACTAGAGAAGGGCCAGGAATGAAAACCACTATCAGGGGAGAAGAGCCCAGTAATTAATTCAGAAGCTGACGATAGCTTCGGTTAGAGCTATTCAGATCATACTAGAATTTTTATTTTAGTTTGCGACTATCGGGAAGGTCGACTATTTGAACGGTCGCGCCAGGGTCAGCAACGGCCAGCGGAGTGGACCCTCCAACAAGACGAAGTCTCGCATTGCATTGCTATTGGTCTTCGCGCTCGTTGTCGCGGTCGTTCTCGTTTTCGCGCTCGGGTCTCCACTATCAAAGCGCTCGGGGAATTACGCGGGAGAGAACTCTGCTTAGATCCGAGATCCTTCTATTGCCTATTTCGGTATAGAGAGATCCTCGACGTTGAGTTTGAACGACTCGGAAATTTAAATTGCAGATATTCCCAGACTGGTCACTCGGTTCCATGCAAAGTCTTATAACGGGCCAACGGCGGTGCATGAGATCCGAGCTAGCGGGCAGATTCAAAGACAGAATTCATCGCCAACGGGGATAAGCGTAACCAGAAACTATCTAGGTAGAACGAGGAGTAAGAACTGTGAAGAATTGCAATGGCATAGCCCTGGAGAATCTGTACGAAATAGAAAATGAGAAGGTGAAAGTCAAGTCGAGTCTTTTTATAGTTCCTGTCACGTGCATCACCACACCTCACCTGTTCCCGCGCTTGGACTTTTCCCTGTTGTACAAAGGATTCCGACTGGTTACATGGACTGTCAGGCCCCGAGGTCGTCGAGATGCCTCCGCGTAGGGCGCATACCAAGTCTCGCCAGGGCTGTGATCAGTGCAAACGACGTCGCGTCAAGGTTGGTTTTCCAAACATATGGCTCCAGGCTCCACTACATCGACTAACGGTTACAGTGTGACGAACAGGGGCCCCCGTGCTCCAATTGTATCTCACGGGAGCTGGCATGTACTTATCTGAGAGCACAATCTCGGCCGGAAACCCGGCGAGACCAAACCCCAGCCCCGCTAGCTACGGTTCTTCCAAGTCCCCCGCAACCACTGGGGATCCCCAGCCCTGCAGCCTCCACTCCTTCCAATGTGTCTGCGGTGCGAGAACTGGAGTTGATGCACAAGTTCTCCACAGAGACATATCAGAGTCTATGTACCACTAACTCTGCCCACTACGTGTGGCAAGTCGCCATTCCTCGCATAGCTCTGCAGTACGACTTTCTCATGAATGGCATTTTGGCCTTGGGGGCCCTCCACATCGCTGCCGCACTGGAACCGCCAGCTTCCTTGGCGTATATTGACACGGCCCTGCAGTACCACAGTCTCACATTTGCACCGTACCGCTTTGCAGTTGACCACATTAATCCCATGAACTGTGAGGCTGTCTTGGCACAGTCCATTATAACCACTGTGATCGGCATTGCAATCCCGAGAGTAAGCTCTGCTCGCGGGGAAACCACAGGAATCACCGAAAATATCGTCGTGGTATTCGAGCTTCTTCAGGGTGTGAAGAAAATCCACAGGATCGGTGAATCGTGGATCAAGCTAGAGCTTTTTGCTCGCCGGAGAAACAACTGGGACTCAAGCTCGTTGGGGTTAGACAGCGAGACGCAGGTCGCTCTCGACCGACTGGGGACTTTGAATGACGAGAGTCTCGCTAGTATCGACCCTGACCAGCATCAAATAAACAAAGATGCCATCATCCACTTGCGCCACTTTTCAATGCGAATTGCCAACGTGGTAGATGCCGCAAATGTGTTGGCCTGGCTAGCCATGGTCGACAAAGAGTTTGTGGACAATGTCCGACGCCGGCAACCTTTGGCTTTGCTGATTCTAATGCATTGGGGAGTGTTGCTTGGAGAGCTGGATGGTCAACATTGGTGGGCCCGCGACTCGGGTCGAGCTTTGGTTTCTGAATTGTTGACGACTCTGCAGCCTGCAGATGCTCAATGGGCCAAGGCGGTGGCCTGGCCTCGGAACAAGATGGCCCTTTGAGTGATCTACACTATGGCCTTTGATAACTACTTCCAAGCGGCGAGTGACGAAAGCCAAGCATCATCGGTGCATCCCAAGGTTGCACCCCTGAGTGCTTTAGGGGAATTTCTGGAGACAGCCACGTCCCGAATAACCAGGCCTAGCCGGTCAAATATGTGGACGCATATACCGGGATTGAGTCGCATATTCGACCCGACGTTTCCACAGCCTACTGTGATGGAAGTCACCGTGGCTGCCCCTGGAGCAGCCTCAACGAACCGAAACGACTCCTTCTTTACAAAAAGACAAGGCAAAACAAAACACGAAGCCAAGATTGCATCTCGGAACTTCCGAGTCCTATCATTTACTCATTAAAAAGGATTGGCGTTGAGAAATTTTGTAGATACTTTGCATTTGGAAAAAGCCTCTGCTCAACCCGAATCCCACACGTGTATTAGCCCCCTGGTTCAGATACGGGCTCTCTCCTTTACAGTGCCAAGGACATCGTGCGTTCGGACCAAGTTCCAACTATCCGCCTCATGCTTGCAGGCCTGTATGCTCAACGGCCCACCAACCTGCTTGAGCCAGTAAGACCGCCCACAGTCAAACAACCAGTTTCGTGTTCCTACCTGGATCAACTCAGCAAGGAAACATTGAGGGGTACTTCGGTCCTGTGTGAAAGTAATCTTCGGGAACTCTCGTTGGACGTCTGGTGCGGCATTCTCCAAGCCCAACCGAAAGACTTGGTCGAAGGTGACGGGATGATAAAGCTGAGACCCAATCTGGACGATACCTGTCGTGCGCGCTGCTGCGTGTAGTAAGCACGCGTTGGCAACGAAGTCCACCGGCATCTCGTCTAGGATGTTGGTGCCGGTGGTATAACCCTCGGTTGCGTGCCAAACTTGAGTGACACCCCGATCAGAAAACCAAAGTCGCGTGAACTTGGTGAGTGGGGTGGAGTCTTCAGATCCATACAGGGGATAGGGGTGCCTGAATGCAGGCCCGAATATTGTTGGCCGCAATAGCAGGATTGGAAGAAGTGGGAAGCGGGCAAGTAGCAGACGCTCCATCAGATGCTTTGCTTAGGTATAGCTAGACGAGAACTTTGCTCGATGCGGTGACTCCCCCAGCGTCAGCATAGACGCTAGTTCTACCTCGGGGTCTTCTTCGCCTCCCAGTTGATATATACGTTCTAGCACCGGGCCGTCAGGAAGATGGCTATTGGTGTAGGAGGTGGAAAGCTGAACGAGCAGCTTAAGCCGCCGAAATTGTGAGGCAATTCGAGCCATCTCCAACGCAGGAAGGCAGTTGATCTCCACTGCATCGCGGATAGGGCCTTCGAGCTTGATCTTCGCCGCCGCATGGATCACCAGTGTGACTTGCTCTTGCATTTGGCGAAGAGTGGAAGAGTCGATTCTGAAGTTGAGCTTCCTGATATCCCCCACCACACATTCGACTTTTCCTGTGGACACAATGGCTTGTGCATGGTCCGGCATTGTTTGTTTCAACTTCTCCAAAGCCCGCTTGGAGTCGCCGCGCACCAGTATGTATACCTTGCGCGTAGGGAGCTGCAAAGCGAGTTTGTAAAGGAGACAGCCTCCCAGGCATCCGGTGGCTCCAGTGAGGAATACTGTATGGCCCTCAAATATCTTGCCATACCCCCCTCGAACCACTTCATCCACATACGATGTGTTTGAGGTAGAGGCCGATGACATTGGAGAGAATGAGGCGGAAGTAGAGAGTGAAAGGGGGGGGGGGATGGTACTTAGTATTTGTTACTGAGTGGACTTCATGTTCAGAACATATATCTGGGCACGTCGGCAGATATAGATGATACTTAAGTACCAAACCCCCATGAGTACCAATCAAGTGGTCCACGGGTAGGACAACATCTCTCGATGTAACTCTTTCATTTGTACCCAACCACAATTACCAATATCCAGATGATGGATGTTATTGCTCAAAGGGGCGGACACTGGGCGTCGATTTGACGAACCTTACTCCAATTCATGGATGAGGTGAGGCTGTAAGTCTTGTACCTGCGTATCTACATGGCTGAAAACAGACCGTGACCGCTATGCCATAATAAGCCGAGGTTCAACCTTTGAATGTGATTGTGTGACCCGACAGAACATCATGTCGCGGACGAATCTGACCTGAGTGGCAGTACTCAAGCGGTACGCATGTGCGAGCGTTATGGGATGGGGGTGAGGCTGTCAGGAACTTAAGAAGTGAAGGGTTACCCAGGCCCGAAATTGATACAAAGCAAGTTGGATCCTACAAAAATAATGCTTCTTTACATGCGAGAGGAAATCGAAGAATAATGGAGTATATCGCCAGTATAGAACTGAAGACGTGAAGATTATGTGCTGCTGATTGGTATCTTTCAGTTGGAAACCGATCCAATCTTGTCTGTACAAGAGTTATAGACACATCTGTCTGATAGAAGCGATACACCTACTTATCTACACCCGATAGATGAGTCGATTGCAAGTGAAACAATGGTCATCGTCAATCAGAAGCCTTTGCTTCCAACACCACACCAGCAGCGCGCATCACCATCCCGCTCGACCTGGACCAGGATATCCACATTCTTTTCTCGAAGGAAGTCAACAGTTCGTTGCCGGACATCTTCCAGGTCTGCACCCCGGGACGCAACAACATGAATCACCCCAAACACGTTTTGTGGCTTCTTCTCATGGTCATGGTGATGGTCGTGATCATGATCGTGGTCATGACCATGGTGATCGTGGCCGTGGTCGTGATGATGGCCGTGGTCATGGTCATGACCGTGGTGACCATGACCATGACTGTGATCGTGGCCGCCCCCACAAGCCCCATGGCTGGCATGGTCGTGCGAATGGCTGTGTCCAGAGGAGGCCGCCCCAGTGTCATCAAGCCAGAATTTAGGTACTGTGTAACTGACCACGCCTCGTAAAGTGCTGACCCCTGCGAGGGTCTCTCGAACGTTATATTCGGTATCGGCGGGCAGGGTAAGCAGCAGGGTTTTGGCTGTGCTGCTCACCAGAGGAACGGCCGACACGAAGATCAGTATGGCAATGAAGCAGGAGGCCAAGGGGTCGTAGCCTGACCACCCAGAGTAGTGGACTAGGATTGTCGAGATCACGACAGCCACTGATCCAAGGGTATCGGCCAGAATATGCAGGAAAATGCCGTGCATATTCTCATTGCCATGATCGTGGCCATGGTCATGACCGTGGTGGGCATGGCCATGCTCGAAACTGAAAATCCCGACCAGGTTGACAGCGAGTCCTGCGATACTGACTGCCAACAGTTCGCCAATACGGTGCATTTCGCTTCCCGACGAAAGGCGTTCCACAGCTTCATAAATAATCTCCACACTGATGATCATGAGGAAAATGCCATTGGCAAATCCTGACAAGGTGTCTACCTTGCCGTAGCCATAGGGGAACCGAGCATTTGGAGGCCACTTGCTCATGACAGCAGCGCATAAACCAACAACTAGGGCAAGACAATCAAAGAACATGTGAATACTGTCACTCAGAAGTCCTAATGATCCAGTCAGGAATCCATACGACAGTTGAACAAGCATGAAGGTGAAGTTCAGGCACATGAAGTAGAAGATACTACGCGAGTCCTTTTCCTTCAGAATGCTGTGCAGCAATGGGTATGATTCGCTTTTGTGAAGGAGCCACTTGGATATCCCGGTAGCCTCTGAGGTAGCGTGGGAATGACTGTGGCTGTGAGAATGGTTATGGGCATGCGCATCCACGTGCAAGTGGCTATCATCCCTGCGTGAAGCGAAGAAAGCGGCCATTGTGAACATGGCACGAGTGGAATAGACCACAAGCAGATCATCTTGACTATGCGGCGCACAGAGTAAAGCTGCAATTCCAGCGAAGACCGCTAGTCCCGACTTCGCCTGTGAACGTAGACTCTCAGGCCGCGAGGCAACAAGGGAGGCAGCGAAGAGGCTGGTGGGGATTCCAACGAGAATCAAATCCGAGGAACCAAACACAAGACCTTGATTGAGGAGAACGGACAACAGGGCAAGGAAAACCCCAGAGATGACGGCCAATGGCGCATTGGTCGTGACCACTACAGATGAGGAGTGGTCATAGGCCTTGGGGGCAACGAGCCCTGGCTCCAGAATGGGCCCTTGAGAACGGAGAGAGGGGAATGGAGGTGGGAAAACGAACGTCGACACCAAAATTGCGATATACCCAATGATTGGAGATGAGCCCCAAGGATTGTTTAGGATGAGAATGCTCGATATGACAGCAACGGCAATAAGTGCAATTGATAGAATCTTTCTGCTGTAGCGCTCTTTATGACGCGGGTCTTTTTCAAGAGCAGCCGGGACCCCTGATGCGGTTGCCAGAAGCAGCGCAAACGCAACCAAGAAGCCTCCGATTTTCAGAGCCGCAAGAATGGGAAGTCCGACTGAGATGATCTGCGTGATCAAGGCTTGTACATTTCTTGCGCTGATGGCTGGTAGTTGAATGGACGAGTTACCTGATGCACGGGAGCGTAGGATCTGGCCACTGCCGAAAATTATTAGAGTTATCGCAGTCAGAAGGCAAGCCTTCTGATTGATCTGGGCGATGGGGGCGCTAGACGTGGGATTTAGGGTCTTTCCACCTGCTGTCTCTTCCGTTTGGGCGCACTGTCTCTGATACCAAGAGAGTGCAACCCACGGGAGCACGATAAGCGCTCCAGTCAACATTTCCTGTCTGCAACAAAGGTCAGTTCCTTTCCGCCAAGCAATCCTTGCTCACATACGTTTTACCAGAGCTTTGATCATCTTCGAGATGAGTATCTGCAGACACTACTCCAGATGTCTCATTGGAGGATTTCATATCGTGGTCATGCATATGGTGGTCATGGTGAAGGGAAGACACGCTGTAGTTATGACTGTGGTTGTGGCTGCGAGGAGTACTGGAGTGCGAATGCGTGTGATGCCCATGGCTCGAATTGTGGTGTATATGTCCGTAGGAATAGCCCGAGTTCGAGGCGTTGGTTGAATCCCAATGCTCATGAAGGTGGGCTTCGGTTGGCTGAGGGAGAGGCGGAGGTTGCGCCCATCGATTAGCTCGAGAGTGACCGCGACCACGACTGTGACTGTGATTGTGTCCAGTGGGAGGGATTGAATCCACGCTGAGTGACGGTGTTCCCGTCGACATGATTAGATGTTCGCAATGCGCAATGCGCAGGAAGCAGCAAACAGGATAGGAGACGCCAAGAAGTGAGAAGTGGAGCGCAGAAGCTCACGGTTAAGAACTTAGCTGCAGATGCAGCATTGCAGGGTCAATCAGGCAAAGCGATATTATTGGAATAACAAGCGCCTGGGGGCTCAGGTGATTGGCTTGTAGAAGGTCGCTGTCTCCAAGGTGCCCATATCGATAGGAGAGTCACGTGCGGGCTTATCGATTACGATTTCATGTGGCATCTATTCCAAGGTTCCAAATGTTTAGTATACTCTTCCAACTCATTCAATGCCGGGATATAGGGATGTCCCAAAGCTAGCCAACATACCTTGAGAAACACCTGATATGCAATTGTCGCCATGATCGAGTCACTCATCAGCATCGCGTTCTGTGTGTCTACCGCTCTCACTGTGTTGATCTTGTTGTTGCCATCGCAATATGAACCAGAGCATGCAAAGTCTCCAGCTGGGTCAAAAGACAGCCCAAAGCCCAAGACGTCTGTTCAAATACTGGTTCTCGGTGACATTGGCCGAAGCCCACGCATGCAATATCATGCATTGAGCATTGCGAAGCAGGGCGGGGATGTGGTGATCATTGGTTATAAAGGTTGGTATTGAAGATGTTACTATGCAACAACCAAACTAATCAGCATTAAACCCTGTCTAGAGTCTGACCCTCACCCCGAAATATCGTCTCATCCCAATATATCGATTGTCCCACTCCGTCCACACCCAGCCTTCTTGCAGACCAGCAACAAGCTGCTCTTCACAATCTACGGGCCTTTGAAAGTGTTGTTCCAAGTAGCTTGTCTATGGAAGTGTCTCGCTTATAGCACAAAAGCACCCAAGTGGCTTTTAGTCCAGGTATGTCTGAAGACGCGAGACCGCATACGTCTCTGGTGCTCACCTTGGCTATGATAGAACCCACCCTCCATCCCAACACTCGCAATTGCCTCTCTTGTCTGTTTCCTAAGACAATCAAAGCTGGTTATTGACTGGCATAACTTCGGATATTCTATCCTAGCTTTGAAACTTGGGCAGCGTCATCCATTGGTAAAGCTATCAGCATGGTATGAGCGAGTATTCTGCAGATCTGCCTCGGCGCATTTTTGCGTCACAGATGCTATGAAATCTGTCCTCGAGCAGGAATTCGACGTAAAGGCGCCCATTTTACCACTCCATGATCGCCCGGCCAACCACTTCAGCCCTATCCTCGATCCCACTGCCCGTACCGATTTCCTTGAAACCCTCCCAGAAACTAGCACGGTTCGCTCGGCCTTGCTACAAGGGACTCTCCGAGTGCTTGTCAGCTCAACTTCATGGACTGCAGATGAGGACTTCTCAGTTCTCATTGATGCTCTTGTTCGATACTCTGAATTGGCAACCACAACACACAACGATCTTCCTGAAATATTGGCCATAATTACAGGAAAGGGCCCACAAAAAGAGATGTACATGGACCAAATTGCTGCCCTTGAGAAGTCGGGCAAGCTCCAGAAGGTCACTGTCCGGACTGCGTGGCTGAGTGTTCATGATTATGCTCGGCTCTTGGCTTCATCGTCATTAGGAGTTAGCCTGCATACCAGCAGCAGCGGGGTAGATCTACCAATGAAAGTTGTAGACATGTTTGGCGCGGGCCTTCCAGTTGTGGGGTGGGATCGATTCAGAGCGTGGCCCGAGTTGGTGACAGAGGGTGTCAATGGATTAGGGTTCGGAAGTTCGGTGCAGTTGGCCGAGCATTTGCTGGAGCTGTTTGGGGATAACGACAGGTTGGAATGTCTCCGGCGAGGCGCTCAGAAAGAGAGCTGTCGGCGATGGGATGATGAATGGAACCCTATTGCAGGCACTCTTTTTGAGTTGACATAGGCAGTCAGTCTCCTTTGACAGATGACGAACATGAAAATCTGTTGTGTTCCTCTTTTACTGGCTCGTCTTTCTGGGGAGGTTTTTTCCCCCAAAAATCCAGAATGGCTAGTAACTTGCTTGAAATTTTCCTGCGCAATGTAAACAGGCATCAAAGGTTTCAAAGAGACCTCTGACTGTCTTGCCCGGTTCGTGGCCAATTTTGGCGGCAATATGCTCTTCGTCAAGCGCTTCCGTGTGACAGAAGGAGCAATACTTTGAAACCCCAGGCTCTTGAATGGCAAGGAAAGATACCCCACATCGGACTGTACATGGTAATGTTTAGCAATGGAATCCAATGTTCAGAATTGTACCAACTTACGCCAGACGTGGCCATTGGCACACCGAGCCTGCTGGATCGAAGACCACCCGATTCCTGCGTCGCAAACCTCGCATTTCTCATATATGTAGCCCCCGGGGCCGGTGATATGATCCATGGACTTTGCATCCAACAAAAAAGGAGAACCATCGCATTTCGAAATCTCATCGGTCAGATCTGCGCCCGTTACTATCGCCAAACGCTCTAGAGAGCGTTGAGCGAGGACCCGAAGGGTGTGGTCATTTTCACCCGCAATTGCACGACAGGCAATCACATAGATGAGTCGCTGGCTTTCTTCGTCAGGATCGACGTCGCCATCGGCACCAGGTAGCACGAAAGACATCATATCTCCAATCCGGTCGTGGTCAGGGGCTTGTCCATTGGAAGCCCGCGGGGTGAACACAGCTCGGGTATCTGGGATGCGCCCAAACTCCTCTGAGAACACAAGGGTAGAGACATCATCAGAGGATACTCGGTATTCGATCATATCCGAGGGGTGGAAGGTGCAGATCGCTGCCGTGATATCTCGATAAGTGGCTAGTCCCCAAATTCTCGATACCGACATCCCTCCGAGATCGTGATCCAAGTCATATTGTTCCTGAAAATCATCGACCATGCGTTTCCACTGAGGCTGTTGCAGGGCCTTTCCATCTTGGATTTGGGATAGCCCCGTGGTTAATCCAACTCCCCCAAGTGTGCCCAAATGGAGTTTACATGCGGTACCTCGTTCGTTAATTGCGGAGAGAAAGCCTAGACCAAAGCTGTCAGCAATTATGGGGTTCGGCCAAAATGCAAACACATACCGTGGATCGGCTCCAGGTGTCTTCCCTTGCGATCAGGAACGTCCTCATTTTCTGGTTCGTGGATTGGCCATTCGCGGATTTCAAGACCAGCGGAGGCGGGACCGCTTGTTTTATACGCATCGTGAGACATGTTAATGGTGACGAACCCTGCCATAACACCCACGGCCAGAGCCATGGTTGTAGACGATTCCTGTGTAGCAGTTTGTCAGCCCAGATATTCAGACTTTGATAAGAATCGGCAAGAGAGGGACTTGGCATACATTGTGCAACCACCCGAGGGGGCCAGTGAAGTGATTCTGAGCCCATTTCTCCTTCGACCGCTCCATGGGATGCTCTGTCAAACTTGCCGACAAGTTGATTTGCTGAATGCCGTTTCCAGTTGACGATTCAAACAGAACATCAACCTTCAGAAGCCGAAGCTGTGTTCCGCAGACAGCAGCTATTACCGCAACGTTACGGTCAGACTTTCGGTTTACCTCGTTGTCCGAATCCAGCCATGGGCCACAGGAAAGGAAGGTGGTTTTTTGCTTCTCCTTCATGGCCTTTTCAAAGAGAGACCCTGGGCAGAGCAAGTCATTCTGCGGCTCCTGATCCTCGATGGCGTGAGTTGCCAAGATATGAAGTCCATAATGTTTGGGAGAGCCATCGGTTGGAGGTGATCTGAGAAACTGTATCAAACTGATCTCATTTAAATCGTTTGTCACTGCCAGTAGAGAGGCCCCCCAGCGGGTTTCCCGCGCAGGCAATGTGGAGGAGTCTTTGAATGTTGAAGTCGGAGCCTTGAGGGAATCACACCAGGTGAACGATCGTATGTTCGTCTTCTGGAACCCATGGGCAGTTGGGTCCCGTGAGCGTTCAGACTGCGGCCAGAATGCATGGTTGACAATCCCAACTCGAGTCCATTGTCGTTTCAAGCCTAGAGGTTCCCAAATGGATAGCACCAGGTTCGAAGTCAATACTAAAAGCACACTGCGTCGATATTTGCCAAGTCCTTCTGGCGACCAGGCCAGGGCAATAACACTGGCTGCTGACTGTTCTCCCGCGACCGAGAACTGATCCCTATCTCCAGGAAGGAAAGCAGGCCATTCAGCATTTGTGAACAGATTAGCTCGCACACGAGTCACAGTCCAATCTGGCTCCGAGCTGGAGGCTTTGTGATCTCGACCACTCGTTGGTGTCTTCCAATATGTCAGTCGTCACAAATAATACAGGCGAATGAGAACTGACCAGAATCTGAAAATATTCGTCAGCCGCAATAGCAATTTCACCGTCTGCCGACCAAGAGATGGCCTGGCGACAAGACGGGAATACCGACAGAGCGACCGGTCTCAGCATGGTCTTATATTTGAAACTGTGACACTTGCAGCCTTGCCTTGCGGTAAGGTTTGTGACTGGCCCGTGGATGACAGGAAGAGACAGCGGACGGTGTGACATTCTTCTTGGTTTGGTGCCTGAATCTTCAGGCAACGATATCAAAATCACACCCAGCTACAACTGTTAGCGTTTGATACAATTACTATTGACTGAATTGGTTGAAACTTCTGTAATGGCTATGAACTATCTAATTTCCACAGCAAAATCTCATTTCCAAGTATACCTAGGTATTATGTTCATTTCAGGGTATAAGTAGTTACTGTAGAGCTTGACAGAACTAGTCCACTCTGTCAAGCTTTTGCACGACCATTGCAGTTGCAGCACCGCCACCATTGCAAATCGCAGCCACTCCATACTCACCGAGCTGGAGCTGGTGCAGTAAGGTGACTAGAATGCGCGAGCCTGAGCTACCCAGGGCATGGCCAAGAGAGATGGCACCTCCAAGCATGTTGACCTTGGCGTTTTCCAATCCGAGAATCTAGATAGTTTGTTAGATATGTAGATGATGGTAAAGAAATGGGCACGACTAACCTTCTCATTGGCCTTGATAACTGCTGCAAAGGCCTCGTTGAATTCCCAGACCGCCACTTGGTCCTTGGTAATACCAGCTCGCTCCAACGCAATTGGCACTGCCTTCGCAGGAGCGACAGGGAAGTCCACAGGGTCAATGGCAGCATCAGCCGTAGAGACAATGCGGGCCAAAGCACGGTTGCCACTGCCGTATTGACGGGCAAGCTCCTTGCTGCCTAGGATTAGGGCCGACGCGCCGTCATTCATTGTTGACGCATTGCCAGCAGTGACGGTACCTGTCCCATCACGCAGGAAAGCCGGCTTCAGGGACCTCAATTTGTCAGCGCGTAGGTTCTCGAAGCCTTCATCACGCTCAATGATGGTGTCTCCCTTCTTGCTCTTCACGGTTACTGGGGCAACTTCATCCGCGAATTTGTTCTCCTTCCATGCTTGTTGGGCCCGCTCGTACGATTGAATGGCATAGAGGTCCTGGTCCTCCCTTGAGATATCATAGTTCTTTGCGGTCTGCTCTGCACAAATACCCATGTGAAATTTGTTGTAAACATCCCACAGGCCGTCCTTGATCAGACCGTCCTCCAGCTTGATCTCACCAAAGGGGGGCAATTGGCTAGCGCGTGCCATATAGTAAGGAACACGAGTCATGTTCTCCATACCACCAGCCACCTGTGCCTCTGCCAGACCCAGCTGAATATTTTGTGCGGCCAGTGCCACTGCCTTCAGACCTGAAGCACAGACCTTGTTGATGGTGAGTGCTTCAACGGTCGCCGGAAGGCCAGCAAATATAGATGCCTGACGGGCAGGAGCCTGGCCTACTGAGCCTTGCAAAACATTTCCCATGTATACATCGGTAATCTTTTCTGTGGGCACTTTCGACTTCTCAAGTGCAGATTTGATAGCAACTGCGCCGAGCTCGGGGGCCGTTACAGAAGCAAATGAACCATTGAACTAGGGAAATCAGTCATCTTCATCGCAATCCGGCAATCTCATTAAGTTGACAAACCTTGGCGGTGGGTGTTCGTGATGCACTCAAAATGTAAGCCTCCTGGATCTCCTTGCACATCGGTCGTGCGGAGCTGAACTGTCTCTGGGTACGGATTGCGGGGAAGGCCCGTTTGGGAACACGGACAGATAGACTTGGAGGGATCATGGCTGCGTATGCTGTGTGATATGTTGGGATAAAGCTGTTCCTCGGGCAGTGAAGAAATGGCTAGGAGAAATCAAACAAGAATCAAAGGAATTGCATGTGTACTCAGTACATATGTATCCGCTCGCGCAACCGCCTGTAACCGCCGCTCCGCCTGGACCGAGGCAGTCGATCCCTCCCCAAAAGGGGACGAATGACATAACTGCTGAGTCATGACATACCTCTTTCAGTCTAACTACTTTAGGTAGGATTCCCCATATCGACGGTTCCTCCGGTCTGATCTTCCCCTCCATCGCGCCGCCGATAGGTATCGGGTAGACTTTCAATCTCCTCTCTCTCTCCTTCTCCCTCACTCCACTCCCCTCCATCTCGACTGATATAGCTCGCTTTGATCTTGAGTCAGATCTCTACAGCTTCACTCTGCTTCAACCCGTCACACCCTGTGTCTCTCGCCGTCATGTCTACATCCGCTCGCCGCCGTCTCATGCGTGACTTCAAGGTACGCATTCAATCAACCCATCGTATGGGACATCATCCCTCGCTGGTGTTATTTTCTTACTAGATTGCTTGCCCTAATTCCTCGGACTTTCACTTTGACCCTGTTTTTACCATCACCCGCAAGGTTCCTCTATTTGGATTCGCCCCCGCTAACATGCTCATGCATATAGCGCATGCAAACTGACCCTCCAGCCGGTGTCTCTGCTTCCCCAGTAGCTGATAACGTCATGACATGGTATGCTATATCTCTGCCCCAATTTGTAAATCGGGCAATGATACTTACCATGACTAGGAACGCCGTCATCATTGGTCCCGCCGATACACCTTTTGAAGATGGCACGTTCCGTCTGGTGATGAACTTTGAAGAGCAATACCCCAATAAGCCTCCTGGGGTGAAGTTTATCAGCCAAATGTTCCACCCCAATGTGTACGGAACCGGTGAGCTGTGTCTAGACATTTTGCAGAATCGTTGGAGTCCCACATATGACGTGGCCGCCATCCTCACTAGTATTCAAAGGTGAGACTAGTCCCATCGCCACCGACGTCTCTCGTGCATACTGACAGTTCGCTTTACTCTTTAGTCTCCTGAATGACCCCAATACTTCCTCTCCGGCCAACGTCGAAGCCTCGAATCTTTACAAAGACAATCGCAAAGAGTACACCAAGCGTGTTCGTGAGACAGTGGAAAAGAGCTGGGAGGACTAAGACCAAAAACTCTTGAAACGAGTCCAGTGGGCTGGGCGTCCTTTGAAGTGACCACAGCAGCTTGGCCGTTTGATCTGCACAGCGTAGGGTGTTTGGCGCCTTGGACATTTATTTACCCTGATTATGGATCTTTTCTTCCTGTTAATATCTTTTATATTGTTTTCATCCCAGGCTGCTCTCCGGTTATTGCCAGATTGGTATATTATGCTTGATTCTACAGCTGCATTAATGCATCAGCCTGCTTTTTTGGACTTTTTTTTTGGACCTTATTCTTTTCATATCTTATACACATCTGGTATCTAAATCTGTATGGCATTTTCCATAATTATTATGAATGGAGTACTCCGTACTCTTGAGTCCCGATTCAACCAGGCCGAGTACTGCAGACCTTGGTTATATTGGAAGCATGCAGTTTACTACTGTAGGGCTCATAGATACGGCTTATCTGCAGTGTTTGCCCGAGTCCGGGGCGGTAGGCCAAGAAATCCTAAACGGGACGAGTCAACAAATCCACCCTTTCTTGCGTTCATATTGCAGGTCTCCGTTGATTTCTTTTTTTCGGCCGTTCGTTCTTTGCGGGTTAATTGTATTCTTCTCTCATTCCTTGGCTTTGCTCCACGGTGCACGTGGAGCCCCTGACGACCCCTCCGACTACACCGCAACAGCCTCCCTGAATCACATCTGAATACCCCCTCACCACCCCCCTTCTCGGGGATCTCTCTCTTAGCTGGAGTTCGCTATAGCCAAGTCGCTCTCTACAACCATGGCGTGAGTATACCGCTTGATCGTGTGTTGGCGCTTACTGACATGGTGTCACAGGTCCGCGGGGTCGAACACCATTAAGGGTATGCATAGCGACTGGTTTTGAGACACTCGAGGGGGAATTCAAATTGACTGAAAATTCACAGTGGTCGCTAGATTCCGCCCGCAGAACAAAGTCGAATTGTCCTCTGGCGGCAAGCCGATTGTCGAATTCGAGAATGAGGAGTCATGTCGCATCCAGGTGAGTGACGGACGGGGAACCAGATTCCACGAGCGCTGTAACTGATGAACCCATTCAGTCCCAAGAGGGCAATGGTGCCTTCACGTTCGACCGCGTTTTCCCCATGGATACGGCGCAAAACGACATCTTCGACTTCTCGATCCGGCCGACGGTGGACGACATTTTGAATGGATATAACGGAACGGTGTTCGCCTACGGTCAGACCGGTGCCGGAAAATCGTATACAATGATGGGTTCTGACATTGATGACGACATTGGCAAGGGTATCATTCCACGAATGATCGAGCAGATCTTCGCCAGCATCTTGACTAGCCCGAGCAATATTGAGTACACGGTTCGGGTCAGTTATATGGAAATCTACATGGAGCGTATTCGCGATCTGCTGGTCCCCCAGAACGACAACCTACCAGTTCATGAAGAGAAAGCTCGCGGAGTGTATGTCAAAGGTCTGCTCGAGGTCTACGTCTCCAGCGTGCAGGAGGTCTACGAGGTTATGCGCCGAGGAGGAGCGGCACGCGCCGTCGCCGCGACCAACATGAATCAAGAATCGTCTCGTTCGCACTCTATCTTCGTCATCACCGTTACCCAGAAGAATGTCGAAACCGGCTCCGCCAAGAGTGGTCAACTGTTCCTGGTCGATCTGGCGGGTAGTGAAAAGGTTGGAAAGACGGGTGCAAGCGGCCAAACTCTAGAGGAGGCGAAGAAGATCAACAAGAGTTTGAGTGCACTTGGAATGGTTATCAACGCTCTGACAGACGGCAAATCGACCCACGTTCCTTACCGCGACTCCAAGCTTACCCGAATCCTCCAAGAATCTCTGGGTGGTAATTCACGGACGACTTTGATCATTAACTGCTCGCCCAGCAGTTACAACGATGCGGAAACAATCTCAACCCTGCGTTTCGGTGTGCGCGCTAAGGCCATCAAGAACAAGGCCAAGGTCAACGCTGAGCTCAGCCCCGCGGAGATGAAGCAACTACTGCGGAAGGCGCAGGGCCAGATGACGAATTTCGAAAGCTACATCTCCGCGCTGGAGGGAGAGATCAGTATGTGGCGAAGTGGTGATAGCGTGCCCAAGGAACATTGGACTCCCTCCCGAGGAAATGAGCTTGTCAGCGCCACAAAGGCTGAGGCTCGTGCCCCACGACCTAGTACTCCATCGCGCTTACAGGAGACCGCTCGTGCTGAAACCCCTCGCCCAGATTCGCGGGTCGGTGATCGGTCCAGTACACCCAGCCTGGTGCTGGAAAAGGACGAGCGCGAAGAATTCCTGCGCCGTGAGAACGAGTTCCAGGACCAACTATCGGAGAAGGAGTCCCACATTGTTGCCGTGGAGCGCAGCCTTCGTGAGGCGCGTGATGAGCTCAGGTCTATGAAGGAGAACGGTGCACGAACCGGCAAAGATAATGACCGCTTGGGTACCGAAGTCAACGAGCTCCGCATGCAGCTGGAGAAAGTTTCGTATGAGAGTAAAGAGGCTGCTATCACTATGGATGGCCTTCGTGAGGCCAACGGGGAGCTCACAGGTGAGCTGGATGAAGTAAAGCAACAGCTTTTGGATGTCCGGATGAGGGCCAAGGAGACTACTGCTGCGCTTGACGAGAAGGAAAAGAAGAAGACGGAGAAGATGGCCAAAATGATGGCTGGGTTTGATCTCGGTGGTGATGTGTTCTCAGACAACGAGCGTAAGCTACAAGATCTGATTCAACGCGTCGACGCCCTACATCAGATTAGCGCCGAAGGCGAAGTGATCGCGCCCGATGATATCCTTGAACTCCGCACGAATCTCCTTGAAACGCAAGGCTTCATCCGACAAGCTGAGCTTACTGTCAACGACCGGAGTGACTTTGGCGATCTGCAGGACAGCCGCCGCGTGGATTTGGAGAAGAAGCTGGATGATCTCCAACAAGAATATGAGGCACTCCTCGCCCGCAACCTGGGAGAGGGGGACGTGGAGGAGATTCGGGATCGATTGGAGAAGGTCTACGCGACGAAGAAGGAGGCCGAAATCACGGCAGCCGAGGACCTTCGCTCTGACATTTCGCGCAAGGATGAGGAATTGATTAAACTGCGACAGTCCCTGGTTGACACCCAGTCCCGCACCTCTACCAATGGCGCTGCCAGCAAAACGTTGCAGCAGCAGATCACAGAGTTCGATGCCATGAAGAAGTCCCTGATGCGCGACCTGCAGAACCGCTGCGAACGTGTGGTTGAATTAGAGATTTCGTTGGACGATGCTCGGGAGCAGTATAACAACGTCCTACGATCATCAAACAACCGAGCCCAGCAGAAGAAGATGGCGTTTTTGGAGCGCAACCTCGAGCAATTGACGCATGTACAGCGTCAGCTTGTGGAGCAGAACAGCAGCTTGAAGAAGGAGGTCGCCATTGCGGAGCGCAAATTGATTGCGAGAAACGAGCGCATTGCTAGCCTGGAAGCATTGCTGCAGGAGAGCCAAGAGAAACTGACTCAGGCCAACCATCGGTATGTGTACACAGTGATGCTTGAATATTCCGAATGTTCTAACCCCCTTTACAGATTCGAGGCTCAACTCACTGCTGTAAAAGAGCGCCTTGAGGCAGCAAAACAAGGCTCAACGCGCGGCTTACCGAGTATGGATGGGAATGCGAGCTTTAGTTTTGGGGGGTCGCGTATCGCGAAGCCCTTACGAGGCGGCGGTGACGGCCCGTCGCCGGCGAATGCGAACGTCGCGGGCGTACAGTCGCAAGAAGCGACCGGCAAGCGTAGCAGCTGGTTCTTCGACCGCCGATGATTCCATTGTGCCAGAGTCTGCATCAGAGTCTGTGCCAGAGTCCGTCGCACCCGACAATCCGACGATTTTCCAGAAACTGGACAACTACATACCGTTCACTCAGGATGTCGTGCAATTTGTGCTATTGTCGTTGGCCTTTGGATGAAGCCTTTTGCTTAAACCCCCCCTCTTTCTTTTCCTTTTTCTCTTACGTCTGACGAGTTTCTTCTCTTTCTTCGATCTGACCAGACTTGTTTCTTTTTGTGATTTGCCCCCGCTTTCCAGTACATTAGATCGCCTGCATGGGGACTGGAGGTTCTTCTTCCCGATACCCCTGTACATCAATGATAGAATGCAGAGGAGCTGGTAGGTAGTCTGCGGAACCTGATTTGATGTGATGTATACATGAGACAGTGAATGGACTATGACAGCTGCCATCTGTTTTTTCCCTCCGCCTTTCTCTGTCTCTAAATGAAATATCCTCCATCTATATCAAGATGTTCCAAGGTTATTTTTATATCAGATATACACATGGGATAAAGACAACTAGAAATGATAAGAAAGAATATGCAATGCAATCCCCTATAGCCGTCCCAAAGAGAATGCCTCACATTGCGCCAGTATTTCGCCGAAGCAGCGCCCAAGCATCTAAACCAATCCATCGTAAAGCGACAAGGCACTGACGATTGTCTCGTCCCGTTTGCTGCCTTCTTTGAATTCTTCAATGTCGAGACTACCGTTCTCATCTTTGTCCATCATACGGAAGATCTTCCGTACCCGCTTCTCTGGGGTATCTTCGTCCTCGGGCAACTTCACCATGGATCCCACCTGTATTGTTCGTCAGTGGATGGCCAACTCGATACCAAGGTGGGTACGTACCATCTTGTAGATCGCCTCGACAATGGCCAGCATTTCGTCGTATGTGATCTTTCCGTCGCCATCAATATCGTACAGCTGGAACGCCCAGTCCAGTTTATCCTCCATCTTGCCCCGTGAGGTCACTGAGAGAGCGCAGATGAACTCTTTGAAATCAATCATGCCACTGTTGTCCGAGTCGAATACCCGGAATACGTAATTTGCGAAGGATGAGGGGTCGCCGAAGGGGAAGAACTGCCGATAGATTTTCTGGAATTCTTCCTTGGTCAGGGTGCCCGATGGGCAGTCCTTGAGGAATCCTGGAGTGCGCCGGTCAGCGACGAGCATGTATGACGTACGCGGCCGCGGCCATACCTTTATACCATTGCTGTAACTCCTTCTTATCAAAATGGGTGGCTCGTTGCAACTCGTCGAGCTGCGTCGGCGAGAGCTTTGACTGACTGACAGGATGAGTTAGTGGAGAGAGCGCGAGAAATAGACGATATGCAGGGCTATGCAGGAGACCAAAGGCTTGGGACATCCTCCGAACAGCCGCCATTCCCAAGGGGGCCATGGCAAGGAGGGGGAAACTCACGACTTTCCCATGATCACAGAACTCTTATCCTTCTAGAACGATGCCAAGCGCATGGATATCCAGAGAGAGGCGATGGACTGGTCAAGAAGATTGACGCGGGGTAGAAACGGGATGTGTGGCTGAGTCGCGGTGGCGGAAAGTCTACGCAAGGGGCGTATTCCCATAGAATACAACGAATACAATATAATAGTAGCGACTGATCTGGAGAGAGAGAAAGAGAAAGAGCAAGACTGTATGGAGAGAAATAATACAAAAGAGTCGAGAAACAGCCGTGACGAGTCGAAGTCCAGACCGAAAGTCTTGGCATCGGACATATTTCGTCACTGTACGGAGTACGGAGTATTGGATGGTCGATATATACAATGATGCAGTTCCATTTTGCAATCTATGTAGATCTCTTTGTGATAGAACGAAATGGCTAGCTTGTGCAAATGATTTAGTCCACTTTAATGGAGCCATAGATACGATGGATGAAGGCCCAGCTGGCGAAGAAACCGATAGAACCTGAGAGAGGGGAAGATCAGCCAATAAATCCAAGAAAAATAGCGAAATAAAATGGCCCGGAAGGTTCGGAGGACACGGAATGGACGTACCAGTTAGGATGAAGACAATGAAGGAGATCAACGCCGAATAGCCCACATAGAGTACGGCTCCAGTCAACCCACCAAAGCTCACCCGTGTGGCCCAGAAGATCAACGCGTTCACAAACACATATCCACCGGTCATACCAGCACCTGCAAAGGCCCGCCAGTGCCACCGGTAGTTCTCTGCGCACAGCAAGAAATATACCAGCAGAACGGTCGTTGTCGCGGAGGTGATGATCATCAGGCCGTAGCAGAGGAACAAGAACCCGAACATATAATAGATCTTGTTGGTCCAGAGGGAGGTCATGATAAAGTACAGCTCGACAAAGATCGCCCCGAAAGGCAGGATGCCGGTAAGCAAAATGGATGGGATGGTGCGCAAGCTACCGGCCATCGGGGGAACTTGACGGGGGATCTGGTTCGTCTTGGTAGGACCCTCAATGGACTGTTTACTTCTTGTTAGCTGGAGAGGACATTTAGAAGACCAGAGTTGACTCACCGCTTGCTTGAATCCCAGCCAGCTGCCGGCCACACTCAGTGGCACGCTGATAACAAACCAAATCAAAACCAGAGCCAGCATGGTCCCGAAGGGCACGGCACCACTGGAGCCCTTGGCCCAGACGAATAGGTTCAGAATAAAGAAAGCACCAAAGATGATACCGGGGATAAAGAGAGGTGTCATAATAATGTTCCGTCGCCACGCATCGCCGCCAAAAGTCTTGTACACTCGCGCCGAGACATACCCGCCAATGCCACCAAAGAGAGCGGAGATCAGCAGAATGGCAGTAGCCAGCAAACCGCGGTTCGAGGGAGACAGGAGACCGAGCAAAGCGAAGGCTACACGAGCACATTAGTCTCCAATGATAAATAGAAAAAAAAAGGTGCGCTAATTAACTTACCGACCGTCACGCCGGTCATCATGAAAAGCTGGGCTCCATTTCCCAACATGATACTCAGCAGCAATGGGGACTTGGGGCACCGGAACACATCACCATGGACAAGCTTCCACCCAGAATCCTCTTGAACACCATCTTCAATGGCGGCTGATGTGCCATCCAAGTCTTCCAGATTGAACGAATCCAATCGGTTGTAGCGAGCGATGTCCTTTTTCAGGGCCCGGATGAGAATCATGCTGACCATGCCTACGAGGAACACCACGAAAACAGCGGAGTTGATGAGAGAGAACCAGTGAATCTTGGGATCAAAGACGTGAAGGTATTTGTCCCAGCGAGTGGCCCAGGCAGTGGGGGATTCCTTCCAGTAAACACTGTACGTCCAAGTGACAGTGGTTTCTCCATCTTCGTTGAGCGACAGAGCATCACCCTGGGTGCCACACTCAGCCTTGCCCGGCTCATCGGAATTCCGAGAGTCCCGACGAGATTCAGGCTGGACCAGCACTCCAACAACGCGGTATTTGTCCTTGCCACCAAATCCAACCTTGTGATAATCGATCATAATGTCATAATGATTGTTGAGCAGAGCTTTCCCACTGTCATCCAAGTCACCTAGAGCGAAGCCGGGACTGTAGAATTTGGTCTTGGTCACCCCATCATAGTTCAGCTGTGCAGCTGGCAAACCATCAACGAGCCAGTTGATGTTGTAACCTTGAGAGATACGGCGATTTGTGAACTTGGCACTGCGGGCGTCAAATTTGGTTTCAGCGCAGATCGATTTGCAGGTCTCATTCTTTGCCATTTTCAGCTCGAATGGTGAGGTACGGATCCGATCACCGAACAGGATGCTGCCCAATGATTCTCTCACATCTTTGGGACCATCAGCTGGTTGACAGAACCCAAAGGCAGGATGATAGTAGTCATATGAGAAGACTGAGTGAAGTTGGTCATCGCGGGAAAGACTTGGAGTCAAGTGGTTGACAAAGAGAGGAACAGCTTGTCCTTCGTCATAAGAAGTTGGTGCAACGCCTGGCAAGTAAAAAGCCGAAGTTAGGGAAGGCAATGCAAGCAAAGCTAACGCGAGGACATAGGCTCGATCGGTAAGGCGCATGGTGGGCGTCGCTATAGTAATTCGTCCAAGTCAGTCTTGTTTATTTTGAACAATAGGAGTAGGGCAAGGCACTCATCGCGGGATTGGGGTGGGTGGAAACTCACAGTTGAAAGCTCCCACAGAGAACGGAAAATCACGGTCTCATTCGTGGGGGGAATCACAATGCGCGCAGAGAGATGAATCAAGAAAGTCGAATTGCGGACAGACTGGCAATGACGATCTTAGATATCCGGATATGCCTTGGTGCCTGGCCATCATGTTATCGCACGTGATCGTTATCGACCGCAGCCAAATTTTTTTTTGTTTCGCGGGAGACTTCCAAGGTTGATTACTCCAAGGTTGTATATCCAGACCCTCCATTATGGCTTCAGCACCGGCGTCTGCACGCCCGCAAAGTCTCTCAACATTGCTTGAAACCCTGACTACATGTCTGTCGACAACGGTATCTTCTTTACCCAAGGCTCAGAAGGATGCCTCCAATGCTACGATTGAGCCTCCGCAGGATGGTATCTCTCTCCTCGACACCAAGAGCGAAATCCTGCTTTCCTACTTGCAAAACCTGGTCTTCCTGATCATTTTCCAACTACGAAACGTGTCAGCGAAACAATCGAAAGAAAAGAGCGCATCCGTGGACAACTCCATCGAAGAAGATATTCGTAAGAAATTGACTGAGCTCCGGGTCTATCTTGAGCGAGGTGTGCGACCCTTGGAGGGCCGCTTGAAGTACCAGGTCGACAAGGTCATCAAGGCTGCGGAGGAAGCGGAACGCGCGGAGAAGATCCAGCCGACCAAGGCTAAGTCCAGCCGCAAAGCCGCCAAGGACAGCGACGCTTCATCTGATGAAGATGAAGATTCAAGCGAGAGTGAGGGTGATGAGGATATCGATGAAATGGCCTACCGACCCAACGTCTCCGCCTTCTCCAAGGGCCCCGCCGAGAAGAAGCAGGCCAAGCCCTCCAAGCCCTCCGAGGAAGGTCCAGGCGACGGTATTTACCGCCCTCCAAGGATCATGCCCACCGCTCTGCCTACAACCGAGCGTCGCGAACGCCAAGACCGCAGACCCATCCGATCCAATGTCATTGACGACTTCGTCAACGCCGAAATGTCGTCTGCGCCCATGGCCGAGCCTAGTGTCGGTAGCACCATCATTGATGGTGGCCGGACCACCAAATCGAGAAAGGACCAGGAACATGAGCAGAAGCGCACTACCTACGAAGAAACCAACTTCGTCCGTTTGCCCAAGGAGACCAAAAAGGACTTGGCCAAACGAGGTGGAAGAAAGGACACTACATATGGTGGTGACGAATGGAAAGACCTCAATGCGGGCGCCGATCACATCGAACGCCTCACTCGGAAAACTAAGAGCAATGGTGCGGCGCTGGAAAAGAGCCGCAAAAGAACGCGTAACGAGGATGGGCAACGCGGCGATGGTGTGGGCATGGGACAGATTTTCGACAAGCGGAGAAAGAAGGTTGATAGCTGGAAGCGGTAGAAGTTGGATGGAGGGATATCCATGTTCAAAAGGCGTCTGGCCATTTATGGAGTTTGTATGATTACCCCAGGTTTTTGTCGACCAATGCATATATCTATTTGCGACATATATCTCATTTGGTGTTACAAGTACGCTCTATGATTCGGCCCCGGGGCCAATACTTTGGTATACTAAGTACCGATGCCAAAGGTTTCTTAAATATAGAAGAGGTTGAAAGTCGATCTCCAACTTCTAACCTTGGAAATTTTAGAGGGAGATATCTTACTGACATCAATAGATGCTGCACTCACATTAAGCATCAATATACTAACTTTAGAAGTAGCGTAACCCTGAAATCTTCGTCCAGGAACCCTGTGATGTTCACATGTGAATGATGTCATTGGCATACAACCTGATATCGCGGGCTTTTCTTTCTTCTCTCCTACACACCCCGTGTACCTCGCGCAATGGAAAATCCAGGTATGTTGCCGAGAAATTGATTCAATAGACCAAGCTGACTTTCCGAGTGGCTGAAATTCCCACCGTCATCCGTCTTCTGACGCAGTCGCCGCCCTCGGTGCAAGAAACGGTTCTTCAGCGATATTTCACAAGCGATGCCTCCTTTGTACATCCCTTCTGTCGAGTTCCCAGCTTTGAAGGGAGTAGATGGTGGGTTGCCAAGATCTTCCAGTGGTACAAGATCATGTCGCCCCGGATCGAGCTGGAAATCCATTCCATTGGTAAGTGCATGCACGACCTAGTAGGGAGATGGGTTCTGACTTATCCCTTTAAAACTAGCATTTGACGAGGAAAAGCGCCGGTTGTATATCAACATGTCCCAAATATTCTCCATCTGGCTGGTTCCTTTCCATGTTGCTTCTGTGACTCTCACGACTGTGCTGGACTTGACATCCGAACCAATGCAAAGTGATGCTACGACCAACGGGGACCGCAAGCTCTATCATATATCCAAACAAGAGGATCTCTACCAATCCTCGGAATTCGTCAAGTTTATTCTGCCACATGTGGGACATTGGCTTATCTATGGTTGGCACATCGTTGCCACCCTCTTCTGCGTCGTGGGCGTGTCTTTGCTATGGCCGATCCTGTGGCTAGAGGAAAACCGTTACATTCCAGGACGCTTCCTACGAGGGGGTAATTTAGCTACTAACATTGATAAAAAGATACCTGAGATCAAGGAACATTGAGCCATAATGACATTCATTCAATCTAACACTCTTAATTTGATTTTAATCACTGGATTCACTTTGATTTTACACATGCAAGTAGAAGGATTTTCATTGTTTCATCTTAACAGTAAACACATATGCTGGGACTCTGTTCTTCAACTTCACATGCATCACATCCATGGATGCCCCCGGGGCTCCATTAATCATAGTAATTGGTCCCGTTTCGTCCCCTCTCTTCAATGAGCTTTGGTAGACTTGTTCGACTTGTTGGCTTTGGACTTCTCGGACTTGTTGGCCTTGCGTTCTTTCTTCAATTCTCTACGGAATGCATTCTCTCGTTCCACGACCATCAAAGGCAAGCCACGGCCAATGCCAAAGAAGACGAAGAGCGCCCACTTCCAGCGGAAAGGATTGATGACCATAACGAAGACATACCAGTAAATCAATTCAGCATAGGTAAAGAAGTCGAATGCTCCCGTGGGGCTCAGGCGCTTCATGAACCTTGTGAAATCAATCCATGTCTTCATCCTTTGTTCGGTGGGGCGCGTCAATGGGTCGGTGAGGAACATCAGCAAGAATCGAGTGTAAATTCCAATGTGCATATTGCCCACTGTGCCGATCGCATCGACATAGGTGCTGTTGTTTGCGCAGATGTCTGGATATTTGGGAGGGAAGACTTGGAGGTACCAGCTCGGCGGGCCATACGGTTCTTCAAATACCTCGTCCGGCAAGAAGGACAGAGATGGCCGCTTGAACCCAGTCGCCAAAACGATTATGTCTCCTTCAACGAGTCGCTCCCGGCCAGGTCCTCCCTTGGGGACCCCCTTGGATCGGAAGTTGAACGATACACCTTTCTCTTCTAGAGAAACAATGTCACCGCGCAGCCAGTGGGCTTTGCCCTCCCGGATCTGATCGAATAGTTCGTCATTGGCCATGGGTGTTTGGGTAAAGATGCCCTTGTCCGTCGGGGCAATATCCTGGAGGTCACGATAGAAAAACTTGCGCAGCAGCCCTTCTGGAATCCACGAAAGAGCAGTTTCCTGACCGAAAATGTTGCATGCCAAGAGAGACTGCACCAACACATTTCGAGGAATCACCCACTTGTCCGATCTGGAAAGAACATCGATCTCAGCAGCACCGTTCTTGACGGCAAACTCCAAAGCCTCAATGGCGCTGGCGCCACCGCCCACGATCAGCACCTTCTTGCCCTTGGCGTCCTTGCCATCCAGCTCAGAAGAGTGATAGATCTCACCCTTGAATTTATCCTGGTTAGGCATGGGTGGCATCTTGGGGTCACCACACACGCCCACCGTAGCCAGAACACCATCGAAGAGGCCGTACTGCTCTTCATTGTCGTTGATGATCCATTTTCCATTGTTGTTCTGCTTTACCGAAGTGATCTTGGTATCAAAGACAGTGCGATCTTCCAAGCCATAGCGTTTCCATAGACTGATGATTTGATCCTTGATCTGTTGCTGCGTGGGGTATGCGGTATTGAAGCTGACCGACGGATGGAAACGGTACATGAGACTGTGTACCTGCAATGCAGAGGTGGAATTCACCCTCTAACGAAGGATTAGCGTCTGTTTCAAGATCAAATTCACTTTTTTGAATGGATTGTCATACGCTCCAGATACCACCCAGACCCTTTTCTTTGTTTCTCGATTCAAATAGTTGGACATCGAAGCCATGTCCCACACAGTGGGCTGCCGAAGACACTCCGGTTATACCGGCACCAATTACCGCGACTCTCTTGCGGGGCAAATCTTCATTTCCAGTTGTTGGAGGTGGGGGAACAGGAGCAAAGACCCAGGTCAGCACGGCTTGCAGGGCAATGTAGAACCAGGTGAAGGTCACCACGAAAGGATGCCGAATAATGGCTGGTATTGACGATTCGGTTGCCATTGTGAGGAGGGGCATGAGAACAGCAGAGAGCAATTGAAGTCCAGGGCAGAACTTCAGAAGGGAATGGAAATATTTGTAGTTCAAATGTTCTCATTTTACATGTGAAGGCTATGACATCATCGGGACTAAATCTGGATTGCCAACTTGACTCTTATTTTACAGGGGAGCTATGAAGTAATACTCCAGTATACATTGGACACTTTTATACGACTAATACTCATGTGGAGTTATAGTTGAAGTACATAACAGGTTGCAGGAATGCCCTGCTTCTGGCGCTTGTGATAGCAGAACAGTGCATATGATATGCAGTACTCCATATGAATCTCTGGTGCGATATATATTCCGCGAGTGGATATAAAATAGACCGGAGCTTGAGAAATCACATGGCAATCATGCCATGCTCCAAATATTCTCCTATCCTATTTCAAGGATAAATGATGAATTTGGCGTCATTGCCCAGGGGCCGGGACACATGTAAGAACGAATTTCCAAAGAGGAAATCAATTGGGGGTAAGCTCTCCGAGGCTTTGAAAGCCCTATTGAAGCAGTAAGAGCATTTTATTCAAGCTTTGTATTATAATTGAAGAGTAATGACTCCGAAACAAGTGTCCTAAACAACTTGAGAATACTCCGTACTCCATCTTGTATACAATTGGCGGTCGGATTCTGCCCGTACAGCTTGGTCCTCTTTCAACCGTTCTGGTTACTCCAACGATAATTCGCATTCCGTCCAACTTCACACGATTTCTGCTGGTGCAAACCCAGAATCTCTCTGAGCATTCGGCTCTCCCAACATGAGCCAAACTCCCGTTCTGGATCAATTTCTCGGCAATTTGCAGGAAATTGTGCAAAATCGCGATGGCTCCAAACTCCAGGACTTTCTCCAACTCGAACCCCCATTATCGGACATATATCAGCGCATGATAGCTGAACTTCGTCAGCACTATGCCACCAGCGCAAAGGCCGATGACGACATTCTACAACGATGCGAACGCCTTGTACCTCGGACCAAGAACGGGTCCTCATGGGCCGCTTTCCCGGCCTTCATGAGGATGTATCTGACCTTCCTCCGCGAGATGAATACCGACAACCTCCTCGAGACATACAATCAGCTGAAAGCGCTGCTCAAGTAAGATCCCACTCCTCGTGAAGGCTTGTACCGCGCGCAGCTCCACACTGCGACCTTCAACTACAAAGGCTGACTCGAGAAACCATTGCAGCCAATGTGTGCTTGCCCTTGGCGACAGTCAATTCGGAGTCGTCGTTCTACCCACCGTTTTATATCTAGCCAAAGTTTTGGCTAAATTGGCTTTAGGCCTGGATCGCCGGCCGGACTTGATCGCCCATATTCGACGGATGGAAGGTCGGACTGATCAAAACGAGAGTGTGGAGAAGGTCACTTTGGTGGAAAAGTCTGCCAACGTTGTGCGCGAAGCCTTCATCAAGTGTCTCACCGATCGTACCGGCACTCCTGGCCCTAATGGAAAGCCGGAGGGTAAGCGTGTTGGTATCTACCTCATGGCCAACCTTTGCCTCAAGTTGCTCTTCCAGGTATGAATACTCAATCCGATCTCTAAAATAGCGCAGTGATTAACACTTATGACCCAGTGCGGGAAACTACGAAACGCAGAACAGATGTTCGCCAGCATCAGCGCTCAATCGCCCCCTCTAGCCCACTTCCCTGCCTCGCAGCGTGTCACCTACCTCTACTATCTCGGACGATATCTCTTCGCCAATAACCTCTTTTACCCCGCCCAAATCGCTCTCCAGTCTTCCTACAATCAATGCCACCGCCAGGCCACTGGTCAACGCCACTTGATCCTTTCATATCTCATCCCGTGCAACATCATTCTCGGCCGGTTTCCATCACAGGCACTCTTTCAAAGACCCGAGGCCCAGGGCCTCGCACAACACTTCCAACCAATATGTCAACTGATCGTTCGCGGAGATTACCTCGCTTTCCGACAACATCTTTCCGTGGGCTCCCCAACCGCCCAATGGTTCGCGCGCAAAGGAATTCTCCTTGCACTCCGTAATCGATGTGAAGTCCTTGTATGGCGATCCTTTTCACGCAAAGTCTTCATGTACGGAGGTTCCTATCGAGGTCCGCAGGCGCAGGCGCAGCGTGGACCACCCCCTATTCTCTACCTCAAAAAGATTGCCGCGGCTACGCGATGGCTTCAGTTACGACATCTCCCACCAAGTAACGAGGTCGCTCAATCTGCACCATATTCCAACATCCATGGTTCACAAATCGTTGACGAGGCCCTGGATTCCGACTACTCGTGTCTAGAAGCGGCTAATGGAAGTCTGGACCCCTCAATTGAGCAGCGCGTCTTGATGGACTATGGTGATTACTTTGCCCCAGGCGGCCTGTATACTCAGCAAGGACATTTGGCCCCCAATGCCCAGGGTGCTCTGGTGGACAGTAATCCGCAGGAAAACTACGACGATTGTGAACTCGATCCCTATGAATTCATCCCCGAAGACAGCATGGAACCCGACAAGTCCCCTTTGATGCGAGAGATTGAATCAATTCTGGCATCCTTGCTCACCCAGGGGCTCATGGGCGGTTATCTGCTCCACCGCGAACCTCGATTTGCCGTCCCGGGGGCCAAACTGAAGGGCATCATGCCCACAGGATTTCCGAATGTTTGGCAGACCATTTCTGCGCATGAAAGCATCGACAAATCAGTCCCTGGATGGGTTCAGCCTCGAGCATCCACTGGACTGGGAGGAGCTGGACGCGTCGTCAACCTTGCAGGAGCACGCCCCGTCGGACTCCAATGAGAATTCGGTTGTTTTTATTTTAAATGTTTCTATGATACCTTAGCGAATATGGAATATCCAAATGTGACAATGTCATGTTTCTCCGTAAATGCATATAAATGGGGAATTCCGGTGCCTAAACCCCAACTTTCCCTTCTTCACCTTTCACACCTTGCATCTTGCATCTTGCATCTTGCATAGTTTCTCCCTAAATTTCGCAGCTCCATGGATCATACCACAGCTGTAAAAGAGATCTCGGCGCGGGTTGCTGAGTTCTACCAGCGCCAACAGCCGTTTCGCATCTATCATGGCTCAACCAACAGCACACGTCCTTCCAACCACTCTGCATCCACCACCATCAGCACTGCAGATCTCACCCGTGTCCTAGAGATCAATTCCGACCGATGTACGGCAATAGTTGAGCCTAATGTACCCATGGACGCCCTGGTGGCTGCCACCAGGGCTCACGGCTTAGTCCCTTTGGTGGTTCCAGAGTTCCCGGGAATCACCACGGGTGGTGCATTCTCGGGGACATCCGGGGAGAGCTCCTCCTTCCGAGAGGGGTTCTTCGACCACACGATCAATTGGATCGAAATGGTCCTCGCCAATGGAGAAGTGGTGAAGGCGTACAACGATCGCGTCGAGACCGTGGGGTCAGGCCACTCCGACTTGTTCTGGGGCGCGGCATCCTCCTTCGGGACCCTTGGCGTGGTCACTCTGCTGGAGGTTCGCCTGAAAAAGGCGGAACCGTTGGTAGAATTGAAATATTATGTTAGCTCCGATATGAACGATGCGGTGCGTATCTTCCAGCAAGTTGGCGCTGATCCCCAGACCGAATTTTTGGATGGTATCGTCTATTCCCGGAATCAAATTGTCGTTTGCGCAGGACGACAGGTGGAACACACCCCTGTTCAACCCCAGCGCTTCACCCGCCGTCAGGATGATTGGTTTTACTTGCATGTTCAACGTGCCACGGCTGGCGCCTTCGGCCGAGTCGATTCTCACACGCCCCATGCTGTGGATTATATCCCCTTGACAGATTATCTCTTCCGATATGACCGGGGTGGGTTTTGGGTGGCCCGTTATGCCTTCCACTACTTCTGTGTCCCATTCATCTTTATGACACGCTGGCTGCTCGACCGCTTCATGTACACCAGGGTGATGTATCACGCTCTACACGTCAGTGGTCTGGGGCGGCGGTATGTCATTCAGGATGTTGGTGTGCCTATATCCGCCGCCGCCGAGTTTCTTGACTGGCTAGATCGCCCTGAAAACTTTGGACAATATCCTCTCTGGCTCTGCCCGCTACCCCCGGGAAGCGCAGGAGGGCTGGAAGGACAGCCAATTGACAGCAAGGGAGAAGACGTGGACAGCCAAAAGACCACCCTCCTCAATTTTGGAATTTGGGGCCCCGGTGTAACCACTGAGCAAGCCAGGTTTGTGGCTCAGAACCGCCAGCTGGAACACAAGGTTCAGAGCCTGGGGGGAAAGAAATGGCTGTACGCCCATGCTTACTATACAGAAGATGAGTTCTGGGCCATCTATGACCGGCCCGGATATGATGCACTGCGTGGGAAATACCATGCACAGCATCTTCCAACTCTGTATGACAAGGTGCGAGTGCGCCCTGAAGATTTGCCCGGGGCGCACCGAGGAGACTTTGAAAGTGGCTGGAAGGGGATGGTCAAACGTGCCCTTTGGGACGTTTGGCCATTCAGTGGCCTGTATGGAGTCTACAAAGCCTGGAGAGGAGGTGACTATTTACTGCGAAAGGAGACCCATAAGAAAAAGTCCGATTGAGGATCAACATTATCAGGGGTATTTTATGCATTTCCACAGGAAAACCAACACCGGGCTTCTATAGCCAGCATACATGCAAAAATGCCTAACATGAAGTAAATAGTAAGGACAGGGTTCGAGAAGGAAGTAGGAGGAGAGAAAGAGAGAGAGAGCCCAAAAAGAAAAAGAGAAAACGGAATGAAACGAAATAAAGATCCAGACGAAAGGCTTTACTCTTGCACAATGCGCCCTTCCAGCCGAGGGGAGATACCCGATGTCCAAGCTGGGGTAAACTCCCCTTCGCCGTCCATGGTGTTCAAATTGTCAGACTGCAAGCCTGCATGCCGCATCCACTTGCGAACAACCCGTCGTGCTACTTGTAGACGATGCTCCTCCTCGGCGGAGGACTGAGCAGGTTGAGTAACGTAGTTGGTGGTTGGTCGGGACGATGTCAGAATGTCAGGATCCTCATCGGAGTCGGAGTCCATGGCATTGCCATTCGTTTCGTTCTCCGTGCCACCCTGGATATCTTGCTCCACTTCCTCTGGGAACCGGCCATAGTAGTGCGCTGCCCGGGACGTCCGCTGAAGTGTAGGTCGTTCAAGCCTCTTCTCGGGCGTCTTCTTCTCACTCTTAGGCGATGTGTTGGCAGAAGGCGGCTTGAGCCAGCCATCGCCGTGCAAATTCAGATGCACAGTGCCCCAATGTCGGCGAAGACTGGCGCTCCAGCGATTCCATTTCCCGAGGACTTTGAGACTGAGAAAATATTGTCGAAGGATTGTACTAATGAGCACACCGTTTTCTTCACTCACAAGCTCTTCCACTTCGCCTCCTTCGGCCTCGATCAATAAGGATGTAAATCCGTCTTTGCCGCGAGCCATGTACCCGCGTGTGGCGACAACATAATCACGCTCCAGGTCAATGGGCTCACCCCCAACCCGAGCAAATGTTATTCGAGATCCCGAGGGTGCTTCCAATTTGAACCCGTAACTGATATTAGAGACTTGTGAGAACCGGCCCTCAAGTGCGGGAAGCTGGCTTACTCCGTTCTCCAACGCGGCCAACAAGGCATGGCCAGGAACGCGTAACAGAACCACAGGATCCTCGAATGGGAAACAGTTCAACAGATCCTTCAACTTGAGAATCCCCGGAGGGTATATTTGATCACCGCGAATGGTTCCGCCGGCCATCATGGCACAGTCCGCCGCATAGTAGAATCGCATCAGGTCACAGACAAAATTGCCAAGATTCGACTCGCGCTGGCGCACAGTCGAGAAACGGCCATCCAGTGGGCTGACCGTAAAGCCGATGGGTTTGTCTAGTTTGGCCTTGAGGCTCGCACCGAGTCGGGCCACCATGGCCACTGTGTCAGGGTCCTCGGGAATGGAGCGAACCACATCTCGTCGCGTGATGTTGAAATCCCAACCAGGCAGACCACCTTGTTTGCGAAATGCTTCGATGTAGCTCAGTTGTTTGAAATCAGTCCCCGACCGAATGACATGGATTCCATTGACCACGGCATGGGCATAGAAATGATCATGACCTCCGAGAATGATATCAACTAGAGCGGGCGAGAGATTATTTGCCAACTTATAGTCATTCGGCTCGCGTTGATGGGTCACTGCAATAACAAGATCTGCTCCCTCTTCTCGGAGTTGTTTCGCAAGTTTCTGGGCTGTCTGAGATGCAGATTGATAGATCAGGTCTGGCGGAAGCGCGTTGATGGTGTCGAGCCTTAACCCTAGGTCAGCTAAATGTGTAGGCGCAGAGATCCGGATGAAACCCATACCATTCTCGTTCTCCGAGACCTAGGACGCCAATCTTGAATCCATTTGATGAAGTCAGCATGCGGGTCTTTCCACAATCAGCGATCGGGGTGTCCTCCCCCAGTGCTGGATCAAGGACGTTTGCCAATAGCCAAGGAAAATGGCATTGACTTGCTAAATGGCGGAATTGGGGCACTCCAAAGTCAAGGTCGTGGTTCTAGATATGATGAGCGGTGTGTATGCATGACGGATGGGGTCTCATACTCACACCGACACATGCCACATCGGTGCCCACGGTGTTCAGAAATGGAACCATATGCCTGCCCTTGGTGATTGTACTTTCGATACTCGGGTTGAATGCATCGCCGGAGAAGAATGTCAAGATATCGGGTTGCCCGGCGAACTGTGAGTGGGAACGGTAATAATTTACAAGAGATTGGAACCGTGATACACCGCCGATAGGTTCTGCAGAGCCCGATCTACGTAGGAATCTTTAGAAGAGCGTCCAGAGGCCCAAGGGAGAAGAAGTGCATACTCGACATGATAGACATCATTGTAGTGGATCAGCCGCAGATCCGGGGATCCGGTGCGATCACTAGAATAAGTGACGGAGAGACCGTCGACTTCAAGACTTGACATGAAAATTCCAGATTTCAAGAAGCTAAGGTGAAGATAAGAGGAGAGAGGGAGAGAAGAGGAGAGTGAATAGTCGAGAGTAGAGAAAGGGAAACAAACAATGAGGGGGAAGTTGTCAAACGCCCCATTGGTGCCTTGCTGCCTGGGGAATGAGGTGTCGTGTTCTCGTAACAAAAAACAGAAAAACAGAAAAAACAAAACAAAGGCACCGCCATGCAAGATTGGTATAATAAACGTTCAAAGTTTTTGTTCCGTTACTGTCCATCGTCGTTTCGTGCCCCCTTCGCGATCCTCTTGTGCGCTTCCCCAGAGACCACGTTGGGACTGGGTGCGCTGTGGTAGCTGCTTGACCCAGCCACGATCTTCAGCCCGATCAGGAATGGTCGGGTCTTGGCTGGTTGAGCGATCTCCAAACTCCGGCGCGAAGTCGTCTTCGAGGTCGGCTGTTTTCTCGGCGACCGAGCCCCAGAGCCCACCCGCCCCACGAGACGCCGTGGACGGGCGCATCGCGAGCGTCCATCCACGGGGGCTGGAACTGGAGCTAGGGGAGGGCCCATTGGTATACGAAGCTTGGAGTGATGGCCGAGCGCCAATGCGATTTCGATAAGTAGACACCGAAGACACCGGCGGCGCAACTGCCGTGGAGGGAGATACCAGCGAGGTCAGCTGTGAGGGGTTGATGCCCGGACGCAGGTGATCAGTCGACGCCACAAACTGCAGGGAATATTCCCGTGACACCGATTGGTTGTCTGGCCCCGAAGATGGCATGGGATCCGTTTCTGCGGGGTGATTGAGTCGGTCGCGTCGCACAGCCATAGTAAGCGAAGCTGTGTTAATATCAACAAGAACCGAGTGTCCGTTCAGTGAGCTAATCAATGCATTGCAGTCTGCGCCATGGGTGATGAGGATGAGGACCGTTTCTGGTTCCGTTTCCACTGCATCCCCGTCGGGGCCGGACTGCATTGAGTGGGCTGGAGTATCCTGTTCTCGGTACCAGTTAATCATATGCTGGAAACCATCGTGGACGCGTTCGTGCATGGTACTCCATTCTTCGCCGTACTCACCCCCTGTACCCCAGTATGGGGTGCGCATGCTGTCCCATTGATAGTCGATTTTGGTGCACGCATTGCGCGCGTGGGCAACGTAGCCTGTAGGTATGGGGTCTGAGGCAGAGACAGCATAGCTAGGAGTGGGGGGTACGTAGGATGCGTCGAGGGTAGACGGCAAGTCTGTGTTCAAGCGACCTAGAGCTGTCTTGACACGTTTGGTATTGGTGGGATTCTGTAGCGTATCGTGCGTGCTCGAGCGCTGGCGCTGACCATGTTCAGGGGCCGGTTGCAAATTTCGCTCCTCATCCTCGGCCGGCGAGGTAGGGTGGGATTGACTGCCCCAGCCGCCTGGGAAATGACCTGCCAGCGCCCGCGTCGACCCATCCGCGGCTGGAATGACCTCGGCCCGTCGGATCAGTTCCCCTTTTGCAAAAGCCACCATCCTATCTGAGCCCGGTGGGGGCGTGATCTGGTCATAATAGTCTGGTGACAACCATTCGCCTAGGAAAGCGTCGACACGGATCAAGCATCGTGTATCGGGGCTTGAGGTTTCCGGGATAGTAGGAAATGGGCTGGTCGCCCCGGGTGTCCCTGTGGTCGGAGGTTGCTGGTTGATACCAGCACTAACCCCTACTGCGGTTTGTAGACATCGAAGGAATGGAGAGGTATGGACAATGACGTTATATCGGTGGGACAGGTCCGAGGATGCGGGGGTGGGTTTTGCCTGGGTATCCGAGGTCGGATGATGTTTGCGCTGACTCTGGGGCTCCTGTCCGGTGAAATCCCGATTCCTGAGAAGACTAGAAATGCGTACACCGAGCGCACGCGCTTGCATCCAGCCACCGTAGGAGAGGGGTGGATTGTAGGGCTCTGGGGCCGTCAAATGCCAATCTTTATCCGCAGCATCGAGACGGGCGCCATGTCTGTCGGATTATTAGCTGTGAAGCGCAAAGCTAGAGCAAGTGCTGACCTGGCAATAAACACGATAGACGGTGATTTTGGCATCGAGTCAATATGCGCTGGACGTAACTATGATATATTTTTTTTGTTCCCAAGAGGTAGAGGTGGAGGGGGTTCGAAGAACAACCAAGGAGTGATCAATAAGTAAGCGCCATGGCTAGCCAGGCACAGGGAAGTTCATAGTGAAACCAAAAAAGAGCATTAAGACAAGTCAAAAAAAAGAAAAAAAGAGCCAAAGCTGAAACGTACGGGAAAAAAGAAGCAAATCGACAGATTCGGAGAGCATGTGACGCTTACTAACATTGTGATTGGGGCTGGAGCGTAAGGTACTTTGCAGGTACTTAGTTCCCTACCTGCGTGGGCAGAGCTATGCAGGTACCCATGCAGTACATGTGCATATATGCACCTCTACGCGGATGCATATGTTCCTTACAGCTATATTAAATGATCTGAGCCAAGTGAGATCATTCTTGCTGAGCTCTATTGCAACTGAACAGCGTTGCACAAGGCAACTTCTTGCTGCAATATCTGAGTGTGTAGCATTACAGGCGAAAATAGAATTGAACGAATCTCCCACTAGTTTGGACATATGCCTCGCGTGTCTAATGTATGGTCAAAGCTTAACTCTCTGGTGGCCTCCATGGCCGAGGTCAAATCGAAATACAAGCATAAAATAACTTTGGACAAAAGCCCCTTCGATATACATCTGGGGCTGACTATTTTCTTAACTATACTTGTTGGTACAAAGGGCCGAGATGGGAACTATGCTATGAATTTTGTAGTAGGTAGGCCATTCCTCATCATTGGATACTTTCCAAAGTTCTATTTTTTTTGAAATTCTAAACATTTCGCTTCTCTAATGCTGACGTACAGATGCAAGCGGAAACTGTTAGCATGTCAAACAAGGGGCAACTTGGCATTGGATGCCTCCAATGACGCAACAAAGTATTCCCACATTCCATTGACATCAGAGTTGTGATCACAGAGGTCAGAATTGCCATAAATGTAGTGGCAGCTCGATAACTCTGGCGTTCAAGCCCCGATGACGAGACTTTGGCCTGCCCCCTTTACCAGCGGTATGTATGTTCTATGATATATGAATTCTGTGAACATCGTATTTTGGATTTTGAGTGAGGCTCATGAAATACATCATCCATACAGAGTCGGGAGTTCCAAGTTAGTCGACAAAAATCCTCAAGATTTCAGGCGTTGGATCTGTCGCCTTCAACCCTGATATACTGCCCCGTATACTTTACGGAGTACAGTTCTGGAATCCTTGATAATGCGTCTCCCAATAATTTTTGTCTTGTTCTTGGGGATTGTTGTTGCCACACCCTATGGGATTCGATCAGTGAGTTCAAGGCTAAATTTGTCCGCAGAATCGTTGATTTACTTAAGTACTGACAAGTATTCCTATCAAGCACGAGAAGAAGTCCACTACTGTATCTCAAGATATCCCCATGTCGGCAAACAGAGTCACTCCAAGTTACCTTGCCACTTCATCGGTCTCAATGGAAGCCCAGAAGAGGATGCTACCGTAGGTATTTGCCGTTTTTCAATATTCACTTCAAGGAACGCTAGCTCACTCACAGCTTAATAGGTTCTAGCATCCTGCTCGACTATTCGGGATCTATACGCTAAATGCGACAGTGACTGGAACTATAGGCTTTGGCGGCTCAAACTTCTTTATGAATGACGATGGGATGGACGTGCCAAGGTTGTTAAACCAAGGCAGCTAGATCCTGGGCTTATGCTACTGATCAAGTCCTACGGAGTATTTGATTACTGATTAATTGAGTTCTTGATGACCTTTGACCCCGACATTGAAACAGGTAGCATATGGCAACTATCTTGCGGTGTAGCCCATCCGCGCAGTAGATCTCGCTGCGTGCGTTTTCCTTGAGATTCCATGCATTTACAGGTTTACTCGGACGAGAAGTAAGTCTCCTTTCGGGACTCCATTTCCGACACGAGAGAGGCACAATTCGATGCAATTGAGACAGTCAGATCATACGGAACAGTCGGCAAACATGCGCGTTGGAAGCGCGATGCAGGTCGGCGACGGAGATTACTCGAAAGGGCCAACAAAGACGGTTCGAAAGCCGAGGCCGGGGCCGAAATCGGGCAGCCGGGCAGTCGGGCCCGGTGTGGGGTGGTGTGGGGGTCAGAACTATATCGATATAACTACTCCCTTATGTGCTGTTTCCTGTCTGGTATTTCCTCCTTCCTATGACAATCTCCCAGTCTCTAGCAAAAATAATCGAAATAATGGCAAACAACACCCCTCACCTCTCTCTCTGTGTCACCACAACGGACTTTGAGAAGGTCGCCAAAGAAGTTCTTCCTGAGAAATCATGGGTGTATGCGTCAAGCTCCGCAGCTACAGGTCTTTCAATGCGCTCCAACCTGGATGACTGGTCATTGATTAACTTCCGTCCCCGAATCCTGAGAAGAGTGGATCGAATGGACACCAGGAGATCCATTCTGGGACACACCTCGCAATTCCCTTTCTTTGTGTCAGCCATGGGAACACTAGGAAGCTCCCACCCAGGTGCAGAGCCTTTACTTGTGCGAGGAGCTACACGAAAAGGCATGCACACTATGATCAGCACGGCATCTACAAAGCCGCTGGAAGAGATCATGGACGCACACCGAGAGGAGCAACGACTTCTCAACAATCAAAGCCCTGCCAACTTGTCATTCCAGCTTTACGTTCCTGAGGATCGAGCTCGAGCCAAGTCTCTTATCCAAAGGGTCAAAGCCGCCGGGTATCAAAGCCTATGGGTCACTGTTGATACATCCACACTGGGCAAGCGTACCGCAGATCGATACCTCCAGGCGCAAGAGAATCTGAATGCTGATAAGGGGGGAAGTGCGAGAGATATTCACAATGAGAACGACTTTGCACCCGCATTCGGAGGTCGACAGGTTCCAGGCTCGGTGGATGCTGGGCTCACATGGGAGGATCTAAAATGGATCTCCCAGGAGTGGAACGGACCGCTCGTTCTCAAGGGAATCCAAAGCGTAGAAGACGTGAAGCTGGCTGTCCAGCATGGCGTGCAGGGAATCTTGTTGAGCAATCATGGTGGTAGGCAGATTCATTCTGCCCCGAGTTCCTTGATGACACTTCTGGAAATCCGAAAGTACTACCCGGAGGCATTTGACAAACTCCAAGTATTTGTGGATGGTGGTCTTCGTGATGGAGCTGATGTCCTCAAGGCCTTGTGCCTTGGAGCGACAGCTGTAGGAGTCGGTCGGCCGTACTACTATGCCCTCGCAGCATACGGGGCCGAAGGAGTTGAAAGGTGTACAGATAGTAAGTTTTTGGCACACTGAATATTGCATGATGAGACTAACGATGTCGCAGTCCTGGCTGAAGAGGTGGAGATCACCATGAAGATGCTTGGAGCCACTTCTTTAGATCAGCTTCGGCCAGAAATGATCAACACAAGTCGACTAGAGAATGAGATGTGGCGACCGGCATTTGAAAAGTCCAAGTTGTGAAGAGTCCACGCTTGAAAGGGCCACTTTGTGTCCATGTATTTTATAGCATTTAGATATCCAACAAAACCGATCGAGATCAACTTTAGAAGATCACCACTTTGCATGTGTAAAACCTGTCCTCCCGGCTCTGGAGTCCAAGAGTTCAAAATACACCTGAACCACTTGTTGATGACTGATGTCTTGTGACAGAGTGAAAGTCTAGTATAAGAAAAAGTACTTTGGCTATCAGATCTTCCACAGATAAATTTGTACATAAATTTAGTAAAAAAGATATATTTCAAATTGTTATTTATAAAATTCTTGGAAAAATTGCATTGAAGACCCTTCATACAGCACCCCAGCCACCACCACCGGCCGTGTTGATCACGATTCGATCGTGCGTCTTCATCTCGACGGTGTTCTTGCCACCAATGTTGATGGTACGCTCCTCACCAGTCTCGTCGTCACGCGTTACCCAAAGATTCAATCCTCTTTCCGCATTGTGTCCACCTTCAAGTCCATATGGCTGATGGACACGTCGCTCTGACAGAATTGAGCACTTCATTGGCGACAGGAATTCAATATCGCGAATGACTCCCTCGCCACCAGGGTTCTTTCCTTGGCCCCCGGAGCCCTCACGCAAGGTGAACTGTCGAAGCATGGTCGGGTAGCGCTTTTCCAAGATTTCCGGGTCAGTGATGCGCGTGTTGGTCATATGCACTTGCACGCCAGATTCGCCCTTCCAAGTTGGACCGGCGCCACTTCCACCGGCAATCGTTTCGTAGTATCCAAATCCTGGTGTGACAACTTCTCCGGTAGACGGATCAAGCTTGGGATCGGTACCGAATGTCAGGTTATTACAGCAACCCTGAGATGCAGCACACGCCTGGAAGGCCTTGAAAACAACGTCGGTAATGCGCTGGGAGGTAACGACGTTGCCACCAACAACTGCAGCCGTCTTGGTCGGTGAAAGGATGCTGGGAGATGGCACACGGATGTCGATTGGCGCCAGGCATCCCTGGTTCAGAGGAACGTCTGCGTTGATCATGCAACGCAGGCAGTAGATAATAGCCGAGTGAGTAATCGCGATGGGGGCATTCCAGCTACCATATACTTCGGGGCCTGTGCCATCAAAGTCGAAGACAGCGGACCCATCATTACCATCAATGGTAACCTTGAGCTTGATGGGAGTACCGTCGTCCATGTAGTCCACTGACTCCAGAGGTTGGCCATTGAACTTCTGGTAAAGCTCCTTCAGCAAATTCCGGACGGCAGTTTCCGCAGTGGCCTGGATGGCAAACATGTACTTTTGCACAGTCTGGGTTCCGTATTCATGGAACAAGGTTTGAATCAGAGTGATACCACGAGTGTTGGCGGCGATCTGGGCCTTGAGGTCGGAAAGATTGTCGCTGATACAGCGTGCTCCAGCGCAGCCAGGATATTGGGAGGGCTTGGTGACCAGAAGCTCAATCAAGCGTGCCTCGTCCAAGACTCCATCACTGACGATTTTATCCCCTTCAATGGCGGCACCTTCTTGCCACAGCTCAGTTGACTTGGGGGGCATTGAACCAGGCAAGATACCACCAATATCAGCGTGATGACCACGAGAAGCGACATAAAACATGATCTCAGAGCCTCCAGGGCGATCGAAGACGGGGGTGATGACCTGGATATTGTTAGCGCACGACGAAACAGTCCAGCAGAGATTCTGGTCACTCACGGTGATGTCAGGAAGGTGAGTGCCTCCGCAGCTAGGGTGATTAGAAACAAGCACATCACCGTCCTTCAAATTCCCTAGCCATTTTTGGTGCTGGTACCTCACAGCAAATTGCATGGATCCGAGATGGACTGGTACGTGTGGAGCGTTGGCGACCAGCCCTCCATCGGGAGAGAACAGAGCGCAAGAGAAATCAAGTCTCTCCTTGATGTTAGTGGAAACAGAGGTTTTCTGCAATGTGCGACCCATCTGTTCAGCAATGGACATGAAACGGTGCCCAAAGATGCTCAGTCGGATTGGATCAATGCCCGATGAAAGGGAGTTGCTAGCTGAGATGGCAGCTTCATCTTTGACAAGATCGATAACAATGCATGTGTCAAGCAAGTTAGCCACTGCGTTGGGGGCGACCACAACTGTCTGTGTGTTATCGATGATGACAGCTGGGCCGACAATGCGAGAATTCTTTGCCAGCTCATCCAACAAATACACTGGCGTGTCAATGCGGCTTGACTGGCCATCGAAATAGGCTGAGCTTTTGCTAGCCGGAGCAGTGGCAACATCTTGCATATTGGCGGCCTTCAATTGAACCAAGGGGCTTTCCTCTGACCGCACCTTGGAAGAGGCAATGGTTCGTACTCGAATGTCGTCCACAAGAATGGGACGCTCGGAGTTAAAGTTGAACTCGCGACGATGGCGAAGACGGAACGCTTCCAGGAAGTCCACCGAGTCTGTGGGCTTGAGAATCATCAAGCTGGTGTCCGATCCTTCATAACGCATATTCAAATATTTCTCATGCTGGACCTGTGAAGGAGAGAAGCCTTGGTCTTCCATCTCTTTGGTTGCTGTTTCCGCAATGGAATCAAAACGCCCAAGGAGAGTGGCGTGAGAGGACGAGTAGGCCGATGAAACTGGTTCCTGCGACTCCTTTACAACTTCTGCCAATGCAAGGCCATAAGCTGACAGAATGGATGAGTATTTGTGGATAATAATACGTGAGATTCCAAGAGAGTCTGCCACTGAGCAAGCGTGTTGGCCACCGGCACCTCCAAAGCAAGCCAGGTGGTGAGACGCAGTCTCGAATCCTCGGGCTTCTGTGAGATTGCGGATTGGCCGAGCCATTGATTCATCTGCAACCTTCAAGAAGCCGAGTGCAACTTCTTCGGGTGTGTACTCAGACTGGTACTGTTGACGACGCTCAATGTTGACCTTTTGCGTTAGCTCATTGAAGAGCCGTGCGGTTGTCTCTGTATCCAAAGGTTGATCTTCGTTTGGACCAAATATCCGAGGGAAATACTCGGGCAAAAGACGGCCCAAGAATAGATTGGCATCTGTGACTGTCAGAGGGCCTCCCTTGCGGTAGCAAGCCGGACCAGGGTGGGCGCTGGCAGACTCGGGTCCAACGTAGAACAGGCCATTGCGCCAATTCAGAATGGATCCACCACCAGCAGCGACGGTGTTGATATCGAGTTGAGGGGATTGGATCAGGACACCCGCAAGCTTGGACCCGAACACATGTTCTAGATGGCCATCATACCGCGACACGTCGGTACTAGTACCACCCATGTCAAATCCAATCACGGGTGTCTTCTCAGTAGGATCCCAACTCGTAGCCGCAAAGCCGACAACACCAGCTGCAGGTCCAGAAAGGATAGCCTTGAGTCCGCTGAACTTGCGGAAATCGACTAGTCCACCGTCGGATTGCATGAACTCGAATCGGCAGTCTTGCTGACTCTCCAGTCCGCCCTCAAAGCTTGCAGAGATTGAGTCGATATATGTCTTGATCACGGGTGTTAAATAGGCATCGGCAGCAGCTGACATGCCGCGCGGCACAATTTTGATCATGGGTTGAAGCTTGGAAGAAAGAGTGACCGAGAATCCCATTTGCTGAGCGAGTTCACCAATTTGACGTTCATGCTCAGGGTATGCAAATGAATGTAAGAGAGCTACAGATAGTGACTGATAGCCTTGCTCGCGGAGTCGTTGGAGCTCTGTCTGCACCTGAGCAAGGTCCAGCTCTTGGACCACGCGGAACTTCTCGCCTGTGACTCCCTCTACCATTCGGCAGTTCGAGAAACAGTCGCTATCGGCAGAGGGATGACAAGGAAGTACACGCTCATTTACTTCGACAACACTTTCTGGGAGTACTCCTGGGCGTGCCATAGAGAGGTCGAAAATGGCGGGGCGAGATTGATCGCCAATCTTTAGCAGATCTCGGAAACCTTTGGTTGTGAGGAGCACCGAGCGTGCACCCTTGCGCTCTAAGAGAGCATTGGTCGCAACGGTTGTGCCCATGCGCAGACAGCCAATGCGGTCCATCCTCAGTGGTTGACCTCGGGGATGTGGCTCCCCTGTGGCCAGCTCCAAGATCTGACGAATACCTTCGGTGGGGGCATCTTGATAATGAGAAGGATCAACGGAAAGAAGTTTTAGGATGATATCCGAGCGACCAGGAACAATGGCGTGGACATCTGTGAAAGTACCACCTCGATCAATGGAGATAGTGAGTTTCCCTGAATCGGAGGACATGTTGTGAAATTGTAGGGGTGAGAGACAAGAGGGGAGAGATAGGAGATGTGCCGGTCAAAGTAGAACAAGAAAATTATCAACGGTGAAATGTGAGTATCAAGGGATCATTATATCCACATATGTCGCAATGAGACGTCGCTGATATCGCCGATGTTTGTAGATACGCGTCACGTGTCGGGATGGCACTCCCGACGGGGGAAAGTCTCGGGCCGAAGGTGCGGGGGAGATTTAGAAGGCGAGATACAGCCGAAGATCGACTAATCTTAGGAGTGCTAACTTCAACCCTGACTTCAGGTCTCGGAGATTAGAAACTTTAGACAGTTTCAAGCCCTGCTCAAGTGAAAGAACATATCTATATTCCAACTTTAGAAGGCTCCATGACGTATACTCAGTACTTAAGTATGGAATATACAGTAGACCCGTACTTATGAATATATATGCTACAATATATTGTGATATGTTGACTAATGCGAATAACTTCTAAAGTTGGGAGCTCCTGAAGTCATAGAAGTAGTCGGGCACGAAGGAGAAAGCTTGGAAAGTCCAGATAGAATTTAACACTACAAGTTATATCATATAAAACTATCGCTTCAAGAGATTCTCAATCCAATCTGTATCCATATCGATGTCGATTTGATCCAAGGCCCCCTCCCAAAGAGCTGGGTCATCATTGGTGTTGAACTGGAAGGCGATATCCTGGAAAGAAGGGAGATCCGACTCCTGCGACCAGTTATTGGGAAGAGGCTGACAATTTGACAACTGCACATCGGTATCAGGATGTTCCGATAGGTGTGTACCGTCTTCAGTGGCTGGCGTGACTGGAAGTTTCAAGCCCGTAGGACTTGCTGGGACGGTTTCATTTGTGCAATTAGGCCGAGACCCCAGGACTGCCTTTAATTCCAACAGCAGTGTATGGCGCGAGCCCAGGTATATGTTCCCGCGATCTGCCATTCCACGAAGGAGATTGAGTGCGGTCTCCATGGCTGGCGCGCTGGTTTCGTTGGACGGGAATGCAGCGTTTACCATTACCAGCAGGAGAGCGGCGGAAAAGACATATTCACCATCGAGGTACCCATAGGTGGCTTCAGGATCTTACTCAGTTCAAATTCTTTATCTCCAAGGATAGGGGAATGGCATGGCCTAGTAACTTACCAATGAGGTTATGCTTGGCTGCTGCATTCATGATCATGGTGGTGGCTCGAGCTGCCGTGATGCAGCTATCGATGACGGCGACCGTGTTAGGCGAAAGCCCCTCTTTCCAGTCTTGAGTAACAGAGCCCTGTGCCTCTGCATCTAGCCTTCGCTGGATCACATAAAATACCAAGGGACGTGCGGTCATATTCACACAGGAGTAGAAATGTAGGTTTATAGAAACACTTTCGCGATTAATATGGGTATCAAGCGCAGAAAAGTCTATCCGCAGACGATCCGGTACTTGTCTCAACCAGCTGGACAGGTCATTGGTAATACTCTGAACAGAGGCAATGAGGTTAGATCCGGATCCCGGTTTCTTCCTGTAGATATCTGTCCCAGCCATATGAATCAGTTCTCTGTGCAGTAGAGATAACCTTGGAATGAACAAACCCACCTTCGCCAATTCGTCCTAGAATACGCGATAATTTTGTGTAATGAGTGAGCACGGTCGAAGGCCATGGGTCAAACGTTGAGCCATCCTCGAAGAAAGTCAGGAAGCATCCACATACAAAGCAAAGGCAGCCAACTTACCACCGCCCCAGGCCAGGTGATTCCGATGTCTTCATCTTGGATGGTAATTGGGTTACCGGATTTCACCGAAAGGAGTCTAGTAATGTTAAGCCATGCTTCCGAACCTTGAACCAGAAGAAATATATGGTACTTACCGATCCAAGCTGTAAACAGACCACCAAGTCCGACGTCGTCGGTTGCGATCTGCTTCGCTTATCATGGGGTCCGACACTTCCTGATGAAGACCGAGTGATATAGCCATACGCAAAGCGAGACCAACCTGAAACCATTAGCGGGAGACTGGACAGAATGCAAATGAACGTGATACAAACATAGAGGAAGGCTGCATCCCTTCGGTTGAGACTTTGCATATAATACGCCACATAGCATAAGACTTCGACAAAGAAAATCGATCCCTCCTCATGAATATCTGGCAAGAAGCGTAGTGCATGCTTAAAGTACTTGAAGCCTGGTGGGCCATCGTCGCCATTCCACTGATTGACACTGTACATAAGGCCAAAGGCAATCACCAAGAGTACCTGACAGTACACCAGACAAGACTCACGATTTGAGAAGTCGAGGGGTTGATGGTACACCAGATCTAGTCTCTCTTCGAACTCCGAGGGGATGATTAGTGAAAATATGGTGCCAATGTAGGTATATTGCACCCAAAACAGCCGCTTGGCGAACTCGAATGGTGGCAACTGAGGCAGAGCACCCCCGACAGGTCTTCTGAGTGACCCTGGGTCATCATATAGTGGGCGCACATCCCATGCAAAATTGGTTGATCCGGGATTGAGTCGCTTAGCGAGATGTGTAGTCGACGAAGCACCCACGAAATCTGGTGAGGTTAGCACGACGTGGGGAAAAAAACAAAACAAAAAACGTTAAGATGGGCCATATGAGTACATACGACGCTCCCCAGACCTATTCAGAAACAGGTTATCGGTTCCCTTATACCACCAGTCGTCCCTGGAGGCAGGTGGTAGCTCGCCTTCGGAATAACGAGCCGATGTAGACGGCTCGCTGGAGGGCGTGGGATGGCTGGATTCTACGTTGATGTCAATTTCTGTATCCAGATGTATCAATGAAAAGACTTACCTCGCGATATTGAGGGTTGACTTTGTAATTGACGGTAATGACTACGAGATGTAAGGATTGAGCCGCGAAGGTTGTCTATGGGCTTACCTTTCGGTTATGGAGACACGCTTCTCAGCCTCAGTATATACACACGACTTATCTGCATCCACACAAGCTGCACAGGGCTGCGGCGGGTTACCTGCACAACGTGTTTTTCTATTCCGACATCGGTTGCATCTGTTGTCGTCTTAGTATATTTCTCACTGCAACTCCAGATCACATACGCTACCATTGATCGCCTGGACCGGTCTTCCGACCGCCGCGAGATACCCGCATTTCCTAGCACCATGTTGCCAACCCCAATAGGACATCAAAAAGAGTGCGACGAGAGCATAGGGGGGGATGGAGTACTCCGTAAGTGTCAAAGAGAAGAAAGACGGAGGTGGCGGCTCCACTCCCCGCTTACCGGCCCGACGCAAATACGAATACTTGAACTTTGTTACGATAGCCATCTTGGTACCTTTTTTTTTTTTACTTAAGTAGGTACTGAGTGAAATTGACAATAGGCCAGAGGTTGATAAGAGTATCCAATTTGGTCTAGTGTTTCTGAGGGTTGGGATGGTTAGTCAAAAAAGAATGGAAACTCATGTCTGCCGATGTTGCCCTTCTGTAACCGCTCTCTCCCTGAATCAATCGTCTCTTTCTTTTCTCGTGCAATAGGTTTGGTGATTTCACATTTGGTTTTGCTGTGTGTCATTGTTACGCCGCACCTGGGCAAAGTACCTACCTAGGTAGGTATCGGCAACGAGATAAGGACGCTATCTAGAAGATAGCCACACCATTAGGGGGACTGGCCACTCCACCGGGGACCTGCAGGGAATGAGATTTAGTCAGAGACATGGCAGGACAGGGCGTTTACCTTCAGTGGCACGCTACTAAAGAAAAAGGTCCAACGATCTCTTTGCCGACATTCCTGGCCCAGTCGCTCGAGATCAAACAACTCCCCGATGGGAATGCCCCAGCCCGCTAGCAACCATTCGTGGAGGAACCAATCGGTATTTTGGCAAGGGTATGCTTCAAAGCTCGGCATGTCGCCAACCACCGCGGCCAATTGCAGCTCCCAGATCCAGCGTAGCATGGCTTCCGACGATTCGACCCCAATGACTGGGGGTGCGGCATAGTCGGCCAGCGTCTGACATTCTGCGCGAGACAGGCGCTCGTAGGCCGCGGTCCATCCCGTGCGGATGAACAAAATGTCGCCCGGGCGGAACGTGGTATTTTGACTTGCTGCGACCTCTTGGAGCACATCGACTGGGATGGATTGGGTTGCAAAGCAATTCACTTCTTTGCCGTGGGCCTCAGCCCATGCCGCATAGTCTAAGAGCACGCCTCGTCCAACAATCCCGCCGTTCTCGGCCCATACTGAATTGGAGTTAATGTTTACATTCTCTTCTTCTTCATTCCATCTTATTCTCTCGGTTCATTGCTTCTTTCCAATAGAGGAAACATACCGTGAATACCATTCCGCGTAGAATTTTGGATGTCTTCTTGGGTACAGCCGTTGAAAAAGGCTCCTTGTTTGGATCCATAGTGCCGGAAGCCATCCCACTGGGAACTACTCTGGGTGTTGAAGACCAATATATCGTCGTTGACGGGTCGGGGGGCCTTGTTTTTGAGAACATGCTCAAAGGCAGATCGACCGAAGCAGGGAGTGGCCATGCTATTGAGAGCCCAGTCTGTGGAGACACGCACTCCATCGATTATCTCACGGGCGGCGGCCGCGGTATTCTGGGGGGTCAATAGGTTCAGCATCCCCAGTTGATCTTGATCGCCAAACATACCCCAAGCGTTGCCCGGAGGTCCATCTTTGGACAAAGGTAGGGCATCAAACGGGGGCCTGGAAGACATCTGGGGATCAGTTCGAAATCAAAGGGGTATCTTTCCCTAGCTAATTGTGAGTTGGTTGAAACCAAAACCTGAAGTTATCCCCGGTTTTACCCCGCATATTGAATGATCGAACTGGATGGACCTCGGACAAAGGGCCGAAGCGGCTTACAGAGTACTTACGGAGTACTAGAGACAAAAAAATATTTTTTGGAACAGAGGTGGCTTTCCACGAGTATGGGGTGCCGAGTAAACTGTATTTCGTGATCTGTACCTACCTTCAATCTATTTCTCTAGCTCCGAGTAGGTATGCAATACGGATGCGTGCTCTCAATAGTAGAGCGCTCGGAAGTAGGTCCGACCATCTCTCTAGGATTTTTTTACGGGGAGCCGAGAGGGTGACTGTGCCTTGTATCCTGGAGTTTTGTAGATAGTAGAAACACAGGAAAGAGGTGTAGTTGGGGTGCACCGATTCCGCTCCATATACTACTTAGAGTCCAACATCATGTCGATATTCTGTTACTATAAATAAAATAATGTGGGTGAAGTGAGGCTTACATGTGCCTGTAAGTATTGTGCCTGTATAGAGTACGCTTATTGTATTCATAAGATACATAAGGTCAATTGTGCATTTTGATGTGTCATAGGTCAGTGTACGGAGTACTATGTACTTACGAGTAGTACAGAGTGAGATAGATCATTATTCTATGCGGTGAGGTATGTAAATCCTTCGAATTACAGAGCACACTGTACGGAGTTCAGAGTAGACAGACTATGACATTGAATATTTTGCATTTTGTCGTACTGTGCAAGTCTCTTTGGCAAGGCAGACAGCATAGACATACGCGTTGCTAATAATATGACAGGCACGTGACCCGATCCCTGGCCGGACTTCCTTTTCCCAGCCAGTCAAGCATCTTCTCTGTTATGGAGGACTTTTTTTGCCTTTCTTTTTCTTTTTTTTTCTTTTCGCGAGAAAGAAGTTTCCCCACATGCCCATTTCTGGCTGACAGTGGACCCCCCATCTCGCTGCCAGCCACTCGCATATGTGGAAATCAGCCCCTGGGAGACACGGCCGATCCCCTTAACGCCCTTTCGTCATAATTCTCGGCAGTCCTCGGGTCTTGGGGTCCCATTGAAGGGTCTCAGGCCTTCCATCTTAAGTCTGAGTCTGATGATTATTACCAGCAGAGGATACAGTATTGTTTCAAGTTAGAAGGGTCCCCATGCGCGCTACAGCGAAAAAGGGATATGTGTACCACAGATATTTGGGGGATCGGAGCCTGTGATGGGTCCAAGGGGAGCCAGTGGGCCAATGTCATGGTGCATTGCGTCGTCGACCCGCTGGGACATACCTGACGAGTTATGTGCGGCGCAGCAAGGCTCGGATCACGGAGTCCAACCCAGGCCCGTATTGGTCTGAATATCTGATTTCGGGCATGAGATGTGAGTCTCTGGAGGGGTTGGGGTCAGATGTCGCAGATGTCGCAGCCACCGGTTATGCTTCTTTAATGGTAATGTCTTTGTCCCAGGCTAGTGGGTCTTGGACTCGTAAGAAGAAAGGGTGACGAACGGCGAATGTGCGGGAGTTGAGAAGAGCTGGGAGGCTCCACCTGATTCGCCCTTTCACAGCCCGCATCGTCTTCTCCAATCATATGCTACCCCCAAAAATATCTCCTGGCTATGTCAATTATACATCTGGACTCTCCTGCGCACCTGTCTTTCAACCCTCAGTCTCTTCGGGCCCGATCTCTGGACAGATCGCCTTCACATTAGATTTTCCTTTTTCTTTCATCGTGTTCACCGAATTGTCACCGAATTGCATCGCCCTTGTGCATTGGGTCGGATTCCCTCAAGGTTGAGCCCTGGAGACACCACATCGATTCGCATCATCCCGCTAGGAGCGAGTTCGCATCATGGCGGCACCACACAGAGGCACCTCACCTCACTCTCCGGTTTCTGGAGAATCCTCCCACTCAGCCCAGGCGAGCGAAGGCAGCTCGTACGGTCCTCACACGAGCGAGCCCCAGGTTAGTACTAACTCCAAGTCCGAGAGAAGAGGGGGAAGAAAGGGGGCCAACAGAAAAAGGGAAACAAAGAGACCGGAGAAGAATGGGAGCCAGACGCTAACAGAGACTTTTTTTTTTTTAGCCACAAGCATACGGCTACGAGGAGAAGAACGAGCACGCGGACAGTCAGCAGTCTTTGCTCTATCGCAACCAACCCAGTCCTTTCAACGCCCCCTTCGATGATCCATACGCCTCTACCGACTCTTTGCGCCGCTATACCCTGCACGACCCTGGTGTTACCATCTTCCCGGATGGCCCCTACCAGGAATCCGCCGGTGGATTGAACCGTCGTTCTGGAGTGCATTCCCCTATGTCAGAGACACCCTCAGAGGCCTGGCAAAACCGTCAAGCGCCAGGATCTGGTCTCCGGCGTTATGCCACCCGAAAAATCAAGCTGGTCCAAGGTTCCGTGCTGAGTGTTGATTACCCGGTCCCCAGTGCGATCCAGAACGCGATCCAGAAGGAGTATCGGGAGTCGGAAGAAGGTTTCCCGGAAGAGTTCACCCACCTGCGCTGTACGTTCGCCAAAAGAAGAATTCAAAATGCGACTGGAGCTAATGCGATGTAGATACCGCCGCCACTTGTGACCCCGACGAGTTCACCCTGCGTAACGGTTACAATTTGCGACCGGCTATGTACAACCGACACACCGAGCTCTTGATCGCCATCACCTACTACAACGAAGACAAAGTTTTGACGGCGCGAACACTGCATGGTGTTATGCAAAATATTCGGGACATTGTGAATTTGAAGAAGTCCGAATTTTGGAACAAGGGAGGTCCAGCCTGGCAAAAGATTGTCTGCTGTCTAGTCTTCGACGGTATCGATCCTTGCGACAAGAACACTCTCGATCTGCTCGCCACGATTGGTATCTATCAGGATGGCATCATGAAGCGATCCGTCGACGGTCGCGAAACTGTCTCTCACATTGTAAGTCCCCGCGATTCGTTGTTCTCGACGTCTCCCGTGCCTATTAATGGCGACAATTTGGAATTTCACTGACCAACCTAGTTCGAATATACAACCCAACTTTCCGTCACGTCCAACCAGCAACTGATCCGGCCTCAGGGCAATGAATCGAGCAACCTTCCTCCTGTCCAGATGATCTTCTGTCTCAAACAGAAGAACAGCAAAAAGATCAACTCCCACCGCTGGCTCTTTAACGGTTTCAGTCGAATCCTCAATCCAGAAGTTGTGATTTTGATCGATGCTGGAACCAAGCCTGGAAAGAAATCCCTTCTCGCTCTTTGGGAATCCTTCTACAATGACAAGAACCTTGGTGGATCTTGTGGTGAAATTCACGCGATGTTAGGAAAGGGTTGGAAAAACCTGATGAATCCCCTTGTCGCCGCGCAGAACTTCGAGTACAAGATTTCCAATATTTTGGATAAACCACTTGAGAGTGCCTTCGGATATGTTAGTGTGTTGCCTGGTGCCTTCTCCGCCTACCGCTATCGCGCTATTATGGGCCGACCTCTGGAGCAATATTTCCACGGAGATCACACCCTCTCAAAACAGCTTGGCAAAAAGGGTATCGATGGCATGAATATCTTCAAAAAGAACATGTTCCTTGCCGAGGACCGTATTCTCTGCTTCGAGCTCGTGGCCAAGGCCGGTTTCAAATGGCACTTAACCTACGTCAAGGCATCCAAGGGTGAAACCGATGTACCCGAGGGTGCAGCCGAATTCATCAGTCAGCGACGTCGATGGTTGAACGGTTCTTTCGCCGCCAGTCTGTATGCGATGATGCACTTTGGCCGTATCTACAAGAGTGGTCATAACATCCTTCGTCTTTTCTGTTTGCATATCCAGATGACCTACAACTTTGCGGGTCTGGTTATGACTTGGTTTTCTCTCGGTAAGTCTGCCCATACTTCCCTGTAACCTCAGACTATGATGCTAATCAATTCCTAGCTTCTTTCTGGCTCACCACTACGGTTATCATGGATCTTGTTGGAACTCCCAGCAGTGCAAACAAAAATAAGGGATGGCCATTCGGTGACGATGCGACGCCGATTGTCAACAATTTCTTGAAATACGGATATGTGTTCTTCTTGCTCCTGCAGTTCATTCTGGCACTTGGAAATCGACCCAAAGGGTGAGTTGTTCAACGAAATCAGTCTACTTGCAAAATTAATACTGACATTTCCATAGTTCGCGTCTGGCATACACGCTATCGTTCATCTATTTCAGCATTGTCCAAACGTACATCATGGTTCTGTCCTTCTACCTGGTCAAGAATGCCTTCACTGGTGGCACACTTGATTTCAGTCTTGACGATGGCGTTGGTGCATTCTTGAAATCCTTCTTCAGCTCTTCAGGAGCCGGTATTGTCCTGATCGCTTTGGTTTCAACTTACGGCATTTACTTCCTGGCTAGTTTCATGTACATGGATCCCTGGCATATGTTCACGTCCTCGTGGGCCTACTTTGCTGGCATGACCTGTTCCATCAACATTCTGATGGTCTACGCCTTCTGCAATTGGCACGATGTTTCTTGGGGTACCAAGGGATCCGACAAGGGAGACTCCTTGCCCACTGCCGAGACGAAGAAAGATGACGCGAAGTCTAACTTCATCGAGGAGGTCGACAAGCCGCAGGCTGATATCGACAGCCAATTCGAATCAACCGTGAAGCGCGCGTTGGAACCTTGGGTCGAGCCAGAGGAACAGGATGAACGCAGCATGGATGACGGTTACAAGGCTTTCCGAACTAACCTGGTGTTGATTTGGATCTTCAGCAACCTGATCCTCGTCCTGTGCATTACCAGTGAAGGTGTTTCCCGCTTGTGTCTTACGGTATGCTTCACTTCCCAGCCCTGCATTGGCTCTTGCTAACTTTGCTATCCTTAGAACACCTCCACAGTTCGAACCTCCAAATACTTCGCCGCCATTCTGTGGACGACCGCCGGTCTGTCCATTTTCCGCTTTATCGGATCTTGCTACTTCCTCGCAAAGTCTGGCATTCTTTGCTGTGTCTCTCGCCGCTAGTCTGGGGCCTCACAGCTGTAAATACTCATCGTTTGTTTTTTGGCCTGCGTTTTTTTTACTTTGGACGTATTGCTCTCCTCGGACGAATCTTCGATGGATTCCGATAGGGTTCCATTGGGTTATTATTTCTGGGTTCTGGATTCCCCACGATCACAGCCGAAAAAGGCTTGTGAGACTTTCATGTATGATGTACATTGGGAACGACTTTTGGTTTGGCACTTATGATAGACCTATAATATCGAATTTTTGGAATGTTTCTTATCACTTTTTCACATATCCTGCTGAGCACGATCCCTACTGTCAAACGATGTTGATCCAGCCCTTGGTTTAGCTCCTAGTCCTGCTTCTGTTCCGTTTGTTCTGCACTTATATTCGACCGTGTGTGGAGACAGCCAGGAAGAAGAGGGCTTTTTTTTTGGTTTTTCCCTTGACTATGCAAATGTCAACTGAAACCCAACGGCTAGAGATTGATACTCCGCTGGAAGTTGCAGTATTGCATGTCTAAAGGGCATGAACAACGTCTCCATGGAGCGTCCAGCTGATCATATAGCAAGTTTTCCAACTGGGGATTAAACCACCCTCATCTTGCCTTTCTTGCGGAAATGGAATGGAATGACCGGTCTTCTACGGGGTGAAGCGTATAGTATCGTCCTGCTCCTTGCGTCTCAACTGGAGAAGAGTCTTGATTTGAGCAATCCAACCTTCGTATAGTCAACATGAGATACCAATCGACCTGACTTCACAAACCGTCGGAAACGCAACTTCTAGCTCATTTTCACATCCCAATGTCGAACATCGAGTATTCGCATGCTTATGGCCAAGGCCCCACACTTCTTCTCATAAAGGTCTTAGTCGGTGTCAATTCGCCAATCTATTAGACTTCGGTAGCACGATCAATCATGCAGAATCGATGCAGATCTGATCTAGCCCACTTATCCACACCATGTGGATCTTCTCCCCGTTTCTGGCGCCGAGGTATCTGATTGATACAAAGCCTACCTTGGTATACTTGGAATTTCAGTCGGATGTTCATATACATCGTCCCCATAGCACGCTGAATTCCAAGACCGATTCCTTGATGTTATACGATTGCAGGCAACTATTTCAGGCAACGGAAAGATTGACAATTGTTTAATTATGATCATAAACTCGATGATTATCATTAACCTATACTTATAGATGCAGCCCAGGGAGACCTCCCAAAATCAAAAAGAAATAACAACGCTGGGAAATACCAAGCGCCAAGATTGGCAAATCTTGATGCGATGCTCAAATGCCTCTGCGAACTCCGATGTTCCCATTTTTTTAGTTTGTGTCTTGATTATTTGAATGACTCTCGCGTATGCACGCGGTCAATGTTGTAAGGATTTGCCTCATATGTAGGAACGCGGTGCATTTCATGTGTGGCATGGGTCGAAGTGCGCGATAGTGTGCGGTGAATAGACTGGACTTCGGCGGAGGTCTCCTTCTTTTGTGACTGTGCGACGGGTTCTTCGGTCGATGCAGGGCAGGGCTCAGCTTCAGGCTCGGCATTTTCCTCGGCGGCCTGTTTGAAGCCCTGGAGAATCTTTTGCACAAATGCCTCTGACTGAGCGGAGTACGTGCAGTGCTGGCGAATGGAATATCCGTACTTGTAGAGCAGGAAAGGGAAGGGAACACACGCGAGAGCAAGGAAAGCAGGCACACACGAGGCCCAGTGAATGCCCAGGTCTGTGTACATGTAGCCGGTGAACAGCGGGAATGCAAATCCAAACAATGATCGGAGAAGAGAGTTGGCGGCCAGAACGGAGGCGGCGAAGATGGTGTAGGCATCGATCAGATAGTTGAAGACACTGAGGAACACTAGAACCATGCCGAAGCCGAAAGGCACTCCGGCGGCGATACTTGCGAGCCAATGCACGTCGGGGGAGTTGGTCCAAGCGAACCAGAACAAGCCGACGGGAAGGGCAATCGAGGCCAACATGCATGGTGGAAGACGAGCCTCGGGGGGCGCATATCCGCCCTTCTTTTCGAGGAGCTTGATGTACCGAGTGTTCTCTGGAATCGAGTACGCAATTGCGCCCAGCATACCAATCATCACACCGAGGAACGCCAGGCCGGACACACCCTGGTTCCATCCACGGTGAAGCTCATACACGATGGGGAAGGCACCGAAAAGCATGTAGAGAGTACCATAGATAATGGCCAAATAGATCGACAGAAGCAAGACGATGGGTTCCTTGAACAGAAGGATCAGCGGCCGAGAGAGAGATGTCTTCAAAGCGGCCTTGAGAGTGACGCGTCCCTGGTCGATGTCCAGTTTGCTCACATAAACCTGACCTGTGAGCTTGGACAGGGTCTTTGCCCGCTGGCGGAGAAGGACAGGAGCATAGGTCTCTGGCTTCAACGCCGCTCCCAGGAACCACATCAGACCACACAGAATGGCCAGAAGACCCATCACCCACTTCCAGCCCGCTGCCATGCCGAGGAAGCCACCAGCGATAGGACCAATGACGGGACCTAAGAATGGGGCCAATGCAAAGGCAGACAGGGCCAGTCCACGTTCCCGAGCCATGAACATGTCGGCGATCACACCGCCGGAGTTGGTGAAGGGGGAGGAGCCAAAGGCACCGGACAGGAAACGGAAGACGAGGAGAGTTTCGATGTTCTTGGCTCCGATGCATGCGGCACAGAAGATGGTGAGACCGCAGTAAGTTCCAATGAAGACGGACTGGCGTCCAAACAGCTCACTCATTGGAGCCCAGATGAGGGGACCCAGGGCGAATCCGAGGACATAGAGGGATACTCCCAGTGTAGCAATCTCCGTCGTGGCACCGAATTGCTCTTCAATTTGTAAGATACCACCTGTATAGGCGGATGAGACCAGGGCCACCACGAGGGTCTCGAGAGCGGCGATCACGGTGATGAACCATTTGAGGGAGGTTTTCAGTTGTAGTGGGTTTCGAAAGTCGTTGGGTAACCAGTTCACAGAGTATGGATCATCTTCGGTTCCCGCCCCTGGGTATGGATGATCCAGCACATCCTGAGTGATGACGCCGGGCTCTGTGACGAGTCGCCAAAAGGGGACAGAGTTAGGCAACTGGAGAGACTTGGTCCCAGCCTCCGAAGGGGCCGTGGAGGGGACCTCTTTGGACATTGTGAATGGACACGCTTAAATCGAAGTCCAACGGCGATCTGCAGGCGAATTTTAGAGAGAAAAGTGAATGTGATTATGATCCGGGTCGAGGGCTTTTTTTTTTCTTATATTGAAACATCGCCTTGGACCTCGGCAGGCCGCACTGGCTCTGCTTAATCTTGAAATTAATATGCATTATCTGCATTATTCCAGCAAGAACAAGCCCCCATCCCGGAGAGACTGCTCCTTTGGATGATCCAAGTGGGGGCCCAGAGATGTTGCTGCATAAGAGAAACGCGGAAGAACAACGAAAGAGCACGAAAGAGCCCGCTCAAAGACACGCCAGCGAGACAAAAAAGGAGAAATGACGGTGGTGATTGGTGAAGAGAGGAAGTGGGAAATCCCGACGGTCCACTTAATCGGCCCGATCAGTAATCGCTTCTCGGCCCTGCCGATGGCCTTTTTTTTTCTTCTTCTTTTTTTAGTGGAGATTTGTACAGCCGAGGTTGAAAATGGTTTTATTATGTGGATATTAGAATGTTTCCCTCTGGACGGAGTAGACAGAATACACAGAGTACATAGAGCACTTCATAGACACCTTGCCAGTACGGAGTATTGAGGCTGTTCTCGGTGGCCTGACAGATGACATGCAGCTATGCGTCTTGGCGTCGTTATCGGAGCTGATCGACCTAGGCATGACTCGTGCAATCTGACAGCCCTGGAGTCTAGCCTCATGGAGCTATAGAGAGCGATGGTCAACTGATACGGAATAAGCAGTACTGGTGGCGTACGGACTGGGGACAAGCCGACTCCGTAGCGTATGAAACGATGACCGCTGAACGCGAGGGGAAAAGGAACTCCCGAAATCTGCAACCAACAGGAAACGGCATAACATTGGGGTCGTGAATTCTATAGATGCTGATGCGCGTGCATGTCTCGATTTACAGGCTCTTCTCAATCTCCGCGACCTCGGCCATCACCTCGCGGATTGCCTTCTTGGGCCCTTCACCCACCTCCTCATAGGGGTGACGAGGAGCCAAGTTGGCAACGGCGTCTGAGATCCCAGCAAGTTGAGCGGAATAACAGGCCACCGCATGTTTCGTGGATGCAATGCCACTCTTGATGGGGCTCTCGGCGAGGGCCGCCTTGCGCTGCAGCTTCACAGCCTCATCCACTTGACCCTTCTGGTACAGGGCATAAATACGGGAGGCCACTTTGGGGAAGACGTTGGCGAAGGCAGCAATGCACCCAACACTGCCAGCTGCGAGGCCACCAATCAGGAAGTCGGATTGCCCACCAAACGTCGCAAAGTCGGCAGGCGCGAATTCGGCAGCCAGCCGAGTGATCTTGCCCACGGATCCACAGGTGAGCTTGACCCCCACCACGTTAGATCGCCCGCTCGGGTGTGATGCAGCCGATTCCTTTGTGATCGCAGCGATGGTATCAGAATCCATGTCCACCCCGTTGCAAACGCCGGGGAAGTTGTACACCACCACGGGCAGCGGGGCCTTGGCGGCTACTTCAGCGAAGAAGCGCTTCACCACGTTCATGTTAGTGGCCTTGCCAAAGTAGGCTGGAGGCAGAACAAGGAGATAGTTGGCACCGGCCGCCGCCGCATCGTGGGCCAGCTCCAGGGTTTGCTTAGTTGAGTGGGCACCCACACCAGCCATCAGAGGGAAATCGGGGCCTACAGCAGCGCGCGCAGTGGCGATCAGCTGGGATCGCTCCTCGCGTGTGAGCAGGAAGGCTTCGGAGTTGGTGCCCAGGATGACCAACCCGGCGAGGCCGGTCTTGGAAAGGTAGGTGAAGTATTGGGATTGTGAGGTGAGATCTAGCGAGTCGGTGCCATGGTGGAAGAATGTGACGGCAGGGCACCAGACACCCCCCGCGGGGACGTGAGGCTGAGGAGAGACAGTTGCGTGAGAACCCATGATCGTATGTATGTACTGAAGTGTGGTAGATAGCTAAAAGGATGAACGAGGGCGTACTTATATAACCCAACCCTGGGGTCAATGTCAGTCAAAGGAGGGGGAGGGGCAACGGCTATATCTCCGAGTCCCAGACGAAGCTGTTTGGCATCAGATCGCAAGAAACCCTCGGAGGCCAGGGCCGACCCCCCACCTTCTGGGGATCTTCGGACCAGCGAGCCGATGGTTTCAATGCCTTTCTCTCATGGTAGGTAATATGATCAGCTCGGGGTTTCTCCCGAATGAGAACGCGTGAGGGGTTGTGTTTTCAAGTGGATGTGTACGGGGTTTTTGTGTTGTGGTTGTGATGGTTGTAGGAGGAAGTTCCCTCGGTCGGGGACCCGAGGATGATTGTCGTTAAATACATATCGTCCCCAATGGATAATACCGACGGAGAACACTTTGTCATATTGTCATACTATTTTACATCATGACTATTGAAACAATAACCTCACCCTCTTGGTTCGACCAGGCTCATTTCATTCCTCCCGATGCCATCTTTGCCCTAACGGCGCAGTATGTGGCAGACACATTCCCCCAGAAGGTCAATCTGGGACAAGGCACTTACCGGGACGAGAATGGGAATCCTTGGGTTCTTCCCTCTGTGAGAAAGAGTCGCGAGATTCTGTCCCAGAAGTTGTATCACGAATATTTACCCATTGTGGGTTTGGCGAGTTTTCGACAGGAGGCTGCCAAGTTGGCCCTGGGACCCGAATTGTTCGCGAAGCAACAAGATAAAGTACTACACCAGTGAAAAAAAAGGGGGGAAATCCAAGGGCTAATTAGGCGACAGCTAGCCACCTGTCAGAGTCTTTCGGGTACTGGAGCCTTGCACCTGGCAGGACTCCTTCTGCGAGCGGGCAGAACGTCGCGCCCAAAGATCTATATCCCCGAGCCTACCTGGTCGAATCACCACCAGGTGTTCGCCTCTCTCGGATTTGAGTGCGAAACTTTCCAATATTATAATCCAGAGACAAAAGACTTGGATATCGACTCATACTACGCCGCATTGAAAGCAGCCGAGCCCAACTCCGTAGTCATCATTCATGCTTGCGCGCATAATCCCACTGGATGCGACCCCAGCAAAGAGCAGTGGCGGGAGCTGGCAGACATCTTCAAAGAAAGACAACTATTCCCCCTGTTCGATGCGGCGTACCTAGGGTTCAACTCAGGCAACGTGGATAATGACGCCTTTGCAATTCGGTTATTTATTGAGGAGACGAAGCTAGAAGCAGGAATATGTCTGTCATTTGCCAAGAACATGGGTCTCTATGGTACGTGAATACATTTCCTGCAAACCATCCGTGGACAAGCTAACAAGAGGTTAGGCGAACGAGTGGGCTGTTTCCTACTGGCAACAAGCACCGAAGATACTGCAGTGAAGACCCAGTCTATGCTAGAGATGCTGCAACGGTCCGAAGTTTCGAATCCACCGGCTTACGGCGCAAAGATCGCGAGCACCATTCTGGGCGATGACACTCTGAGACAGGCCTGGCACGATGACCTAAGTACTATGAGTGATCGAATCCGTTCAATGCGGAGGGCACTATATGACCGGCTGGTTTCATCGGGTAAGCGCTCTGATAATAACCCGGGACGCACAACACTAACACGAGGCGCAGGAGCCCCGGGCTCGTGGGAGCATCTCATCCGCCAATCTGGAATGTTCGGTTTCCTAGGGCTATCGCCAGATATTGTGCTGAAACTGCGGGGTGAGTGGTTTTGAGGTTCAAACGATATGTGTTTGTTTATATGCTGATGAAAGTCCAGAGCAATACCATATCTATATGGCAGGCAACTCCCGGATTTCGATCGCTGGGCTGAACGAGCAGAATGTGGCATATGTTGGAGACTCAATCACAGAATGCTTGAAGCAGAGTTTGTAGGCCCGTGGCAGCTAGATACTATCCCAGCATCTGAAGGCTTCATTCTCGTCCGGACGGCTTGAGCTCATGGCACGGCGGCTGAGAAGCCCATTCAGGGGAATAGCCAATGACCTTTCGGGAAATTCGCATCATGTTTGAGCTTCGGCACCACTAGCAAAAATCAAGATATTGCCAGAGTCCAACAAACCACCGTGGAACCGCTGTGATCACTTTCGATGTCTCTTACTAGGTCCAAGGTTTGAGCGGTGTTTTTAGGTGGCAACCCCGAGCAAAGGAGACAACGGAGAGAATCATTCTGCTTGTGCGATTGAACAGAAATGCTTCGAGACTTCGGGTCGGTTGATCATGGAGGCTTGTCACACGTGAACGGCATGCAGGGGATCAAGTCTAGGCCGAGAAACAGAAAGAGACTGGCGTAGCTGACGAAATCAAGATCTGTATGGTCAGTATCGAGATCATAGCCTCGGGAGCTGCATTAAACAAGTAGTTCTGGGTAGATCTCGACACAAACCCATTCTTGTTTTCTTTCCGGGTCGAGATATTCATTCTCAGAAGGAGCCGAGGAGTGAGGAGTCGTGTATTGAGGACATACGAGTAGAGGGAATGACAGTACTCCTGGGATCCACAATGACTGCCAGCAAGACTCGCTGAAGGGATTTTCTATGGCCGGTGAACGGGAAGAAAGCTTTACAAGTTGGTCTTGCCAGTAGGTACACACCTGAGTAGACAACATTGAAAGTATTTTCCCTGTGACGGGAGATTGGAGTGTACCGGCCTAGCCGGTGATTCCCCCAATCGAGCTGATCACCCCGAACGGCCTGTCCTTTGCATCGGGGCAGATGGCGGCGGCCAAGGCCCGATCTCGGAAAATGAAAGGACTGGGGCTCTTGTGCTCAGTACTCCGTACTCCGTACGCATTACGAGCGACGATCGCCCTGATTGAGGCACAGGGCGAACCTGGCGATAGCTGACCGTCCTCGTATACGAGCAAATCCCCGGAGCATTCGGGCATCAATGACAAAACATGCAATTGAATTATCTAACAATAATGCCGCACCGAGAGACAGCGCGGATCCTGACCGAACGCCCGTATTTTCTGGGGTCTTTCTAGCCGATGATCCTTCCTGCCGCGTTCCCATCTCCATTCTTCGACGGCAGGTCTGGAGTCTGGGGGAAATTGGAATTACGTACAAGGTCTGTGGTGTGCCGTTGGAGTACGGGGGAATTCGACAATGAGGTGTAAGCCAGTCTTGCATCCAGACCAGCCACAGCGGTGCGGCCCATTTTAAGTGAGGCGTTCGGACAGGCCCACGAATCAGCAGGCTTAGCGTCTGCGCTATTTTTTCCCCAAACGGGTTTCCACCGGAACCCCAATGAGATGGAAATGTTGAGATCATTACACAAGCGGATTGCGGATTGCGGAGGATTGCGGAGTGTGGATGAAGTATGGGGTATGTTCGTTCTCCATGTGAGGGTTGGATGTTGAATGGTCCACGGGGGTTGTCTCCTCTGGAGGGATCTCGTATTTGCGAAGGCAGTCGCGAGTGGGCAGATGAAAGTTGGGGAAGGTGCCACATTTGCCACATTTGTCTGGTTTGCCCTGTTTGCCCTGTTTGTATATTACACGTGACCAAATCTTATCTGCGCCGAGTCACCTGTCCGCGAACGCTCATTGGAAGGACCTGAACGGCTCACCACCCGGACTTTCAGTGGCGCGAGAACATTCGAACATTCGAAAGCTTGACTGCTCTTCTTCACATCTCATCATGATCCTATCAACCTCACCTCACTTCTTCGCCTCTCCCCGCAAATGGCGCAACGCGGGGAGGACTCCATAAAATGACATCAAAGCGCGGTCTCCAGTCCTTGAAGCGGTCCTCGCACCTGTGGAGCATCCAATGTGCTATTTCTTTTACCTAACCAGGCCAAACCTTCTTATCGGCCACCGACACACACACAAAACATGCGGGCTGGGTTTCGCCCAAAATGCTCCGCTGCAACCCACTCGCACTGGGGCCGAAACCGGATTCAGACCACCTCGTTGGAGGGCCGATCCTTGCAGTGGAGCAGCGTCGTACTCCACGTGTTGGAGCAACCAAGCAGAACGCACGAAATTATCTTAGTCAAGGGAACCCGCAATTTTGCCTCCCGATAGCGCCGCGTTCAGTAGTTCGAGAATTTTCCCTTCTTATACTCGTACGATCCGGCCACTCTTTTCTCTCCCCAAGTTTCCCCCCCTCCCACACCACAACACAATGGGTTTCGACCATATCTCCAATGATCACGATAATAAGGTGATGGGTCCCGAGGCCGAGAAGGCGGAGATGGCCTCCCCACCGCCGTTCGAGGGCACCATGGTGGGGGAGATGACCGATGCGGAGCGCAACGTCTACGATCACGGCATTCAGAAGTTCAACCGTCTCGGATGGAAGCGACTCACCATCGTCCTCATCGTGGAGGCCATTGCCCTGGGCAGTCTCTCCATTCCCTCGACCTTTGCAACCCTCGGCATGGTGGCGGGTGTCATCTGTTGTGTGGGCCTCGGTCTCGTCGCCATCTACACCAGTTACATCGTGGGAATGGTCAAGCTTGCCTTCCCCGAGGTGGCCAACTACCCAGACGCGGGCCGCCTCATGGGCCGCCGCCTGGGCTGTGGACGTTTTGGATATGAGTTGGTCAGCGGCATGCTGGGTCTCCAACTCATCTTCCTGACAGCCTCGCACTGTCTCACCGGAACCATCGCTTTCTTGGACATCACCAAGAGTGACGTTTGCTCCATCGTGTTTGCCGTCGTATCGGCCATTCTCCTACTTCTACTGGCCATTCCTCCCAGTTTCACCGAGATGGCTATTCTCGGCTACGTCGATTTCGCCTCCATCTTAATTGCTATTGGTATCACCATCATCGGAACCGGTGTCAAAAGCACCGACGCCCCCGGAGGACTAGCGGCAGTGCCCTGGTCAGCGTGGCCCAAGGACGACATCACCTTCACCGAGGCCTTCATCGCGGTGACCAACATCGTCTTTGCCTATAGCTTTGCGATGTGTCAATTCTCTTTCATGGACGAGATGCACACCCCTAAGGACTTTGTCAAGTCTATCTGGGCTCTCGGTATCACCGAGATCGTGATCTACACCGTGACAGGCGCTCTGATCTATGCCTTTGTCGGTCAGGACGTGGGCAGCCCCGCGTTGACCTCGGCAGGCACCCTTCTCAGTCGGGTCGCATACGGCGTGGCGCTTCCCGTCATCTTCATCAGTGGCTCGATCAACACCGTGGTGTTTGGACGTCTTGTGCACGGTCGCATCTTTGCCAACTCCCCCATTCGCTTCATCAACACCAAGATGGGATGGATTACCTGGTTGGCCCTGATCACCGCTGCCACTATTGTTGCGTTCATCATCGCCGAAGTGATTCCCTTCTTCAACGATCTACTCTCCATCTCCTCCTCCCTGTTCATTTCCGGATTCACCTTCTACTTCCCCGCCATGATGTGGTTCATGCTTCTCCGCGAGGGCAGCTGGAAGGAGCCCAGGAACATGGTTCTGGGAGCCATCAATATCTTGATCTTCCTCATTGGTATCGTGATTCTGGTTGGCGGTACCTACGCCAGCATCGACGACATTGTAAGTTCTGACTCCATTCCTGAGTTCCGTATTCACGCTAACTCGATCTTAGATGATTAAGTACGACAAGGGAGAGGTCGGTGGCGTTTTCTCTTGTGCTGCACCTGAGTAAGGCTCTTCTGATTTTTGTTGTTCCTTTTTCAGCCAGCTCATGGGCGTGTTCAAGCTGGTGCTTGAATCGCTCCGTTTTCCGTCGACCCTGGTTGGTTCGGAAATACAAGATGATTTAATTGGCATCAGCGTTGCTTTGCATCTTCACGGTCGCCTGTGGGACACAAGGCGAGAATTGTATATATATAGTATTCCCAATTGATTTACGATACCTTATGGAATCTGCTACTTATCATGGTCTCCATGGCCTCCCAATGTATACTAACAAGCCTCGAACCATTCGCGACCGGGCGGGCGATGGGTCCTGGTCTTGGATGCTCCTGGGGCTATTGCTCGTCAACCGCCCTGTCAGACTGCATGCGCACTTCCTGAAGTCCCTCTTCACTGGGTAGGCCTTCTGTGGTGAACGTTTAACTCGTAGAGCCGAAGCGAAGATGTGGTCGCTCAGCCAAGGTCCAACACTCCGACTGCTCATCGGGATCAAAAACAGATTAGACGTTTCTGGGGTTATACAAAGCTACCACCGTAATCTTGGACATAAGTACCATGCCATGTGACTAAATGCCTTGCCTGCTCAAGCGGGATACCTCATTCTTGGGAAGTCGAACCTTGAAAGTGGAAAAAGGAGTGTTGATACAACTTTAGAAATGGAAAGCCCTGAAGAGAAATCCAGAAGACAAACATCATTTATAGTCGCACTCCGCCGAGAATGTGCTTGATATTCAGGGAATTATGCCAGAAGTTGGACGCGATGGACCCTGACCAAAGTACAAAGTACGGAGCGCTACTCGTATATAACTAATTGCGCTCCATACTCCGTAGTAACAGGTTAATTGACGGACTTGGACCCTGAACTAAGACCTGATCGTCGCTCCTGGCCACACTGATGAGCGCAAGATGTCTCAACTGGAAACCGAGTTAATTTGAGAGCCTTTATTTCAAGAAACCCGGCCGAAAAGTAAAGGGGTGGGCTTCTCAGAAATGCCCATACAGCACGGGCTTGGGACGGGCCAGTTGGCCAAGGAAGTGCGCCTATAGTGCCTACATAGTGTACGGAGTACAGTATATTTACGAGTACGAGTAGGTAGTTATACCTACAAGTAGTACCTACATAGGATGCCTCAGGAGCCATAGGGTATATGCTATTTACGTGAGAATATGAGCATTGCGAAACCCCCAATGACAAGTTAAACTGTGATTCACGTCTGCAGTGGCGAGAGGCAATGTACTCATACGAGTACCTACGGAGTATACCGTGTGATGAAGGCCGAAGTGAGTGGCTGCGAGCAACCTGCGTCCAACATGCAATCTGCAGGGTTTCAGGCAGCGAGTTTGGGTAATCGGTTAAATTCTAGAAGACAATATGGATGAAAATAGTACGGAGGATTGATCCCCACATAAAGGGGATGCCGTGTCTATCACTGCCTTGTTGAGACGTGTCTCATTTTCCAGGGAATCAGTGACTGTATGAAAGTTGTTGTCCGCAGGCTAAGGACTCGTGCTCGTCCAGAATATCTGGTCGGATTATTGTCAGACTACTCGTAGCAATAGTGTCGATCATCCAAAAGACAAAAGGAAAGGACTGGGGAAGGCTGAGCGCCTATTTTTAGTATTTTCGAAGAGAAGAGCCCGATGTGGAGTGCTCCGTATGTTTCTCCGATGCAAGTGCAAGTAAGGGGGGCAAATCGAGTTGGCGCTGGACGTTTAATTGGCCTGGATTCAAATCGTGTGGATCTCGGAGAAACATCGAAAAGTGGGCAATTAGGGTAGACATTGTGCCGAGGTTTAGGCGATGAAGAAACAGAAGAAACAGAAGAGACAGAGGAAAATACTGTGTCAATGATGCAATTGAAGGCAATATCAATTGAATTGTGATACTATTTCGAGAAATTGAGAAAGACTGGGAGAGAACAGAGGGAGAAAATGGTAGAGCTGTATCAGGTCCGAAAAGCAGGATAAACAGGGTCTCCTCACTTACCGGTTCCAAGTGGGCAGGCTGATATCATTTTGCGGGTTAGCCGGATGCTTGGCTCTGAAAATAGTCGCCTTTGGCTGAGACATCGACCTCGGCCGCGGGAGTGGCGCTCTTCATTCGTTGTGCCCGTTGAATATTGAGACGTCGAACTATAAGAAGGGGCATTGTAGTCGAGCATTTCGTCCATCTCATCCCCTCTCAACTCACTATCCATTACACTCTACCTCCTACTCTTTCATCTTCCCAACTTTCAATTCACTTCCGCAAACATGCAGCTCAAGAACCTCGCCCTCGCCGCCGGTGTCAGCGCCGTTGCCTCTGCTGCCCCCTCCACCCAGTCCAAGACATTCGGTGTCGTTGCCATTCACTCCGGCAGTGGAGTTCAGTACTCTGCCTTCAACGCCGCGAAGAGCAGCATCTTCGCTGGCCTACCCAACCAGGGTGCCAGCTGTGCTCGTCCCAAGGAGCAGCAGGCCACTTTCTACATCAACGACGGTGCTCTATACCTCTATGACCAGTCCGCCACTCCTCAGGAGATCTACGTTGATCGTTCCGGCATGGGTAAGACTCACCTTTTTCACCGTGTGGGATTCTCGACTAATTTGATGCATAGGCCAGGGCAAGATCGGATACACCACTGGCGCTCAGCCCGCCCCCAAGAACGCAGAGCGCAAGGGTTGGACCCAGAAGGATGGCCACCTCCAGTTCGGCGGTAACGACCTGATTGCCTGCCCCAACAGCATTGACGGTGCCTGGAGCATCTGGGCCTCCGCGGGCGTCTCCAACCCCGCCGGCAACAAGGACTGCGTGGGCATTGCCGCCCGCGTCGAGGAGACCGCTAAGCCCAACGGCTGCAGCTACACCTCCTAAGCATTTTGTTATTCTGAAGCGTTTTGTCCAATGTCATTAATTATTATATAACTGAATATTACCGAGCTTCCTGAGCTCGAAGAATCGAAGCCAATCACATACCATTTTCATATCGATTCCTACTATCTTTAGAGCTACCCAGGTGCTCAAGTGCTTAACAGCTCTGGAGCTCATCGTGACCTCCTGAAGTCTGGCCGTGACATAGGTAGATTTTGTTGATCTCACCTGGCAAATTGCCGTTGTCCCCACCTGAGCACTCATGGACTTGTTCCAATGTTCAATCTATGGATCAAACTCTAGAATCACATACTGGATTCCGGACACGAGCAAGTAACATTAGAAGCAATGTTGCATCGTGTCTATCTCTCGACGACCTGAGTATCTTGCCATATCTAAAGTTCTGAAGTATGTGTGCCTCGATACCTCCGGGATTAAGTAGGATATTTCAGTAGTTGAAGATGATATCCTGACCTTGTAGCCTATGGACCTCGGGATTTAGCAAAGATATTTCTCTGTGAATAATGCCCAGGTAGGCCTCGTAGAGAGTGCGGCGTACTTAAGTAGTCGATGTATATTCAAGTGGACTTTGAGGCTCCACAGGCACAAAGGTGGTAGGTTCCCAGTAATAGGAGAATATTGTTCCTCCAGGGCCTCAGGAGACCTGGAACGAGGATAATAAGATAAATATATCATGTATAGAACCACTCCGTGTAGTAGCAGAAGTTGACTTCCGTGTTTTGATACAGTAACCTTGGAATACATCCGAATACCGGGTATTTCACCAAAACACGAGCTTCCCGGGGTGATAATCGTGGCATTTAAGTACAACAAAATTACATATGAAAATTGGCCCCCTGATGAATTTTCAAATTCTAGGAATTAACCCCCTCGATTGTTTTGAGGGTCCTGGAGTTAGGAAATATCACGATGCTTGGGAAATATCTTGGAATTACTTCGGCCCTTCTGGTTGGATCGGTTGTCGGAATTGACCTTCAAATCAATGAGGGTATGTTTTCAATCTGATGGCAGCTTCAGATCTAACACAGTACAGAGTCTCTTAAGGATGCGGCAGCAACTGCGGCGTTTAACACCATGTTGAATTACACCTCGAACACCACAGGCCACATCCCAGGCTACATCAGCGAGAAGTGGTGGGAAGGTGGTGCGCTATTCCAGACCATGATTGAATATTGGTACGTGACTGGGGACACTTCCAACAACCCTGCAGTGAGCCAGGGTATGTACTGGCAGCGGGGAGACAACAATTACTTCCCCGCTAACTTCAGTGCGTACTTGGGCAACGACGACCAGATGGCGTGGGGTCTGGCGGCGATGACCGCGGCCGAGCTGGGATATCCCCAGGAGACCTCAATGCCTTCTTGGCTCACTCTCGCCGAAGGTGTCTTCCAAGCCCAAGTCCGACGCTGGGATTCCCAGTCCTGCGGGGGTGGCTTACACTGGCAGATCTTCCCTTACCAGGTTGGGTATAACATCAAGAATGCCATCAGCAATGGGGGGCTTTTCCAACTATCGGCTCGATTGGCTCGATATACTCAGAACCAGACCTACTCTGACTGGGCCGAGAAGATCTGGGACTGGAGTGTCCGTGTCCCCATCCTGGATACACATCGCTGGACGATTGCCGATTCGATTGGGATCAACGATCAATGTGCCCCCACCTCCAAGATTCAGTGGACGTCGAATTATGGACCCTATCTAAGCGGGGCCGCCTACATGTACAATGTGGTGAGTCTCTTCCCACAGCCACTCGACCTTCTGACTAACTCGATTCCAGACACAAGGGACAACATCCAAATGGAAATCTGGTCTTGATGGTCTTCTTAATACTACCCTGAACATTTTTTTCCCCGAGCAGTACGGAGGGAATATTATGGTGGAGATCGCCTGCGAGCCGCGGGATGTTTGTGATACCAACCAGGAGGATTTCAAGGGTCTTTTAGCCTCGGATCTAGCCTCGGTGACAATTCTGGCTCCCTACACAGCACCGCAGATCCGACCTAAATTGCAAGGATCGGCCGTTGGAGCCGCAAAGCAGTGCATCGGGGGAGCAGATCAGACCCTCTGTGGGCAGCGGTGGTATCCGTCGCCATGGGAGAGTGCCGATTTGGAGACGCAGCTGAGCGCCACCAGTCTCTTCACATCCAATTTGGTGGCTTTCGCAGACGTGCAACTCGCCACGCAGGCGACTTCCAGCCAGAATGGATCCAGTGCAGAGAGCCAAGCTGGTACTACGAGCAATACCATGAGTAGCACCAGTAGCACCGCCAGTACCACCAGCACTGACCGGCCTAACGGAGCAGCAGTCATCCCGAGAAGCCTGTGGGTTGTAAATGTGTTGATTCTCGGACAATTGGGGCTCTAAGTAATTGTGGGACAATTATGCAACATCCAAAATTCATCAAGTGAACTACGGAATACACATGAAATACTCTCCAGCAAAAAAAAAAAAAAAAAAAAAAAAAAAAAAAAAAAAAAAAAAAAAAAAAAAAAAAAAAAAACAAAACAAAAAAAAAAAAAAAAAAAAAACAAAAAAAACAAACATCAACCCCC